AGCCAGTATGGAAAACACTATGAAGGCCCTTCTAAAAATAAGACTACCTCAGGAGCCAGCAATCCCACTCCTGGACATATACTGGGAGAAAGCTGTCAATTGAAAGGATAATGCACTCTAGTTACAATGCCTAACATGTGGAAGCAACCTCCATATCCACTGCCAAATGGATAAAGAAGATGTGGTATATATACACAATGGAATACTACTGAGCCATAAAAAGAATGAAATGCTGCCATTTGCAGCAACTTGGATTGACCTGGAGATGATCAGAGAAGTGAAGTCAGTCGACAGAGAAAGACAAATATCTTATGATACAGCTAATATGTAGACTCTTAAAAAGTGATACACATGAACTTATGCACAAAATAGAAATTGACACACAAATTTTAAAAGCAAACTTATGATTACCAAATGGGACAAGTGAAGGGAAGGGTAAATAAGGAGGTTGAGATTAACAAACAGATGCTATTCTATGTAAAATAATCAACAAGGACCTACTGTATAGCACAGGGAACTCTCCAGAATATTATGTAATAACTTATAAGGGAAACGAATCTGAAAAAGAATAGATCTATGAATCTGTGACACCACGCATAAAAATAAACTAAAAATGGATTAAAGATGTAAATGTAAGACTAGGCACTATAAAAAAGTTAGAGAGAAGCAGAGGCAGAAGACTCTCTGACATATATCGCAGAAAGATCTTCTCTAATCCAATTCCTAGAGTGATGAAATAAAAACAAAAATAAAAAAATGCAGCCTAATCAAACTTAAAAACTGACCCCTGGGAGACAGTGTTCTCCCAACATAAAAGAGCACACAGAAAGGAAGAAAATATCTGCAAATGAAGTGACCAACAGGGGATTAATCTTCAAAATATGTAACAGCGCATGCAGCTCAACATTTACAAAAAAAAAAAACAAAAAACTAAAATCCTCAATCCAAAAATACATGGAAGATATAAATACACATTTCTCCAAAGAAGGCATACACGTGGCCAAGAAGAACATGAAAAGACACTGAACATCACTAATTATTAGAGAAATACAAATGAAAACTACAATGAGGTATCAGATCATACCAATCAGAATGGCCATCATCAGAAAATCTACAAAGAATAAAAGCTGTAGAGCGTGTGGAGCAAAGGGAAGCCTCATACATTGTTGGGAAGAATGGAGATTGGTATAGCCTCTATGAAAAGCAGTATCAGTTCAGTTCAGTCCCTCAGTTTGTCTGACAGTATGAAGGTTCTTAAAAGACTAAAAATAAGAGTTACCCTCTGATACAGTCATCTTATCCTTGTGCAAATATCCAGAGAATAACATAATATGAAAAGATACATGTTCCCCAATGTTCATTTCAGCACTATTGACAATAGCCAGAAGACAGAAGCAAGTAAATGTGCCTAGATGGAGGAATAGATAAAGCATATGTGTTTCAAGTTTACAATGGAATATTACCGACTCTTAAAAAGAACAAAATAATTCTATGTGTGCAACATGGATGAACCTAGAGATTGTCATACTGAGTGAAGTCTGATATAGAATGACAAATATATGATGTCACTTACATATGGAATCTAACAGAATGTTACATATAAACCTATTGACAAAAATAGAGTCTCAGATGTAGAGAACAAACTTATGGTTACCAAAGAATGGTGAAGGATGAATTAGGATTGAGAAATACACTCTACTATACATAAAATACATAAAGATCTACTGGAGATCACAGGGTACTCTATTCAATTCTTTGTAATAACCTACATGGAAATAGAATCTAAGACACGAAGGTATATATAATTGATTCACTGTGCTGAACAGCAGAAACTAACAGCACTGTAAAGAATGATATTACAATCAAAACTTAAAATCATAAAACAATGAATCAAGACACATAAATATAAGAACTGAAAACACAGAACCTCATCTCACTCTCATAATTATTATAACCACTGTTCATTTTTCTGACCCTGATGCTTCCTCAGCATATACAGGGTTTTAGCCAAGTTCCCTGGCCATGGTGCGAATGTGTTGCGGGGAGGGAAGCAATCTCAGTGTTTGGGGGATAGAAGACAATGTCGGCTGGCACTGGCTGTGCTGAGCAGACCAGCCCTTGGACTGACTCCAACTGAGACCTAATGCCGACCTGAACACTGTCTCCCAGGGCTCAGGGACATACCCAGTGTAATTGGAGCAGATGATTTTCTACAAAAACACTGACACCACAAGGAAGGATCAACATGATTGAAAAATACCTCTGATAATGTTACCTAGATTTTCCAAAGGACTTTCAGAGAGTTAGTTACCTATAGATGGATGAGGTGAAGAGAAGAGGAAACTGTCTCGAGACAGTCTCAAGATCCATTAAGCCAGTCGAAGCTCCTGACTTGATTGATGGGGATCACGGAATAGCGCTGAATGCACTGCAGGCGAAATGGGCCTCATCTCGCATCTTGGGGGAAGTCTCATGGTTTTTCTTGAGTTGCAGCAGGGACCTGGGGTATGTTCTCGAGTTTCGGCGGGGAAGGCCCTTCAAAACACGTGTTTATTCAGTGACGTCAGGATTCCTATCTAGTAACGAGGGACACCTCAGGAATATCTTCGAGTCTTGGCAGGGCAAAAGGGACGCTTCTCGAGGTCAGGCAGGGCACACAAGGACCCTTTCCAGTATCCACAGGGATTTTGGGATTCCTATCAGTATTCAAGAGGAGTCAGGCATCGTCACCTTTGACGCAGTGAACTCCGAGTGCCTCTCGAGGTGTCAACGGGATGTGAGGCATTCCGTCAAAATGAGGCAGGGACCTAGGGCTTTCTGTAAGGTCTCCACAGGGTATTCAGACGTCCCTTCATGTTGTGAGATGAAAGACGAGCCTGTATTCAAGCCACTGCAATGAAATCGGCCTCCTTCCAAGATAGGGCTTCTCGGTGTATATTCCACTTGAGGCAGCAAACTCGGGGTCCCTCCCACATATCTATTGCTGAGAGAAGCCTCCTCTTGAGGTGCTTCTGGAAAGTTGGCATACGTCTTGAGCCTAAGCCCGGGAATCAATTCTCATCTCGAGACGATTTGGGGTACAGGAAGCATTCCTCCCGTTGCTGTACTGAAGTTCGTGTTCCTCTAGACTTGGGACAGTGTTCTTCGGGAATCTCTTTAGTTTCCTGAAGGATGTCAAGCCACTGGTCGTGTTTAATGGGCAACGGGCAATGGCTCTGGAGTCACTGCAGGGGAATCGGGCCTCATCAAGAGTTGATTTGGGGCAAATGGATCCTCTTTGCGTTGCTGGACTTACCTCAGGGTCCGTCTAGACTGGTGACAGTGTTCTTGGCGAATGTCTCGAGATCCATTAAGCAAGTCGAAGCTCCTGACTCCTTTGATGGGGATCACGGAATTGCTCTGCATGCAATGAAGGAGAATTGGGCCTCATCTCGCCTCTAGGGGGAAGTCTCATGGTTTTTCTCGAGTTGCGGCGGGGACCTAGGGTATGTTCTCGAGTTACGGCTTGGATGGCCCTTCAAAACACTTGATTATTCAGTGAGGTCAGGACTCCTGTCTAGTAATGAGGGACAACTCAGGAATCTCTTCGAGGCTTGACAGGGCAAAAGGGATGCTTCGCGAGGTGAGGCAGGGCACCCAAGGACACTTTCCAGTAGCCCCAGGGATTTTGGGATTCCTATCAATATTCAAAAGCACTCAGGCATCGTCACCTTTTGATGCAGTGAACTCCGAGTGCCTCTCGAGGTGACAACGGGATGTGAGGCATTCGGTCAAAATGAGGCAGGGTCCTAGGGCTTTCTCTAAGGTTTCCACAAGGGATTCAGACATCCCTTCATGTTGTGAGATGAAAGACGAACCTGTATTCAAGCCACTGCAAGGAAATCCGGCCTCCTTTCAAGATAGGGCTTCTCGCTGTATATTCCACTTGAGGCAGCAAACTCGGGGTCCCTCCCACATACCTATTGCTGAGAGAAGCCTCCTCTTGAGGTGCTTCTGGAAAGTTGGCATACGTCTTGAGCCTAAGCCAGGGAATCAGCTCTCATCTCGAGAATATATGTGGTACTCGGAGCATTCCTCGAGTTGTTGTGCTGAAGTTGGTGTTCCTCTAGATTTGGGACAGTGTCCTCGGGGCATCTCTGGAGTTGCCTGAAGGAAGTCAAGCCACTGGTCGTGTTGAATGGGGAACGGGGGATGGCTCTGGAGTCAATGCACGGGAATCGGGCCTCATCTCGAGTTGATTTGGGGCACATGGAGCTTCTTTGTATTGCTGGTGTGACCTCAGGGTCCGTCTAGACTTGTGACAGTGTTCTAGGGGACTGTCTCGAGATCCATTAAGCAAGTCGAAGCTCCTGACTTGTTTGATGGGGATCACGGAATAGCGCTGAATGCACTGCAGGCGAAACGGGCCTCATCTCACATCTTGGGGGAAGTCTCATGGTTTCTCTCTAGTTGCGGCGGGGACCTGTTGTATGTTCTCGAGTTTCAGCGGGGAATGCCCTTCAAAACACGTGTTTATTCAGTGATGTCAGGACTCCTATCTAGTAACGAGGGACACCTCAGGAATATCTTCGAGGCTTGGCAGGGCAAAAGGGACGCTTCTCGAGGTGAGGCAGGGCACCCAAGGACCCATTTCCTGTAGCCACAGGGATTTTGGGATTCCTATCAGTATTCAAGAGGAGTCAGGCATCGTCACCTTTGAAGCAGTGAACTCCGCGTGCCTCTCGAGGTGTCAACGGGATGTGAGGCATTCCGTCAAAATGAGGCAGGGACCTAGGGCTTTCTGTAAGGTCTCCACAGGGTATTCAGACATCCCTTCATGTTGTGAGATGAAAGACGAGCCTGTATTCAAGCCACTGCAATGAAATCGGCCTCCTTTCAAGATAGGGCTTCTCGGTGTATATTCCACTTGAGGCAGCAAACTTGGGGTCCCTCCCACATATCTATTGCTGAGAGAAGCCTCCTCTTGAGGTGCTTCTGGAAAGTTGGCATACGTCTTGAGCCTAAGCCAGGGAATCAGCTCTCATCTCGAGACGATATGGGGTACAGGAAGCATTCCTCCCGTTGCTGTACTGAAGTTCGTGTACCTCTAGACTTGGGACAGTGTTCTTCGGGAATCTCTTTAGTTTCCTGAAGGATGTCAAGCCACTGGTCGTGTTTAATGGGCAACGGGCAATGGCTCTGGTGTCACTGCAGGGGAATCGGGCCTCATCAAGAGTTGATTTGGGGCAAATGGATCTTCTTTGCGTTGCTGGACTTACCTCAGGGTCCGTCTAGACTGGTGACAGTGTTCTTGGCGAATGTCTCGAGATCCATTAAGCAAGTCGAAGCTCCTGACTCCTTTGATGGGGATCACGGAATTGCTCTGCATGCAATGCAGGAGAATTGGGCCTCATCTCGCCTCTAGGGGGAAGTCTCATGGTTTTTCTCGAGTTGCGGCGGGGACCTGGGGTATGTTCTCGTGTTACGGTGGGGATGGCCCTTCAAAACACGTGTTTATTCAGTGATGTCAGGACTCCTGTCTAGTAATGAGGGACAATTCAGAAATCTTTTCGAGGCTTAGCAGGGCAAAAGTGAGGCTTCTCAAGGTTAATCAAGGCACCCAAGTACACTTTCCAGTGGCCAAAGGGATTTTCTGATTCCTATCAATATTCAAGAGGAGTCAGGCATACTCACCTTTTGAAGGAGTGAACTCCGAGTGCCTCTTGAGTTGTCAACGGGATGTGAGGCATTCCGTCAAAATGAGGCAGGGACCTAGGGCTTTGTCTAATGTCTCCACAGGGGAATCAGACATCCCTTAATGATGTGAGATGAAAGACGAGCCGGTATTCAAGCCACTGCAAGGAAATCCGGCCTCCTTTCAAGTTAGGGCTTCTCTCTGTATATTCCAATAGAGGCAGCATACTCGGGATCCGCCCCACATATCTTTTGCTGAGAGAAGCCTCCTCTTGAGGAGCTTCTGGAAAGTTGGCATAGGTCTTGAGACTAAGCCAGGGAATAAACTCTCATCTCGAGACGGTTTTGGTACACGGAGCATTCCTCGAGTTGCTGTGCTGAAGTTGGTGTTCCTCTAGACTTGGGACAGTGTTCTCGGGGCATCTCTAGATTTGCCTGACGGAAGTCAAGCCAATGGTCGTGTTGAATGGGGAACGGGGTATGGCTCTGCAGTAAATGCAGGGGAATCGGGCCTCATCTCGTGTTGATTTAGGGCACATGGAGCTGCTTTGCGTTGCTGGGGTGACCTCAGGGTCCGTCAAGACTGGTGACAGTGTTCCTCGGGACTGTCTCGAGATCCATTAAACAAGTCGAAGTTCTTGACTTGTTTGATGGGGATCACAGAATTGCTTTGCATGCCATGCAGGGGAATCGGGCCTCATTTCGCATGTAGGGGGAAGTGTCATGGTTTTTCTCGAGTTGCGGCGGGGGCCTGGGGTATGATCTCGAGTTACAGCGGGGATGGCCGTTCAAAACACGAGTTTCTTCCGTGACGTCAGGACTCCTGTCTAGTAACGAGGGACACCTCAGGAATCTCTTCGAGGCTTGGCAGGGCAAAAGGGACGCTGTCGAGGTGAGGCAGGGAACCCAAGGACCCTTTCCAGTAGCCACAGGGATTTTGGGATTCCTATCAGTATTCAAGAGGAGTCAGGCATCGTCACCTTTTGAAGCAATGAACTCCGCGTGCCTCTCGAGGTGTCAGCGGGATGTGAGTCATTCCGTCAAAATGAGGCAGGGACTTAGGGCTTTCTCTAAGGTCTCCACAGGGGATTCAGACATCCCTTCATGTTGTGAGATGAAAGACGAGCCTGTATTCAAGCCACTGCAAGGAAATCCGGCCTCCTTTCAAGTTAGGGCCTCTCGCTGTATATTCCCCTTGAGGAAGCAACCTCGGGGTCCCTCCCACATACCTATTGCTGAGAGAAGCCTCCTCGTGAGGTGCTTCTGGAAAGTTGGCATACGTCTTGAGCCTAAGCCAGGGAATCAGCTCTCATCTTGAGACGATTTGGGGTACACGGAGCATTCCTCGAGTTGCTGTGCTGAAGTTGGTGCTCCTCTAGACTTGGGACAGTGTTCTCGGGGCATCTCTGGAGTTGCCTGAAGGAAGTCGAGCCACCGGTCGTGTTGAATGGGGAACGGGGAATGGCTCTGGAGTCAATGTAGGGGAATCGGGCCTCATCTCGAGTTGATTTGGGGCACATGGGGCTGCTTTGCGTTGCTGGGGTGACCTCAGGGTCCGTCTAGACTGGTGACAATGTTCTTGGGAACTGTCTCGAGATCCATTAAGCAAGTCGAAGCTCCTGACTTGTTTGAATGGGATCACGGAATAGCTCTGCATGCACTGCATGGGAATGAGGCCTCATCTCGCCTCTAGGGGGAAGTCTCATGGTTTTTCTCGAGTTGCGGCGGGGACCTGGGGTATGTTCTCGACTTACGGCCGGGATGGCCCTTCAAAACACGAGTTTCTTCAGTGACGTCAGGACTCCTGTCTAGTAACGAGGGACACCTCAGGAATCTCTTCGAGGCTTGGCAGGGCAAAAGGGACGCTCTCGAGGTGAGTCAGGGCACCCAAGGACCCTTTCCAGTAGCCACAGGGATTTTGGGATTCCTATCAGTATTCAAGAGGAGTCAGGCATCGTCACCTTTTGAAGCAATGAACTCCGCGTGCCTCTCGAGGTGTCAGCGGGATGTGAGGCATTCCGTCAAAATGAGGCAGGGACCTAGGGCTTTCTCTAAGGTCTCCACAGGGGATTCAGAAATCCCTTCATGTTGTGAGATGAAAGACGAGCCTGTATTCACGCCACTGCAAGGAAATCCCGCCTCCTTTCAAGTTAGGGAATCTCGCTGTATATTCCCCTTGAGGAAGCAACCTCGGGGTCCCTCCCACATACCTATTGCTGAGAGAAGCCTCCTCGTGAGGTGCTTCTGGAAAGTTGGCATACGTCTTGAGCCTAAGCCAGGGAATCAGCTCTAATCTTGAGACGATTTGGGGTACACGGAGCATTCCTCGAGTTGCTGTGCTGAAGTTGGTGTTCCTCTAGACTTGGGACAGTGTTTTCGGGGCATCTCTGGAGTTGCCTGAAGGAAGTCGAGCCACCGGTCGTGTTGAATGGGAACGGGGAATGGCTCTGGAGTCAATGCAGGGGAATCGGGCCTCATCTCGAGTTGATTTGGGGCACATGGAGCTGCTTTGCGTTGCTGGTGTGACATCAGGGTCCGTCTAGACTTGTGACAGTGTTCTTGGGGACTGTCTCGAGATCCATTAAGCAAGTCGAAGTTCCTGACTTGTTTGAATGGGATCACGGAATAGCTCTGCATGCACTGCAGGGGAATGGGGCCTCATCTCGCCTCTAGGGGGAAGTCTCATGGTTTTTCTCGAGTTGCGGCGGGGACCTGGGGTATGTTCTCGACTTACGGCGGGGATGGCCCTTCAAAACACGAGTTTCTTCAGTGATGTCAGGACTCCTGTCTAGTAACGAGGGACACCTCAGGAATCTCTTCGAGGCTTGGCAGGGCAAAAGGGACGCTCTCGAGGTGAGGCAGGGCACCCAAGGTCCCTTTCCAGTAGCCACAGGGATTTTGGGATTCCTATCAGTATTCAAGAGGAGTCAGGCATCGTCACCTTTTGAAGCAATGAACTCCGCGTGCCTCTCGAGGTGTCAGCGGGATGTGAGGCATTCGGTTAAAATGAGGCAGGGACCTAGGGCTTTCTCTAAGGTCTCCACAGGGGATTCAGACATCCCTTCATGTCGTGAGATGAAAGATGAGCCTGTATTCAAGCCACTGCAAGGAAATCCGGCCTCCTTTCAAGTTAGGGCCTCTCTCTGTATATTCCCCTTGAGGCAGCAAACTCGGGGTCCCTCCCTCATACCTATTGCTGAGAGAAGCCTCCTCCTGAGGTTCTTCTGGAAAGTTGGCATACGTCTTGAGCCTAAGCCAGGGAATCAGCTCTCATCTCGAGACGATTTGGGGTATACGGAGCATTCCTCGAGTTGCTGTGCTGATGTTGGTGTTCCTCTAGACTTGGGACAGTGTTCTCGGGGCATCTCTGGAGTTGCCTGAAGGAAGTCGAGCCACCGGTCGTGTTGAATGGGGAACGGGGAATGGCTCTGGAGTCAATGCAGGGGAATCGGGCCTCATCTCGAGTTGATTTGGGACACATGGAGCTGCTTTGCGTTGCTGGGGTGACCTCAGGGTCCGTCTAGACTGGTGACAGTGTTCTTGGGGACTGTCTCGAGATCCATTAAGCAAGTCGAACTCCTGACTTGTTTGAATGGGATCACGGAATAGCTCTGCATGCACTGCAGGGGAATGGGGCCTCATCTCGCCTCTAGGGGGAAGTGTCATGGTTTTTCTCGAGTTGCGGCGGGGACCTGCGGTATGTTCTCGACTTACGGCGGGGATGGCCCTTCAAAACACGAGTTTCTTCAGTGATGTCAGGACTCCTGTCTAGTAACGAGGGACACCTCAGGAATCTCTTCGAGGCTTGGCAGGGCAAAAGGGACGCTCTCGAGGTGAGGCAGGGCACCCAAGGACCCTTTCCAGTAGCCACAGGGATTTTGGGATTCCTATCAGTATTCAAGAGGAGTCAGGCATCGTCACCTTTTGAAGCAATGAACTCGGCGTGCCTCTCGAGGTGTCAGTGGGATGTGAGGCATTCGGTTAAAATGAGGCAGGGACCTAGGGCTTTCTCTAAGGTCTCCACAGGGGATTCAGACATCCCTTCATGTCGTGAGATGAAAGACGAGCCTGTATTCAAGCCACTGCAAGGAAATCCGGCCTCCTTTCAAGTTAGGGCCTCTCGCTGTATATTCCCCTTGAGGCAGCAAACTCGGGATCCCTCCCTCATACCTATTGCTGAGAGAAGCCTCCTCCTGAGGTTCTTCTGGAAAGTTGGCATACGTCTTGAGCCTAAGCCAGGGAATCAGCTCTCATCTCGAGACGATTTGGGGTACACGGAGCATTCCTCGAGTTGCTGTGCTGATGTTGGTGTTCCTCTAGACTTGGGACAGTGTTCTCGGGGCATCTCTGGAGTTGCCTGAAGGAAGTCGAGCCACCGGTCGTGTTGAATGGGGAACGGGGAATGGCTCTGGAGTCAATGCAGGGGAATCGGGCCTCATCTCGAGTTGATTTGGGGCACATGGAGCTGCTTTGCGTTGCTGGGGTGACCTCAGGGTCCGTCTAGACTGGTGACAGTGTTCTTGGGGACTGTCTCGAGATCCATTAAGCAAGTCGAAGCTCCTGACTTGTTTGAATGGGATCACGGAATAGCTCTGCATGCACTGCAGGGGAATGGGGCCTCATGTCACCTCTAGGGGGAAGTCTCATGGTTTTTCTCGAGTTGCGGCTGGGACCTGGGCTATGTTCTCGACTTACGGCGGGGATGGCCCTTCAAAACACGAGTTTCTTCAGTGACGTCAGGACTCCTGTCTAGTAACGAGGGACACCTCAGGAATCTCTTCGAGGCTTGGCAGGGCAAAAGGGACGCTTCTCGAGGTGAGGCAGGGCACCCAAGGACCCTTTCCCGTAGCCACAGGGATTTGGGATTCCTATCAGTATTCAAGAGGAGTCAGGCATCGTCACCTTTTGAAGCAATGAACTCCGCGTGCCTCTCGATGTATCAGCGGGACGTGAGGCATTCCGTCAAAATGAGGCAGGGACCTAGGGCTTTCTATGAGGTCTCCACAGGGGATTCAGACATCCCTTCATGTTGTGAGATGAAAGACGAGCCTTTATTCAAGCCACTGTAAGGAAATCCGGCCTCCTTTCAAGTTAGGGCTTCACGCTGTATATTCCCCTTGAGGCAGCAAACTCGGGGTCCCTCCCACATACCTCTTGCTGAGAGAAGCCTCCTCCTGAGGTGCTTCTGGAAAGTTGGCATACGTCTTGAGCCTAAGCCAGGGAATCAGCTCTCATCTCGAGACGATTTGGGGTACACGGAGCATTCCTCGAGTTGCTGTGCTGAAGTTGGTGTTCCTCTAGACTTGGGACAGTGTTCTCGGGGCATCTCTGGAGTTGCCTGAAGGAAGTCGAGCCACCGGTCGTGTTGAATGGGGAAAGGGGAATGGCTCTGGAGTCAATGCAGGGGAATCGGGCCTCATCTCGAGTTGATTTGGGACACATGGAGCTGCTTTCCGTTGCTGGGGTGACCTCAGGGTCCGTCTAGACTGGTGATAGTGTTCTTGCGGACTGTCTCGAGATCCATTAAGCAAGTCGAAATTCCTGACTTGTTTGAATGGGATCACGGAATAGCTCTGCATGCACTGAAGGGGAATGGGGCCTCATCTCGCCTCTAGGGGGAAGTCTCATGGTTTTTCTCGAGTTGCGGCGGGGACCTGGGGTATGTTCTCGACTTACGGCGGGGATGGCCCTTCAAAACACGAGTTTCTTCACTGACGTCAGGACTCCTGTCTAGTAACGAGGGACACCTCAGGAATCTCTTCGAGGCTTGGCAGAGCAAAAGGCAAGCTTCTCGAGGTGAGGCAGGGCACCCAAGGACCATTTCCCGTAGCCACAGGGATTTTGGGATTCCTATCAGTATTCAAGAGGAGTCAGGCATCGTCACCTTTTGGAGCAATGAACTCCGCTTGACTCTCGAGGTGTCAGCGGGATGTGAGGCATTCCGTAAAAATGAGGCAGGGACCTAGGGCTTTCTCTGAGGTCTCCACAGGGGATTCAGACATCCCTTCATGTTGTGAGATGAAAGACGAGCCTGTATTCAAGACACTGTAATGAAATCCGGCCTGCTTTCAAGTTACGGCTTCTCGCTGTATATTCCCCTTGAGGCAGCAAACTCGGTGTCCCTGCCACATAGCTATTGCTGAGAGAAGCCTCCTCCTGAGGTGCTTCTGGAAAGTTTGCATACGTCTTGAGCCTAAGCCAGGGAATCAGCTCTCATCTCGAGACGATTTGGGGTACACGGAGCATTCCTCGAGTTGCTGTGCTGAAGTTGGTGTTCCTCTAGACTTGAGACAGTGTTCTCGGGGCATGTCTGGAGTTGCCTGAAGGAAGTCGAGCCACCGGTCGTGTTGAATGGGGAATGGGGAATGGCTCTGGAGTCAATGCAGGAGAATCGGGCCTCATCTCGAGTTGATTTGGGATACATGGAGCTGCTTTGCGTTGCTGGGGTGACCTCAGGGTCCGTCTAGACTGGTGACAGTGTTCTTGGGGACTGTCTCGATATCCATTAAGCAAGTCGAAGCTCCTGACTTGTTTGAATGGGATCACGGAATAGCTCTGCATTCACTGCAGGGGAATGGGGCCTCACGTCGCCTCTATGGGGAAGTCTTATGGTTTTTCTCGAGTTGCGGCGGGGAGCTGGGGTATGTTCTCGACTTTCGGCGGGGATGGCCCTTCAAAACACGAGTTTCTTCAGTGACGTCAGGACTCCTGTCTAGTAACGAGGGACACCTCAGGAATCTCTTCGAGGCTTGGCAGGGCAAAAGGGACGCTTCTCGATGTGAGGCTGGGCACCCAAGGACCCTTTGCAGTAGCCACAGGGATTTTGGGATTCCTATCAGTATTCAAGAGGAGTCAGGCATCGTCACCTCTTGAAGCAATGAACTCCGCGTGCCTCTCGAGGTGTCAGCGGGATGTGAGGCATTCCGTCAAAATGAGGCAGGGACCTAGGGCTTTCTTAAGGTCTCCACAGGGGATTCAGACATCGCTTCATGTTGTTAGATGAAAGACGAGCCTGTATTCAAGCCACTGCAAGGAAATCCGGCCTCCTTTAAAGTTCGTTCCTCTCACTGTATATTCCCCTTGAGGCAGCAAACTCGGGGTCCCTCCCACATACCTATTGCTGAGAGAAGCCTCCTCCTGAGGTGCTTCTGGAAAGTTGCCATACGTCTTGAGCCTAAGCCAGGGAATGAGCTCTCATCTCGAGATGATTTGTGGTACACGGAGCATTCCTCGAGTTGCTGTGCTGAAGTTGGTGTTCCTCTAGACTTGGGACAGTGTTCTCGGGGCATCTCTGGAGTTGCCTGAAGGAAGTCGAGCCACCGGTCGTGTTGAATGGGGAACGGGGAATGGCTCTGGAGTCAATGCAGGGGAATCGGGCCTCATCTCGAGTTGATTTGAGGCACATGGACCTGCTTTGCGTTGCTGGGGTGACCTCAGGGTCCGTCTAGACTGGTGACAGTGATCTTGGGGACTGTCTCGAGATCCATTAAGCAAGTCGAAGCTCCTGACTTGTTTGAATGGGATCACGGAATAGCTCTGCATGTACTGCAGTGGAATGGGGCCTCATGTCGCCTCTAGTGGGAAGTCTCATGGTTTTTCTCGAGATGCGGCGGGGACCTGGGGTATGTTCTCGACTTAAGGCGGGGATGGCCCTTCAAAACACGAGTTTCTTCAGTGACGTCAGGACTCCTGTCTAGTAACGAGGGACACATCAGGAATCACTTCGAGGCTTGGCAGGGCAAAAGGGACGCTTCTCGAGGTGAGGCAGGGCACCCAAGGTCCCTTTCCAGTAGCCACAGGGATTTTGGGATTCCTATCAGTATTCAAGAGGAGTCAGGCATCGTCACCTTTTGAAGCAATGAACTCCGCGTGCCTCTCGTGGTGTCAGCGGGATGTGAGGCATTCCGTCAAAATGAGGCAGGGACCTAGGGCTTTCTATGAGGTCTCCACAGGGGATTCAGACATCCCTTCATGTTGTGAGATGAAAGACGAGCCTGTATTCAAGCCACTGCAAGGAAATCCGGCCTCCTTTCAAGTTAGGGCTTCTCAATGTATATTCCCCTTGAGGAAGCAAACTCGGGGTCCCTCCCACATACCTATTGCTGAGAGAAGCCTCCTCCTGAGGTGCTTCTGGAAAGTTGGCATACGTCTTGAGCCTAAGCCAGGGAATCAGCTCTCATCTTGAGACAATTTGGGGTACACGGAGCATTCCTCGAGTTGCTGTGCTGAAGTTGGTGTTCCTCTATACTTGGGACAGTGTTCTCGGGGCATCTCTGGAGTTGCGTGAAGGAAGTCGAGCCACCGGTCTTGTTGAATGGGGAACAGGGAATGGCTCTGGTGTCAATGCAGGGGAATCGGGCTTCATCTCGAGTTGATTTGGGGCACATGGAGCTGCTTTGCGCTGCTGGTGTGACCTCAGGGTCCGTCTAGACTGGTGACAGTGTTCCTGGGGACTGTCTCGAGATCCATTAAGCAAGTCGAATCTCCTGACTTGTTTGAATGGGATCACGGAATAGCTCTGCATGCACTGCAGGGGAATGGGGCCTCATGTCTCCTCTAGGGGGAAGTCTCATGGTTTTTCTCGAGTTGCGGCGGGGACCTGGGGTATGTTCTCGACTTAGGCGGGGATGGCCCTTCAAAACACGAGTTTCTTCAGTGACGTCAGGACTCCTGTCTAGTAACGAGGGACACCTCAGGAATCTCTTCGAGGCTTGGCAGGGCAAAAAGGACGCTTCTCGAGGTGAGGCAGGGCACCCAAGGACCCTTTCCAGTAGCCACAGGGATTTTGGAATTCCTATCAGTATTCAAGAGGAGTCAGGCATCGTCACCTTTTGAAGCAATGAACTCCGCGTGCCTCTCGAGGTGTCAGCGGGATGTGAGGCATTCCGTCAAAATGAGGCAGGGATCTAGGGCTTTCTTAAGGTCTCCACAGGGGATTCAGACATCCCTTCATGTTGTGAGATGAAAGACGAGCCTGTATTCAAGCCACTGCAAGGAAATCAAGCCTCCTTTCAAGTTAGGGCCTCTCGCTTTACATTACCCTTGAGGCAGCAAACTCGGGGTCCCTCCCACATACCTATTGCTTAGAGAAGCCTCCTCCTGAGGTGCTTCTGGAAAGTTGGCATACGTCTTCAGCCTAAGCCAGGGAATCAGCTCTCATCTCGAGACGATTTGGGGTACACGGAGCATTCCTCGAGTTGCTGTGCTGAAGTTGGTGTTCCTCTAGACTTGGGACAGTGTTCTCGGGGTATCTCTGGAGTTGCCTGAAGGAAGTCGAGCCACCGGTCGTGTTGAATGGGGAACGGGGAATGGCTCTGGAGTCAATGCAGGGGAATCGGGCCTCATCTCGAGTTGATTTGAGGCACATGGACCTGCTTTGCGTTGCTGGGTTGACCTCAGGGTCCGTCTAGACTGGTGACAGTGTTCTTGGGGACTGTCTCGAGATCCATTAAGCAAGTCGAAGCTCCTGACTTGTTTGAATGGGATCACGGAATAGCTCTGCATTCACTGCAGGGGAATGGGGCCTCACCACGCCTCTAGGGGGAAGTCTTATGGTTTTTCTCGAGTTGCGGCGGGGAGCTGGGGTATGTTCTCGACTTTCGGCGGGGATAGCCCTTCAAAACACGAGTTTCTTCAGTGACGTCAGGACTCCTGTCTAGTAACGAGGGACACCTCAGGAATCTCTTCGAGGCTTGGCCGGGCAAAAGGGACGCTTCTCGATGTGAGGCTGGGCACCCAAGGACCCTTTGCAGTAGCCACAGGGATTTTGGGATTCCTATCAGTATTCAAGAGGAGTCAGGCATCGTCACCTTTTGAAGCAATGAACTCCGCGTGCCTCTCGAGGTGTCAGCGGGATGTGAGGCATTCCGTCAAAATGAGGCAGGGACCTAGGGCTTTCTTAAGGTCTCCACAGGGGATTCAGACATCGCTTCATGTTGTTAGATGAAAGACGAGCCTGTATTCAAGCCACTGCAAGGAAATCCGGCCTCCTTTCAAGTTCGGGCCTCTCACTGTATATTCCCCTTGAGGCAGCAAACTCGGGCTCCCTCCCACATACCTATTGCTGAGAGAAGCCTCCTCCTGAGGTGCTTCTGGAAAGTTGCCATACGTCTTGAGCCTAAGCCAGGGAATGAGCTCTCATCTCGAGATGATTTGGGGTACACGGAGCATTCCTCGAGTTGCTGTGCTGAAGTTGGTGTTCCTCTAGACTTGGGACAGTGTTCTCGGGGCATCTCTGGAGTTGCCTGAAGGAAGTCGAGCCACCGGTCGTGTTGAATGGGTAACGGGGAATGGCTCTGGAGTCAATGCAGGGGAATCGGGCCTCATCTCGAGTTGATTTGGGGCACATGGACCTGCTTTGCGTTGCTGGGGTGACCTCAGGGTCCGTCTAGACTGGTGACAGTGTTCTTGGGGACTGTCTCGAGATCCATTAAGCAAGTCGAAGCTCCTGACTTGTTTGAATGGGATCACGGAATAGCTCTGCATGTACTGCAGTGGAATGGGGCCTCATGTCGCCTCTAGTGGGAAGTCTCATGGTTTTTCTCGAGATGCGGCGGGGACCTGGGGTATGTTCTCGACTTACGGCGGGGATGGCCCTTCAAAACACGAGTTTCTTCAGTGACGTCAGGACTCCGGTCTAGTAACGAGGGACACCTCAGGAATCTCTTCGAGGCTTGGCAGGGCAAAAGGGACGCTTCTCGAGGTGAGGCAGGGCACCCAAGGACCCTTTCCAGTAGCCACAGGGATTTTGGGATTCCTATCAGTATTCAAGAGGAGTCAGGCATCGTCACCTTTTGAAGCAATGAACTCCGCCTGCCTCTCGAGGTGTCAGCGGGATGTGAGGCATTCCGTCAAAATGAGGCAGGGACCTAGGGCTTTTTATGAGGTCTCCACAGGGGATTCAGACATCCCTTCATGTTGTGAGATGAAAGACGAGCCTGTATTCAAGACACTGTAAGGAAATCCGGCCTCCTTTCAAGTTAGGGCTTCTCGCTGTATATTCCCCTTGAGGCAGCAAACTCGGGGTCCCTGCCACACACCTATTGCTGAGAGAAGCCTCCTCCTGAGGTGCTTCTGGAAAGTTGGCATACGTCTTGAGCCTAAGCCAGGGAATCAGCTCTCATCTCGAGACGATTTGGGGTACACGGAGCATTCCTCGAGTTGCTGTGCTGAAGTTGGTGTTCCTCTAGACTTGGGACAGTGTTCTCGGGGCATCTCTGGAGTTGCCTGAAGGAAGTCGAGCAACCGGTCGTGTTGAATGGGGAACGGGGAATGGCTCTGGAGTCAATGCAGGAGAATCGGGCCTCATCTCGAGTTGATTTGGGATACATGGAGCTGCTTTGCGTTGCTGGGGTGACCTCAGGGTCCGTCTAGACTGGTGACAGTGTTCTTGGGGACTGTCTCGAGATCCATTAAGCAAGTCGAAGCTCCTGACTTGTTTGAATGGGATCACGGAATAGCTCTGCATTCACTGCAGGGGAATGGGGCCTCACCTCGCCTCTAGGGGGAAGTCTTATCGTTTTTCTCGAGTTGCGGCGGGGAGCTGGGGTATGTTCTCGACTTTCGGCGGGGATGGCCCTTCAAAACACGAGTTTCTTCAGTGACGTCAGGACTCCTGTCTAGTAACGAGGGACACCTCAGGAATCTCTTCGAGGCTTGGCCGGGCAAAAGGGACGCTTCTCGAGGTGAGGCAGGGCACCCAAGGACCCTTTGCAGTAGCCACAGGGATTTTGGGATTCCTATCAGTATTCAAGAGGAGTCAGGCATCGTCACCTTTTGAAGCAATGAACTCCGCGTGCCTCTCGAGGTGTCAGCGGGATGTGAGGCATTCCGTCAAAATGAGGCAGGGACCTAGGGCTTTCTCTGAGGTCTCCACAGGGGATTCAGACATCCCTTCATGTTGTGAGATGAAAGACGAGCCTGTATTCAAGCCACTGCAAGGAAATCCGGCCTCCTTTCAAGTTAGGGCTTCTCGATGTATATTCCCCTTGAGGCAGCAAACTCGGGGTCCCTCCCACATACCTATTGCTGAGAGAAGCCTCCTCCTGAGGTGCTTCTGGAAAGTTGGCATACGTCTTGAGCCTAAGCCAGGGAATCAGCTCTCATCTCGAGACGATTTGGGGTACACGGAGCATTCCTCGAGTTGCTGTGCTGATGTTGGTGTTCCTCTAGACTTGGGACAGTGTTCTCGGGGCATCTCTGGAGTTGCCTGAAGGAAGTCGAGCCACCGGTCGTGTTGAATGGGGAACGGGGAATGGCTCTGGAGTCAATGCAGGGGAATCGGGCCTCATCTCGAGTTGATTTGGGACACATGGAGCTGCTTTGCGTTGCTGGGGTGACCTCAGGGTCCGTCTAGACTGGTGACAGTGTTCTTGGGGACTGTCTCGAGATCCATTAAGCAAGTCGAACTCCTGACTTGTTTGAATGGGATCACGGAATAGCTCTGCATGCACTGCAGGGGAATGGGGCCTCATCTCGCCTCTAGGGGGAAGTGTCATGGTTTTTCTCGAGTTGCGGCGGGGACCTGGGGTATGTTCTCGACTTACGGCGGGGATGGCCCTTCAAAACACGAGTTTCTTCAGTGACGTCAGGACTCCTGTCTAGTAACGAGGGACACCTCAGGAATCTCTTCGAGGCTTGGCAGGGCAAAAGGGACGCTCTCGAGGTGAGGCAGGGCACCCAAGGACCCTTTCCAGTAGCCACAGGGATTTTGGGATTCCTATCAGTATTCAAGAGGAGTCAGGCATCGTCACCTTTTGAAGCAATGAACTCCGCGTGCCTCTCGAGGTGTCAGCGGGATGTGAGGCATTCGGTTAAAATGAGGCAGGGACCTAGGGCTTTCTCTAAGGTCTCCACAGGGGATTCAGACATCCCTTCATGTCGTGAGATGAAAGACGAGTCTGTATTCAAGCCACTGCAAGGAAATCCGGCCTCCTTTCAAGTTAGGGCCTCTCGCTGTATATTCCCTTTGAGGCAGCAAACTCGGGATCCCTCCCTCATACCTATTGCTGAGAGAAGCCTCCTCCTGAGGTTCTTCTGGAAAGTTGGCATACGTCTTGAGCCTAAGCCAGGGAATCAGCTTTCATCTCGAGACGATTTGGGGTACACGGAGCATTCCTCGAGTTGCTGTGCTGATGTTGGTGTTCCTCTAGACTTGGGACAGTGTTCTCGGGGCATCTCTGGAGTTGCCTGAAGGAAGTCGAGCCACCGGTCGTGTTGAATGGGGAACGGGGAATGGCTCTGGAGTCAATGCAGGGGAATCGGGCCTCATCTCGAGTTGATTTGGGACACATGGAGCTGCTTTGCGTTGCTGGGGTGACCTCAGGGTCCGTCTAGACTGGTGACAGTGTTCTTGGGGACTGTCTCGAGATCCATTAAGCAAGTCGAAGCTCCTGACTTGTTTGAATGGGATCACGGAATAGCTCTGCATTCACTGCAGGGGAATGGGGCCTCACCTCGCCTCTAGGGGGAAGTCTTATCGTTTTTCTCGAGTTGCGGCGGGGAGCTGGGGTATGTTCTCGACTTTCGGCGGGGATGGCCCTTCAAAACACGAGTTTCTTCAGTGACGTCAGGACTCCTGTCTAGTAACGAGGGACACCTCAGGAATCTCTTCGAGGCTTGGCCGGGCAAAAGGGACGCTTCTCGAGGTGAGGCTGGGCACCCAAGGACCCTTTGCAGTAGCCACAGGGATTTTGGGATTCCTATCAGTATTCAAGAGGAGTCAGGCATCGTCACCTTTTGAAGCAATGAACTCCGCGTGCCTCTCGAGGTGTCAGCGGGATGTGAGGCATTCCGTCAAAATGAGGCAGGGACCTAGGGCTTTCTTAAGGTCTCCACAGGGGATTCAGACATCGCTTCATGTTGTTAGATCAAAGACGAGCCTGTATTCAAGCCACTGCAAGGAAATCCGGCCTCCTTTCAAGTTCGGGCCTCTCACTGTATATTCCCCTTGAGGCAGCAAACTCGGGCTCCCTCCCACATACCTATTGCTGAGAGAAGCCTCCTCCTGAGGTGCTTCTGGAAAGTTGCCATACGTCTTGAGCCTAAGCCAGGGAATGAGCTCTCATCTCGAGATGATTTGTGGTACACGGAGCATTCCTCGAGTTGCTGTGCTGAAGTTGGTGTTCCTCTAGACTTGGGACAGTGTTCTCGGGGCATCTCTGGAGTTGCCTGAAGGAAGACGAGCCACCGGTCGTGTTGAATGGGGAACGGGGAATGGCTCTGGAGTCAATGCAGGGGAATCGGGCCTCATCTCGAGTTGATTTGGGGCACATGGACCTGCTTTGCGTTGCTGGGGTGAACTCAGGGTCCGTCTAGACTGGTGACAGTGTTCTTGGGGACTGTCTCGAGATCCATTAAGCAAGTCGAAGCTCCTGACTTGTTTGAATGGGATCACGGAATAGCTCTGCATGTACTGCAGTGGAATGGGGCCTCATGTCGCCTCTAGTGGGAAGTCTCATGGTTTTTCTCGAGATGCGGCGGGGACCTGGGGTATGTTCTCGACTTACGGCGGGGATGGCCCTTCAAAACACGAGTTTCTTCAGTGACGTCAGGACTCCTGTCTAGTAACGAGGGACACCTCAGGAATCTCTTCGAGGCTTGGCAGGGCAAAAGGGACGCTTCTCGAGGTGAGGCAGGGCACCGAAGGACCCTTTCCAGTAGCCACAGGGATTTTGGGATTCCTATCAGTATTCAAGAGGAGTCAGGCATCGTCACCTTTTGAAGCAATGAACTCCGCGTGCCTCTCGAGGTGTCAGCGGGATGTGAGGCATTCCGTCAAAATGAGGCAGGGACCTAGGGCTTTCTCTGAGGTCTCCACAGGGGATTCAGACATCCCTTCATGTTGTGAGATGAAAGACGAGCCTGTATTCAAGCCACTGCAAGGAAATCCGGCCTCCTTTCAAGTTAGGGCTTCTCGATGTATATTCCCCTTGAGGCAGCAAACTCGGGGTCCCTCCCACATACCTATTGCTGAGAGAAGCCTCCTCCTGAGGTGCTTCTGGAAAGTTGGCATACGTCTTGAGCCTAAGCCAGGGAATCAGCTCTCATCTCGAGACGATTTGGGGTACACGGAGCATTCCTCGAGTTGCTGTGCTGATGTTGGTGTTCCTCTAGACTTGGGACAGTGTTCTCGGGGCATCTCTGGAGTTGCCTGAAGGAAGTCGAGCCACCGGTCGTGTTGAATGGGGAACGGGGAATGGCTCTGGAGTCAATGCAGGGGAATCGGGCCTCATCTCGAGTTGATTTGGGACACATGGAGCTGCTTTGCGTTGCTGGGGTGACCTCAGGGTCCGTCTAGACTGGTGACAGTGTTCTTGGGGACTGTCTCGAGATCCATTAAGCAAGTCGAACTCCTGACTTGTTTGAATGGGATCACGGAATAGCTCTGCATGCACTGCAGGGGAATGGGGCCTCATCTCGCCTCTAGGGGGAAGTGTCATGGTTTTTCTCGAGTTGCGGCGGGGACCTGCGGTATGTTCTCGACTTACGGCGGGGATGGCCCTTCAAAACACGAGTTTCTTCAGTGATGTCAGGACTCCTGTCTAGTAACGAGGGACACCTCAGGAATCTCTTCGAGGCTTGGCAGGGCAAAAGGGACGCTCTCGAGGTGAGGCAGGGCACCCAAGGACCCTTTCCAGTAGCCACAGGGATTTTGGGATTCCTATCAGTATTCAAGAGGAGTCAGGCATCGTCACCTTTTGAAGCAATGAACTCCGCGTGCCTCTCGAGGTGTCAGCGGGATGTGAGGCATTCGGTTAAAATGAGGCAGGGACCTAGGGCTTTCTCTAAGGTCTCCACAGGGGATTCAGACATCCCTTCATGTCGTGAGATGAAAGATGAGCCTGTATTCAAGCCACTGCAAGGAAATCCGGCCTCCTTTCAAGTTAGGGCCTCTCTCTGTATATTCCCCTTGAGGCAGCAAACTCGGGGTCCCTCCCTCATACCTATTGCTGAGAGAAGCCTCCTCCTGAGGTTCTTCTGGAAAGTTGGCATACGTCTTGAGCCTAAGCCAGGGAATCAGCTCTCATCTCGAGACGATTTGGGGTATACGGAGCATTCCTCGAGTTGCTGTGCTGATGTTGGTGTTCCTCTAGACTTGGGACAGTGTTCTCGGGGCATCTCTGGAGTTGCCTGAAGGAAGTCGAGCCACCGGTCGTGTTGAATGGGGAACGGGGAATGGCTCTGGAGTCAATGCAGGGGAATCGGGCCTCATCTCGAGTTGATTTGGGACACATGGAGCTGCTTTGCGTTGCTGGGGTGACCTCAGGGTCCGTCTAGACTGGTGACAGTGTTCTTGGGGACTGTCTCGAGATCCATTAAGCAAGTCGAACTCCTGACTTGTTTGAATGGGATCACGGAATAGCTCTGCATGCACTGCAGGGGAATGGGGCCTCATCTCGCCTCTAGGGGGAAGTGTCATGGTTTTTCTCGAGTTGCGGCGGGGACCTGCGGTATGTTCTCGACTTACGGCGGGGATGGCCCTTCAAAACACGAGTTTCTTCAGTGATGTCAGGACTCCTGTCTAGTAACGAGGGACACCTCAGGAATCTCTTCGAGGCTTGGCAGGGCAAAAGGGACGCTCTCGAGGTGAGGCAGGGCACCCAAGGACCCTTTCCAGTAGCCACAGGGATTTTGGGATTCCTATCAGTATTCAAGAGGAGTCAGGCATCGTCACCTTTTGAAGCAATGAACTCGGCGTGCCTCTCGAGGTGTCAGCGGGATGTGAGGCATTCGGTTAAAATGAGGCAGGGACCTAGGGCTTTCTCTAAGGTCTCCACAGGGGATTCAGACATCCCTTCATGTCGTGAGATGAAAGACGAGCCTGTATTCAAGCCACTGCAAGGAAATCCGGCCTCCTTTCAAGTTAGGGCCTCTCGCTGTATATTCCCCTTGAGGCAGCAAACTCGGGATCCCTCCCTCATACCTATTGCTGAGAGAAGCCTCCTCCTGAGGTTCTTCTGGAAAGTTGCCATACGTCTTGAGCCTAAGCCAGGGAATCAGCTCTCATCTCGAGACGATTTGGGGTACACGGAGCATTCCTCGAGTTGCTGTGCTGATGTTGGTGTTCCTCTAGACTTGGGACAGTGTTCTCGGGGCATCTCTGGAGTTGCCTGAAGGAAGTCGAGCCACCGGTCGTGTTGAATGGGGAACGGGGAATGGCTCTGGAGTCAATGCAGGGGAATCGGGCCTCATCTCGAGTTGATTTGGGGCACATGGAGCTGCTTTGCGTTGCTGGGGTGACCTCAGGGTCCGTCTAGACTGGTGACAGTGTTCTTGGGGACTGTCTCGAGATCCATTAAGCAAGTCGAACTCCTGACTTGTTTGAATGGGATCACGGAATAGCTCTGCATGCACTGCAGGGGAATGGGGCCTCATGTCACCTCTAGGGGGAAGTCTCATGGTTTTTCTCGAGTTGCGGCTGGGACCTGGGCTATGTTCTCGACTTACGGCGGGGATGGCCCTTCAAAACACGAGTTTCTTCAGTGACGTCAGGACTCCTGTCTAGTAACGAGGGACACCTCAGGAATCTCTTCGAGGCTTGGCAGGGCAAAAGGGAAGCTTCTCGAGGTGAGGCAGGGCACCCAAGGACCCTTTCCCGTAGCCACAGGGATTTGGGATTCCTATCAGTATTCAAGAGGAGTCAGGCATCGTCACCTTTTGAAGCAATGAACTCCGCGTGCCTCTCGATGTGTCAGCGGGACGTGAGGCATTCCGTCAAAATGAGGCAGGGACCTAGGGCTTTCTATGAGGTCTCCACAGGGGATTCAGACATCCCTTCATGTTGTGAGATGAAAGACGAGCCTGTATTCAAGCCACTGTAAGGAAATCCGGCCTCCTTTCAAGTTAGGGCTTCACGCTGTATATTCCCCTTGAGGCAGCAAACTCGGGGTCCCTCCCACATACCTCTTGCTGAGAGAAGCCTCCTCCTGAGGTGCTTCTGGAAAGTTGGCATACGTCTTGTGCCTAAGCCAGGGAATCAGCTCACATCTCGAGACGATTTGGGGTACACGGAGCATTCCTCGAGTTGCTGTGCTGAAGTTGGTGTTCCTCTAGACTTGGGACAGTGTTCTCGGGGCATCTCTGAAGTTGCCTGAAGGAAGTCGAGCCACCGGTCGTGTTGAATGGGGAAAAGGGAATGGCTCTGGAGTCAATGCAGGGGAATCGGGCCTCATCTCGAGTTGATTTGGGGCACATGGAGCTGCTTTCCGTTGCTGGGGTGACCTCAGGGTCCGTCTAGACTGGTGACAGTGTTCTTGGGGACTGTCTCGAGATCCATTAAGCAAGTCGAAATTCCTGACTTGTTTGAATGGGATCACGGAATAGCTCTGCATGCACTGAAGGGGAATTGGGCCTCATCTCGCCTCTAGGGGGAAGTCTCATGGTTTTTCTCGAGTTGCGGCGGGGACCTGGGGTATGTTCTCGACTTACGGCGGGGATGGCCCTTCAAAACACGAGTTTCTTCACTGACGTCAGGACTCCTGTCTAGTAACGAGGGACACCTCAGGAATCTCTTCGAGGCTTGGCAGAGCAAAAGGCAAGCTTCTCGAGGTGAGGCAGGGCACCCAAGGACCATTTCCCGTAGCCACAGGGATTTTGGGATTCCTATCAGTATTCAAGAGGAGTCAGGCATCGTCACCTTTTGGAGCAATGAACTCCGCTTGACTCTCGAGGTGTCAGCGGGATGTGAGGCATTCTGTAAAAATGAGGCAGGGACCTAGGGCTTTCTCTGAGGTCTCCACAGGGGATTCAGACATCCCTTCATGTTGTGAGATGAAAGACGAGCCTGTATTCAAGACACTGTAATGAAATCCGGCCTGCTTTCAAGTTACGGCTTCTCGCTGTATATTCCCCTTGAGGCAGCAAACTCGGTGTCCCTGCCACATACCTATTGCTGAGAGAAGCCTCCTCCTGAGGTGCTTCTGGAAAGTTTGCATACGTCTTGAGCTTAAGCCAGGGAATCAGCTCTCATCTCGAGACGATTTGGGGTACACGGAGCATTCCTTGAGTTGCTGTGCTGAAGTTGGTGTTCCTCTAGACTTGAGACAGTGTTCTCGGGGCATGTCTGGAGTTGCCTGAAGGAAGTCGAGCCACCGGTCGTGTTGAATGGGGAATGGGGAATGGCTCTGGAGTCAATGCAGGAGAATCGGGCCTCATCTCGAGTTGATTTGGGATACATGGAGCTGCTTTGCGTTGCTGGGGTGACCTCAGGGTCCGTCTAGACTGGTGACAGTGTTCTTGGGGACTGTCTCGATATCCATTAAGCAAGTCGAAGCTCCTGACTTGTTTGAATGGGATCACGGAATAGCTCTGCATTCACTGCAGGGGAATGGGGCCTCACGTCGCCTCTAGGGGGAAGTCTTATGGTTTTTCTCGAGTTGCGGCGGGGAGCTGGGGTATGTTCTCGACTTTCGGCGGGGATGGCCCTTCAAAACACGAGTTTCTTCAGTGACGTCAGGACTCCTGTCTAGTAACGAGGGACACCTCAGGAATCTCTTCGAGGCTTGGCAGGGCAAAAGGGACGCTTCTCGATGTGAGGCTGGGCACCCAAGGACCCTTTGCAGTAGCCACAGGGATTTTGGGATTCCTATCAGTATTCAAGAGGAGTCAGGCATCGTCACCTTTTGAAGCAATGAACTCCGCGTTCCTCTCGAGGTGTCAGCGGGATGTGAGGCATTCCGTCAAAATGAGGCAGGGACCTAGGGCTTTCTTAAGGTCTCCACAGGGGATTCAGACATCGCTTCATGTTGTTAGATGAAAGACGAGCCTGTATTCAAGCCACTGCAAGGAAATCCGGCCTCCTTTGAAGTTCGTTCCTCTCACTGTATATTCCCCTTGAGGCAGCAAACTCCGGGTCCCTCCCACATACCTATTGCTGAGAGAAGCCTCCTCCTGAGGTGCTTCTGGAAAGTTGCCATACGTCTTGAGCCTAAGCCCGGGAATGAGCTCTCATCTCGAGATGATTTGTGGTACACGGAGCATTCCTCGAGTTGCTGTGCTGAAGTTGGTGTTCCTCTAGACTTGGGACAGTGTTCTCGGGGCATCTCTGGAGTTGCCTGAAGGAAGTCGAGCCACCGGTCGTGTTGAATGGGGAACGGGGAATGGCTCTGGAGTCAATGCAGGAGAATCGGGCCTCATCTCGAGTTGATTTGAGGCACATGGACCTGCTTTGCGTTGCTGGGGTGACCTCAGGGTCCGTCTAGACTGGTGACAGTGATCTTGGGGACTGTCTCGAGATCCATTAAGCAAGTCGAAGCTCCTGACTTGTTTGAATGGGATCACGGAATAGCTCTGCATGTACTGCAGTGGAATGGGGCCTCATGTCGCCTCTAGTGGGAAGTCTCATGGTTTTTCTCGAGATGCGGCGGGGACCTGGTGTATGTTCTCGACTTAAGGCGGGGATGGCCCTTCAAAACACGAGTTTCTTCAGTGACGTCAGGACTCCTGTTTAGTAACGAGGGACACATCAGGAATCTCTTCGAGGCTTGGCAGGGCAAAAGGGACGCTTCTCGAGGTGAGGCAGGGCACCCAAGGTCCCTTTCCAGTAGCCACAGGGATTTTGGGATTCCTATCAGTATTCAAGAGGAGTCAGGCATCGTCACCTTTTGAAGCAATGAACTCCGCGTGCCTCTCGTGGTGTCAGCGGGATGTGAGGTATTCCGTCAAAATGAGGCAGGGACCTAGGGCTTTCTATGAGGTCTCCACAGGGGATTCAGACATCCCTTCATGTTGTGAGATGAAAGACGAGCCTGTATTCAAGCCACTGCAAGGAAATCCGGCCTCCTTTCAAGTTAGGGCTTCTCGATGTATATTCCCCTTGAGGCAGCAAACTCGGGGTCCCTCCCACATACCTATTGCTGAGAGAAGCCTCCTCCTGAGGTGCTTCTGGAAAGTTGGCATACGTCTTGAGCCTAAGCCAGGGAATCAGCTCTCATCTTGAGACAATTTGGGGTACACGGAGCATTCCTCGAGTTGCTGTGCTGAAGTTGGTGTTCCTCTATACTTGGGACAGTGTTCTCGGGGCATCTCTGGAGTTGCGTGAAGGAAGTCGAGCCACCGGTCTTGTTGAATGGGGAACAGGGAATGGCTCTGGTGTCAATGCAGGGGAATCGGGCTTCATCTCGAGTTGATTTGGGGCACATGGAGCTGCTTTGCGCTGCTGGGGTGACCTCAGGGTCCGTCTAGACTGGTGACAGTGTTCCTGGGGACTGTCTCGAGATCCATTAAGCAAGTCGAATCTCCTGACTTGTTTGAATGGGATCACGGAATAGCTCTGCATGCACTGCAGGGGAATGGGGCCTCATGTCGCCTCTAGGGGGAAGTCTCATGGTTTTTCTCGAGTTGCGGCGGGGACCTGGGGTATGTTCTCGACTTACGGCGGGGATGGCCCTTCAAAACACGAGTTTCTTCAGTGACGTCAGGACTCCTGTCTAGTAACGAGGGACACCTCAGGAATCTCTTCGAGGCTTGGCAGGGCAAAAAGGACGCTTCTCGAGGTGAGGCAGGGCACCCAAGGACCCTTTCCCGTAGCCACAGGGATTTTGGAATTCCTATCAGTATTCAAGAGGAGTCAGGCATCGTCACCTTTTGAAGCAATGAACTCCGCGTGCCTCTCGAGGTGTCAGCGGGATGTGAGGCATTCCGTCAAAATGAGGCAGGGATCTAGGGCTTTCTTAAGGTCTCCACAGGGGATTCAGACATCCCTTCATGTTGTGAGATGAAAGACGAGCCTGTATTCAAGCCACTGCAAGGAAATCAAGCCTCCTTTCAAGTTAGGGCCTCTCGCTTTACATTACCCTTGAGGCAGCAAACTCGGGGTCCCTCCCACATACCTATTGCTTAGAGAAGCCTCCTCCTGAGGTGCTTCTGGAAAGTTGGCATACGTCTTCAGCCTAAGCCAGGGAATCAGCTCTCATCTCGAGACGATTTGGGGTACACGGAGCATTCCTCGAGTTGCTGTGCTGAAGTTGGTGTTCCTCTAGACTTGGGACAGTGTTCTCGGGGTATCTCTGGAGTTGCCTGAAGGAAGTCGAGCCACCGGTCGTGTTGAATGGGGAACGGGGAATGGCTCTGGAGTCAATGCAGGGGAATCGGGCCTCATCTCGAGTTGATTTGGGGCACATGGACCTGCTTTGCGTTGCTAGGGTGACCTCAGGGTCCGTCTAGACTGGTGACAGTGTTCTTGGGGACTGTCTCGAGATCCATTAAGCAAGTCGAAGCTCCTGACATGTTTGAATGGGATCACGGAATAGCTCTGCATTCACTGCAGGGGAATGGGGCCTCACCACGCCTCTAGGGGGAAGTCTTATGGTTTTTCTCGAGTTGCGGCGGGGAGCTGGGGTATGTTCTCGACTTTCGGCGGGGATGGCCCTTCAAAACACGAGTTTCTTCAGTGACGTCAGGACTCCTGTCTAGTAACGAGGGACACCTCAGGAATCTCTTCGAGGCTTGACCGGGCAAAAGGGATGCTTCTCGATGTGAGGCTGGGCACCCAAGGACCCTTTGCAGTAGCCACAGGGATTTTGGGATTCCTATCAGTATTCAAGAGGAGTCAGGCATCGTCACCTTTTGAAGCAATGAACTCCGCGTGCCTCTCGAGGTGTCAGCGGGATGTGAGGCATTCCGTCAAAATGAGGCAGGGACCTAGGGCTTTCTTAAGGTCTCCACAGGGGATTCAGACATCGCTTCATGTTGTTAGATGAAAGACGAGCCTGTATTCAAGCCACTGCAAGGAAATCCGGCCTCCTTTCAAGTTCGGGCCTCTCACTGTATATTCCCCTTGAGGCAGCAAACTCGGGCTCCCTCCCACATACCTATTGCTGAGAGAAGCCTCCTCCTGAGGTGCTTCTGGAAAGTTGGCATACGTCTTGAGCCTAAGCCAGGGAATGAGCTCTCATCTCGAGATGATTTGGGGTACACGGAGCATTCCTCGAGTTGCTGTGCTGAAGTTGGTGTTCCTCTAGACTTGGGACAGTGTTCTCGGGGCATCTCTGGAGTTGCCTGAAGGAAGTCGAGCCACCGGTCGTGTTGAATGGGGAACGGGGAATGGCTCTGGAGTCAATGCAGGGGAATCGGGCCTCATCTCGAGTTGATTTGGGGCACATGGACCTGCTTTGCGTTGCTGGGGTGACCTCAGGGTCCGTCTAGACTGGTGACAGTGTTCTTGGGGACTGTCTCGAGATCCATTAAGCAAGTCGAAGCTCCTGACTTGTTTGAATGGGATCACGGAATAGCTCTGCATGTACTGCAGTGGAATGGGGCCTCATGTCGCCTCTAGTGGGAAGTCTCATGGTTTTTCTCGAGATGCGGCGGGGACCTGGGGTATGTTCTCGACTTACGGCAGGGATGGCCCTTCAAAACACGAGTTTCTTCAGTGACGTCAGGACTCCGGTCTAGTAACGAGGGACACCTCAGGAATCTCTTCGAGGCTTGGCAGGGCAAAAGGGACGCTTCTCGAGGTGAGGCAGGGCACCCAAGGACCCTTTCCAGTAGCCACAGGGATTTTGGGATTCCTATCAGTATTCAAGAGGAGTCAGGCATCGTCACCTTTTGAAGCAATGAACTCCGCCTGCCTCTCGAGGTGTCAGAGGGATGTGAGGCATTCCGTCAAAATGAGGCAGGGACCTAGGGCTTTTTATGAGGTCTCCACAGGGGATTCAGACATCCCTTCATGTTGTGAGATGAAAGACGAGCCTGTATTCAAGACACTGTAAGGAAATCCGGCCTCCTTTCAAGTTAGGGCTTCTCGCTGTATATTCCCCTTGAGGCAGCAAACTCGGGGTCCCTGCCACACACCTATTGCTGAGAGAAGCCTCCTCCTGAGGTGCTTCTGGAAAGTTGGCATACGTCTTGAGCCTAAGCCAGGGAATCAGCTCTCATCTCGAGACGATTTGGGGTACACGGAGCATTCCTCGAGTTGCTGTGCTGAAGTTGGTGTTCCTCTAGACTTGGGACAGTGTTCTCGGGGCATGTCTGTAGTTGCCTGAAGGAAGTCGAGCAACCGGTCGTGTTGAATGGGGAACGGGGAATGGCTCTGGAGTCAATGCAGGAGAATCGGGCCTCATCTCGAGTTGATTTGGGATACATGGAGCTGCTTTGCGTTGCTGGGGTGACCTCAGGGTCCGTCTAGACTGGTGACAGTGTTCTTGGGGACTGTCTCGAGATCCATTAAGCAAGTCGAAGCTCCTGACTTGTTTGAATGGGATCACGGAATAGCTCTGCATTCACTGCAGGGGAATGGGGCCTCACCTCGCCTCTAGGGGGAAGTCTTATCGTTTTTCTCGAGTTGCGGCGGGGAGCTGGGGTATGTTCTCGACTTTCGGCGGGGATGGCCCTTCAAAACACGAGTTTCTTCAGTGACATCAGGACCCCTGTCTAGTAACGAGGGACACCTCAGGAATCTGTTCGAGGCTTGGCCGGGCAAAAGGGACGCTTCTCGATGTGAGGCTGGGCACCCAAGGAGCCTTTGCAGTAGCCACAGGGATTTTGGGATTCCTATCAGTATTCAAGAGGAGTCAGGCATCGTCACCTTTTGAAGCAATGAACTCCGCGTGCCTCTCGAGGTGTCAGCGGGATGTGAGGCATTCCGTCAAAATGAGGCAGGGACCTAGGGCTTTCTTAAGGTCTCCACAGGGGATTCAGACATCGCTTCATGTTGTGAGATGAAAGACGAGCCTGTATTCAAGCCACTGCAAGGAAATCCGGCCTCCTTTGAAGTTTGTTCCTCTCACTGTATATTCCCCTTGAGGCAGCAAACTCGGGCTCCCTCCCACATACCTATTGCTGAGAGAAGCCTCCTCCTGAGGTGCTTCTGGAAAGTTGCCATACGTCTTGAGCCTAAGCCAGGGAATGAGCTCTCATCTCGAGATGATTTGGGGTACACGGAGCATTCCTCGAGTTGCTGTGCTGAAGTTGGTGTTCCTCTAGACTTGGGACAGTGTTCTCGGGGCATCTCTGGAGTTGCCTGAAGGAAGACGAGCCACCGGTCGTGTTGAATGGGGAACGGGGAATGGCTCTGGAGTCAATGCAGGGGAATCGGGCCTCATCTCGAGTTGATTTGGGGCACATGGACCTGCTTTGCGTTGCTGGGGTGACCTCAGGTTCCGTCTAGACTGGTGACAGTGTTCTTGGGGACTGTCTCGAGATCCATTAAGCAAGTCGAAGCTCCTGACTTGTTTGAATGGGATCACGGAATAGCTCTGCATGTACTGCAGTGGAATGGGGCCTCATGTCGCCTCTAGTGGGAAGTCTCATGGTTTTTCTCGAGATGCGGCGGGGACCTGGGGTATGTTCTCGACTTACGGCGGGGATGGCCCTTCAAAACACGAGTTTCTTCAGTGACGTCAGGACTCCTGTCTAGTAACGAGGGACACCTCAGGAATCTCTTCGAGGCTTGGCAGGGCAAAAGGGACGCTTCTCGAGGTGAGGCAGGGCACAGAAGGACTCTTTCCAGTAGCCACAGGGATTTTGGGATTCCTATCAGTATTCAAGAGGAGTCAGGCATCGTCACCTTTTGAAGGAATGAACTCCGTGTGCCTCTCGAGGTGTCAGCGGGATGTGAGGCATTCCGTCAAAATGAGGCAGGGACCTAGGGCTTTCTCTGAGGTCTCCACAGGGGATTCAGACATCCCTTCATGTTGTGAGATGAAAGACGAGCCTGTATTCAAGCCACTGCAAGGAAATCCGGCCTCCTTTCAAGTTAGGGCTTCTCGATGTATATTCCCCTTGAGGCAGCAAACTCGGGGTCCCTCCCACATACCTATTGCTGAGAGAAGCCTCCTCCTGAGGTGCTTCTGGAAAGTTGGCATACGTCTTGAGCCTAAGCCAGGGAATCAGCTCTCATCTCGAGACGATTTGGGGTACACGGAGCATTCCTCGAGTTGCTGTGCTGATGATGGTGTTCCTCTAGACTTGGGACAGTGTTCTCGGGGCATCTCTGGAGTTGCCTGAAGGAAGTCGAGCCACCGGTCGTGTTGAATGGGGAACGGGGAATGGCTCTGGAGTCAAAGCAGGGGAATCGGGCCTCATCTCGAGTTGATTTGGGACACATGGAGCTGCTTTGCGTTTCTGGGGTGACCTCAGGGTCCGTCTAGACTGGTGACAGTGTTCTTGGGGACTGTCTCGAGATCCATTAAGCAAGTCGAACTCCTGACTTGTTTGAATGGGATCACGGAATAGCTCTGCATGCACTGCAGGGGAATGGGGCCTCATCTCGCCTCTAGGGGGAAGTGTCATGGTTTTTCTCGAGTTGCGGCGGGGACCTGGGGTATGTTCTCGACTTACGGCGGGGATGGCCCTTCAAAACACGAGTTTCTTCAGTGATGTCAGGACTCCTGTCTAGTAACGAGGGACACCTCAGGAATCTCTTCGAGGCTTGGCAGGGCAAAAGGGACGCTCTCGAGGTGAGGCAGGGCACCCAAGGACCCTTTCCAGTAGCCACAGGGATTTTGGGATTCCTATTAGTATTCAAGAGGAGTCAGGCATCGTCACCTTTTGAAGCAATGAACTCCGCGTGCCTCTCGAGGTGTCAGCGGGATGTGAGGCATTCGGTTAAAATGAGGCAGGGACCTAGGGCTTTCTCTAAGGTCTCCACAGGGGATTCAGACATCCCTTCATGTCGTGAGATGAAAGACGAGCCTGTATTCAAGCCACTGCAAGGAAATCCGGCCTCCTTTCAAGTTAGGGCCTCTCGCTGTATATTCCCCTTGAGGCAGCAAACTCGGGATCCCTCCCTCATACCTATTGCTGAGAGAAGCCTCCTCCTGAGGTTCTTCTGGAAAGTTGGCATACGTCTTGAGCCTAAGCCAGGGAATCAGCTCTCATCTCGAGACGATTTGGGGTACACGGAGCATTCCTCGAGTTGCTGTGCTGATGTTGGTGTTCCTCTAGACTTGGGACAGTGTTCTCGGGGCATCTCTGGAGTTGCCTGAAGGAAGTCGAGCCACCGGTCGTGTTGAATGGGGAACGGGGAATGGCTCTGGAGTCAATGCAGGGGAATCGGGCCTCATCTCGAGTTGATTTGGGGCACATGGAGCTGCTTTGCGTTGCTGGGGTGACCTCAGGGTCCGTCTAGACTGGTGACAGTGTTCTTGGGGACTGTCTCGAGATCCATTAAGCAAGTCGAACTCCTGACTTGTTTGAATGGGATCACGGAATAGCTCTGCATGCACTGCAGGGGAATGGGGCCTCATGTCACCTCTAGGGGGAAGTCTCATGGTTTTTCTCGAGTTGCGGCTGGGACCTGGGGTATGTTCTCGACTTACGGCGGGGATGGCCCTTCAAAACACGAGTTTCTTCAGTGACGTCAGGACTCCTGTCTAGTAACGAGGGACACCTCAGGAATCTCTTCGAGGCTTGGCAGGGCAAAAGGGACGCTTCTCGAGGTGAGGCAGGGCACCCAAGGACCCTTTCCCGTAGCCACAGGGATTTGGGATTCCTATCAGTATTCAAGAGGAGTCAGGCATCGTCACCTTTTGAAGCAATGAACTCCGCGTGCCTCTCGATGTGTCAGCGGGACGTGAGGCATTCCGTCAAAATGAGGCAGGGACCTAGGGCTTTCTATGAGGTCTCCACAGGGGATTCAGACATCCCTTCATGTTGTGAGATGAAAGACGAGCCTGTATTCAAGCCACTGTAAGGAAATCCGGCCTCCTTTCAAGTTAGGGCTTCACGCTGTATATTCCCCTTGAGGCAGCAAACTCGGGGTCCCTCCCACATACCTCTTGCTGAGAGAAGCCTCCTCCTGAGGTGCTTCTGGAAAGTTGGCATACGTCTTGAGCCTAAGCCAGGGAATCAGCTCTCATCTCGAGACGATTTGGGGTACAGGGAGCATTCCTCGAGTTGCTGTGCTGAAGTTGGTGTTCCTCTAGACTTGGGACAGTGTTCTCGGGGCATCTCTGGAGTTGCCTGAAGGAAGTCGAGCCACCGGTCGTGTTGAATGGGGAAAAGGGAATGGCTCTGGAGTCAATGCAGGGGAATCGGGCCTCATCTCGAGTTGATTTGGGGCACATGGAGCTGCTTTCCGTTGCTGGGGTGACCTCAGGGTCCGTCTAGACTGGTGACAGTGTTCTTGGGGACTGTCTCGAGATCCATTAAGCAAGTCGAAATTCCTGACTTGTTTGAATGGGATCACGGAATAGCTCTGCATGCACTGAAGGGGAATGGGGCCTCATCTCGCCTCTAGGGGGAAGTCTCATGGTTTTTCTCGAGTTGCGGCGGGGACCTGGGGTATGTTCTCGACTTTCGGCGGGGATGGCCCTTCAAAACACGAGTTTCTTCACTGACGTCAGGACTCCTGTCTAGTAACGAGGGACACCTCAGGAATCTCTTCGAGGCTTGGCAGAGCAAAAGGCAAGCTTCTCGAGGTGAGGCAGGGCACCCAAGGACCATTTCCCGTAGCCACAGGGATTTGGGATTCCTATCAGTATTCAAGAGGAGTCAGGCATCGTCACCTTTTGGAGCAATGAACTCCGCTTGACTCTCGAGGTGTCAGCGGGATGTGAGGCATTCCGTAAAAATGAGGCAGGGACCTAGGGCTTTCTCTGAGGTCTCCACAGGGGATTCAGACATCCCTTCATGTTGTGAGATGAAAGACGAGCCTGTATTCAAGACACTGTAATGAAATCCGGCCTGCTTTCAAGTTACGGCTTCTCGCTGTATATTCCCCTTGAGGCAGCAAACTCGGTGTCCCTGCCACATACCTATTGCTGAGAGAAGCCTCCTCCTGAGGTGCTTCTGGAAAGTTTGCATACGTCTTGAGCTTAAGCCAGGGAATCAGCTCTCATCTCGAGACGATTTGGGGTACACGGAGCATTCCTTGAGTTGCTGTGCTGAAGTTGGTGTTCCTCTAGACTTGAGACAGTGTTCTCGGGGCATGTCTGGAGTTGCCTGAAGGAAGTCGAGGCACCGGTCGTGTTGAATGGGGAATGGGGAATGGCTCTGGAGTCAATGCAGGAGAATCGGGCCTCATCTCGAGTTGATTTGGGATACATGGAGCTGCTTTGCGTTGCTGGGGTGACCTCAGGGTCCGTCTAGACTGGTGACAGTGTTCTTGGGGACTGTCTCGATATCCATTAAGCAAGTCGAAGCTCCTGACTTGTTTGAATGGGATCACGGCATAGCTCTGCATTCACTGCAGGGGAATGGGGCCACACGTCGCCTCTAGGGGGAAGTCTTATGGTTTTTCTCGAGTTGCGGCGGGGAGCTGGGGTATGTTCTCGACTTTCGGCGGGGATGGCCCTTCAAAACACGAGTTTCTTCAGTGACGTCAGGACTCCTGTCTAGTAACGAGGGACACCTCAGGAATCTCTTCGAGGCTTGGCAGGGCAAAAGGGACGCTTCTCGATGTGAGGCTGGGCACCCAAGGACCCTTTGCAGTAGCCACAGGGATTTTGGGATTCCTATCAGTATTCAAGAGGAGTCAGGCATCGTCACCTTTTGAAGCAATGAACTCCGCGTGCCTCTCGAGGTGTCAGCGGGATGTGAGGCATTCCGTCAAAATGAGGCAGGGACCTAGGGCTTTCTTAAGGTCTCCACAGGGGATTCAGACATCGCTTCATGTTGTTAGATGAAAGACGAGCCTGTATTCAAGCCACTGCAAGGAAATCCGGCCTCCTTTGAAGTTTGTTCCTCTCACTGTATATTCCCCTTGAGGCAGCAAACTCGGGGTCCCTCCCACATACCTATTGCTGAGAGAAGCCTCCTCCTGAGGTGCTTCTGGAAAGTTGCCATACGTCTTGAGCCTAAGCCCGGGAATGAGCTCTCATCTCGAGATGATTTGTGGTACACGGAGCATTCCTCGAGTTGCTGTGCTGAAGTTGGTGTTCCTCTAGACTTGGGACAGTGTTCTCGGGGCATCTCTGGAGTTGCCTGAAGGAAGTCGAGCCACCGGTCGTGTTGAATGGGGAACGGGGAATGGCTCTGGAGTCAATGCAGGGGAATCGGGCCTCATCTCGAGTTGATTTGAGGCACATGGACCTGCTTTGCGTTGCTGGGGTGACCTCAGGGTCCGTCTAGACTGGTGACAGTGATCTTGGGGACTGTCTCGATATCCATTAAGCAAGTCGAAGCTCCTGACTTGTTTGAATGGGATCACGGAATAGCTCTGCATGTACTGCAGTGGAATGGGGCCTCATGTCGCCTCTAGTGGGAAGTCTCATGGTTTTTCTCGAGATGCGGCGGGGACCTGGGGTATGTTGTCGACTTAAGGCGGGGATGGCCCTTCAAAACACGAGTTTCTTCAGTGACGTCAGGACTCCTGTCTAGTAACGAGGGACACATCAGGAATCTCTTCGAGGCTTGGCAGGGCAAAAAGGACGCTTCTCGAGGTGAGGCAGGGCACCCAAGATCCCTTTCCAGTAGCCACAGGGATTTTGGGATTCCTATCAGTATTCAAGAGGAGTCAGGCATCGTCACCTTTTGAAGCAATGAACTCCGCGTGCCTCTCGTGGTGTCAGCGGGATGTGAGGTATTCCGTCAAAATGAGGCAGGGACCTAGGGCTTTCTATGAGGTCTCCACAGGGGATTCAGACATCCCTTCATGTTGTGAGATGAAAGACGAGCCTGTATTCAAGCCACTGCAAGGAAATCCGGCCTCCTTTCAAGTTAGGGCTTCTCGATGTATATTCCCCTTGAGGCAGCAAACTCGGGGTCCCTCCCACATACCTATTGCTGAGATAAGCCTCCTCCTGAAGTGCTTCTGGAAAGTTGGCATACGTCTTGAGCCTAAGCCAGGGAATCAGCTCTCATCTCGAGACGATTTGGGGTACACGGAGCATTCCTCGAGTTGCTGTGCTGAAGTTGGTGTTCCTCTATACTTGGGACAGTGTTCTCGGGGCATCTCTGGAGTTGCGTGAAGGAAGTCGAGCCACCGGTCTTGTTGAATGGGGAACAGGGAATGGCTCTGGTGTCAATGCAGGGGAATCGGGCTTCATCTCGAGTTGATTTGGGGCACATGGAGCTGCTTTGCGCTGCTGGTGTGACCTCAGGGTCCGTCTAGACTGGTGACAGTGTTCCTGGGGACTGTCTCGAGATCCATTAAGCAAGTCGAATCTCCTGACTTGTTTGAATGGGATCACGGAATAGCTCTGCATGCACTGCAGGGGAATGGGGCCTCATGTCGCCTCTAGGGGGAAGTGTCATGGTTTTTCTCGAGTTGCGGCGGGGACCTGGGGTATGTTCTCGACTTACGGCGGGGATGGCCCTTCAAAACACGAGTTTCTTCAGTGACGTCAGGACTCCTGTCTAGTAACGAGGGACACCTCAGGAATCTCTTCGAGGCTTGGCAGGGCAAAAAGGACGCTTCTCGAGGTGAGGCAGGGCACCCAAGGACCCTTTCCCGTAGCCACAGGGATTTTGGAATTCCTATCAGTATTCAAGAGGAGTCAGGCATCGTCACTTTTTGAAGCAATGAACTCCGCGTGCCTCTCGAGGTGTCAGCGGGATGTGAGGCATTCCGTCAAAATGAGGCAGGGATCTAGGGCTTTCTTAAGGTCTCCACAGGGGATTCAGACATCCCTTCATGTTGTGAGATGAAAGACGAGCCTGTATTCAAGCCACTGCAAGGAAATCAAGCCTCCTTTCAAGTTAGGGCCTCTCGCTTTACATTACCCTTGAGGCAGCAAACTCGGGGTCCCTCCCACATACCTATTGCTTAGAGAAGCCTCCTCCTGAGGTGCTTCTGGAAAGTTGGCATACGTCTTCAGCCTAAGCCAGGGAATCAGCTCTCATCTCGAGACGATTTGGGGTACACGGAGCATTCCTCGAGTTGCTGTGCTGAAGTTGGTGTTCCTCTAGACTTGGGACAGTGTTCTCGGGGTATCTCTGGAGTTGCCTGAAGGAAGTCGAGCCACCGGTCGTGTTGAATGGGGAACGGGGAATGGCTCTGGAGTCAATGCAGGGGAATCGGGCCTCATCTCGAGTTGATTTGGGACACATGGACCTGCTTTGCGTTGCTGGGGTGACCTCAGGGTCCGTCTAGACTGGTGACAGTGTTCTTGGGGACTGTCTCGAGATCCATTAAGCAAGTCGAAGCTCCTGACTTGTTTGAATGGGATCACGGAATAGCTCTGCATGCACTGCAGGGGAATGGGGCCTCATGTCACCTCTAGGGGGAAGTCTCATGGTTTTTCTCGAGTTGCGGCGGGGACCTGGGGTATGTTCTCGACTTACGGCGGGGATGGCCCTTCAAAACACGAGTTTCTTCAGTGACGTCAGGACTCCTGTCTAGTAACGAGGGACACCACAGGAATCTCTTCGAGGCTTGGCAGGGCAAAAAGGACGCTTCTCGAGGTGAGGCAGGGCACCCAAGGACCCTTTCCCGTAGCCACAGGGATTTTGGAATTCCTATCAGTATTCAAGGGGAGTCAGGCATCATCACCTTTTGAAGCAATGAACTCCGCGTGCCTCTCGAGGTGTCAGCGGGATGTGAGGCATTCCGTCAAAATGAGGCAGGGATCTAGGGCTTTCTTAAGGTCTCCACAGGGGATTCAGACATCCCTTCATGTTGTGAGATGAAAGACGAGCCTGTATTCAAGCCACTGCAAGGAAATCAAGCCTCCTTTCAAGTTAGGGCCTCTCGCTTTACATTACCCTTGAGGCAGCAAACTCGGGGTCCCTCCCACATACCTATTGCTTAGAGAAGCCTCCTCCTGAGGTGCTTCTGGAAAGTTGGCATACGTCTTCAACCTAAGCCAGGGAATCAGCTCTCATCTCAAGACGATTTGGGGTACACGGAGCATTCCTCGAGTTGCTGTGCTGAAGTTGGTGTTCCTCTAGACTTGGGACAGTGTTCTCGGGGTATCTCTGGAGTTGCCTGAAGGAAGTCGAGCCACCGGTCGTGTTGAATGGGGAACGGGGAATGGCTCTGGAGTCAATGCAGGGGAATCGGGCCTCATCTCGAGTTGATTTGGGGCACATGGACCTGCTTTGCGTTGCTGGGGTGACCTCAGGGTCCGTCTAGACTGGTGACAGTGTTCTTGGGGACTGTCTCGAGATCCATTAAGCAAGTCGAAGCTCCTGACTTGTTTGAATGGGATCACGGAATAGCTCTGCATTCACTGCAGGGGAATGGGGCCTCACCACGCCTCTAGGGGGAAGTCTTATGGTTTTTCTCGAGTTGCGGCGGGGAGCTGGGGTATGTTCTCGACTTTCGGCGGGGATGGCCCTTCAAAACACGAGTTTCTTCAGTGACGTCAGGACTCCTGTCTAGTAACGAGGGACAGCTCAGGAATCTCTTCGAGGCTTGGCCGGGCAAAAGGGACGCTTCTCGAGGTGAGGCTGGGCACCCAAGGACCCTTTGCAGTAGCCACAGGGATTTTGGGATTCCTATCAGTATTCAAGAGGAGTCAGGCATCGTCACCTTTTGAAGCAATGAACTCCGCGTGCCTCTCGAGGTGTCAGCGGGATGTGAGGCATTCCGTCAAAATGAGGCAGGGACCTAGGGCTTTCTTAAGGTCTCCACAGGGGATTCAGACATCGCTTCATGTTGTTAGATGAAAGACGAGCCTGTATTCAAGCCACTGCAAGGAAATCCGGCCTCCTTTCAAGTTCGGGCCTCTCACTGTATATTCCCCTTGAGGCAGCAAACTCGGGCTCCCTCCCACATACCTATTGCTGAGAGAAGCCTCCTCCTGAGGTGCTTCTGGAAAGTTGCCATACGTCTTGAGCCTAAGCCAGGGAATGAGCTCTCATCTCGAGATGATTTGGGGTACACGGAGCATTCCTCGAGTTGCTGTGCTGAAGTTGGTGTTCCTCTAGACTTGGGACAGTGTTCTCGGGGCATCTCTGGAGTTGCCTGTAGGAAGTCGAGCCACCGGTCGTGTTGAATGGGGAACGGGGAATGGCTCTGGAGTCAATGCAGGGGAATCGGGCCTCATCTCGAGTTGATTTGGGGCACATGGACCTGCTTTGCGTTGCTGGGGTGACCTCAGGGTCCGTCTAGACTGGTGACAGTGTTCTTGGGGACTGTCTCGAGATCCATTAAGCAAGTCGAAGCTCCTGACTTGTTTGAATGGGATCACGGAATAGCTCTGCATGTACTGCAGTGGAATGGGGCCTCATGTCGCCTCTAGTGGGAAGTCTCATGGTTTTTCTCGAGATGCGGCGGGGACCTGGGGTATGTTCTCGACTTACGGCAGGGATGGCCCTTCAAAACACGAGTTTCTTCAGTGACGTCAGGACTCCGGTCTAGTAACGAGGGACACCTCAGGAATCTCTTCGAGGCTTGGCAGGGCAAAAGGGACGCTTCTCGAGGTGAGGCAGGGCACCCAAGGACCCTTTCCAGTAGCCACAGGGATTTTGGGATTCCTATCAGTATTCAAGAGGAGTCAGGCATCGTCACCTTTTGAAGCAATGAACTCCGCCTGCCTCTCGAGGTGTCAGCGGGATGTGAGGCATTCCGTCAAAATGAGGCAGGGACCTAGGGCTTTTTATGAGGTCTCCACAGGGGATTCAGACATCCCTTCATGTTGTGAGATGAAAGACGAGCCTGTATTCAAGACACTGTAAGGAAATCCGGCCTCCTTTCAAGTTAGGGCTTCTCGCTGTATATTCCCCTTGAGGCAGCAAACTCGGGGTCCCTGCCACACACCTATTGCTGAGAGAAGCCTCCTCCTGAGGTGCTTCTGGAAAGTTGGCATACGTCTTGAGCCTAAGCCAGGGAATCAGCTCTCATCTCGAGACGATTTGGGGTACACGGAGCATTCCTCGAGTTGCTGTGCTGAAGTTGGTGTTCCTCTAGACTTGGGACAGTGTTCTCGGGGCATGTCTGGAGTTGCCTGAAGGAAGTCGAGCAACCGGTCGTGTTGAATGGGGAACGGGGAATGGCTCTGGAGTCAATGCAGGAGAATCGGGCCTCATCTCGAGTTGATTTGGGATACATGGAGCTGCTTTGCGTTGCTGGGGTGACCTCAGGGTCCGTCTAGACTGGTGACAGTGTTCTTGGGGACTGTCTCGAGATCCATTAAGCAAGTCGAAGCTCCTGACTTGTTTGAATGGGATCACGGAATAGCTCTGCATTCACTGCAGGGGAATGGGGCCTCACCTCGCCTCTAGGGGGAAGTCTTATCGTTTTTCTCGAGTTGCGGCGGGGAGCTGGGGTATGTTCTCGACTTTCGGCGGGGATGGCCCTTCAAAACACGAGTTTCTTCAGTGACGTCAGGACTCCTGTCTAGTAACGAGGGACACCTCAGGAATCTCTTCGAGGCTTGGCCGGGCAAAAGGGACGCTTCTCGATGTGAGGCTGGGCACCCAAGGACCCTTTGCAGTAGCCACAGGGATTTTGGGATTCCTATCAGTATTCAAGAGGAGTCAGGCATCGTCACCTTTTGAAGCAATGAACTCCGCGTGCCTCTCGAGGTGTCAGCGGGATGTGAGGCATTCCGTCAAAATGAGGCAGGGACCTAGGGCTTTCTTAAGGTCTCCACAGGGGATTCAGACATCGCTTCATGTTGTGAGATGAAAGACGAGCCTGTATTTAAGCCACTGCAAGGAAATCCGGCCTCCTTTGAAGTTTGTTCCTCTCACTGTATATTCCCCTTGAGGCAGCAAACTCGGGCTCCCTCCCACATACCTATTGCTGAGAGAAGCCTCCTCCTGAGGTGCTTCTGGAAAGTTGCCATACGTCTTGAGCCTAAGCCAGGGAATGAGCTCTCATCTCGAGATGATTTGGGGTACACGGAGCATTCCTCGAGTTGCTGTGCTGAAGTTGGTGTTCCTCTAGACTTGGGACAGTGTTCTCGGGGCATCTCTGGAGTTGCCTGAAGGAAGACGAGCCACCGGTCGTGTTGAATGGGGAACGGGGAATGGCTCTGGAGTCAATGCAGGGGAATCGGGCCTCATCTCGATTTGATTTGGGGCACATGGACCTGCTTTGCGTTGCTGGGGTGACCTCAGGGTCCGTCTAGACTGGTGACAGTGTTCTTGGGGACTGTCTCGAGATCCATTAAGCAAGTCGAAGCTCCTGACTTGTTTGAATGGGATCACGGAATAGCTCTGCATGTACTGCAGTGGAATGGGGCCTCATGTCGCCTCTAGTGGGAAGTCTCATGGTTTTTCTCGAGATGCGGCGGGGACCTGGGGTATGTTCTCGACTTACGGCGGGGATGGCCCTTCAAAACACGAGTTTCTTCAGTGAGGTCAGGACTCCTGTCTAGTAACGAGGGACACCTCAGGAATCTCTTCGAGGCTTGGCAGGGCAAAAGGGACGCTTCTCGAGGTGAGGCAGGGCACCGAAGGACCCTTTCCAGTAGCCACAGGGATTTTGGGATTCCTATCAGTATTCAAGAGGAGTCAGGCATCGTCACCTTTTGAAGGAATGAACTCCGCGTGCCTCTCGAGGTGTCAGCGGGATGTGAGGCATTCCGTCAAAATGAGGCAGGGACCTAGGGCTTTCTCTGAGGTCTCCACAGGGGATTCAGACATCCCTTCATGTTGTGAGATGAAAGACGAGCCTGTATTCAAGCCACTGCAAGGAAATCCGGCCTCCTTTCAAGTTAGGGCTTCTCGATGTATATTCCCCTTGAGGCAGCAAACTCGGGGTCCCTCCCACATACCTATTGCTGAGAGAAGCCTCCTCCTGAGGTGCTTCTGGAAAGATGGCATACGTCTTGAGCCTAAGCCAGGGAATCAGCTCTCATCTCGAGACGACTTGGGGTACACGGAGCATTCCTCGAGTTGCTGTGCTGATGTTGGTGTTCCTCTAGACTTGGGACAGTGTTCTCGGGGCATCTCTGGAGTTGCCTGAAGGAAGTCGAGCCACCGGTCGTGTTGAATGGGGAACGGGGAATGGCTCTGGAGTCAAAGCAGGGGAATCGGGCCTCATCTCGAGTTGATTTGGGACACATGGAGCTGCTTTGCGTTGCTGGGGTGACCTCAGGGTCCGTCTAGACTGGTGACAGTGTTCTTGGGGACTGTCTCGAGATCCATTAAGCAAGTCGAACTCCTGACTTGTTTGAATGGGATCACGGAATAGCTCTGCATGCACTGCAGGGGAATGGGGCCTCATCTCGCCTCTAGGGGGAAGTGTCATGGTTTTTCTCGAGTTGCGGCGGGGACCTGGGGTATGTTCTCGACTTACGGCGGGGATGGCCCTTCAAAACACGAGTTTCTTCAGTGATGTCAGGACTCCTGTCTAGTAACGAGGGACACCTCAGGAATCTCTTCGAGGCTTGGCAGGGCAAAAGGGACGCTCTCGAGGTGAGGCAGGGCACCCAAGGACCCTTTCCAGTAGCCACAGGGATTTTGGGATTCCTATCAGTATTCAAGAGGAGTCAGGCATCGTCACTTTTTGAAGCAATGAACTCGGCGTGCCTCTCGAGGTGTCAGCGGGATGTGAGGCATTCGGTTAAAATGAGGCAGGGACCTAGGGCTTTCTCTAAGGTCTCCACAGGGGATTCAGACATCCCTTCATGTCGTGAGATGAAAGACGAGCCTGTATTCAAGCCACTGCAAGGAAATCCGGCCTACTTTCAAGTTAGGGCCTCTCGCTGTATATTCCCCTTGAGGCAGCAAACTCGGGATCCCTCCCTCATACCTATTGCTGAGAGAAGCCTCCTCCTGAGGTTCTTCTGGAAAGTTGGCATACGTCTTGAGCCTAAGCCAGGGAATCAGCTCTCATCTCGAGACGATTTGGGGTACACGGAGCATTCCTCGAGTTGCTGTGCTGAAGTTGGTGTTCCTCTAGACTTGGGACAGTGTTCTCGGGGCATCTCTGAAGTTGCCTGAAGGAAGTCGAGCCACCGGTCGTGTTGAATGGGGAAAAGGGAATGGCTCTGGAGTCAATGCAGGGGAATCGGGCCTCATCTCGAGTTGATTTGGGGCACATGGAGCTGCTTTCCGTTGCTGGGGTGACCTCAGGGTCCGTCTAGACTGGTGACAGTGTTCTTGGGGACTGTCTCGAGATCCATTAAGCAAGTCGAAATTCCTGACTTGTTTGAATGGGATCACGGAATAGCTCTGCATGCACTGAAGGGGAATGGGGCCTCATCTCGCCTCTAGGGGGAAGTCTCATGGTTTTTCTCGAGTTGCGGCGGGGACCTGGGGTATGTTCTCGACTTACGGCGGGGATGGCCCTTCAAAACACGAGTTTCTTCACTGACGTCAGGACTCCTGTCTAGTAACGAGGGACACCTCAGGAATCTCTTCGAGGCTTGGCAGAGCAAAAGGCAAGCTTCTCGAGGTGAGGCAGGGCACCCAAGGACCATTTCCCGTAGCCACAGGGATTTTGGGATTCCTATCAGTATTCAAGAGGAGTCAGGCATCGTCACCTTTTGGAGCAATGAACTCCGCTTGACTCTCGAGGTGTCAGCGGGATGTGAGGCATTCCGTAAAAATGAGGCAGGGACCTAGGGCTTTCTCTGAGGTCTCCACAGGGGATTCAGACATCCCTTCATGTTGTGAGATGAAAGACGAGCCTGTATTCAAGACACTGTAATGAAATCCGGCCTGCTTTCAAGTTACGGCTTCTCGCTGTATATTCCCCTTGAGGCAGCAAACTCGGTGTCCCTGCCACATACCTACTGCTGAGAGAAGCCTCCTCCTGAGGTGCTTCTGGAAAGTTTGCATACGTCTTGAGCTTAAGCCAGGGAATCAGCTCTCATCTCGAGACGATTTGGGGTACACGGAGCATTCCTTGAGTTGCTGTGCTGAAGTTGGTGTTCCTCTAGACTTGAGACAGTGTTCTCGGGGCATGTCTGGAGTTGCCTGAAGGAAGTCGAGCCACCGGTCGTGTTGAATGGGGAATGGGGAATGGCTCTGGAGTCAATGCAGGAGAATCGGGCCTCATCTCGAGTTGATTTGGGATACATGGAGCTGCTTTGCTTTGCTGGGGTGACCTCAGGGTCCGTCAAGACTGGTGACAGTGTTCTTGGGGACTGTCTCGATATCCATTAAGCAAGTCGAAGCTCCTGACTTGTTTGAATGGGATCACGGAATAGCTCTGCATTCACTGCAGGGGAATGGGGCCACACGTCGCCTCTAGGGGGAAGTCTTATGGTTTTTCTCGAGTTGCGGCGGGGAGCTGGGGTATGTTCTCGACTTTCGGCGGGGATGGCCCTTCAAAACACGAGTTTCTTCAGTGACGTCAGGACTCCTGTCTAGTAACGAGGGACACCTCAGGAATCTCTTCGAGGCTTGGCAGGGCAAAAGGGACGCTTCTCGATGTGAGGCTGGGCACCCAAGGACCCTTTGCAGTAGCCACAGGGATTTTGGGATTCCTATCAGTATTCAAGAGGAGTCAGGCATCGTCACCTTTTGAAGCAATGAACTCCGCGTGCCTCTCGAGGTGTCAGCGGGATGTGAGGCATTCCGTCAAAATGAGGCAGGGACCTAGGGCTTTCTTAAGGTCTCCACAGGGGATTCAGACATCGCTTCATGTTGTTAGATGAAAGACGAGCCTGTATTCAAGCCACTGCAAGGAAATCCGGCCTCCTTTGAAGTTTGTTCCTCTCACTGTATATTCCCCTTGAGGCAGCAAACTCGGGGTCCCTCCCACATACCTATTGCTGAGAGAAGCCTCCTCCTGAGGTGCTTCTGGAAAGTTGCCATACGTCTTGAGCCTAAGCCCGGGAATGAGCTCTCATCTCGAGATGATTTGTGGTACACGGAGCATTCCTCGAGTTGCTGTGCTGAAGTTGGTGTTCCTCTAGACTTGGGACAGTGTTCTCGGGGCATCTCTGGAGTTGCCTGAAGGAAGTCGAGCCACCGGTCGTGTTGAATGGGGAACGGGGAATGGCTCTGGAGTCAATGCAGGGGAATCGGGCCTCATCTCGAGTTGATTTGAGGCACATGGACCTGCTTTGCGTTGCTGGGGTGACCTCAGGGTCCGTCTAGACTGGTGACAGTGATCTTGGGGACTGTCTCGAGATCCATTAAGCAAGTCGAAGCTCCTGACTTGTTTGAATGGGATCACGGAATAGCTCTGCATGTACTGCAGTGGAATGGGGCCTCATGTCGCCTCTAGTGGGAAGTCTCATGGTTTTTCTCGAGATGCGGCGGGGACCTGGGGTATGTTGTCGACTTAAGGCGGGGATGGCCCTTCAAAACACGAGTTTCTTCAGTGACGTCAGGACTCCTGTCTAGTAACGAGGGACACATCAGGAATCTCTTCGAGGCTTGGCAGGGCAAAAAGGACGCTTCTCGAGGTGAGGCAGGGCACCCAAGGTCCCTTTCCAGTAGCCACAGGGATTTTGGGATTCCTATCAGTATTCAAGAGGAGTCAGGCATCGTCACCTTTTGAAGCAATGAACTCCGCGTGCCTCTCGTGGTGTCAGCGGGATGTGAGGTATTCCGTCAAAATGAGGCAGGGACCTAGGGCTTTCTATGAGGTCTCCACAGGGGATTCAGACATCCCTTCATGTTGTGAGATGAAAGACGAGCCTGTATTCAAGCCACTGCAAGGAAATCCGGCCTCCTTTCAAGTTAGGGCTTCTCGATGTATATTCCCCTTGAGGCAGCAAACTCGGGGTCCCTCCCACATACCTATTGCTGAGAGAAGCCTCCTCCTGAAGTGCTTCTGGAAAGTTGGCATACGTCTTGAGCCTAAGCCAGGGAATCAGCTCTCATCTTGAGACAATTTGGGGTACATGGAGCATTCCTCGAGTTGCTGTGCTGAAGTTGGTGTTCCTCTATACTTGGGACAGTGTTCTCGGGGCATCTCTGGAGTTGCGTGAAGGAAGTCGAGCCACCGGTCTTGTTGAATGGGGAACAGGGAATGGCTCTGGTGTCAATGGAGGGGAATCGGGCTTCATCTCGAGTTGATTTGGGGCACATGGAGCTGCTTTGCGCTGCTGGTGTGACCTCAGGGTCCGTCTAGACTGGTGACAGTGTTCTTGGGGACTGTCTCGAGATCCATTAAGCAAGTCGAATCTCCTGACTTGTTTGAATGGGATCACGGAATAGCTCTGCATGCACTGCAGGGGAATGGGGCCTCATGTCGCCTCTAGGGGGAAGTCTCATGGTTTTTCTCGAGTTGCGGCGGGGACCTGGGGTATGTTCTCGACTTACGGCGGGGATGGCCCTTCAAAACACGAGTTTCTTCAGTGACGTCAGGACTCCTGTCTAGTAACGAGGGACACCTCAGGAATCTCTTCGAGGCTTGGCAGGGCAAAAAGGACGCTTCTCGAGGTGAGGCAGGGCACCCAAGGACCCTTTCCCGTAGCCACAGGGATTTTGGGATTCCTATCAGTATTCAAGAGGAGTCAGGCATCGTCACCTTTTGAAGCAATGAACTCCGCGTTCGTCTCGAAGTGTCAGCGGGATGTGAGGCATTCCGTCAAAATGAGGCAGGGACCTAGGGCTTTCTCTGAGGTCTCCACAGGGGATTCAGACATCCCTTCATGTTGTGAGATGAAAGACGAGCCTGTATTCAAGCCACTGCAAGGAAATCCGGCCTCCTTTCAAGTTAGGGCTTCTCGCTGTATATTCCCCTTGAGGCAGCAAACTCGGGGTCCCTCCCACATACATATTGCTGAGAGAAGCCTCCTCCTGAGGTGCTTCTGGAAAGTTGGCATACGTCTTGAGCCTAAACGAGGGAATCAGCTCTCATCTCGAGACGATTTGGGGTACACGGAGCATTCCTCGAGATGCTGTGCTGAAGTTGGTGTTCCTCTAGACTTGGAACAGTGTTCTCGGGGCATCTCTGGAGTTGCCTGAAGGAAGTCGAGCCACCGGTCGTGTTGAAAGGGGAACGGGGAATGGCTCTGGAGTTAATGCAGGGGAATCCGGCCTCATCTCGAGTTGATTTGCGGCACATGGAGCTGCTTTGCGTTGCTGGGGTGAGCTCAGGGTCCGTCTAGACTGGTGACAGTGTTCTTCGGGACTGTCTCGAGATCCATTAAGCAAGTCGAAGCTCCTGACTTGTTTGAATGGGATCACGGAATAGCCCTGCATGCACTGCAGGGGAATTGGGCCTCATCTCGCCTCTAGGGGGAAGTCTCATGGTTTTTCTCGAGTTGCGGCGGGGACCTGGGGTATGTTCTCGACGTAATGCGGGGATGCCCCTTCAAAACACGAGTTTCTTCAGTGACGTCAGGACTCCTTTCTAGTAACGAGGGACACCTCAGGAATCTCTTCGAGGCTTGGCAGGGCAAAAGGGACGCTTCTCGAGGTGAGGCAGGGAACCCAAGAACCCTTTCCAGTAGCCACAGGGATTTTGGGATTCCTATCAGTATTCAATAGGAGTCAGGCATCGTCACCTTTTGAAGCACTGAACTCCTCGTGCCTCTCGAGGTGTCAGCGGGATGTGAGGCATTCCGTCAAAATGAGGCAGGGACCTAGGGCTTTCTCTGAGGTCTCCACAGGGGATTCAGACATCCCTTCATGTTGTGAGATGAAAGACGAGCCTGTATTCAAGACACTGTAAGGAAATCCGGCCTCCTTTCAAGTTAGGGCTTCTCGCTGTATATTCCCCTTGAGGCAGCAAACTCGGGGTCCCTCCCACATACCTATTGCTGAGAGAAGCCTCCTCCTGAGGTGCTTCTGGAAAGTTGGCATACGTCTTGAGCCTAAGCCAGGGAATCAGCTCTCATCTTGAGACGATTTGGGGTACAAGGAGCATTCCTCGAGTTGCTGTGCTGAAGTTGGTGTTCCTCTAGCCTTGGGAGAGTGTTCTCGGGGCATCTCTGGAGTTGCGTGAAGGAAGTCGAGCCACCGGTCGTGTTGAATGGGGAACGGGGAATGGCTCTGGAGTCAATGCAGGGGAATCGGGCCTCATCTCGGGTTGATTTGGGGCGCATGGAGCTGCTTTGCGCTGCTGGGGTGACCTCAGGGTCCGTCTAGACTGGTGACAGTGTTCTTGGGGACTGTCTCGAGATCCATTAAGCAAGTCGAAGCTCCTGACTTGTTTGAATGGGATCACGGAATAGCTCTGCATGTACTGCAGTGGAATGGGGCCTCATGTCGCCTCTAGTGGGAAGTCTCATGGTTTTTCTCGAGTTGCGGCGGGGACCTGGGGTATGTTCTCGACGTAATGCGGGGATGCCCCTTCAAAACACGAGTTTCTTCAGTGACGTCAGGACTCCTGTCTAGTAACGAGGGACACCTCAGGAATCTCTTCGAGGCTTGGCAGGGCAAAAGGGACGCTTCTCGAGGTGAGGCAGGGCACCCAAGGACCCTTTCCAGTAGCCACAGGGATTTTGGGATTCCTATCAGTATTCAAGAGGAGTCAGGCATCGTCACCTTTTGAAGCAATGAACTCCGCGTGCCTCTCGAGGTGTCAGCGGGATGTGAGGCATTCCGTCAAAATGAGGCAGGGACCTAGGGCTTTCTATGAGGTCTCCACAGGGGATTCAGACATCCCTTCATGTTGTGAGATGAAAGACGAGCCTGTATTCAAGCCACTGCAAGGAAATCCGGCCTCCTTTCAAGTTAGGGCTTCTCGCTGTATATTCCCCTTGAGGCAGCAAACTCGGGGTCCCTCCCACATACCTATTGCTGAGAGAAGCCTCCTCCTGAGGTGCTTCTGGAAAGTTGGCATACGTCTTGAGCCTAAGCCAGGGAATCAGCTCTCATCTTGAGACGATTTGGGGTACAAGGAGCATTCCTCGAGTTGCTGTGCTGAAGTTGGTGTTCCTCTAGACTTGGGAGAGTGTTCTCTGGGAATCTCTGGAGTTGCGTGAAGGAAGTCGAGCGACCGGTCTTGTTGAATAGGGAACGGGGAATGGCTCTGGAGTCAATGCAGGGGAATCGGGCCTCATCTCGAGTTGATTTGGGGCACATGGAGCTGCTTTGCGCTGCTGGGGTGACCTCAGGGTCCGTCTAGACTGGTGACAGTGTTCTTGGGGACTGTCTCGAGATCCATTAAGCAAGTCGAAGCTCCTGACTTGTTTGAATGGGATCACGGAATAGCTCTGCATGCACTGCAGGGGAATGGGGCCTCATGTCGCCTCTAGGGGAAGTCTCATGGTTTTTCTCGAGTTGCGGCAGGGACCTGGGGTATGTTCTCGACTTACGGCGGGGATGGCCCTTCAAAACACGAGTTTCTTCAGTGACGTCAGGACTCCTGTCTAGTAACGAGGGACACCTCAGGAATCTCTTCGAGGCTTGGCAGGGCAAAAAGGACGCTTCTCGAGGTGAGGCAGGGCACCCAAGGACCCTTTCCCGTAGCCACAGGGATTTTGGAATTCCTATCAGTATTCAAGAGGAGTCAGGCATCGTCACCTTTTGAAGCAATGAACTCCGCGTGCCTCTCGAGGTGTCAGCGGGATTTGAGGCATTCCGTCAAAATGAGGCAGGGATCTAGGGCTTTCTCTAAGGTCTCCACAGGGGACTAAGGCATCCCTTCATGTTGTGAGATGAAAGACGAGCCTGTATTCAAGCCACTGCAAGGAAATCCAGCCTCCTTTCAAGTTAGGGCCTCTCGCTTTATATTACCCTTGAGGCAGCAAACTCGGGGTCCCTCCCACATACCTATTGCTAGAGAAGCCTCCTCCTGAGGTGCTTCTGGAAAGTTGGCATACGTGTTGAGCCTAAGCCAGGGAATCAGCTCTCATCTCGAGACGATTTGGGGTACACGGAGCATTCCCCGAGTTGCTGTGCTGAAGTTGGTGTTCCTCTAGACTTGGGACAGTGTTCTCGGGGCATCTCTGGAGTTGCCTGAAGGAAGTCGAGCCACCGGTCGTGTTGAATGGGGAACGGGGAATGGCTCTGGAGTCAATGCAGGGGAATCGGGCCTCATCTCGAGTTGATTTGGGGCACATGGAGCGGCTTTGCGTTGCTGGGGTGACCTCAGGGTCCGTCTAGACTGGTGACAGTGTTCTTGGGGACTGTCTCGAGATCCATTAAGCAAGTCGAAGCTCCTGACTTGTTTGAATGAGATCACGGAATAGCTCTGCATGCACTGCAGGGGAATGGGGCCTCATCTCGCCTCTAGGGGGAAGTCTCATGGTTTTTCTCGCGTTGCAGCGGGGACATGGGGTATATTCTCGACTTACGGCGGGGATGGCCCTTCAAAACACGAGTTTCTTCAGTGACGTCAGGACTCCTGTCTAGTAACGAGGGACACCTCAGGAATCTCTTCGAGGCTGGGCAGGGCAAAAGGGACGCTTCTCGAGGTGAGGCAGGGCACCCAAGGACGCTTTCCAGTAGCCACAGGGATTTTGGGATTCCTATCAGTATTCAAGAGGAGTCAGGCATCGTCACTTTTGAAGCAATGAACTCCGCGTGCTCTCGAGGTGTCAGCGGGATGTGAGGCATTCGGTCAAAATGAGGCAGCGACCTAGGGCTTTCTCTAAGGTCTCCACAGGGGATTCAGACATCCCTTCATGTTGTGAGATGAAAGACGAGCCTGTATTCAAGCCACTGCAAAGAAATCCGGCCTCCTTTCAAGTTAGGGCCTCTCGCTGTATATTCCCCTTGAGGTAGCAAACTCGGGGTCCCTCCCACATACCTCTTGCTGAGAGAAGCCTCCTCCTGAGGAGCTTCTGGAAACTTGGCATACGTCTTGAGCCTAAGCCAGGGAATCAGCTCTCATCTCGAGACGATTTGGGGTACACGGAGTATTCCTCGAGTTGCTGTGCTGAAGTTGGTGTTCCTCTAGTCTTGGGACAGTGTTCTCGGGGCATGTCTGGAGTTGCCTGAAGGAAGTCGAGCCACCGGTCGTGTTGAATGGGGAACGGGGAATGGCTCTGGAGTCAATGCAGGGGAATCGGGCCTCATCTCGAGTTGATTTGGGGCACATGGAGCTGCCTTGCATTGCTGGGGTGACCTCAGGGTCAGTCTAGACTGGTGACAGTGTTCTTGGGGACTGTCTCGAGATCCATTAAGCAAGTCGAAGCTCCTGACTTGTTTGAATGGGATCACGGAATAGCGCTGCATGCACTGCAGGGGAATGGGGCCTCATGTCGCCTCTAGGGGGAAGTCTCATGGTTTTTCTCGAGTTGCTGCGGGGACCTGGGGTATGTTCTCGACTTACGGCGGGGATGGCCCTTCAAAACACGAGTTTCTTCAGTGACGTCAGGACTCCTGTCTAGTAACGAGGGACACCTCAGGAATCTCTTCGAGGCTTGGCAGGGCAAAAGGGACGCTTCTCGAGGTGAGGCAGGGCACCCAAGGTCCCATTCCCGTAGCCACAGGGATTTTGGGATTCCTATCAGTATTCAAGAGGAGTCAGGCATCATCACCTTTTGAAGCAATGAACTCCGCGTTCTTCTCGAAGTGTCAGCGGGATGTGAGGCATTCCGTCAAAATGAGGCAGGGACCTAGGGCTTTCTCTGAGGTCTCCACAGGGGATTCAGACATCCCTTCATGTTGTGAGATGAAAGACGAGCCTGTATTCAAGCCACTGCAAGGAAATCCGGCCTCCTTTCAAGTTAGGGCTTCTCGCTGTATATTCCCCTTGAGGCAGCAAACTCGGGGTCCCTCCCACATACATATTGCTGAGAGAAGCCTCCTCCTGAGGTGCTTCTGGAAAGTTGGCATACGTCTTGAGCCTAAGCGAGGGAATCAGCTCTCATCTCGAGACGATTTGGGGTACACGGAGCATTCCTCGAGATGCTGTGCTGAAGTTGGTGTTCCTCTAGACTTGGGACAGTGTTCTCGGGGCATCTCTGGAGTTGCCTGAAGGAAGTCGAGCCACCGGTCGTGTTGAAAGGGGAACGGGGAATGGCTCTGGAGTTAATGCAGGGGAATCGGGCCTCATCTCGAGTTGATTTGCGGCACATGGAGCTGCTTTGCGTTGCTGGGGTGAGCTCAGGGTCCGTCTAGACTGGTGACAGTGTTCTTGGGGACTGTCTCGAGATCCATTAAGCAAGTCGAAGCTCCTGACTTGTTTGAATGGGTTCACGGAATAGCCCTGCATGCACTGCAGGGGAATTGGGCCTCATCTCGCCTCTAGGGGGAAGTCTCATGGTTTTTCTCGAGTTGCGGCGGGGACCTGGGGTATGTTCTCGACGTAATGCGGGGATGCCCCTTCAAAACACGAGTTTCTTCAGTGACGTCAGGACTCCTTTCTAGTAACGAGGGACACCTCAGGAATCTCTTCGAGGCTTGGCAGGGCAAAAGGGACGCTTCTCGAGGTGAGGCAGGGAACCCAAGAACCCTTTCCAGTAGCCACAGGGATTTTGGGATTCCTATCAGTATTCAATAGGAGTCAGGCATCGTCACCTTTTGAAGCACTGAACTCCTCGTGCCTCTCGAGGTGTCAGCGGGATGTGAGTCATTCCGTCAAAATGAGGCAGGGACCTAGGGCTTTCTCTGAGGTCTCCACAGGGGATTCAGACATCCCTTCATGTTGTGAGATGAAAGACGAGCCTGTATTCAAGACACTGTAAGGAAATCCGGCCTCCTTTCAAGTTAGGGCTTCTCGCTGTATATTCCCCTTGAGGCAGCAAACTCGGGCTCCCTCCCACATACCTATTGCTGAGAGAAGCCTCCTCCTGAGGTGCTTCTGGAAAGTTGGCATACGTCTTCAGCCTAAGCCAGGGAATCAGCTCTCATCTTGAGACGATTTGGGGTACAAGGAGCATTCCTCGAGTTGCTGTGCTGAAGTTGGTGTTCCTCTAGCCTTGGGAGAGTGTTCTCGGGGCATCTCTGGAGTTGCGTGAAGGAAGTCGAGCCACCGGTCTTGTTGAATGGGGAACGGGGAATGGCTCTGGAGTCAATGCAGGGGAATCGGGCCTCATCTCGGGTTGATTTGGGGCGCATGGAGCTGCTTTGCGCTGCTGGGGTGACCTCAGGGTCCGTCTAGACTGGTGACAGTGATCTTGGGGACTGTCTCGAGATCCATTAAGCAAGTCGAATCTCCTGACTTGTTTGAATGGGATCACGGAATAGCTCTGCATGCACTGCAGGGGAATGGGGCCTCATGTCGCCTCTAGGGGGAAGTCTCATGGTTTTTCTCGAGTTGCGGCTGGGACCTGGGGTTTGTTCTCGACTTACGGCGGGGATGGCCCTTCAAAACACGAGTTTCTTCAGTGACGTCAGGACTCCTGTCTAGTAACGAGGGACACCTCAGTAATCTCTTCGAGGCTTGGCAGGGCAAAAAGGACGCTTCACGAGGTGAGGCAGGGCACCCAAGGACCCTTCCCGTAGCCACAGGGATTTTGGAATTCCTATCAGTATTCAAGAGGAGTCAGGCATCGTCACCTTTTGAAGCAATGAACTCCGCGTGCGTCTCCAGGTGTCAGCGGGATGTGAGGCATTCCGTCAAAATGAGGCAGGGACCTAGGGCTTTCTCTAAGGTCTCCACAGGGGATTCAGACATCCCTTCATATTGTGAGATGAAAGACGAGCCTGTATTCAAGCCACTGCAAGGAAATCCAGCCTCCTTTCAAGTTAGGGCCTCTCGCTTTATATTACCCTTGAAGCAGCAAACTCGGGGTCCCTCCCACATACCTATTGCTGAGAGAAGCCTCCTCCTGAGGTGCTTCTGGAAAGTTGGCATACGTCTTGAGCCTAAGCCAGGGAATCAGCTCTCATCTCGAGACGATTTGGGGTACACGGAGCATTCCTCGAGTTGCTGTGCTGAAGTTGGTGTTCCTCTAGACTTGGGACAGTGTTCTCGGGGCATCTCTTGAGTGGCCTGAATGAAGTAGAGCCACCGGTCTTGTTGAATGGGGAAAGGGGAATGGCCTTGGAGTCAATGCAGGGGAATCGGGCCTCATTACGAGTTGATTTGGGGCACATGGAGCTGCTTTGCGTTGCTGGGGTGACCTCAGGGTCCGTCTAGACTGGTGACAGTGTTCTTGGGGACTGTCTCGAGATCCATTAAGCAAGTCGAAGCTCCTGACTTGTTTGAATGAGATCACGGAATAGCTCTGCATGCACTGCAGGGGAATGGGGCCTCATCTCGCATCTAGGGGGAAGTCTCATGGTTTTTCTCGCGTTGCAGCGGGGACATGGGGTATGTTCTCGACTTACGGCGGGGATGGCCCTTCAAAACACGAGTTTCTTCAGTGACGTCAGGACTCCTGTCTAGTAACGAGGGACACCTCAGGAATCTCTTCGAGGCTTGGCAGGGCAAAAGGGACGCTTCTCGAGGTGATGCAGGGCACCCAAGGACCCTTTCCAGGAGCCACAGGGATTTTGGGATTCCTATCAGTATTCAAGAGGAGTCAGGCATCGTCACCTTTTGAAGCAATGAACTCCGCGTGCCTCTCGTTTTGTCAACGGGATGTGAGGCATTCCGTCAAAATGAGGCAGGGACCTAGGGCTTTCTTAAGGTCTCCACAGGGGATTCAGACATCCCTTCATGTTGTGAGATGAAAGACGAGCCTGTATTCAAGCCACTGCAAGGAAATCCGGCCTCCTTTCAAGTTAGGGCTTCTCGCTATATATTCCCCTTGAGGCAGCAAACTCGGGGTCCCTCCCACATACCTATTGCTGAGAGAAGCCTCCTCCTGAGGTGCTTCTGGAAAGTTGGCATACGTCTTGAGCCTAAGCCAGGGAATCAGCTCTCATCTTGAGACGATTTGGGGTGCAAGGAGCATTCCTCGAGTTGCTGTGCTGAAGTTGGTGTTCCTCTAGACTTGGGAGAGTGTTCTCTGGGCATCTCTGGAGTTGCGTGAAGGAAGTCGAGCGACCGGTCTTGTTGAATGGGGAACGGGGAATGGCTCTGGAGTCAATGCAGGGGAATCGGGCCTCATCTCGAGTTGATTTGGGGCACAGGGAGCTGCTTTGCGCTGCTGGGGTGACCTCAGGGTCCGTCTAGACTGGTGACAGTGTTCTTGGGGACTGTCTCGAGATCCATTAAGCAAGTCGAATCTCCTGACTTGTTTGAATGGGATCACGGAATAGCTCTGCATGCACTGCAGGGGAATGGGGCCTCATGTCGCCTCTAGGGGAAGTCTCATGGTTTTTCTCGAGTTGCGGCAGGGACCTGGGGTACGTTCTCGACTTACGGCGGGGATGGCCCTTCAAAACACGAGTTTCTTCAGTGACGTCAGGACTCCTGTCTAGTAACGAGGGACACCTCAGGAATCTCTTCGAGGCTTGGCAGGGCAAAAAGGACGCTTCTCGAGGTGAGGCAGGGCACCCAAGGACCCTTTCCCGTAGCCACAGGGATTTTGGAATTCCTATCAGTATTCAAGAGGAGTCAGGCATCGTCACCTTTTGAAGCAATGAACTCCGCGTGCCTCTCGAGGTGTCAGCGGGATTTGAGGCATTCCGTCAAAATGAGGCAGGGATCTAGGGCTTTCTCTAAGGTCTCCACAGGGGACTCAGGCATCCCTTCATGTTGTGAGATGAAAGACGAGCCTGTATTCAAGCCACTGCAAGGAAATCCAGCCTCCTTTCAAGTTAGGGCCTCTCGCTTTATATTACCCTTGAAGCAGCAAACTCGGCGTCCCTCCCACATACCTATTGCTAGAGAAGCCTCCTCCTGAGGTGCTTCTGGAAAGTTGGCATACGTCTTGAGCCTAAGCCAGGGAATCAGCTCTCATCTCGAGACGATTTGGGGTACACGGAGCATTCCTTGAGTTGCTGTGCTGAAGTTGGTGTTCCTCTAGACTTGGGACAGTGTTCTCGGGGCATCTCTGGAGTTGCCTGAAGGAAGTCGAGCCACCGGTCGTGTTGAATGGGGAACGGGGAATGGCTCTGGAGTCAATGCAGGGGAATCGGGCCTCATCTCGAGTTGATTTGGGGCACATGGAGCGGCTTTGCGTTGCTGGGGTGACCTCAGGGTCCGTCTAGACTGGTGACAGTGTTCTTGGGGACTGTCTCGAGATCCATTAAGCAAGTCGAAGCTCCTGACTTGTTTGAATGAGATCACGGAATAGCTCTGCATGCACTGCAGGGGAATGGGGCCTCATCTCGCCTCTAGGGGGAAGTCTCATGGTTTTTCTCGCGTTGCAGCGGGGACATGGGGTATATTCTCGACTTACGGCGGGGATGGCCCTTCAAAACACGAGTTTCTTCAGTGACGTCAGGACTCCTGTCTAGTAACGAGGGACACCTCAGGAATCTCTTCGAGGCTGGGCAGGGCAAAAGGGACGCTTCTCGAGGTGAGGCAGGGCACCCAAGGACGCTTTCCAGTAGCCACAGGGATTTTGGGATTCCTATCAGTATTGAAGAGGAGTCAGGCATCGTCACCTTTTGGAGCAATGAACTCCGCGTGCCTCTCGAGGTGTCAGCGGGATGTGAGGCATTCCGTCAAAATGAGGCAGGGACCTAGGGCTTTCTCTGAGGTCTCCACAGGGGATTCAGACATCCCTTCATGTTGTGAGATGAAAGACGAGCCTGTATTCAAGCCACTGCAAGGAAATCCGGCCTACTTTCAAGTTAGGGCTTCTCAATGTATATTCCCCTTGAAGCAGCAAACTCGGGGTCCCTCCCACATACCTATTGCTGAGAGAAGCCTCCTCCTGAGGTGCTTCTGGAAAGTTGGCATACGTCTTGAGCCTAAGCCAGGGAATCAGCTCTCATCTCGAGACGATTTGGGGTACACGGAGATTCCTCGAGTTGCTGTGCTGAAGTTGGTGTTCCTCTAGACTTGGGACAGTGTTCTCGGGGCATCTCTTGAGTGGCCTGAAGGAAGTAGAGCCACCGGTCGTGTTGAATGGGGAAAGGGGAATGGCCTTGGAGTCAATGCAGGGGAATCGGGCCTCATCTCGAGTTGATTTGGGGCACATGGAGCGGCTTTGCGTTGCTGGGGTGACCTCAGGGTCCGTCTAGACTGGTGACAGTGTTCTTGGGGACTGTCTCGAGATCCATTAAGCAAGTCGAAGCTCCTGACTTGTTTGAATGAGATCACGGAATAGCTCTGCATGCACTGCAGGGGAATGGGGCCTCATCTCGCCTCTAGGGGGAAGTCTCATGGTTTTTCTCGCGTTGCAGCGGGGACATGGGGTATATTCTCGACTTACGGCGGGGATGGCCCTTCAAAACACGAGTTTCTTCAGTGACGTCAGGACTCCTGTCTAGTAACGAGGGACACCTCAGGAATCTCTTCGAGGCTGGGCAGGGCAAAAGGGACGCTTCTCGAGGTGAGGCAGGGCACCCAAGGACGCTTTCCAGTAGCCACAGGGATTTTGGGATTCCTATCAGTATTCAAGAGGAGTCAGGCATCGTCACCTTTTGGAGCAATGAACTCCGCGTGCCTCTCGAGGTGTCAGCGGGATGTGAGGCATTCCGTCAAAATGAGGCAGGGACCTAGGGCTTTCTCTGAGGTCTCCACAGGGGATTCAGACATCCCGTCATGTTGTGAGATGAAAGACGAGCCTGTATTCAAGCCACTGCAAGGAAATCCGGCCTCCTTTCAAGTTAGGGCTTCTCGCTGTATATTCCCCTTGAAGCAGCAAACTCGGGGTCCCTCCCACATACCTATTGCTGAGAGAAGCCTCCTCCTGAGGTGCTTCTGGAAAGTTGGCATACGTCTTGAGCCTAAGCCAGGGAATCAGCTCTCATCTCGAGACGATTTGGGGTACACGGAGATTCCTCGAGTTGCTGTGCTGAAGTTGGTGTTCCTCTAGACTTGGGACAGTGTTCTCGGGGCATCTCTTGAGTGGCCTGAAGGAAGTAGAGCCACCGGTCGTGTTGAATGGGGAAAGGGGAATGGCCTTGGAGTCAATGTAGGGGAATCGGGCCTCATTTCGAGTTGATTTGGGGCACATGGAGCAGCTTTGCGTTGCTGGGGTGACCTCAGGGTCCGTCTAGACTGGTGACAGTGTTCTTGGGGACTGTCTCGAGATCCATTAAGCAAGTCGAAGCTCCTGACTTGTTTGAATGAGATCACGGAATAGCTCTGCATGCACTGCAGGGGAATGGGGCCTCATCTCACCTCTAGGGGAAAGTCTCATGGTTTTTCTCGCGTTGCAGCAGGGACATGGGGTATGTTCTCGACTTACGGCGGGGATGGCCCTTCAAAACACGAGTTTCTTCAGTGACGTCAGGACTCCTGTCTAGTAACGAGGGACACCTCAGGAATCTCTTCGAGGCTGGGCAGGGCTAAAGGGACGCTTCTCGAGGTGAGGCAGGGCACCCAAGGACCCTTTCCAGTAGCCACAGGGATTTTGGGATTCCTATCAGTATTCAAGAGGAGTCAGGCATCGTCACTTTTGAAGCAATGAACTCCGCGTGCTCTCGAGGTGTCAGCGGGATGTGAGGCATTCGGTCAAAATGAGGCAGGGACCTAGGGCTTTCTCTAAGGTCTCCACAGGGGATTCAGACATCCCTTCATGTTGTGAGATGAAAGACGAGCCTGTATTCAAGCCACTGCAAAGAAATCCGGCCTCCTTTCAAGTTAGGGCCTCTCGCTGTATATTCCCCTTGAGGCAGCAAACTCGGGGTCCCTCCCACATACCTCTTGCTGAGAGAAGCCTCCTCCTGAGGAGCTTCTGGAAACTTGGCATACGTCTTGAGCCTAAGCCAGGGAATCAGCTCTCATCTCGAGACGATTTGGGGTACACGGAGTATTCCTCGAGTTGCTGTGCTGAAGTTGGTGTTCCTCTAGTCTTGGGACAGTGTTCTCGGGGCATCTCTGGAGTTGCCTGAAGGAAGTCGAGCCACCGGTCGTGTTGAATGGGGAACGGGGAATGGCTCTGGAGTCAATGCAGGGGAATCGGGCCTCATCTCGAGTTGATTTGGGGCACATGGAGCTGCCTTGCATTGCTGGGGTGACCTCAGGGTCAGTCTAGACTGGTGACAGTGTTCTTGGGGACTGTCTCGAGATCCATTAAGCAAGTCGAAGCTCCTGACTTGTTTGAATGGGATCACGGAATAGCGCTGCATGCACTGCAGGGGAATGGGGCCTCATGTCGCCTCTAGGGGGAAGTCTCATGGTTTTTCTCGAGTTGCTGCGGGGACCTGGGGTATGTTCTCGACTTACGGCGGGGATGGCACTTCAAAACACGAATTTCTTCAGTGACGTCAGGACTCCTGTCTAGTAACGAGGGACACCTCAGGAATCTCTTCGAGGCTTGGCAGGGCAAAAGGGACGCTTCTCGAGGTGAGGCAGGGCACCCAAGGTCCCTTTCCCGTAGCCACAGGGATTTTGGGATTCCTATCAGTATTCAAGAGGAGTCAGGCATCGTCACCTTTTGAAGCAATGAACTCCGCGTTCGTCTCGAAGTGTCAGCGGGATGTGAGGCATTCCGTCAAAATGAGGCAGGGACCTAGGGCTTTCTCTGAGGTCTCCACAGGGTATTCAGACATCCCTTCATGTTGTGAGATGAAAGACGAGCCTGTATTCAAGCCACTGCAAGGAAATCCGGCCTCCTTTCAAGTTAGGGCTTCTCGCTGTATATTCCCCTTGAGGCAGGAAACTCGGGGTCCCTCCCACATACATATTGCTGAGAGAAGCCTCCTCCTGAGGTGCTTCTGGAAAGTTGGCATACGTCTTGAGCCTAAGCCAGGAAATCAGCTCTCATCTCGAGACGATTTGGGGTACACGGAGATTCCTCGAGTTGCTGTGCTGAAGTTGGTGTTCCTCTAGACTTGGGACAGTGTTCTCGGGGCATCTCTTGAGTGGCCTGAAGGAAGTAGAGCCACCGGTCGTGTTGAATGGGGAAAGGGGAATGGCCTTGGAGTCAATGTAGGGGAATCGGGCCTCATTTCGAGTTGATTTGGGGCACATGGAGCGGCTTTGCGTTGCTGGGGTGACCTCAGGGTCCGTCTAGACTGGTGACAGTGTTCTTGGGGACTGTCTCGAGATCCATTAAGCAAGTCGAAGCTCCTGAGTTGTTTGAATGAGATCACGGAATAGCTCTGCATGCACTGCAGGGGAATGGGGCCTCATCTCACCTCTAGGGGAAAGTCTCATGGTTTTTCTCGCGTTGCAGCGGGGACATGGGGTATGTTCTCGACTTACGGCGGGGATGGCCCTTCAAAACACGAGTTTCTTCAGTGACGTCAGGACTCCTGTCTAGTAACGAGGGACACCTCAGGAATCTCTTCGAGGCTGGGCAGGGCAAAAGGGACGCTTCTCGAGGTGAGGCAGGGCACCCAAGGACCCTTTCCCGTAGCCACAGGGATTTTGGAATTCCTATCAGTATTCAAGAGGAGTCAGGCATCGTCACCTTTTGAAGCAATGAACTCCGCGTGCCTCTCGAGGTGTCAGCGGGATTTGAGGCATTCCGTCAAAATGAGGCAGGGATCTAGGGCTTTCTCTAAGGTCTCCACAGGGGACTCAGGCATCCCTTCATGTTGTGAGATGAAAGACGAGCCTGTATTCAAGCCACTGCAAGGAAATCCAGCCTCCTTTCAAGTTAGGGCCTCTCGCTTTATATTACCCTTGAAGCAGCAAACTCGGCGTCCCTCCCACATACCTATTGCTAGAGAAGCCTCCTCCTGAGGTGCTTCTGGAAAGTTGGCATACGTCTTGAGCCTAAGCCAGGGAATCAGCTCTCATCTCGAGACGATTTGGGGTACACGGAGCATTCCTTGAGTTGCTGTGCTGAAGTTGGTGTTCCTCTAGACTTGGGACAGTGTTCTCGGGGCATCTCTGGAGTTGCCTGAAGGAAGTCGAGCCACCGGTCGTGTTGAATGGGGAACGGGGAATGGCTCTGGAGTCAATGCAGGGGAATCGGGCCTCATCTCGAGTTGATTTGGGGCACATGGAGCGGCTTTGCGTTGCTGGGGTGACCTCAGGGTCCGTCTAGACTGGTGACAGTGTTCTTGGGGACTGTCTCGAGATCCATTAAGCAAGTCGAAGCTCCTGACTTGTTTGAATGAGATCACGGAATAGCTCTGCATGCACTGCAGGGGAATGGGGCCTCATCTCGCCTCTAGGGGGAAGTCTCATGGTTTTTCTCGCGTTGCAGCGGGGACATGGGGTATATTCTCGACTTACGGCGGGGATGGCCCTTCAAAACACGAGTTTCTTCAGTGACGTCAGGACTCCTGTCTAGTAACGAGGGACACCTCAGGAATCTCTTCGAGGCTGGGCAGGGCAAAAGGGACGCTTCTCGAGGTGAGGCAGGGCACCCAAGGACGCTTTCCAGTAGCCACAGGGATTTTGGGATTCCTATCAGTATTGAAGAGGAGTCAGGCATCGTCACCTTTTGGAGCAATGAACTCCGCGTGCCTCTCGAGGTGTCAGCGGGATGTGAGGCATTCCGTCAAAATGAGGCAGGGACCTAGGGCTTTCTCTGAGGTCTCCACAGGGGATTCAGACATCCCTTCATGTTGTGAGATGAAAGACGAGCCTGTATTCAAGCCACTGCAAGGAAATCCGGCCTACTTTCAAGTTAGGGCTTCTCGCTGTATATTCCCCTTGAAGCAGCAAACTCGGGGTCCCTCCCACATACCTATTGCTGAGAGAAGCCTCCTCCTGAGGTGCTTCTGGAAAGTTGGCATACGTCTTGAGCCTAAGCCAGGGAATCAGCTCTCATCTCGAGACGATTTGGGGTACACGGAGCATTCCTTGAGTTGCTGTGCTGAAGTTGGTGTTCCTCTAGACTTGGGACAGTGTTCTCGGGGCATCTCTGGAGTTGCCTGAAGGAAGTCGAGCCACCGGTCGTGTTGAATGGGGAACGGGGAATGGCTCTGGAGTCAATGCAGGGGAATCGGGCCTCATCTCGAGTTGATTTGGGGCACATGGAGCGGCTTTGCGTTGCTGGGGTGACCTCAGGGTCCGTCTAGACTGGTGACAGTGTTCTTGGGGACTGTCTCGAGATCCATTAAGCAAGTCGAAGCTCCTGACTTGTTTGAATGAGATCACGGAATAGCTCTGCATGCACTGCAGGGGAATGGGGCCTCATCTCGCCTCTAGGGGGAAGTCTCATGGTTTTTCTCGCGTTGCAGCGGGGACATGGGGTATATTCTCGACTTACGGCGGGGATGGCCCTTCAAAACACGAGTTTCTTCAGTGACGTCAGGACTCCTGTCTAGTAACGAGGGACACCTCAGGAATCTCTTCGAGGCTGGGCAGGGCAAAAGGGACGCTTCTCGAGGTGAGGCAGGGCACCCAAGGACGCTTTCCAGTAGCCACAGGGATTTTGGGATTCCTATCAGTATTGAAGAGGAGTCAGGCATCGTCACCTTTTGGAGCAATGAACTCCGCGTGCCTCTCGAGGTGTCAGCGGGATGTGAGGCATTCCGTCAAAATGAGGCAGGGACCTAGGGCTTTCTCTGAGGTCTCCACAGGGGATTCAGACATCCCTTCATGTTGTGAGATGAAAGACGAGCCTGTATTCAAGCCACTGCAAGGAAATCCGGCCTACTTTCAAGTTAGGGCTTCTCGCTGTATATTCCCCTTGAAGCAGCAAACTCGGGGTCCCTCCCACATACCTATTGCTGAGAGAAGCCTCCTCCTGAGGTGCTTCTGGAAAGTTGGCATACGTCTTGAGCCTAAGCCAGGGAATCAGCTCTCATCTCGAGACGATTTGGGGTACACGGAGATTCCTCGAGTTGCTGTGCTGAAGTTGGTGTTCCTCTAGACTTGGGACAGTGTTCTCGGGGCATCTCTTGAGTGGCCTGAAGGAAGTAGAGCCACCGGTCGTGTTGAATGGGGAAAGGGGAATGGCCTTGGAGTCAATGCAGGGGAATCGGGCCTCATCTCGAGTTGATTTGGGGCACATGGAGCGGCTTTGCGTTGCTGGGGTGACCTCAGGGTCCGTCTAGACTGGTGACAGTGTTCTTGGGGACTGTCTCGAGATCCATTAAGCAAGTCGAAGCTCCTGACTTGTTTGAATGAGATCACGGAATAGCTCTGCATGCACTGCAGGGGAATGGGGCCTCATCTCGCCTCTAGGGGGAAGTCTCATGGTTTTTCTCGCGTTGCAGCGGGGACATGGGGTATATTCTCGACTTACGGCGGGGATGGCCCTTCAAAACACGAGTTTCTTCAGTGACGTCAGGACTCCTGTCTAGTAACGAGGGACACCTCAGGAATCTCTTCGAGGCTGGGCAGGGCAAAAGGGACGCTTCTCGAGGTGAGGCAGGGCACCCAAGGACGCTTTCCAGTAGCCACAGGGATTTTGGGATTCCTATCAGTATTCAAGAGGAGTCAGGCATCGTCATCTTTTGGAGCAATGAACTCCGCGTGCCTCTCGAGGTGTCAGCGGGATGTGAGGCATTCCGTCAAAATGAGGCAGGGACCTAGGGCTTTCTCTGAGGTCTCCACAGGGGATTCAGACATCCCTTCATGTTGTGAGATGAAAGACGAGCCTGTATTCAAGCCACTGCAAGGAAATCCGGCCTACTTTCAAGTTAGGGCTTCTCGCTGTATATTCCCCTTGAAGCAGCAAACTCGGGGTCCCTCCCACATACCTATTGCTGAGAGAAGCCTCCTCCTGAGGTGCTTCTGGAAAGTTGGCATACGTCTTGAGCCTAAGCCAGGGAATCAGCTCTCATCTCGAGACGATTTGGGGTACACGGAGATTCCTCGAGTTGCTGTGCTGAAGTTGGTGTTCCTCTAGACTTGGGACAGTGTTCTCGGGGCATCTCTTGAGTGGCCTGAAGGAAGTAGAGCCACCGGTCGTGTTGAATGGGGAAAGGGGAATGGCCTTGGAGTCAATGTAGGGGAATCGGGCCTCATTTCGAGTTGATTTGGGGCACATGGAGCAGCTTTGCGTTGCTGGGGTGACCTCAGGGTCCGTCTAGACTGGTGACAGTGTTCTTGGGGACTGTCTCGAGATCCATTAAGCAAGTCGAAGCTCCTGACTTGTTTGAATGAGATCACGGAATAGCTCTGCATGCACTGCAGGGGAATGGGGCCTCATCTCACCTCTAGGGGAAAGTCTCATGGTTTTTCTCGCGTTGCAGCAGGGACATGGGGTATGTTCTCGACTTACGGCGGGGATGGCCCTTCAAAACACGAGTTTCTTCAGTGACGTCAGGACTCCTGTCTAGTAACGAGGGACACCTCAGGAATCTCTTCGAGGCTGGGCAGGGCAAAAGGGACGCTTCTCGAGGTGAGGCAGGGCACCCAAGGACCCTTTCCAGTAGCCACAGGGATTTTGGGATTCCTATCAGTATTCAAGAGGAGTCAGGCATCGTCACTTTTGAAGCAATGAACTCCGCGTGCTCTCGAGGTGTCAGCGGGATGTGAGGCATTCGGTCAAAATGAGGCAGGGACCTAGGGCTTTCTCTAAGGTCTCCACAGGGGATTCAGACATCCCTTCATGTTGTGAGATGAAAGACGAGCCTGTATTCAAGCCACTGCAAAGAAATCCGGCCTCCTTTCAAGTTAGGGCCTCTCGCTGTATATTCCCCTTGAGGCAGCAAACTCGGGGTCCCTCCCACATACCTCTTGCTGAGAGAAGCCTCCTCCTGAGGAGCTTCTGGAAACTTGGCATACGTCTTGAGCCTAAGCCAGGGAATCAGCTCTCATCTCGAGACGATTTGGGGTACACGGAGTATTCCTCGAGTTGCTGTGCTGAAGTTGGTGTTCCTCTAGTCTTGGGACAGTGTTCTCGGGGCATCTCTGGAGTTGCCTGAAGGAAGTCGAGCCACCGGTCGTGTTGAATGGGGAACGGGGAATGGCTCTGGAGTCAATGCAGGGGAATCGGGCCTCATCTCGAGTTGATTTGGGGCACATGGAGCTGCCTTGCATTGCTGGGGTGACCTCAGGGTCAGTCTAGACTGGTGACAGTGTTCTTGGGGACTGTCTCGAGATCCATTAAGCAAGTCGAAGCTCCTGACTTGTTTGAATGGGATCACGGAATAGCGCTGCATGCACTGCAGGGGAATGGGGCCTCATGTCGCCTCTAGGGGGAAGTCTCATGGTTTTTCTCGAGTTGCTGCGGGGACCTGGGGTATGTTCTCGACTTACGGCGGGGATGGCACTTCAAAACACGAATTTCTTCAGTGACGTCAGGACTCCTGTCTAGTAACGAGGGACACCTCAGGAATCTCTTCGAGGCTTGGCAGGGCAAAAGGGACGCTTCTCGAGGTGAGGCAGGGCACCCAAGGTCCCTTTCCCGTAGCCACAGGGATTTTGGGATTCCTATCAGTATTCAAGAGGAGTCAGGCATCGTCACCTTTTGAAGCAATGAACTCCGCGTTCGTCTCGAAGTGTCAGCGGGATGTGAGGCATTCCGTCAAAATGAGGCAGGGACCTAGGGCTTTCTCTGAGGTCTCCACAGGGTATTCAGACATCCCTTCATGTTGTGAGATGAAAGACGAGCCTGTATTCAAGCCACTGCAAGGAAATCCGGCCTCCTTTCAAGTTAGGGCTTCTCGCTGTATATTCCCCTTGAGGCAGGAAACTCGGGGTCCCTCCCACATACATATTGCTGAGAGAAGCCTCCTCCTGAGGTGCTTCTGGAAAGTTGGCATACGTCTTGAGCCTAAGCCAGGAAATCAGCTCTCATCTCGAGACGATTTGGGGTACACGGAGATTCCTCGAGTTGCTGTGCTGAAGTTGGTGTTCCTCTAGACTTGGGACAGTGTTCTCGGGGCATCTCTTGAGTGGCCTGAAGGAAGTAGAGCCACCGGTCGTGTTGAATGGGGAAAGGGGAATGGCCTTGGAGTCAATGTAGGGGAATCGGGCCTCATTTCGAGTTGATTTGGGGCACATGGAGCGGCTTTGCGTTGCTGGGGTGACCTCAGGGTCCGTCTAGACTGGTGACAGTGTTCTTGGGGACTGTCTCGAGATCCATTAAGCAAGTCGAAGCTCCTGAGTTGTTTGAATGAGATCACGGAATAGCTCTGCATGCACTGCAGGGGAATGGGGCCTCATCTCACCTCTAGGGGAAAGTCTCATGGTTTTTCTCGCGTTGCAGCGGGGACATGGGGTATGTTCTCGACTTACGGCGGGGATGGCCCTTCAAAACACGAGTTTCTTCAGTGACGTCAGGACTCCTGTCTAGTAACGAGGGACACCTCAGGAATCTCTTCGAGGCTTGGCAGGGCAAAAGGGACGCTTCTCGAGGTGAGGCAGGGCACCCAAGGACCCTTTCCAGTAGCCACAGGGATTTTGGGATTCCTATCAGTATTCAAGAGGAGTCAGGCATCGTCACTTTTGAAGCAATGAACTCCGCGTGCTCTCGAGGTGTCAGCGGGATGTGAGGCATTCGGTCAAAATGAGGCAGGGACCTAGGGCTTTCTCTAAGGTCTCCACAGGGGATTCAGACATCCCTTCATGTTGTGAGATGAAAGACGAGCCTGTATTCAAGCCACTGCAAAGAAATCCGGCCTCCTTTCAAGTTAGGGCCTCTCGCTGTATATTCCCCTTGAGGCAGCAAACTCGGGGTCCCTCCCACATACCTCTTGCTGAGAGAAGCCTCCTCCTGAGGAGCTTCTGGAAACTTGGCATACGTCTTGAGCCTAAGCCAGGGAATCAGCTCTCATCTCGAGACGATTTGGGGTACACGGAGTATTCCTCGAGTTGCTGTGCTGAAGTTGGTGTTCCTCTAGTCTTGGGACAGTGTTCTCGGGGCATCTCTGGAGTTGCCTGAAGGAAGTCGAGCCACCGGTCGTGTTGAATGGGGAACGGGGAATGGCTCTGGAGTCAATGCAGGGGAATCGGGCCTCATCTCGAGTTGATTTGGGGCACATGGAGCTGCCTTGCATTGCTGGGGTGACCTCAGGGTCAGTCTAGACTGGTGACAGTGTTCTTGGGGACTGTCTCGAGATCCATTAAGCAAGTCGAAGCTCCTGACTTGTTTGAATGGGATCACGGAATAGCGCTGCATGCACTGCAGGGGAATGGGGCCTCATGTCGCCTCTAGGGGGAAGTCTCATGGTTTTTCTCGAGTTGCTGCGGGGACCTGGGGTATGTTCTCGACTTACGGCGGGGATGGCCCTTCAAAACACGAGTTTCTTCAGTGACGTCAGGACTCCTGTCTAGTAACGAGGGACACCTCAGGAATCTCTTCGAGGCTTGGCAGGGCAAAAGGGACGCTTCTCGAGGTGAGGCAGGGCACCCAAGGTCCCATTCCCGTAGCCACAGGGATTTTGGGATTCCTATCAGTATTCAAGAGGAGTCAGGCATCGTCACCTTTTGAAGCAATGAACTCCGCGTTCGTCTCGAAGTGTCAGCGGGATGTGAGGCATTCCGTCAAAATGAGGCAGGGACCTAGGGCTTTCTCTGAGGTCTCCACAGGGGATTCAGACACCCCTTCATGTTGTGAGATGAAAGACGAGCCTGTATTCAAGCCACTGCAAGGAAATCCGGCCTCCTTTCAAGTTAGGGCTTCTCGCTGTATATTCCCCTTGAGGCAGCAAACTCGGGGTCCCTCCCACATACATATTGCTGAGAGAAGCCTCCTCCTGAGGTGCTTCTGGAAAGTTGGCATACGTCTTGAGCCTAAGCGAGGGAATCAGCTCTCATCTCGAGACGATTTGGGGTACACGGAGCATTCCACGAGATGCTGTGCTGAAGTTGGTGTTCCTCTAGACTTGGGACAGTGTTCTCGGGGCATCTCTGGAGTTGCCTGAAGGAAGTCGAGCCACCGGTCGTGTTGAAAGGGGAACGGGGAATGGCTCTGGAGTTAATGCAGGGGAATCGGGCCTCATCTCGAGTTGATTTGCGGCACATGGAGCTGCTTTGCGTTGCTGGGGTGAGCTCAGGGTCCGTCTAGACTGGTTACAGTGTTCTTGGGGACTGTCTCGAGATCCATTAAGCAAGTCGAAGCTCCTGACTTGTTTGAATGGGATCACGGAATAGCCCTGCATGCACTGCAGGGGAATTGGGCCTCATCTCGCCTCTAGGGGGAAGTCTCATGGTTTTTCTCGAGTTGCGGCGGGGACCTGGGGTATGTTCTCGACGTAATGCGGGGATGCCCCTTCAAAACACGAGTTTCTTCAGTGACGTCAGGACTCCTTTCTAGTAACGAGGGACACCTCAGGAATCTCTTCGATGCTTGGCAGGGCAAAAGGGACGCTTCTCGAGGTGAGGCAGGGCACCCAAGGACCCTTTCCAGTAGCCACAGGGATTTTGGGATTCCTATCAGTATTCAATAGGAGTCAGGCATCATCACCTTTTGAAGCACTGAACTCCTCGTGCCTCTCGAGGTGTCAGCGGGATGTGAGGCATTCCGTCAAAATGAGGCAGGGACCTAGGGCTTTCTCTGAGGTCTCCACAGGGGATTCAGACATCCCTTCATGTTGTGAGATGAAAGACGAGCCTGTATTCAAGACACTGTAAGGAAATTCGGCCTCCTTTCAAGTTAGGGCTTCTCGCTGTATATTCCCCTTGAGGCAGCAAACTCGGGGTCCCTCCCACATACCTATTGCTGAGAGAAGCCTCCTCCTGAGGTGCTTCTGGAAAGTTGGCATACGTCTTGAGCCTAAGCCCGGGAATGAGCTCTCATCTTGAGACGATTTGGGGTACAAGGAGCATTCCTCGAGTTGCTGTGCTGAAGTTGGTGTTCCTCTAGCCTTGGGAGAGTGTTCTCGGGGCATCTCTGGAGTTGCGTGAAGGAAGTCGAGCCACCGGTCTTGTTGAATGGGGAACGGGGAATGGCTCTGGAGTCAATGCAGGGGAATCGGGCCTCATCTCGGGTTGATTTGGGGCACATGGAGCTGCTTTGCTTTGCTGGGGTGACCTCAGGGTCCGTCTAGACTGGTGACAGTGTTCTTGGGGACTGTCTCGAGATCCATTAAGCAAGTCGAATCTCCTGACTTGTTTGAATGGGATCACGGAATAGCTCTGCATGCACTGCAGGGGAATTGGGCCTCATGTCGCCTCTAGGGGGAAGTCTCATGGTTTTTCTCGAGTTGCGGCTGGGACCTGGGGTATGTTCTCGACTTACGGCGGGGATGGCCCTTCAAAACACGAGTTTCTTCAGTGACGTCAGGACTCCTGTCTAGTAACGAGGGACACCTCAGTAATCTCTTCGAGGCTTGGCAGGGCAAAAAGGACGTTTCACGAGGTGAGGCAGGGCACCCAAGGACCCTTCCCGTAGCCACAGGAATTTTGGAATTCCTATCAGTATTCAAGAGGAGTCAGGCATCGTCACCTTTTGAAGCAATGAACTCCGCGTGCCTCTCGAGGTGTCAGCGGGATGTGAGGCATTCCGTCAAAATGAGGCAGGGATCTACGGCTTTCTCTAAGGTCTCCACAGGGGATTCAGACATCCCTTCATATTGTGAGATGAAAGACGAGCCTGTATTCAAGCCACTGCAAGGAAATCCGGCCTCCTTTCAAGTTAGGGTTTCTCGCTGTAAATTCCCCTTGAGGCAGCAAACTCGGGCTCCCTCCCACATACCTATTGCTGAGAGAAGCCTCCTCCTGAGGTGCTTCTGGAAAGTTGGCATACGTCTTGAGCCTAAGCCAGGGAATCAGCTCTCATCTCGAGACGATTTGGGGTACACGGAGCATTCCTCGAGTTGCTGTGCTGAAGTTGGTGTTCCTCTAGACTTGGGACAGTGTTCTCGGGGCATCTCTTGAGTGGCCTGAATGAAGTAGAGCCACCGGTCTTGTTGAATGGGGAAAGGGGAATGGCCTTGGAGTCAATGCAGGGGAATCGGGCCTCATTTCGAGTTGATTTGGGGCACATGGAGCGGCTTTGCGTTGCTGGGGTGACCTCAGGGTCCGTCTAGACTGGTGACAGTGTTCTTGGGGACTGTCTCGAGATCCATTAAGCAAGTCGAAGCTCCTGACTTGTTTGAATGAGATCACGGAATAGCTCTGCATGCACTGCAGGGGAATGGGGCCTCATCTCGCATCTAGGGGGAAGTCTCATGGTTTTTCTCGCGTTGCAGCGGGGACATGGGGTATGTTCTCGACTTACGGCGGGGATGGCCCTTCAAAACACGAGTTTCTTCAGTGACGTCAGGACTCCTGTCTAGTAACGAGGGACACCTCAGGAATCTCTTCGAGGCTTGGCAGGGCAAAAGGGACGCTTCTCGAGGTGATGCAGGGCACCCAAGGACCCTTTCCAGGAGCCACAGGGATTTTGGGATTCCTATCAGTATTCAAGAGGAGTCAGGCATCGTCACCTTTTGAAGCAATGAACTCCGCGTGCCTCTCGTGGTGTCAACGGGATGTGAGGCATTCCGTCAAAATGAGGCAGGGACCTAGGGCTTTCTTAAGGTCTCCACAGGGGATTCAGACATCCCTTCATGTTGTGAGATGAAAAACGAGCCTGTATTCAAGCCACTGCAAGGAAATCCGGCCTCCTTTCAAGTTAGGGTTTCTCGCTGTAAATTCCCCTTGCGGCAGCAAACTCGGGGTCCATCCCACATACCTATTGCTGAGAGAAGCCTCCTCCTGTGGTGCTTCTGGAAAGTTGTCATACGTGTTGAGCCTAAGCCAGGGAATCAGCTCTCATCTCGAGACGATTTGGGGTACACGGAGCATTCCTCGAGTTGCTGTGCTGAAGTTGGTGTTCCTCTAGACTTGGGACAGTGTTCTCGGGGCATCTCTTGAGTGGCCTGAAGGAAGTAGAGCCACCGGTCGTGTTGAATGGGGAAAGGGGAATGGCCTTGGAGTCAATGCAGGGGAATCGGGCCTCATTTCGAGTTGATTTGGGGCACATGGAGCGGCTTTGCGTTGCTGGGGTGACCTCAGGGTCCGTCTAGACTGGTGACAGTGTTCTTGGGGACTGTCTCGAGATCCATTAAGCAAGTCGAAGCTCCTGACTTGTTTGAATGAGATCACGGAATAGCTCTGCATGCACTGCAGGGGAATGGGGCCTCATCTCGCCTCTAGGGGGAAGTCTCATGGTTTTACTCGAGTTGCAGCGGGGACCTGGGGTACGTTCTCGACTTACGGCGGGGATGGCCCTTCAAAACACGAGTTTCTTCAGTGACGTCAGGACTCCTGTCTAGTAACGAGGGACACCTCAGGAATCTCTTCGAGGCTTGGCAGGGCAAAAGGGACGCTTCTCGAGGTGAGGCAGGGCACCCAAGGACCCTTTCCAGGAGCCACAGGGATTTTGTGATTCCTATCAGTATTCAAGAGGAGTCAGGCATCGTCACCTTTTGAAGCAATGAACTCCGCGTGCCTCTCGAGGTGTCAACGGGATGTGAGGCATTCCGTCAAAATGAGGCAGGGACCTAGGGCTTTCTCTAAGGTCTCCACAGGGGATTCAGACATCCCTTCATGTTGTGAGATGAAAGACGAGCCTGTATTCAAGCCACTGCAAGGAAATCCGGCCTCCTTTCAAGTTCGGGCCTCTCACTGTATATTCCCCTTGAGGCAGCAAACTCGGGGTCCCTCCCACATACATATTGCTGAGAGAAGCCTCCCCCTGAAGTGCTTCTGGAAAGTTTGCATACGTCTTGAGCCTAAGCCAGGGAATGAGCTCTCATCTCGAGATGATTTGTGGTACACGGAGCATTCCTCGAGTTGCTGTGCTGAAGTTGGTGTTCCTCTAGACTTGGGACAGTGTTCTCGGGGCATCTCTGGAGTTGCCTGAAGGAAGTCGAGCCACCGGTCGTGTTGAATGGGGAACGGGGAATGGCTCTGGAGTCAATGCAGGGGAATCGGGCCTCATCTCGAGTTGATTTGGGGCACATGGAGCTGCTTTTCGTTGCTGGGTTGACCTCAGGGTCCGTCTAGACTGGTGACAGTGTTCTTGGGGACTGTCTCGAGATCCATTAAGCAAGTCGAAGCTCCTGACTTGTTTGAATGGGATCACGGAATAGCTCTGCATGCACTGCAGGGGAATGGGGCCTCATCTCGCCTCTAGGGGGAAGTCTCATGGTTTTTCTCGAGTTGCGGCGGGGACCTGGGGTATGTTCTCGACGTAATGCGGGGATGCCCCTTCAAAACACGAGTTTCTTCAGTGACGTCAGGACTCCTGTCGAGTAACGAGGGACACCTCAGGAATATCTTCGAGGCTTGGCAGGGCAAAAGGGACGCTTCTCGAGGTGAGGCAGGGCAACCAAGGACCCTTTCCAGTAGCCACAGGGATTTTGGGATTCCTATCAGTATTCAAGAGGAGTCAGGCATCGTCACCTTTTGAAGCAATGAACTCCGCGTGCCTCTCGAGGTGTCAGCGGGATGTGAGGCATTCCGTCAAAATGAGGCAGGGACCTAGGGCTTTCTATGAGGTCTCCACAGGGGATTCAGACATCCATTCATGTTGTGAGATGAAAGACGAGCCTGTATTCAAGCCACTGCAAGGAAATCCGGCCTCCTTTCAAGTTAGGGCTTCTCGCTGTATATTACCCTTGAGGCAGCAAACTCGGGGTCCCTCCCACATACCTATTGCTGAGAGAAGCCTCCTCCTGAGGTGCTTCTGGAAAGTTGGCATACGTCTTGAGCCTAAGCCAGGGAATCAGCTCTCATCTCGAGACGATTTGGGGTACACGGAGCTTTCCTCGAGTTGCTGTGCTGAAGTTGGTGTTCCTCTAGACTTGGGACAGTGTTCTCGGGGCATCTCTGGAGTTGCCTGAAGGAAGTCGAGCCACCGGTCGTGTTGAATGGTGAACGGGGAATGGCTCTGGTGTCAATGCAGGGGAATCGGGCCTCATCTCGAGTTGATTTGGGGCACATGGAGCTGCTTTGCGTTGCTGGGGTGACCTCAGGGTCCGTCTAGACTGGTGACAGTGTTCTTGGGGACTGTCTCGAGATCCATTAAGCAAGTCGAAGCTCCTGACTTGTTTGAATGGGATCACGGAATAGCTCTGCATGCACTGCAGTGGAATGGGGCCTCATCTCGCCTCTAGGGGGAAGTCTCATTGTTATTCTCGAGTTGCGGCGGGGACCTGGGGTATGTTCTCGACTTACGGCGGGGATGGCCCTTCAAAACACGAGTTTCTTCAGTGACGTCAGGACTCCTGTCTAGTAACGAGGGACACCTCAGGAATCTCTTCGAGGCTGGGCAGGGCAAAAGGGACGCTTCTCGAGGTGAGGCAGGGCACCCAAGGACCCTTTCCAGTAGCCACAGGGATTTTGGGATTCCTATCAGTATTCAAGAGGAGTCAGGCACCGTCACCTTTTGAAGCAATGAACTCCGCGTGCTCTCGAGGTGTCAGCGGGATGTGAGGCATTCGGTCAAAATGAGGCAGGGACCTAGGGCTTTCTCTAAGGACTCCACAGGGGATTCAGACATCCCTTCATGTTGTGAGATGAAAGACGAGCCTGTATTCAAGCCACTGCAAAGAAATCCGGCCTCCTTTCAAGTTAGGGCCTCTCGCTGTATATTCCCCTTGAGGCAGCAAACTCGGGGTCCCTCCCACATACCTCTTGCTGAGAGAAGCCTCCTGCTGAGGAGCTTCTGGAAACTTGGCATACGTCTTGAGCCTAAGCCAGGGAATCAGCTCTCATCTCGAGACGATTTGGGGTACACGGAGTATTCCTCGAGTTGCTGTGCTGAGGTTGGTGTTCCTCTAGTCTTGGGACAGTGTTCTCGGGGCATCTCTGGAGTTGCCTGAAGGAAGTCGAGCCACCGGTCGTGTTGAATGGGGAACGGGGAATGGCTCTGGAGTCAATGCAGGGGAATCGGGCCTCATCTCGAGTTGATTTGGGGCACATGGAGCTGCCTTGCATTGCTGGGGTGACCTCAGGGTCAGTCTACACTGGTGACAGTGTTCTTGGGGACTGTCTCGAGATCCATTAAGCAAGTCGAAGCTCCTGACTTGTTTGAATGGGATCACGGAATAGCGCTGCATGCACTGCAGGGGAATGGGGCCTCATGTCGCCTCTAGGGGGAAGTCTCATGGTTTTTCTCGAGTTGCGGCGGGGACCTGGGGTATGTTCTCGACTTACGGCGGGGATGGCCCTTCAAAACACGAGTTTCTTCAGTGACGTCAGGACTCCTGTCTAGTAACGAGGGACACCTCAGGAATCTCTTCGAGGCTTGGCAGGGCAAAAGGGACGCTTCTCGAGGTGAGGCAGGGCACCCAAGGTCCCTTTCCCGTAGCCACAGGGATTTTGGGATTCCTATCAGTATTCAAGAGGAGTCAGGCATCGTCACCTTTTGAAGCAATGAACTCCTCGTGCCTCTCGAGGTGTCAGCGGGATGTGAGGCATTCCGTCAAAATGAGGCAGGGACCTAGGGCTTTCTCTGAGGTCTCCACAGGGGATTCAGACATCCCTTCATGTTGTGAGATGAAAGACGAGCCTGTATTCAAGCCACTGCAAGGAAATCCGGCCTCCTTTCAAGTTAGGGCTTCTCGCTGTATATTCCCCTTGAGGCAGCAAACTCGGGGTCCCTCCCACATACCTATTGCTGAGAGAAGCCTCCTCCTGAGGTGCTTCTGGAAAGTTGGCATACGTCTTGAGCCTAAGCCAGGGAATCAGCTCTCATCTTGAGACGATTTGGGGTACAAGGAGCATTCCTCGAGTTGCTGTGCTGAAGTTGGTGTTCCTCTAGACTTGGGAGAGTGTTCTCGGGGCATCTCTGGAGTTGCGTGAAGGAAGTCGAGCCACCGGTCTTGTTGAATGGGGAACGGGGAATGGCTCTGGTGTCAATGCAGGGGAATCGGGCCTCATCTCGGGTTGATTTGGGGCACATGGAGCTGCTTTGCGCTGCTGGGGTGACCTCAGGGTCCGTCTAGACTGGTGACAGTGTTCTTGGGGACTGTCTCGAGATCCATTAAGCAAGTCGAATCTCCTGACTTGTTTGAATGGGATCACGGAATAGCTCTGCATGCACTGCAGGGGAATGGGGCCTCATGTCGCCTCTAGGGGGAAGTCTCATGGTTTTTCCCGAGTTGCGGCTGGGACCTGGGGTATGTTCTCGACTTACGGCGGGGATGGCCCTTCAAAACACGAGTTTCTTCAGTGACGTCAGGACTCCTGTCTAGTAAAGAGGGACACCTCAGTAATCTCTTCGAGGCTTGGCAGGGCAAAAAGGACGCTTCACGAGGTGAGGCAGGGCACCCAAGGACCCTTCCCGTAGCCACAGGGATTTTGGGATTCCTATCAGTATTCAAGAGGAGTCAGGCATCGTCACCTTTTGAAGCAATGAACCCCGCGTGCCTCTCGTGGTGTCAACGGGATGTGAGGCATTCCGTCAAAATGAGGCAGGGACCTAGGGCTTTCTTAAGGTCTCCACAGGGGATTCAGACATCCCTTCATGTTGTGAGATGAAAGACGAGCCTGTATTCAAGCCACTGCAAGGAAATCCGGCCTCCTTTCAAGTTAGGGTTTCTCGCTGTAAATTCCCCTTGCGGCAGCAAACTCGGGGTCCATCCCACATACCTATTGCTGAGAGAAGCCTCCTCCTGTGGTGCTTCTGGAAAGTTGTCATACTTGTTGAGCCTAAGCCAGGGAATCAGCTCTCATCTCGAGACGATTTGGGGTACACGGAGCATTCCTCGAGTTGCTGTGCTGAAGTTGGTGTTCCTCTAGACTTGGGACAGTGTTCTCAGGGCATCTCTTGAGTGGCCTGAAGGAAGTAGAGCCACCGGTCGTGTTGAATGGGGAAAGGGGAATGGCCTTGGAGTCAATGCAGGGGAATCGGGCCTCATTTCGAGTTGATTTGGGGCACATGGAGAGGCTTTGCGTTGCTGGGGTGACCTCAGGGTCCGTCTAGACTGGTGACAGTGTTCTTGGGGACTGTCTCGAGATCCATTAAGCAAGTCGAAGCTCCTGACTTGTTTGAATGAGATCACGGAATAGCTCTGCATGCACTGCAGGGGAATGGGGCCTCATCTCGACTCTAGGGGGAAGTCTCATGGTTTTACTCGAGTTGCAGCGGGGACCTGGGGTATGTTCTCGACTTACGGCGGGGATGGCCCTTCAAAACACGACTTTCTTCAGTGACGTCAGGACTCCTGTCTAGTAACGAGGGACACCTCAGGAATCTCTTCGAGGCTTGGCAGGGCAAAAGGGACGCTTCTCGAGGTGAGGCAGGGCACCCAAGGACCCTTTTCAGGAGCCACAGGGATTTTGGGATTCCTATCAGTATTCAAGAGGAGTCAGGCATCGTCACCTTTTGAAGCAATGAACTCCGCGTGCCTCTCGAGGTGTCAACGTGATGTGAGGCATTCCGTCAAAATGAGGCAGGGACCTAGGGCTTTCTTAAGGTCTCCACAGGGGATTCAGACATCCCTTCATGTTGTGAGATGAAAGACGAGCCTGTATTCAAGCCACTGCAAGGAAATCCGGCCTCCTTTCAAGTTCGGGCCTCTCACTGTATATTCCCCTTGAGGCAGCAAACTCGGGGTCCCTCCCACATACATATTGCTGAGAGAAGCCTCCCCCTGAAGTGCTTCTGGAAAGTTTGCATACGTCTTGAGCCTAAGCCAGGGAATGAGCTCTCATCTCGAGATGATTTGTGGTACACGGAGCATTCCTCGAGTTGCTGTGCTGAAGTTGGTGTTCCTCTAGACTTGGGACAGTGTTCTCGGGGCATCTCTGGAGTTGCCTGAAGGAAGTCGAGCCACCGGTCGTGTTGAATGGGGAACGGGGAATGGCTCTGGAGTCAATGCAGGGGAATCGGGCCTCATCTCGAGTTGATTTGGGGCACATGGAGCTGCTTTTCGTTGCTGGGTTGACCTCAGGGTCCGTCTAGACTGGTGACAGTGTTCTTGGGGACTGTCTCGAGATCCATTAAGCAAGTCGAAGCTCCTGACTTGTTTGAATGGGATCACGGAATAGCTCTGCATGCACTGCAGGGGAATGGGGCCTCATCTCGCCTCTAGGGGGAAGTCTCATGGTTTTTCTCGAGTTGCGGCGGGGACCTGGGGTATGTTCTCGACGTAATGCGGGGATGCCCCTTCAAAACACGAGTTTCTTCAGTGACGTCAGGACTCCTGTCGAGTAACGAGGGACACCTCAGGAATATCTTCGAGGCTTGGCAGGGCAAAAGGGACGCTTCTCGAGGTGAGGCAGGGCACCCAAGGACCGTTTCCAGTAGCCACAGGGATTTTGGGATTCCTATCAGTATTCAAGAGGAGTCAGGCATCGTCACCTTTTGAAGCAATGAACTCCGCGTGCCTCTCGAGGTGTCAGCGGGATGTGAGGCATTCCGTCAAAATGAGGCAGGGACCTAGGGCTTTCTATGAGGTCTCCACAGGGGATTCAGACATCCCTTCATGTTGTGAGATGAAAGACGAGCCTGTATTCAAGCCACTGCAAGGAAATCCGGCCTCCTTTCAAGTTAGGGCTTCTCGCTGTATATTCCCCTTGAGGCAGCAAACTCGGGGTCCCTCCCACATACCTATTGCTGAGAGAAGCCTCCTCCTGAGGTGCTTCTGGAAAGTTGGCATCCGTCTTGAGCCTAAGCCAGGGAATCAGCTCTCATCTTGAGACAATTTGGGGTACACGGAGCATTCCTCGAGTTGCTGTGCTGAAGTTGGTGTTCGTCTAGACTTGGGACAGTGTTCTCGGGGCATCTCTGGAGTTGCGTGAAGGAAGTCGAGCCACCGGTCTTGTTGAATGGGGAACGGGGAATGGCTCTGGAGTCAATGCAGGGGAATCGGGCCTCATCTCGAGTTGATTTGGGGCACATGGAGCTGCTTTGCGCTGCTGGGGTGACCTCAGGGTCCGTCTAACTGGTGACAGTGTTCTTGGGGACTGTCTCGAGATCCATTAAGCAAGTCGAATCTCCTGACTTGTTTGAATGGGATCACGGAATTGCTCTGCATGCACTGCAGGGGAATGGGGCCTCATGTCGCCTCTAGGGGGAAGTCTCATGGTTTTTCTCGAGTTGCGGCAGGGACCTGGGGTATGTTCTCGACTTACGGCGGGGAAGGCCCTTCAAAACACGAGTTTCTTCAGTGACGTCAGGACTCCTGTCTAGTAACGAGGGACACCTCAGGAATCTCTTCGAGGCTTGGCAGGGCAAAAGGGACGCTTCTCGAGTTGAGGCAGGGCACCCAAGGACCCTTTCCAGGAGCCACAGGGATTTTGGGATTCCTATCAGTATTCAAGAGGAGTCAGGCATCGTCACCTTTTGAAGCAATGAACTCCACGTGCCTCGCGAGGTGTCAGCGGGATGTGAGGCATTCCGTCAAAATGAGGCAGGGACCTAGGGCTTTCTCTAAGGTCTCCACAGGGGATTCAGACATCCCTTCATGTTGTGAGATGAAAGACGAGCCTGTATTCAAGCCACTGCAAGGAAATCAAGCCTCCTTTCAAGTTAGGGCCTCTCGCTTTATATTACCCTTGAGGCAGCAAACTCGGGGTCCCTCCCACATACCTATTGCTTAGAGAAGCCTCCTCCTGAGGTGCTTCTGGAAAGTTGGCATACGTCTTGAGCCTAAGCCAGGGAATCAGCTCTCATCTCGAGACGATTTGGGGTACACGGAGCTTTCCTCGAGTTGCTGTGCTGAAGTTGGTGTTCCTCTAGACTTGGGACAGTGTTCTCGGGGCATCTCTGGAGTTGCCTGAAGGAAGTCGAGCCACCGGTCGTGTTGAATGGTGAACGGGGAATGGCTCTGGTGTCAATGCAGGGGAATCGGGCCTCATCTCGAGTTGATTTGGGGCACATGGAGCTGCTTTGCGTTGCTGGGGTGACTTCAGGGTCCGTCTAGACTGGTGACAGTGTTCTTGGGACTGTCTCGAGATCCATTAAGCAAGTCGAAGGTCCTGACTTGTTTGAATGGGATCACGGAATAGCTCTGCATGCACTGCAGGGGAATGGGGCCTCATGTCGCCTCTAGGGGGAAGTCTCATAGTTTTTCTCGAGTTGCGGTGGGGACCTGGGGTATGTTCTCGACTTACGGCGGGGATGGCCCTTCAAAACACGAGTTTCTTCAGTGACGTCAGGACTCCTGTCTAGTAACGAGGGACACCTCAGGAATCTCTTCGAGGCTTGGCAGGGCAAAAGGGACGCTTCTCGAGGTGAGGCAGGGCACCCAAGGTCCCATTCCCGTAGCCACAGGGATTTTGGGATTCCTATCAGTATTCAAGAGGAGTCAGGCATCGTCACCTTTTGGAGCAATGAACTCCGCGTGCCTCTCGAGGTGTCAGAGGGATGTGAGGCATTCCGTCAAAATGAGGCAGGGACCTAGGGCTTTCTCTGAGGTCTCCACAGGGGATTCAGACATCCCTTCATGTTGTGAGATGAAAGACGAGGCTGTATTCAAGCCACTGCAAGGAAATCCGGCCTCCTTTCAAGTTAGGGCTTCTCACTGTATATTCCCCTTGAGGCAGCAAACTCGGGGTCCCTCCCACTTACCTATTGCTGAGAGAAGCCTCCTCCTGAGGTGCTTCTGGAAAGTTGGCATCCGTCTTGAGCCTAAGCCAGGGAATCAGCTCTCATCTCGAGACGATTTGGGGTACACGGAGCATTCCTCGAGTTGTTGTGCTGAAGTTGGTGTTCCTCTAGACTTGGGACAGTGTTCTCGGTGCATCTCTGGAGTTGCCTGAAGGAAGTCGAGCCACCGGTCGTGTTGAAAGGGGAACGGGGAATGGCTCTGGAGTCAATGCAGGGGAATCGGGCCTCATCTCGAGTTGATTTGGGGCACATGGAGCTGCTTTGCGTTGCTGGGGTGAGCTCAGGGTCCGTCTAGACTGGTGACAGTGTTCTTGGGGACTGTCTCGAGATCCATTAAGCAAGTCGAAGCTCCTGACTTGTTTGAATGGGATCACGGAATAGCTCTGCATGCACTGCAGGGGAATGGGGCCTCATCTGGCCTCTAGGGGGAAGTCTCATGGTTTTTCTCGAGTTGCGGCGGGGACCTGGGGTATGTTCTCGACGTACGGCGGGGATGGCCCTTTAAAACACGAGTCTCTTCAGTGACGTCAGGACTCCTTTCTAGTAACGAGGGACACCTCAGGAATCTCTTCGAGGCTTGGCAGGGCAAAAGGGACGCTTCTCGAGGTGAGGCAGGGCACCCAAGGACCCTTTCCAGGAGCCACAGGGATTTTGGGATTCCTATCAGTATTCAAGAGGAGTCAGGCATCGTCACCTTTTGAAGCAATGAACTCCGCGTGCCTCTCGAGGTGTCAGCGGGATGTGAGGCATTCCGTCAAAATGAGGCAGGGACCTAGGGCTTTCTCTGAGGTCTCCACAGGGGATTCAGACATCCCTTCATGTTGTGAGATGAAAGACGAGCCTGTATTCAAGCCACTGCAAGGAAATCCGGCCTCCTTTCAAGTTAGGGTTTCTCGCTGTAAATTCCCCTTGCGGCAGCAAACTCGGAGTCCATCCCACATACCTATTGCTGAGAGAAGCCTCCTCCTGTGGTGCTTCTGGAAAGTTGTCATACGTGTTGAGCCTAAGCCAGGGAATCAGCTCTCATCTCGAGACGATTTGGGGTACACGGAGCATTCCTCGAGTTGCTGTGCTGAAGTTGGTGTTCCTCTAGACTTGGGACAGTGTTCTCGGGGCATCTCTTGAGTGGCCTGAAGGAAGTAGAGCCACCGGTCGTGTTGAATGGGGAAAGGGGAATGGCCTTGGAGTCAATGCAGGGGAATCGGGCCTCATCTCGAGTTGATTTGGGGCACATGGAGCGGCTTTGCGTTGCTGGGGTGACCTCAGGGTCCGTCTAGACTGGTGACAGTGTTCTTGGGGACTGTCTCGAGATCCATTAAGCAAGTCGAAGCTCCTGACTTGTTTGAATGAGATCACGGAATAGCTCTGCATGCACTGCAGGGGAATGGGGCCTCATCTCGCCTCTAGGGGGAAGTCTCATGGTTTTTCTCGAGTTGCAGCGGGGACATGGGGTATGTTCTCGACTTACGGCGGGGATGGCCCTTCAAAACACGAGTTTCTTCATTGACGTCAGGACTCCTGTCTAGTAACGAGGGACACCTCAGGAATCTCTTCGAGGCTTGGCAGGGCAAAAGGGACGCTTTTCGAGGTGAGGCAGGGCACCCAAGGACCCTTTCCAGGAGCCACAGGGATTTTGGGATTCCTATCAGTATTCAAGAGGAGTCAGGCATCGTCACCTTTTGAAGCAATGAACTCCACGTGCCTCGCGAGGTGTCAGCGGGATGTGAGGTATTCCGTCAAAATGAGGCTGGGACCTAGGGCTTTCTCTAAGGTCTCCACAGGGGATTCAGACATCCCTTCATGTTGTGAGATGAAAGACGAGCCTGTATTCAAGCCACTGCAAGGAAATCAAGCCTCCTTTCAAGTTAGGGCCTCTCGCTTTATATTACCCTTGAGGCAGCAAACTCGGGGTCCCTCCCACATACCTATTGCTTAGAGAAGCCTCCTCCTGAGGTGCTTCTGGAAAGTTGGCATACGTCTTGAGCCTAAGCCAGGGAATCAGCTCTCATCTCGAGACGATTTGGGGTACACGGAGCATTCCTCGAGTTGCTGTGCTGAAGTTGGTATTTCTCTAGACTTGGGACAGTGTTCTCGGGGCATCTCTGGAGTTGCCTGAAGGAAGTCGAGCCACCGGTCGTGTTGAATGGGGAACGGGGAATGGCTCTGGTGTCAATGCAGGGGAATCGGGCCTCATCTCGAGTTGATTTGGGGCACATGGAGCTGCTTTGCGTTGCTGGGGTGACCTCAGGGTCCGTCTAGACTGGTGACAGTGTTCTTCGGGACTGTCTCGAGATCCATTAAGCAAGTCGAAGCTCCTGACTTGTTTGAATGGGATCACGGAATAGCTCTGCATGCACTGCAGTGGAATGGGGCCTCATCTCGCCTCTAGGGGGAAGTCTCATGGTTATTCTCGAGTTGCGGCGGGGACCTGGGGTATGTTCTCGACTTACGGCGGGGATGGCCCTTCAAAACACGAGTTTCTTCATTGACGTCAGGACTCCTGTCTAGTAACGAGGGACACCTCAGGAATCTCTTCGAGGCTGGGCAGGGCAAAAGGGACACTTCTCGAGGTGAGGCAGGGCACCCAAGGACCCTTTCCAGTAGCCACAGGGATTTTGGGATTCCTATCAGTATTCAAGAGGAGTCAGGCATCGTCTCCTTTTGAAGCAATGAACTCCGCGTGCTCTCGAGGTGTCAGCGGGATGAGAGGCATTTCGTCAAAATGAGGCAGCAACCTAGGGCTTTCTCTAAGGTCTCCACAGGGGATTCAGACATCCCTTCATGTTGTGAGATGAAAGACGAGCCTGTATTCAAGCCACTGCAAGGAAATCCGGCCTCCATTCAAGTTAGGGCCTCTCGCTGTATATTCCCCTTGAGGCAGCAAAGTCGGGGTCCCTCCCAAATACCTCTTGCTGAGAGAAGCCTCCTCCTGAGGTGCTTCTGGAAAGTTGGCATACGTCTTGAGCCTAAGCCAGGGAATCAGCTCTCATCTCGAGACGATTTGGGGTACCCGGAGCATTCCTCGAGTTGCTGTGCTGAAGTTGGTGTTCCTCTAGTCTTGGGACAGTGTTCTCGGGGCATCTCTGGAGTTGCCTGAAGGAAGTCGAGCCACCGGTCGTGTTGAATGGGGAACGGGGAATGGCTCTGGAGTCAATGCAGGGGAATCGGGCCTCATCTCGAGTTGATTTGGGGCATATGGAGCTGCCTTGCGTTGCTGGGGTGACCTCAGGGTCCGTCTAGACTGGTGACAGTGTTCTTGGGGACTGTCTCGAGATCCATTAAGCAAGTCGAAGCTCCTGAGTTGTTTGAATGAGATCACGGAATAGCTCTGCATGCACTGCAGGGGAATGGGGCCTCATCTCACCTCTAGGGGAAAGTCTCATGGTTTTTCTCGCGTTGCAGCGGGGACATGGGGTATGTTCTCGACTTACGGCGGGGATGGCCCTTCAAAACACGAGTTTCTTCAGTGACGTCAGGACTCCTGTCTAGTAACGAGGGACACCTCAGGAATCTCTTCGAGGCTGGGCAGGGCAAAAGGGACGCTTCTCGAGGTGAGGCAGGGCACCCAAGGACCATTTCCCGTAGCCACAGGGATTTTGGAATTCCTATCAGTATTCAAGAGGAGTCAGGCATCGTCACCTTTTGAAGCAATGAACTCCGCGTGCCTCTCGAGGTGTCAGCGGGATTTGAGGCATTCCGTCAAAATGAGGCAGGGATCTAGGGCTTTCTCTAAGGTCTCCACAGGGGACTCAGGCATCCCTTCATGTTGTGAGATGAAAGACGAGCCTGTATTCAAGCCACTGCAAGGAAATCCAGCCTCCTTTCAAGTTAGGGCCTCTCGCTTTATATTACCCTTGAAGCAGCAAACTCGGCGTCCCTCCCACATACCTATTGCTAGAGAAGCCTCCTCCTGAGGTGCTTCTGGAAAGTTGGCATACGTCTTGAGCCTAAGCCAGGGAATCAGCTCTCATCTCGAGACGATTTGGGGTACACGGAGCATTCCTTGAGTTGCTGTGCTGAAGTTGGTGTTCCTCTAGACTTGGGACAGTGTTCTCGGGGCATCTCTGGAGTTGCCTGAAGGAAGTCGAGCCACCGGTCGTGTTGAATGGGGAACGGGGAATGGCTCTGGAGTCAATGCAGGGGAATCGGGCCTCATCTCGAGTTGATTTGGGGCACATGGAGCGGCTTTGCGTTGCTGGGGTGACCTCAGGGTCCGTCTAGACTGGTGACAGTGTTCTTGGGGACTGTCTCGAGATCCATTAAGCAAGTCGAAGCTCCTGACTTGTTTGAATGAGATCACGGAATAGCTCTGCATGCACTGCAGGGGAATGGGGCCTCATCTCGCCTCTAGGGGGAAGTCTCATGGTTTTTCTCGCGTTGCAGCGGGGACATGGGGTATATTCTCGACTTACGGCGGGGATGGCCCTTCAAAACACGAGTTTCTTCAGTGACGTCAGGACTCCTGTCTAGTAACGAGGGACACCTCAGGAATCTCTTCGAGGCTGGGCAGGGCAAAAGGGACGCTTCTCGAGGTGAGGCAGGGCACCCAAGGACGCTTTCCAGTAGCCACAGGGATTTTGGGATTCCTATCAGTATTGAAGAGGAGTCAGGCATCGTCACCTTTTGGAGCAATGAACTCCGCGTGCCTCTCGAGGTGTCAGCGGGATGTGAGGCATTCCGTCAAAATGAGGCAGGGACCTAGGGCTTTCTCTGAGGTCTCCACAGGGGATTCAGACATCCCTTCATGTTGTGAGATGAAAGACGAGCCTGTATTCAAGCCACTGCAAGGAAATCCGGCCTACTTTCAAGTTAGGGCTTCTCGCTGTATATTCCCCTTGAAGCAGCAAACTCGGGGTCCCTCCCACATACCTATTGCTGAGAGAAGCCTCCTCCTGAGGTGCTTCTGGAAAGTTGGCATACGTCTTGAGCCTAAGCCAGGGAATCAGCTCTCATCTCGAGACGATTTGGGGTACACGGAGATTCCTCGAGTTGCTGTGCTGAAGTTGGTGTTCCTCTAGACTTGGGACAGTGTTCTCGGGGCATCTCTTGAGTGGCCTGAAGGAAGTAGAGCCACCGGTCGTGTTGAATGGGGAAAGGGGAATGGCCTTGGAGTCAATGCAGGGGAATCGGGCCTCATCTCGAGTTGATTTGGGGCACATGGAGCGGCTTTGCGTTGCTGGGGTGACCTCAGGGTCCGTCTAGACTGGTGACAGTGTTCTTGGGGACTGTCTCGAGATCCATTAAGCAAGTCGAAGCTCCTGACTTGTTTGAATGAGATCACGGAATAGCTCTGCATGCACTGCAGGGGAATGGGGCCTCATCTCGCCTCTAGGGGGAAGTCTCATGGTTTTTCTCGCGTTGCAGCGGGGACATGGGGTATATTCTCGACTTACGGCGGGGATGGCCCTTCAAAACACGAGTTTCTTCAGTGACGTCAGGACTCCTGTCTAGTAATGAGGGACACCTCAGGAATCTCTTCGAGGCTGGGCAGGGCAAAAGGGACGCTTCTCGAGGTGAGGCAGGGCACCCAAGGACGCTTTCCAGTAGCCACAGGGATTTTGGGATTCCTATCAGTATTCAAGAGGAGTCAGGCATCGTCACCTTTTGGAGCAATGAACTCCGCGTGCCTCTCGAGGTGTCAGCGGGATGAGAGGCATTCCGTCAAAATGAGGCAGGGACCTAGGGCTTTCTCTGAGGTCTCCACAGGGGATTCAGACATCCCTTCATGTTGTGAGATGAAAGACGAGCCTGTATTCAAGCCACTGCAAGGAAATCCGGCCTACTTTCAAGTTAGGGCTTCTCGCTGTATATTCCCCTTGAAGCAGCAAACTCGGGGTCCCTCCCACATACCTATTGCTGAGAGAAGCCTCCTCCTGAGGTGCTTCTGGAAAGTTGGCATACGTCTTGAGCCTAAGCCAGGGAATCAGCTCTCATCTCGAGACGATTTGGGGTACACGGAGATTCCTCGAGTTGCTGTGCTGAAGTTGGTGTTCCTCTAGACTTGGGACAGTGTTCTCGGGGCATCTCTTGAGTGGCCTGAAGGAAGTAGAGCCACCGGTCGTGTTGAATGGGGAAAGGGGAATGGCCTTGGAGTCAATGTAGGGGAATCGGGCCTCATTTCGAGTTGATTTGGGGCACATGGAGCAGCTTTGCGTTGCTGGGGTGACCTCAGGGTCCGTCTAGACTGGTGACAGTGTTCTTGGGGACTGTCTCGAGATCCATTAAGCAAGTCGAAGCTCCTGACTTGTTTGAATGAGATCACGGAATAGCTCTGCATGCACTGCAGGGGAATGGGGCCTCATCTCACCTCTAGGGGAAAGTCTCATGGTTTTTCTCGCGTTGCAGCAGGGACATGGGGTATGTTCTCGACTTACGGCGGGGATGGCCCTTCAAAACACGAGTTTCTTCAGTGACGTCAGGACTCCTGTCTAGTAACGAGGGACACCTCAGGAATCTCTTCGAGGCTGGGCAGGGCCAAAGGGACGCTTCTCGAGGTGAGGCAGGGCACCCAAGGACCCTTTCCAGTAGCCACAGGGATTTTGGGATTCCTATCAGTATTCAAGAGGAGTCAGGCATCGTCACTTTTGAAGCAATGAACTCCGCGTGCTCTCGAGGTGTCAGCGGGATGTGAGGCATTCGGTCAAAATGAGGCAGGGAACTAGGGCTTTCTCTAAGGTCTCCACAGGGGATTCAGACATCCCTTCATGTTGTGAGATGAAAGACGAGCCTGTATTCAAGCCACTGCAAAGAAATCCGGCCTCCTTTCAAGTTAGGGCCTCTCGCTGTATATTCCCCTTGAGGCAGCAAACTCGGGGTCCCTCCCACATACCTCTTGCTGAGAGAAGCCTCCTCCTGAGGAGCTTCTGGAAACTTGGCATACGTCTTGAGCCTAAGCCAGGGAATCAGCTCTCATCTCGAGACGATTTGGGGTACACGGAGTATTCCTCGAGTTGCTGTGCTGAAGTTGGTGTTCCTCTAGTCTTGGGACAGTGTTCTCGGGGCATCTCTGGAGTTGCCTGAAGGAAGTCGAGCCACCGGTCGTGTTGAATGGGGAACGGGGAATGGCTCTGGAGTCAATGCAGGGGAATCGGGCCTCATCTCGAGTTGATTTGGGGCACATGGAGCTGCCTTGCATTGCTGGGGTGACCTCAGGGTCAGTCTAGACTGGTGACAGTGTTCTTGGGGACTGTCTCGAGATCCATTAAGCAAGTTGAAGCTCCTGACTTGTTTGAATGGGATCACGGAATAGCGCTGCATGCACTGCAGGGGAATGGGGCCTCATGTCGCCTCTAGGGGGAAGTCTCATGGTTTTTCTCGAGTTGCTGCGGGGACCTGGGGTATGTTCTCGACTTACGGCGGGGATGGCACTTCAAAACACGAATTTCTTCAGTGACGTCAGGACTCCTGTCTAGTAACGAGGGACACCTCAGGAATCTCTTCGAGGCTTGGCAGGGCAAAAGGGACGCTTCTCGAGGTGAGGCAGGGCACCCAAGGTCCCTTTCCCGTAGCCACAGGGATTTTGGGATTCCTATCAGTATTCAAGAGGAGTCAGGCATCGTCACCTTTTGAAGCAATGAACTCCGCGTTCGTCTCGAAGTGTCAGCGGGATGTGAGGCATTCCGTCAAAATGAGGCAGGGACCTAGGGCTTTCTCTGAGGTCTCCACAGGGTATTCAGACATCCCTTCATGTTGTGAGATGAAAGACGAGCCTGTATTCAAGCCACTGCAAGGAAATCCGGCCTCCTTTCAAGTTAGGGCTTCTCGCTGTATATTCCCCTTGAGGCAGGAAACTCGGGGTCCCTCCCACATACATATTGCTGAGAGAAGCCTCCTCCTGAGGTGCTTCTGGAAAGTTGGCATACGTCTTGAGCCTAAGCCAGGAAATCAGCTCTCATCTCGAGACGATTTGGGGTACACGGAGATTCCTCGAGTTGCTGTGCTGAAGTTGGTGTTCCTCTAGACTTGGGACAGTGTTCTCGGGGCATCTCTTGAGTGGCCTGAAGGAAGTAGAGCCACCGGTCGTGTTGAATGGGGAAAGGGGAATGGCCTTGGAGTCAATGTAGGGGAATCGGGCCTCATTTCGAGTTGATTTGGGGCACATGGAGCGGCTTTGCGTTGCTGGGGTGACCTCAGGGTCCGTCTAGACTGGTGACAGTGTTCTTGGGGACTGTCTCGAGATCCATTAAGCAAGTCGAAGCTCCTGAGTTGTTTGAATGAGATCACGGAATAGCTCTGCATGCACTGCAGGGGAATGGGGCCTCATCTCACCTCTAGGGGAAAGTCTCATGGTTTTTCTCGCGTTGCAGCGGGGACATGGGGTATGTTCTCGACTTACGGCGGGGATGGCCCTTCAAAACACGAGTTTCTTCAGTGACGTCAGGACTCCTGTCTAGTAACGAGGGACACCTCAGGAATCTCTTCGAGGCTGGGCAGGGCAAAAGGGACGCTTCTCGAGGTGAGGCAGGGCACCCAAGGACCCTTTCCAGGAGCCACAGGGATTTTGTGATTCCTATCAGTATTCAAGAGGAGTCAGGCATCGTCACCTTTTGAAGCAATGAACTCCGCGTGCCTCTCGAGGTGTCAACGGGATGTGAGGCATTCCGTCAAAATGAGGCAGGGACCTAGGGCTTTCTCTAAGGTCTCCACAGGGGATTCAGACATCCCTTCATGTTGTGAGATGAAAGACGAGCCTGTATTCAAGCCACTGCAAGGAAATCCGGCCTCCTTTCAAGTTCGGGCCTCTCACTGTATATTCCCCTTGAGGCAGCAAACTCGGGGTCCCTCCCACATACATATTGCTGAGAGAAGCCTCCCCCTGAAGTGCTTCTGGAAAGTTTGCATACGTCTTGAGCCTAAGCCAGGGAATGAGCTCTCATCTCGAGATGATTTGTGGTACACGGAGCATTCCTCGAGTTGCTGTGCTGAAGTTGGTGTTCCTCTAGACTTGGGACAGTGTTCTCGGGGCATCTCTGGAGTTGCCTGAAGGAAGTCGAGCCACCGGTCGTGTTGAATGGGGAACGGGGAATGGCTCTGGAGTCAATGCAGGGGAATCGGGCCTCATCTCGAGTTGATTTGGGGCACATGGAGCTGCTTTTCGTTGCTGGGTTGACCTCAGGGTCCGTCTAGACTGGTGACAGTGTTCTTGGGGACTGTCTCGAGATCCATTAAGCAAGTCGAAGCTCCTGACTTGTTTGAATGGGATCACGGAATAGCTCTGCATGCACTGCAGGGGAATGGGGCCTCATCTCGCCTCTAGGGGGAAGTCTCATGGTTTTTCTCGAGTTGCGGCGGGGACCTGGGGTATGTTCTCGACGTAATGCGGGGATGCCCCTTCAAAACACGAGTTTCTTCAGTGACGTCAGGACTCCTGTCGAGTAACGAGGGACACCTCAGGAATATCTTCGAGGCTTGGCAGGGCAAAAGGGACGCTTCTCGAGGTGAGGCAGGGCAACCAAGGACCCTTTCCAGTAGCCACAGGGATTTTGGGATTCCTATCAGTATTCAAGAGGAGTCAGGCATCGTCACCTTTTGAAGCAATGAACTCCGCGTGCCTCTCGAGGTGTCAGCGGGATGTGAGGCATTCCGTCAAAATGAGGCAGGGACCTAGGGCTTTCTATGAGGTCTCCACAGGGGATTCAGACATCCATTCATGTTGTGAGATGAAAGACGAGCCTGTATTCAAGCCACTGCAAGGAAATCCGGCCTCCTTTCAAGTTAGGGCTTCTCGCTGTATATTACCCTTGAGGCAGCAAACTCGGGGTCCCTCCCACATACCTATTGCTGAGAGAAGCCTCCTCCTGAGGTGCTTCTGGAAAGTTGGCATACGTCTTGAGCCTAAGCCAGGGAATCAGCTCTCATCTCGAGACGATTTGGGGTACACGGAGCTTTCCTCGAGTTGCTGTGCTGAAGTTGGTGTTCCTCTAGACTTGGGACAGTGTTCTCGGGGCATCTCTGGAGTTGCCTGAAGGAAGTCGAGCCACCGGTCGTGTTGAATGGTGAACGGGGAATGGCTCTGGTGTCAATGCAGGGGAATCGGGCCTCATCTCGAGTTGATTTGGGGCACATGGAGCTGCTTTGCGTTGCTGGGGTGACCTCAGGGTCCGTCTAGACTGGTGACAGTGTTCTTGGGGACTGTCTCGAGATCCATTAAGCAAGTCGAAGCTCCTGACTTGTTTGAATGGGATCACGGAATAGCTCTGCATGCACTGCAGTGGAATGGGGCCTCATCTCGCCTCTAGGGGGAAGTCTCATTGTTATTCTCGAGTTGCGGCGGGGACCTGGGGTATGTTCTCGACTTACGGCGGGGATGGCCCTTCAAAACACGAGTTTCTTCAGTGACGTCAGGACTCCTGTCTAGTAACGAGGGACACCTCAGGAATCTCTTCGAGGCTGGGCAGGGCAAAAGGGACGCTTCTCGAGGTGAGGCAGGGCACCCAAGGACCCTTTCCAGTAGCCACAGGGATTTTGGGATTCCTATCAGTATTCAAGAGGAGTCAGGCACCGTCACCTTTTGAAGCAATGAACTCCGCGTGCTCTCGAGGTGTCAGCGGGATGTGAAGCATTCGGTCAAAATGAGGCAGGGACCTAGGGCTTTCTCTAAGGACTCCACAGGGGATTCAGACATCCCTTCATGTTGTGAGATGAAAGACGAGCCTGTATTCAAGCCACTGCAAAGAAATCCGGCCTCCTTTCAAGTTAGGGCCTCTCGCTGTATATTCCCCTTGAGGCAGCAAACTCGGGGTCCCTCCCACATACCTCTTGCTGAGAGAAGCCTCCTGCTGAGGAGCTTCTGGAAACTTGGCATACGTCTTGAGCCTAAGCCAGGGAATCAGCTCTCATCTCGAGACGATTTGGGGTACACGGAGTATTCCTCGAGTTGCTGTGCTGAGGTTGGTGTTCCTCTAGTCTTGGGACAGTGTTCTCGGGGCATCTCTGGAGTTGCCTGAAGGAAGTCGAGCCACCGGTCGTGTTGAATGGGGAACGGGGAATGGCTCTGGAGTCAATGCAGGGGAATCGGGCCTCATCTCGAGTTGATTTGGGGCACATGGAGCTGCCTTGCATTGCTGGGGTGACCTCAGGGTCAGTCTACACTGGTGACAGTGTTCTTGGGGACTGTCTCGAGATCCATTAAGCAAGTCGAAGCTCCTGACTTGTTTGAATGGGATCACGGAATAGCGCTGCATGCACTGCAGGGGAATGGGGCCTCATGTCGCCTCTAGGGGGAAGTCTCATGGTTTTTCTCGAGTTGCGGCGGGGACCTGGGGTATGTTCTCGACTTACGGCGGGGATGGCCCTTCAAAACACGAGTTTCTTCAGTGACGTCAGGACTCCTGTCTAGTAACGAGGGACACCTCAGGAATCTCTTCGAGGCTTGGCAGGGCAAAAGGGACGCTTCTCGAGGTGAGGCAGGGCACCCAAGGTCCCTTTCCCGTAGCCACAGGGATTTTGGGATTCCTATCAGTATTCAAGAGGAGTCAGGCATCGTCACCTTTTGAAGCAATGAACTCCTCGTGCCTCTCGAGGTGTCAGCGGGATGTGAGGCATTCCGTCAAAATGAGGCAGGGACCTAGGGCTTTCTCTGAGGTCTCCACAGGGGATTCAGACATCCCTTCATGTTGTGAGATGAAAGACGAGCCTGTATTCAAGCCACTGCAAGGAAATCCGGCCTCCTTTCAAGTTAGGGCTTCTCGCTGTATATTCCCCTTGAGGCAGCAAACTCGGGGTCCCTCCCACATACCTATTGCTGAGAGAAGCCTCCTCCTGAGGTGCTTCTGGAAAGTTGGCATACGTCTTGAGCCTAAGCCAGGGAATCAGCTCTCATCTTGAGACGATTTGGGGTACAAGGAGCATTCCTCGAGTTGCTGTGCTGAAGTTGGTGTTCCTCTAGACTTGGGAGAGTGTTCTCGGGGCATCTCTGGAGTTGCGTGAAGGAAGTCGAGCCACCGGTCTTGTTGAATGGGGAACGGGGAATGGCTCTGGTGTCAATGCAGGGGAATCGGGCCTCATCTCGGGTTGATTTGGGGCACATGGAGCTGCTTTGCGCTGCTGGGGTGACCTCAGGGTCCGTCTAGACTGGTGACAGTGTTCTTGGGGACTGTCTCGAGATCCATTAAGCAAGTCGAATCTCCTGACTTGTTTGAATGGGATCACGGAATAGCTCTGCATGCACTGCAGGGGAATGGGGCCTCATGTCGCCTCTAGGGGGAAGTCTCATGGTTTTTCCCGAGTTGCGGCTGGGACCTGGGGTATATTCTCGACTTACGGCGGGGATGGCCCTTCAAAACACGAGTTTCTTCAGTGACGTCAGGACTCCTGTCTAGTAAAGAGGGACACCTCAGTAATCTCTTCGAGGCTTGGCAGGGCAAAAAGGACGCTTCACGAGGTGAGGCAGGGCACCCAAGGACCCTTCCCGTAGCCACAGGGATTTTGGGATTCCTATCAGTATTCAAGAGGAGTCAGGCATCGTCACCTTTTGAAGCAATGAACCCCGCGTGCCTCTCGTGGTGTCAACGGGATGTGAGGCATTCCGTCAAAATGAGGCAGGGACCTAGGGCTTTCTTAAGGTCTCCACAGGGGATTCAGACATCCCTTCATGTTGTGAGATGAAAGACGAGCCTGTATTCAAGCCACTGCAAGGAAATCCGGCCTCCTTTCAAGTTAGGGTTTCTCGCTGTAAATTCCCCTTGCGGCAGCAAACTCGGGGTCCATCCCACATACCTATTGCTGAGAGAAGCCTCCTCCTCTGGTGCTTCTGGAAAGTTGTCATACTTGTTGAGCCTAAGCCAGGGAATCAGCTCTCATCTCGAGACGATTTGGGGTACACGGAGCATTCCTCGAGTTGCTGTGCTGAAGTTGGTGTTCCTCTAGACTTGGGACAGTGTTCTCAGGGCATCTCTTGAGTGGCCTGAAGGAAGTAGAGCCACCGGTCGTGTTGAATGGGGAAAGGGGAATGGCCTTGGAGTCAATGCAGGGGAATCGGGCCTCATTTCGAGTTGATTTGGGGCACATGGAGAGGCTTTGCGTTGCTGGGGTGACCTCAGGGTCCGTCTAGACTGGTGACAGTGTTCTTGGGGACTGTCTCGAGATCCATTAAGCAAGTCGAAGCTCCTGACTTGTTTGAATGAGATCACGGAATAGCTCTGCATGCACTGCAGGGGAATGGGGCCTCATCTCGACTCTAGGGGGAAGTCTCATGGTTTTACTCGAGTTGCAGCGGGGACCTGGGGTATGTTCTCGACTTACGGCGGGGATGGCCCTTCAAAACACGACTTTCTTCAGTGACGTCAGGACTCCTGTCTAGTAACGAGGGACACCTCAGGAATCTCTTCGAGGCTTGGCAGGGCAAAAGGGACGCTTCTCGAGGTGAGGCAGGGCACCCAAGGACCCTTTTCAGGAGCCACAGGGATTTTGGGATTCCTATCAGTATTCAAGAGGAGTCAGGCATCGTCACCTTTTGAAGCAATGAACTCCGCGTGCCTCTCGAGGTGTCAACGTGATGTGAGGCATTCCGTCAAAATGAGGCAGGGACCTAGGGCTTTCTTAAGGTCTCCACAGGGGATTCAGACATCCCTTCATGTTGTGAGATGAAAGACGAGCCTGTATTCAAGCCACTGCAAGGAAATCCGGCCTCCTTTCAAGTTCGGGCCTCTCACTGTATATTCCCCTTGAGGCAGCAAACTCGGGGTCCCTCCCACATACATATTGCTGAGAGAAGCCTCCCCCTGAAGTGCTTCTGGAAAGTTTGCATACGTCTTGAGCCTAAGCCAGGGAATGAGCTCTCATCTCGAGATGATTTGTGGTACACGGAGCATTCCTCGAGTTGCTGTGCTGAAGTTGGTGTTCCTCTAGACTTGGGACAGTGTTCTCGGGGCATCTCTGGAGTTGCCTGAAGGAAGTCGAGCCACCGGTCGTGTTGAATGGGGAACGGGGAATGGCTCTGGAGTCAATGCAGGGGAATCGGGCCTCATCTCGAGTTGATTTGGGGCACATGGAGCTGCTTTTCGTTGCTGGGTTGACCTCAGGGTCCGTCTAGACTGGTGACAGTGTTCTTGGGGACTGTCTCGAGATCCATTAAGCAAGTCGAAGCTCCTGACTTGTTTGAATGGGATCACGGAATAGCTCTGCATGCACTGCAGGGGAATGGGGCCTCATCTCGCCTCTAGGGGGAAGTCTCATGGTTTTTCTCGAGTTGCGGCGGGGACCTGGGGTATGTTCTCGACGTAATGCGGGGATGCCCCTTCAAAACACGAGTTTCTTCAGTGACGTCAGGACTCCTGTCGAGTAACGAGGGACACCTCAGGAATATCTTCGAGGCTTGGCAGGGCAAAAGGGACGCTTCTCGAGGTGAGGCAGGGCACCCAAGGACCGTTTCCAGTAGCCACAGGGATTTTGGGATTCCTATCAGTATTCAAGAGGAGTCAGGCATCGTCACCTTTTGAAGCAATGAACTCCGCGTGCCTCTCGAGGTGTCAGCGGGATGTGAGGCATTCCGTCAAAATGAGGCAGGGACCTAGGGCTTTCTATGAGGTCTCCACAGGGGATTCAGACATCCCTTCATGTTGTGAGATGAAAGACGAGCCTGTATTCAAGCCACTGCAAGGAAATCCGGCCTCCTTTCAAGTTAGGGCTTCTCGCTGTATATTCCCCTTGAGGCAGCAAACTCGGGGTCCCTCCCACATACCTATTGCTGAGAGAAGCCTCCTCCTGAGGTGCTTCTGGAAAGTTGGCATCCGTCTTGAGCCTAAGCCAGGGAATCAGCTCTCATCTTGAGACAATTTGGGGTACACGGAGCATTCCTCGAGTTGCTGTGCTGAAGTTGGTGTTCGTCTAGACTTGGGACAGTGTTCTCGGGGCATCTCTGGAGTTGCGTGAAGGAAGTCGAGCCACCGGTCTTGTTGAATGGGGAACGGGGAATGGCTCTGGAGTCAATGCAGGGGAATCGGGCCTCATCTCGAGTTGATTTGGGGCACATGGAGCTGCTTTGCGCTGCTGGGGTGACCTCAGGGTCCGTCTAACTGGTGACAGTGTTCTTGGGGACTGTCTCGAGATCCATTAAGCAAGTCGAATCTCCTGACTTGTTTGAATGGGATCACGGAATTGCTCTGCATGCACTGCAGGGGAATGGGGCCTCATGTCGCCTCTAGGGGGAAGTCTCATGGTTTTTCTCGAGTTGCGGCAGGGACCTGGGGTATGTTCTCGACTTACGGCGGGGAAGGCCCTTCAAAACACGAGTTTCTTCAGTGACGTCAGGACTCCTGTCTAGTAACGAGGGACACCTCAGGAATCTCTTCGAGGCTTGGCAGGGCAAAAGGGACGCTTCTCGAGTTGAGGCAGGGCACCCAAGGACCCTTTCCAGGAGCCACAGGGATTTTGGGATTCCTATCAGTATTCAAGAGGAGTCAGGCATCGTCACCTTTTGAAGCAATGAACTCCACGTGCCTCGCGAGGTGTCAGCGGGATGTGAGGCATTCCGTCAAAATGAGGCAGGGACCTAGGGCTTTCTCTAAGGTCTCCACAGGGGATTCAGACATCCCTTCATGTTGTGAGATGAAAGACGAGCCTGTATTCAAGCCACTGCAAGGAAATCAAGCCTCCTTTCAAGTTAGGGCCTCTCGCTTTATATTACCCTTGAGGCAGCAAACTCGGGGTCCCTCCCACATACCTATTGCTTAGAGAAGCCTCCTCCTGAGGTGCTTCTGGAAAGTTGGCATACGTCTTGAGCCTAAGCCAGGGAATCAGCTCTCATCTCGAGACGATTTGGGGTACACGGAGCTTTCCTCGAGTTGCTGTGCTGAAGTTGGTGTTCCTCTAGACTTGGGACAGTGTTCTCGGGGCATCTCTGGAGTTGCCTGAAGGAAGTCGAGCCACCGGTCGTGTTGAATGGTGAACGGGGAATGGCTCTGGTGTCAATGCAGGGGAATCGGGCCTCATCTCGAGTTGATTTGGGGCACATGGAGCTGCTTTGCGTTGCTGGGGTGACTTCAGGGTCCGTCTAGACTGGTGACAGTGTTCTTGGGACTGTCTCGAGATCCATTAAGCAAGTCGAAGGTCCTGACTTGTTTGAATGGGATCACGGAATAGCTCTGCATGCACTGCAGGGGAATGGGGCCTCATGTCGCCTCTAGGGGGAAGTCTCATAGTTTTTCTCGAGTTGCGGTGGGGACCTGGGGTATGTTCTCGACTTACGGCGGGGATGGCCCTTCAAAACACGAGTTTCTTCAGTGACGTCAGGACTCCTGTCTAGTAACGAGGGACACCTCAGGAATCTCTTCGAGGCTTGGCAGGGCAAAAGGGACGCTTCTCGAGGTGAGGCAGGGCACCCAAGGTCCCATTCCCGTAGCCACAGGGATTTTGGGATTCCTATCAGTATTCAAGAGGAGTCAGGCATCGTCACCTTTTGGAGCAATGAACTCCGCGTGCCTCTCGAGGTGTCAGAGGGATGTGAGGCATTCCGTCAAAATGAGGCAGGGACCTAGGGCTTTCTCTGAGGTCTCCACAGGGGATTCAGACATCCCTTCATGTTGTGAGATGAAAGACGAGGCTGTATTCAAGCCACTGCAAGGAAATCCGGCCTCCTTTCAAGTTAGGGCTTCTCACTGTATATTCCCCTTGAGGCAGCAAACTCGGGGTCCCTCCCACTTACCTATTGCTGAGAGAAGCCTCCTCCTGAGGTGCTTCTGGAAAGTTGGCATCCGTCTTGAGCCTAAGCCAGGGAATCAGCTCTCATCTCGAGACGATTTGGGGTACACGGAGCATTCCTCGAGTTGTTGTGCTGAAGTTGGTGTTCCTCTAGACTTGGGACAGTGTTCTCGGGGCATCTCTGGAGTTGCCTGAAGGAAGTCGAGCCACCGGTCGTGTTGAAAGGGGAACGGGGAATGGCTCTGGAGTCAATGCAGGGGAATCGGGCCTCATCTCGAGTTGATTTGGGGCACATGGAGCTGCTTTGCGTTGCTGGGGTGAGCTCAGGGTCCGTCTAGACTGGTGACAGTGTTCTTGGGGACTGTCTCGAGATCCATTAAGCAAGTCGAAGCTCCTGACTTGTTTGAATGGGATCACGGAATAGCTCTGCATGCACTGCAGGGGAATGGGGCCTCATCTGGCCTCTAGGGGGAAGTCTCATGGTTTTTCTCGAGTTGCGGCGGGGACCTGGGGTATGTTCTCGACGTACGGCGGGGATGGCCCTTTAAAACACGAGTCTCTTCAGTGACGTCAGGACTCCTTTCTAGTAACGAGGGACACCTCAGGAATCTCTTCGAGGCTTGGCAGGGCAAAAGGGACGCTTCTCGAGGTGAGGCAGGGCACCCAAGGACCCTTTCCAGGAGCCACAGGGATTTTGGGATTCCTATCAGTATTCAAGAGGAGTCAGGCATCGTCACCTTTTGAAGCAATGAACTCCGCGTGCCTCTCGAGGTGTCAGCGGGATGTGAGGCATTCCGTCAAAATGAGGCAGGGACCTAGGGCTTTCTCTGAGGTCTCCACAGGGGATTCAGACATCCCTTCATGTTGTGAGATGAAAGACGAGCCTGTATTCAAGCCACTGCAAGGAAATCCGGCCTCCTTTCAAGTTAGGGTTTCTCGCTGTAAATTCCCCTTGCGGCAGCAAACTCGGAGTCCATCCCACATACCTATTGCTGAGAGAAGCCTCCTCCTGTGGTGCTTCTGGAAAGTTGTCATACGTGTTGAGCCTAAGCCAGGGAATCAGCTCTCATCTCGAGACGATTTGGGGTACACGGAGCATTCCTCGAGTTGCTGTGCTGAAGTTGGTGTTCCTCTAGACTTGGGACAGTGTTCTCGGGGCATCTCTTGAGTGGCCTGAAGGAAGTAGAGCCACCGGTCGTGTTGAATGGGGAAAGGGGAATGGCCTTGGAGTCAATGCAGGGGAATCGGGCCTCATCTCGAGTTGATTTGGGGCACATGGAGCGGCTTTGCGTTGCTGGGGTGACCTCAGGGTCCGTCTAGACTGGTGACAGTGTTCTTGGGGACTGTCTCGAGATCCATTAAGCAAGTCGAAGCTCCTGACTTGTTTGAATGAGATCACGGAATAGCTCTGCATGCACTGCAGGGGAATGGGGCCTCATCTCGCCTCTAGGGGGAAGTCTCATGGTTTTTCTCGAGTTGCAGCGGGGACATGGGGTATGTTCTCGACTTACGGCGGGGATGGCCCTTCAAAACACGAGTTTCTTCATTGACGTCAGGACTCCTGTCTAGTAACGAGGGACACCTCAGGAATCTCTTCGAGGCTTGGCAGGGCAAAAGGGACGCTTTTCGAGGTGAGGCAGGGCACCCAAGGACCCTTTCCAGGAGCCACAGGGATTTTGGGATTCCTATCAGTATTCAAGAGGAGTCAGGCATCGTCACCTTTTGAAGCAATGAACTCCACGTGCCTCGCGAGGTGTCAGCGGGATGTGAGGTATTCCGTCAAAATGAGGCTGGGACCTAGGGCTTTCTCTAAGGTCTCCACAGGGGATTCAGACATCCCTTCATGTTGTGAGATGAAAGACGAGCCTGTATTCAAGCCACTGCAAGGAAATCAAGCCTCCTTTCAAGTTAGGGCCTCTCGCTTTATATTACCCTTGAGGCAGCAAACTCGGGGTCCCTCCCACATACCTATTGCTTAGAGAAGCCTCCTCCTGAGGTGCTTCTGGAAAGTTGGCATACGTCTTGAGCCTAAGCCAGGGAATCAGCTCTCATCTCGAGACGATTTGGGGTACACGGAGCATTCCTCGAGTTGCTGTGCTGAAGTTGGTATTTCTCTAGACTTGGGACAGTGTTCTCGGGGCATCTCTGGAGTTGCCTGAAGGAAGTCGAGCCACCGGTCGTGTTGAATGGGGAACGGGGAATGGCTCTGGTGTCAATGCAGGGGAATCGGGCCTCATCTCGAGTTGATTTGGGGCACATGGAGCTGCTTTGCGTTGCTGGGGTGACCTCAGGGTCCGTCTAGACTGGTGACAGTGTTCTTCGGGACTGTCTCGAGATCCATTAAGCAAGTCGAAGCTCCTGACTTGTTTGAATGGGATCACGGAATAGCTCTGCATGCACTGCAGTGGAATGGGGCCTCATCTCGCCTCTAGGGGGAAGTCTCATGGTTATTCTCGAGTTGCGGCGGGGACCTGGGGTATGTTCTCGACTTACGGCGGGGATGGCCCTTCAAAACACGAGTTTCTTCATTGACGTCAGGACTCCTGTCTAGTAACGAGGGACACCTCAGGAATCTCTTCGAGGCTGGGCAGGGCAAAAGGGACACTTCTCGAGGTGAGGCAGGGCACCCAAGGACCCTTTCCAGTAGCCACAGGGATTTTGGGATTCCTATCAGTATTCAAGAGGAGTCAGGCATCGTCTCCTTTTGAAGCAATGAACTCCGCGTGCTCTCGAGGTGTCAGCGGGATGAGAGGCATTTCGTCAAAATGAGGCAGCAACCTAGGGCTTTCTCTAAGGTCTCCACAGGGGATTCAGACATCCCTTCATGTTGTGAGATGAAAGACGAGCCTGTATTCAAGCCACTGCAAGGAAATCCGGCCTCCATTCAAGTTAGGGCCTCTCGCTGTATATTCCCCTTGAGGCAGCAAAGTCGGGGTCCCTCCCAAATACCTCTTGCTGAGAGAAGCCTCCTCCTGAGGTGCTTCTGGAAAGTTGGCATACGTCTTGAGCCTAAGCCAGGGAATCAGCTCTCATCTCGAGACGATTTGGGGTACCCGGAGCATTCCTCGAGTTGCTGTGCTGAAGTTGGTGTTCCTCTAGTCTTGGGACAGTGTTCTCGGGGCATCTCTGGAGTTGCCTGAAGGAAGTCGAGCCACCGGTCGTGTTGAATGGGGAACGGGGAATGGCTCTGGAGTCAATGCAGGGGAATCGGGCCTCATCTCGAGTTGATTTGGGGCATATGGAGCTGCCTTGCGTTGCTGGGGTGACCTCAGGGTCCGTCTAGACTGGTGACAGTGTTCTTGGGGACTGTCTCGAGATCCATTAAGCAAGTCGAAGCTCCTGAGTTGTTTGAATGAGATCACGGAATAGCTCTGCATGCACTGCAGGGGAATGGGGCCTCATCTCACCTCTAGGGGAAAGTCTCATGGTTTTTCTCGCGTTGCAGCGGGGACATGGGGTATGTTCTCGACTTACGGCGGGGATGGCCCTTCAAAACACGAGTTTCTTCAGTGACGTCAGGACTCCTGTCTAGTAACGAGGGACACCTCAGGAATCTCTTCGAGGCTGGGCAGGGCAAAAGGGACGCTTCTCGAGGTGAGGCAGGGCACCCAAGGACCCTTTCCCGTAGCCACAGGGATTTTGGAATTCCTATCAGTATTCAAGAGGAGTCAGGCATCGTCACCTTTTGAAGCAATGAACTCCGCGTGCCTCTCGAGGTGTCAGCGGGATTTGAGGCATTCCGTCAAAATGAGGCAGGGATCTAGGGCTTTCTCTAAGGTCTCCACAGGGGACTCAGGCATCCCTTCATGTTGTGAGATGAAAGACGAGCCTGTATTCAAGCCACTGCAAGGAAATCCAGCCTCCTTTCAAGTTAGGGCCTCTCGCTTTATATTACCCTTGAAGCAGCAAACTCGGCGTCCCTCCCACATACCTATTGCTAGAGAAGCCTCCTCCTGAGGTGCTTCTGGAAAGTTGGCATACGTCTTGAGCCTAAGCCAGGGAATCAGCTCTCATCTCGAGACGATTTGGGGTACACGGAGCATTCCTTGAGTTGCTGTGCTGAAGTTGGTGTTCCTCTAGACTTGGGACAGTGTTCTCGGGGCATCTCTGGAGTTGCCTGAAGGAAGTCGAGCCACCGGTCGTGTTGAATGGGGAACGGGGAATGGCTCTGGAGTCAATGCAGGGGAATCGGGCCTCATCTCGAGTTGATTTGGGGCACATGGAGCGGCTTTGCGTTGCTGGGGTGACCTCAGGGTCCGTCTAGACTGGTGACAGTGTTCTTGGGGACTGTCTCGAGATCCATTAAGCAAGTCGAAGCTCCTGACTTGTTTGAATGGGATCACGGAATAGCGCTGCATGCACTGCAGGGGAATGGGGCCTCATGTCGCCTCTAGGGGGAAGTCTCATGGTTTTTCTCGAGTTGCTGCGGGGACCTGGGGTATGTTCTCGACTTACGGCGGGGATGGCACTTCAAAACACGAATTTCTTCAGTGACGTCAGGACTCCTGTCTAGTAACGAGGGACACCTCAGGAATCTCTTCGAGGCTTGGCAGGGCAAAAGGGACGCTTCTCGAGGTGAGGCAGGGCACCCAAGGTCCCTTTCCCGTAGCCACAGGGATTTTGGGATTCCTATCAGTATTCAAGAGGAGTCAGGCATCGTCACCTTTTGAAGCAATGAACTCCGCGTTCGTCTCGAAGTGTCAGCGGGATGTGAGGCATTCCGTCAAAATGAGGCAGGGACCTAGGGCTTTCTCTGAGGTCTCCACAGGGTATTCAGACATCCCTTCATGTTGTGAGATGAAAGACGAGCCTGTATTCAAGCCACTGCAAGGAAATCCGGCCTCCTTTCAAGTTAGGGCTTCTCGCTGTATATTCCCCTTGAGGCAGGAAACTCGGGGTCCCTCCCACATACATATTGCTGAGAGAAGCCTCCTCCTGAGGTGCTTCTGGAAAGTTGGCATACGTCTTGAGCCTAAGCCAGGAAATCAGCTCTCATCTCGAGACGATTTGGGGTACACGGAGATTCCTCGAGTTGCTGTGCTGAAGTTGGTGTTCCTCTAGACTTGGGACAGTGTTCTCGGGGCATCTCTTGAGTGGCCTGAAGGAAGTAGAGCCACCGGTCGTGTTGAATGGGGAAAGGGGAATGGCCTTGGAGTCAATGTAGGGGAATCGGGCCTCATTTCGAGTTGATTTGGGGCACATGGAGCGGCTTTGCGTTGCTGGGGTGACCTCAGGGTCCGTCTAGACTGGTGACAGTGTTCTTGGGGACTGTCTCGAGATCCATTAAGCAAGTCGAAGCTCCTGAGTTGTTTGAATGAGATCACGGAATAGCTCTGCATGCACTGCAGGGGAATGGGGCCTCATCTCACCTCTAGGGGAAAGTCTCATGGTTTTTCTCGCGTTGCAGCGGGGACATGGGGTATGTTCTCGACTTACGGCGGGGATGGCCCTTCAAAACACGAGTTTCTTCAGTGACGTCAGGACTCCTGTCTAGTAACGAGGGACACCTCAGGAATCTCTTCGAGGCTGGGCAGGGCAAAAGGGACGCTTCTCGAGGTGAGGCAGGGCACCCAAGGACCCTTTCCAGTAGCCACAGGGATTTTGGGATTCCTATCAGTATTCAAGAGGAGTCAGGCATCGTCACTTTTGAAGCAATGAACTCCGCGTGCTCTCGAGGTGTCAGCGGGATGTGAGGCATTCGGTCAAAATGAGGCAGGGACCTAGGGCTTTCTCTAAGGTCTCCACAGGGGATTCAGACATCCCTTCATGTTGTGAGATGAAAGACGAGCCTGTATTCAAGCCACTGCAAAGAAATCCGGCCTCCTTTCAAGTTAGGGCCTCTCGCTGTATATTCCCCTTGAGGCAGCAAACTCGGGGTCCCTCCCACATACCTCTTGCTGAGAGAAGCCTCCTCCTGAGGAGCTTCTGGAAACTTGGCATACGTCTTGAGCCTAAGCCAGGGAATCAGCTCTCATCTCGAGACGATTTGGGGTACACGGAGTATTCCTCGAGTTGCTGTGCTGAAGTTGGTGTTCCTCTAGTCTTGGGACAGTGTTCTCGGGGCATCTCTGGAGTTGCCTGAAGGAAGTCGAGCCACCGGTCGTGTTGAATGGGGAACGGGGAATGGCTCTGGAGTCAATGCAGGGGAATCGGGCCTCATCTCGAGTTGATTTGGGGCACATGGAGCTGCCTTGCATTGCTGGGGTGACCTCAGGGTCAGTCTAGACTGGTGACAGTGTTCTTGGGGACTGTCTCGAGATCCATTAAGCAAGTCGAAGCTCCTGACTTGTTTGAATGGGATCACGGAATAGCGCTGCATGCACTGCAGGGGAATGGGGCCTCATGTCGCCTCTAGGGGGAAGTCTCATGGTTTTTCTCGAGTTGCTGCGGGGACCTGGGGTATGTTCTCGACTTACGGCGGGGATGGCCCTTCAAAACACGAGTTTCTTCAGTGACGTCAGGACTCCTGTCTAGTAACGAGGGACACCTCAGGAATCTCTTCGAGGCTTGGCAGGGCAAAAGGGACGCTTCTCGAGGTGAGGCAGGGCACCCAAGGTCCCATTCCCGTAGCCACAGGGATTTTGGGATTCCTATCAGTATTCAAGAGGAGTCAGGCATCGTCACCTTTTGAAGCAATGAACTCCGCGTTCGTCTCGAAGTGTCAGCGGGATGTGAGGCATTCCGTCAAAATGAGGCAGGGACCTAGGGCTTTCTCTGAGGTCTCCACAGGGGATTCAGACACCCCTTCATGTTGTGAGATGAAAGACGAGCCTGTATTCAAGCCACTGCAAGGAAATCCGGCCTCCTTTCAAGTTAGGGCTTCTCGCTGTATATTCCCCTTGAGGCAGCAAACTCGGGGTCCCTCCCACATACATATTGCTGAGAGAAGCCTCCTCCTGAGGTGCTTCTGGAAATTTGGCATACGTCTTGAGCCTAAGCGAGGGAATCAGCTCTCATCTCGAGACGATTTGGGGTACACGGAGCATTCCACGAGATGCTGTGCTGAAGTTGGTGTTCCTCTAGACTTGGGACAGTGTTCTCGGGGCATCTCTGGAGTTGCCTGAAGGAAGTCGAGCCACCGGTCGTGTTGAAAGGGAAACGGGGAATGGCTCTGGAGTTAATGCAGGGGAATCGGGCCTCATCTCGAGTTGATTTGCGGCACATGGAGCTGCTTTGCGTTGCTGGGGTGAGCTCAGGGTCCGTCTAGACTGGTGACAGTGTTCTTGGGGACTGTCTCGAGATCCATTAAGCAAGTCGAAGCTCCTGACTTGTTTGAATGGGATCACGGAATAGCCCTGCATGCACTGCAGGGGAATTGGGCCTCATCTCGCCTCTAGGGGGAAGTCTCATGGTTTTTCTCGAGTTGCGGCGGGGACCTGGGGTATGTTCTCGACGTAATGCGGGGATGCCCCTTCAAAACACGAGTTTCTTCAGTGACGTCAGGACTCCTTTCTAGTAACGAGGGACACCTCAGGAATCTCTTCGATGCTTGGCAGGGCAAAAGGGACGCTTCTCGAGGTGAGGCAGGGAACCCAAGGACCCTTTCCAGTAGCCACAGGGATTTTGGGATTCCTATCAGTATTCAATAGGAGTCAGGCATCGTCACCTTTTGAAGCACTGAACTCCTCGTGCCTCTCGAGGTGTCAGCGGGATGTGAGGCATTCCGTCAAAATGAGGCAGGGACCTAGGGCTTTCTCTGAGGTCTCCACAGGGGATTCAGACATCCCTTCATGTTGTGAGATGAAAGACGAGCCTGTATTCAAGACACTGTAAGGAAATTCGGCCTCCTTTCAAGTTAGGGCTTCTCGCTGTATATTCCCCTTGAGGCAGCAAACTCGGGGTCCCTCCCACATACCTATTGCTGAGAGAAGCCTCCTCCTGAGGTGCTTCTGGAAAGTTGGCATACGTCTTGAGCCTAAGCCAGGGAATCAGCTCTCATCTTGAGACGATTTGGGGTACAAGGAGCATTCCTCGAGTTGCTGTGCTGAAGTTGGTGTTCCTCTAGCCTTGGGAGAGTGTTCTCGGGGCATCTCTGGAGTTGCGTGAAGGAAGTCGAGCCACCGGTCTTGTTGAATGGGGAACGGGGAATGGCTCTGGAGTCAATGCAGGGGAATCGGGCCTCATCTCGGGTTGATTTGGGGCACATGGAGCTGCTTTGCTTTGCTGGGGTGACCTCAGGGTCCGTCTAGACTGGTGACAGTGTTCTTGGGGACTGTCTCGAGATCCATTAAGCAAGTCGAATCTCCTGACTTGTTTGAATGAGATCACGGAATAGCTCTGCATGCACTGCAGGGGAATGGGGCCTCATCTCGCCTCTAGGGGGAAGTCTCATGGTTTTACTCGAGTTGCAGCGGGGACCTGGGGTACGTTCTCGACTTACGGCGGGGATGGCCCTTCAAAACACGAGTTTCTTCAGTGACGTCAGGACTCCTGTCTAGTAACGAGGGACACCTCAGGAATCTCTTCGAGGCTTGGCAGGGCAAAAGGGACGCTTCTCGAGGTGAGGCAGGGCACCCAAGGACCCTTTCCAGGAGCCACAGGGATTTTGTGATTCCTATCAGTATTCAAGAGGAGTCAGGCATCGTCACCTTTTGAAGCAATGAACTCCGCGTGCCTCTCGAGGTGTCAACGGGATGTGAGGCATTCCGTCAAAATGAGGCAGGGACCTAGGGCTTTCTCTAAGGTCTCCACAGGGGATTCAGACATCCCTTCATGTTGTGAGATGAAAGACGAGCCTGTATTCAAGCCACTGCAAGGAAATCCGGCCTCCTTTCAAGTTCGGGCCTCTCACTGTATATTCCCCTTGAGGCAGCAAACTCGGGGTCCCTCCCACATACATATTGCTGAGAGAAGCCTCCCCCTGAAGTGCTTCTGGAAAGTTTGCATACGTCTTGAGCCTAAGCCAGGGAATGAGCTCTCATCTCGAGATGATTTGTGGTACACGGAGCATTCCTCGAGTTGCTGTGCTGAAGTTGGTGTTCCTCTAGACTTGGGACAGTGTTCTCGGGGCATCTCTGGAGTTGCCTGAAGGAAGTCGAGCCACCGGTCGTGTTGAATGGGGAACGGGGAATGGCTCTGGAGTCAATGCAGGGGAATCGGGCCTCATCTCGAGTTGATTTGGGGCACATGGAGCTGCTTTTCGTTGCTGGGTTGACCTCAGGGTCCGTCTAGACTGGTGACAGTGTTCTTGGGGACTGTCTCGAGATCCATTAAGCAAGTCGAAGCTCCTGACTTGTTTGAATGGGATCACGGAATAGCTCTGCATGCACTGCAGGGGAATGGGGCCTCATCTCGCCTCTAGGGGGAAGTCTCATGGTTTTTCTCGAGTTGCGGCGGGGACCTGGGGTATGTTCTCGACGTAATGCGGGGATGCCCCTTCAAAACACGAGTTTCTTCAGTGACGTCAGGACTCCTGTCGAGTAACGAGGGACACCTCAGGAATATCTTCGAGGCTTGGCAGGGCAAAAGGGACGCTTCTCGAGGTGAGGCAGGGCAACCAAGGACCCTTTCCAGTAGCCACAGGGATTTTGGGATTCCTATCAGTATTCAAGAGGAGTCAGGCATCGTCACCTTTTGAAGCAATGAACTCCGCGTGCCTCTCGAGGTGTCAGCGGGATGTGAGGCATTCCGTCAAAATGAGGCAGGGACCTAGGGCTTTCTATGAGGTCTCCACAGGGGATTCAGACATCCCTTCATGTTGTGAGATGAAAGACGAGCCTGTATTCAAGCCACTGCAAGGAAATCCGGCCTCCTTTCAAGTTAGGGCTTCTCGCTGTATATTCCCCTTGAGGCAGCAAACTCGGGGTCCCTCCCACATACCTATTGCTGAGAGAAGCCTCCTCCTGAGGTGCTTCTGGAAAGTTGGCATACGTCTTGAGCCTAAGCCAGGGAATCAGCTCTCATCTTGAGACAATTTGGGGTACACGGAGCATTCCTCGAGTTGCTGTGCTGAAGTTGGTGTTCGTCTAGACTTGGGACAGTGTTCTCGGGGCATCTCTGGAGTTGCGTGAAGGAAGTCGAGCCACCGGTCTTGTTGAATGGGGAACGGGGAATGGCTCTGGAGTCAATGCAGGGGAATCGGGCCTCATCTCGAGTTGATTTGGGGCACATGGAGCTGCTTTGCGCTGCTGGGGTGACCTCAGGGTCCGTCTAACTGGTGACAGTGTTCTTGGGGACTGTCTCGAGATCCATTAAGCAAGTCGAATCTCCTGACTTGTTTGAATGGGATCACGGAATAGCTCTGCATGCACTGCAGGGGAATGGGGCCTCATGTCGCCTCTAGGGGGAAGTCTCATGGTTTTTCTCGAGTTGCGGCAGGGACCTGGAGTATGTTCTCGACTTACGGCGGGGATGGCCCTTCAAAACACGAGTTTCTTCATTGACGTCAGGACTCCTGTCTAGTAACGAGGGACACCTCAGGAATCTCTTCGAGGCTTGGCAGGGCAAAAGGGACGCTTTTCGAGTTGAGGCAGGGCACCCAAGGACCCTTTCCAGGAGCCACAGGGATTTTGGGATTCCTATCAGTATTCAAGAGGAGTCAGGCATCGTCACCTTTTGAAGCAATGAACTCCACGTGCCTCGCGAGGTGTCAGCGGGATGTGAGGCATTCCGTCAAAATGAGGCAGGGACCTAGGGCTTTCTCTAAGGTCTCCACAGGGGATTCAGACATCCCTTCATGTTGTGAGATGAAAGACGAGCCTGTATTCAAGCCACTGCAAGGAAATCAAGCCTCCTTTCAAGTTAGGGCCTCTCGCTTTATATTACCCTTGAGGCAGCAAACTCGGGGTCCTCCCACATACCTATTGCTTAGAGAAGCCTCCTCCTGAGGTGCTTCTGGAAAGTTGGCATACGTCTTGAGCCTAAGCCAGGGAATCAGCTCTCATCTCGAGACGATTTGGGGTACACGGAGCTTTCCTCGAGTTGCTGTGCTGAAGTTGGTGTTCCTCTAGACTTGGGACAGTGTTCTCGGGGCATCTCTGGAGTTGCCTGAAGGAAGTCGAGCCACCGGTCGTGTTGAATGGTGAACGGGGAATGGCTCTGGTGTCAATGCAGGGGAATCGGGCCTCATCTCGAGTTGATTTGGGGCACATGGAGCTGCTATGAGTTGCTGGGGTGACCTCAGGGTCCGTCTAGACTGGTGACAGTGTTCTTGGGGACTGTCTCGAGATCCATTAAGCAAGTCGAAGCTCCTGACTTGTTTGAATGGGATCACGGAATAGCTCTGCATGCACTGCAGTGGAATGGGGCCTCATCTCGCCTCTAGGGGGAAGTCTCATTGTTATTCTCGAGTTGCGGCGGGGACCTGGGGTATGTTCTCGACTTACGGCGGGGATGGCCCTTCAAAACACGAGTTTCTTCAGTGACGTCAGGACTCCTGTCTAGTAACGAGGGACACCTCAGGAATCTCTTCGAGGCTGGGCAGGGCAAAAGGGACGCTTCTCGAGGTGAGGCAGGGCACCCAAGGACCCTTTCCAGTAGCCACAGGGATTTTGGGATTCCTATCAGTATTCAAGAGGAGTCAGGCACCGTCACCTTTTGAAGCAATGAACTCCGCGTGCTCTCGAGGTGTCAGCGGGATGTGAGGCATTCGGTCAAAATGAGGCAGGGACCTAGGGCTTTCTCTAAGGACTCCACAGGGGATTCAGACATCCCTTCATGTTGTGAGATGAAAGACGAGCCTGTATTCAAGCCACTGCAAAGAAATCCGGCCTCCTTTCAAGTTAGGGCCTCTCGCTGTATATTCCCCTTGAGGCAGCAAACTCGGGGTCCCTCCCACATACCTCTTGCTGAGAGAAGCCTCCTGCTGAGGAGCTTCTGGAAACTTGGCATACGTCTTGAGCCTAAGCCAGGGAATCAGCTCTCATCTCGAGACGATTTGGGGTACACGGAGTATTCCTCGAGTTGCTGTGCTGAGGTTGGTGTTCCTCTAGTCTTGGGACAGTGTTCTCGGGGCATCTCTGGAGTTGCCTGAAGGAAGTCGAGCCACCGGTCGTGTTGAATGGGGAACGGGGAATGGCTCTGGAGTCAATGCAGGGGAATCGGGCCTCATCTCGAGTTGATTTGGGGCACATGGAGCTGCCTTGCATTGCTGGGGTGACCTCAGGGTCAGTCTACACTGGTGACAGTGTTCTTGGGGACTGTCTCGAGATCCATTAAGCAAGTCGAAGCTCCTGACTTGTTTGAATGGGATCACGGAATAGCGCTGCATGCACTGCAGGGGAATGGGGCCTCATGTCGCCTCTAGGGGGAAGTCTCATGGTTTTTCTCGAGTTGCGGCGGGGACCTGGGGTATGTTCTCGACTTACGGCGGGGATGGCCCTTCAAAACACGAGTTTCTTCAGTGACGTCAGGACTCCTGTCTAGTAACGAGGGACACCTCAGGAATCTCTTCGAGGCTTGGCAGGGCAAAAGGGACGCTTCTCGAGGTGAGGCAGGGCACCCAAGGTCCCTTTCCCGTAGCCACAGGGATTTTGGGATTCCTATCAGTATTCAAGAGGAGTCAGGCATCGTCACCTTTTGAAGCAATGAACTCCTCGTGCCTCTCGAGGTGTCAGCGGGATGTGAGGCATTCCGTCAAAATGAGGCAGGGACCTAGGGCTTTCTCTGAGGTCTCCACAGGGGATTCAGACATCCCTTCATGTTGTGAGATGAAAGACGAGCCTGTATTCAAGCCACTGCAAGGAAATCCGGCCTCCTTTCAAGTTAGGGCTTCTCGCTGTATATTCCCCTTGAGGCAGCAAACTCGGGGTCCCTCCCACATACCTATTGCTGAGAGAAGCCTCCTCCTGAGGTGCTTCTGGAAAGTTGGCATACGTCTTGAGCCTAAGCCAGGGAATCAGCTCTCATCTTGAGACGATTTGGGGTACAAGGAGCATTCCTCGAGTTGCTGTGCTGAAGTTGGTGTTCCTCTAGACTTGGGAGAGTGTTCTCGGGGCATCTCTGGAGTTGCGTGAAGGAAGTCGAGCCACCGGTCTTGTTGAATGGGGAACGGGGAATGGCTCTGGTGTCAATGCAGGGGAATCGGGCCTCATCTCGGGTTGATTTGGGGCACATGGAGCTGCTTTGCGCTGCTGGGGTGACCTCAGGGTCCGTCTAGACTGGTGACAGTGTTCTTGGGGACTGTCTCGAGATCCATTAAGCAAGTCGAATCTCCTGACTTGTTTGAATGGGATCACGGAATAGCTCTGCATGCACTGCAGGGGAATGGGGCCTCATGTCGCCTCTAGGGGGAAGTCTCATGGTTTTTCCCGAGTTGCGGCTGGGACCTGGGGTATGTTCTCGACTTACGGCGGGGATGGCCCTTCAAAACACGAGTTTCTTCAGTGACGTCAGGACTCCTGTCTAGTAAAGAGGGACACCTCAGTAATCTCTTCGAGGCTTGGCAGGGCAAAAAGGACGCTTCACGAGGTGAGGCAGGGCACCCAAGGACCCTTCCCGTAGCCACAGGGATTTTGGGATTCCTATCAGTATTCAAGAGGAGTCAGGCATCGTCACCTTTTGAAGCAATGAACCCCGCGTGCCTCTCGTGGTGTCAACGGGATGTGAGGCATTCCGTCAAAATGAGGCAGGGACCTAGGGCTTTCTTAAGGTCTCCACAGGGGATTCAGACATCCCTTCATGTTGTGAGATGAAAGACGAGCCTGTATTCAAGCCACTGCAAGGAAATCCGGCCTCCTTTCAAGTTAGGGTTTCTCGCTGTAAATTCCCCTTGCGGCAGCAAACTCGGGGTCCATCCCACATACCTATTGCTGAGAGAAGCCTCCTCCTGTGGTGCTTCTGGAAAGTTGTCATACTTGTTGAGCCTAAGCCAGGGAATCAGCTCTCATCTCGAGACGATTTGGGGTACACGGAGCATTCCTCGAGTTGCTGTGCTGAAGTTGGTGTTCCTCTAGACTTGGGACAGTGTTCTCAGGGCATCTCTTGAGTGGCCTGAAGGAAGTAGAGCCACCGGTCGTGTTGAATGGGGAAAGGGGAATGGCCTTGGAGTCAATGCAGGGGAATCGGGCCTCATTTCGAGTTGATTTGGGGCACATGGAGAGGCTTTGCGTTGCTGGGGTGACCTCAGGGTCCGTCTAGACTGGTGACAGTGTTCTTGGGGACTGTCTCGAGATCCATTAAGCAAGTCGAAGCTCCTGACTTGTTTGAATGAGATCACGGAATAGCTCTGCATGCACTGCAGGGGAATGGGGCCTCATCTCGACTCTAGGGGGAAGTCTCATGGTTTTACTCGAGTTGCAGCGGGGACCTGGGGTATGTTCTCGACTTACGGCGGGGATGGCCCTTCAAAACACGACTTTCTTCAGTGACGTCAGGACTCCTGTCTAGTAACGAGGGACACCTCAGGAATCTCTTCGAGGCTTGGCAGGGCAAAAGGGACGCTTCTCGAGGTGAGGCAGGGCACCCAAGGACCCTTTTCAGGAGCCACAGGGATTTTGGGATTCCTATCAGTATTCAAGAGGAGTCAGGCATCGTCACCTTTTGAAGCAATGAACTCCGCGTGCCTCTCGAGGTGTCAACGTGATGTGAGGCATTCCGTCAAAATGAGGCAGGGACCTAGGGCTTTCTTAAGGTCTCCACAGGGGATTCAGACATCCCTTCATGTTGTGAGATGAAAGACGAGCCTGTATTCAAGCCACTGCAAGGAAATCCGGCCTCCTTTCAAGTTCGGGCCTCTCACTGTATATTCCCCTTGAGGCAGCAAACTCGGGGTCCCTCCCACATACATATTGCTGAGAGAAGCCTCCCCCTGAAGTGCTTCTGGAAAGTTTGCATACGTCTTGAGCCTAAGCCAGGGAATGAGCTCTCATCTCGAGATGATTTGTGGTACACGGAGCATTCCTCGAGTTGCTGTGCTGAAGTTGGTGTTCCTCTAGACTTGGGACAGTGTTCTCGGGGCATCTCTGGAGTTGCCTGAAGGAAGTCGAGCCACCGGTCGTGTTGAATGGGGAACGGGGAATGGCTCTGGAGTCAATGCAGGGGAATCGGGCCTCATCTCGAGTTGATTTGGGGCACATGGAGCTGCTTTGCGTTGCTGGGGTGACCTCAGGGTCCGTCTAGACTGGTGACAGTGTTCTTGGGACTGTCTCGAGATCCATTAAGCAAGTCGAAGCTCCTGACTTGTTTGAATGGGATCACGGAATAGCTCTGCATGCACTGCAGGGGAATGGGGCCTCATCTCGCCTCTAGGGGGAAGTCTCATGGTTTTTCTCGAGTTGCGGCGGGGACCTGGGGTATGTTCTCGACGTAATGCGGGGATGCCCCTTCAAAACACGAGTTTCTTCAGTGACGTCAGGACTCCTGTCGAGTAACGAGGGACACCTCAGGAATATCTTCGAGGCTTGGCAGGGCAAAAGGGACGCTTCTCGAGGTGAGGCAGGGCACCCAAGGACCCTTTCCAGTAGCCACAGGGATTTTGGGATTCCTATCAGTATTCAAGAGGAGTCAGGCATCGTCACCTTTTGAAGCAATGAACTCCGCGTGCCTCTCGAGGTGTCAGCGGGATGTGAGGCATTCCGTCAAAATGAGGCAGGGACCTAGGGCTTTCTATGAGGTCTCCACAGGGGATTCAGACATCCCTTCATGTTGTGAGATGAAAGACGAGCCTGTATTCAAGCCACTGCAAGGAAATCCGGCCTCCTTTCAAGTTAGGGCTTCTCGCTGTATATTCCCCTTGAGGCAGCAAACTCGGGGTCCCTCCCACATACCTATTGCTGAGAGAAGCCTCCTCCTGAGGTGCTTCTGGAAAGTTGGCATCCGTCTTGAGCCTAAGCCAGGGAATCAGCTCTCATCTTGAGACAATTTGGGGTACACGGAGCATTCCTCGAGTTGCTGTGCTGAAGTTGGTGTTCGTCTAGACTTGGGACAGTGTTCTCGGGGCATCTCTGGAGTTGCGTGAAGGAAGTCGAGCCACCGGTCTTGTTGAATGGGGAACGGGGAATGGCTCTGGAGTCAATGCAGGGGAATCGGGCCTCATCTCGAGTTGATTTGGGGCACATGGAGCTGCTTTGCGCTGCTGGGGTGACCTCAGGGTCCGTCTAACTGGTGACAGTGTTCTTGGGGACTGTCTCGAGATCCATTAAGCAAGTCGAATCTCCTGACTTGTTTGAATGGGATCACGGAATTGCTCTGCATGCACTGCAGGGGAATGGGGCCTCATGTCGCCTCTAGGGGGAAGTCTCATGGTTTTTCTCGAGTTGCGGCAGGGACCTGGGGTATGTTCTCGACTTACGGCGGGGAAGGCCCTTCAAAACACGAGTTTCTTCAGTGACGTCAGGACTCCTGTCTAGTAACGAGGGACACCTCAGGAATCTCTTCGAGGCTTGGCAGGGCAAAAGGGACGCTTCTCGAGTTGAGGCAGGGCACCCAAGGACCCTTTCCAGGAGCCACAGGGATTTTGGGATTCCTATCAGTATTCAAGAGGAGTCAGGCATCGTCACCTTTTGAAGCAATGAACTCCACGTGCCTCGCGAGGTGTCAGCGGGATGTGAGGCATTCCGTCAAAATGAGGCAGGGACCTAGGGCTTTCTCTAAGGTCTCCACAGGGGATTCAGACATCCCTTCATGTTGTGAGATGAAAGACGAGCCTGTATTCAAGCCACTGCAAGGAAATCAAGCCTCCTTTCAAGTTAGGGCCTCTCGCTTTATATTACCCTTGAGGCAGCAAACTCGGGGTCCCTCCCACATACCTATTGCTTAGAGAAGCCTCCTCCTGAGGTGCTTCTGGAAAGTTGGCATACGTCTTGAGCCTAAGCCAGGGAATCAGCTCTCATCTCGAGACGATTTGGGGTACACGGAGCTTTCCTCGAGTTGCTGTGCTGAAGTTGGTGTTCCTCTAGACTTGGGACAGTGTTCTCGGGGCATCTCTGGAGTTGCCTGAAGGAAGTCGAGCCACCGGTCGTGTTGAATGGTGAACGGGGAATGGCTCTGGTGTCAATGCAGGGGAATCGGGCCTCATCTCGAGTTGATTTGGGGCACATGGAGCTGCTTTGCGTTGCTGGGGTGACTTCAGGGTCCGTCTAGACTGGTGACAGTGTTCTTGGGACTGTCTCGAGATCCATTAAGCAAGTCGAAGGTCCTGACTTGTTTGAATGGGATCACGGAATAGCTCTGCATGCACTGCAGGGGAATGGGGCCTCATGTCGCCTCTAGGGGGAAGTCTCATAGTTTTTCTCGAGTTGCGGTGGGGACCTGGGGTATGTTCTCGACTTACGGCGGGGATGGCCCTTCAAAACACGAGTTTCTTCAGTGACGTCAGGACTCCTGTCTAGTAACGAGGGACACCTCAGGAATCTCTTCGAGGCTTGGCAGGGCAAAAGGGACGCTTCTCGAGGTGAGGCAGGGCACCCAAGGTCCCATTCCCGTAGCCACAGGGATTTTGGGATTCCTATCAGTATTCAAGAGGAGTCAGGCATCGTCACCTTTTGGAGCAATGAACTCCGCGTGCCTCTCGAGGTGTCAGCGGGATGTGAGGCATTCCGTCAAAATGAGGCAGGGACCTAGGGCTTTCTCTGAGGTCTCCACAGGGGATTCAGACATCCCTTCATGTTGTGAGATGAAAGACGAGGCTGTATTCAAGCCACTGCAAGGAAATCCGGCCTCCTTTCAAGTTAGGGCTTCTCGCTGTATATTCCCCTTGAGGCAGCAAACTCGGGGTCCCTCCCACTTACCTATTGCTGAGAGAAGCCTCCTCCTGAGGTGCTTCTGGAAAGTTGGCATCCGTCTTGAGCCTAAGCCAGGGAATCAGCTCTCATCTCGAGACGATTTGGGGTACACGGAGCATTCCTCGAGTTGTTGTGCTGAAGTTGGTGTTCCTCTAGACTTGGGACAGTGTTCTCGGGGCATCTCTGGAGTTGCCTGAAGGAAGTCGAGCCACCGGTCGTGTTGAAAGGGGAACGGGGAATGGCTCTGGAGTCAATGCAGGGGAATCGGGCCTCATCTCGAGTTGATTTGGGGCACATGGAGCTGCTTTGCGTTGCTGGGGTGAGCTCAGGGTCCGTCTAGACTGGTGACAGTGTTCTTGGGGACTGTCTCGAGATCCATTAAGCAAGTCGAAGCTCCTGACTTGTTTGAATGGGATCACGGAATAGCTCTGCATGCACTGCAGGGGAATGGGGCCTCATCTGGCCTCTAGGGGGAAGTCTCATGGTTTTTCTCGAGTTGCGGCGGGGACCTGGGGTATGTTCTCGACGTACGGCGGGGATGGCCCTTTAAAACACGAGTCTCTTCAGTGACGTCAGGACTCCTTTCTAGTAACGAGGGACACCTCAGGAATCTCTTCGAGGCTTGGCAGGGCAAAAGGGACGCTTCTCGAGGTGAGGCAGGGCACCCAAGGACCCTTTCCAGGAGCCACAGGGATTTTGGGATTCCTATCAGTATTCAAGAGGAGTCAGGCATCGTCACCATTTGAAGCAATGAACTCCGCGTGCCTCTCGAGGTGTCAGCGGGATGTGAGGCATTCCGTCAAAATGAGGCAGGGACCTAGGGCTTTCTCTGAGGTCTCCACAGGGGATTCAGACATCCCTTCATGTTGTGAGATGAAAGACGAGCCTGTATTCAAGCCACTGCAAGGAAATCCGGCCTCCTTTCAAGTTAGGGTTTCTCGCTGTAAATTCCCCTTGCGGCAGCAAACTCGGAGTCCATCCCACATACCTATTGCTGAGAGAAGCCTCCTCCTGTGGTGCTTCTGGAAAGTTGTCATACGTGTTGAGCCTAAGCCAGGGAATCAGCTCTCATCTCGAGACGATTTGGGGTACACGGAGCATTCCTCGAGTTGCTGTGCTGAAGTTGGTGTTCCTCTAGACTTGGGACAGTGTTCTCGGGGCATCTCTTGAGTGGCCTGAAGGAAGTAGAGCCACCGGTCGTGTTGAATGGGGAAAGGGGAATGGCCTTGGAGTCAATGCAGGGGAATCGGGCCTCATCTCGAGTTGATTTGGGGCACATGGAGCGGCTTTGCGTTGCTGGGGTGACCTCAGGGTCCGTCTAGACTGGTGACAGTGTTCTTGGGGACTGTCTCGAGATCCATTAAGCAAGTCGAAGCTCCTGACTTGTTTGAATGAGATCACGGAATAGCTCTGCATGCACTGCAGGGGAATGGGGCCTCATCTCGCCTCTAGGGGGAAGTCTCATGGTTTTTCTCGAGTTGCAGCGGGGACATGGGGTATGTTCTCGACTTACGGCGGGGATGGCCCTTCAAAACACGAGTTTCTTCATTGACGTCAGGACTCCTGTCTAGTAACGAGGGACACCTCAGGAATCTCTTCGAGGCTTGGCAGGGCAAAAGGGACGCTTTTCGAGGTGAGGCAGGGCACCCAAGGACCCTTTCCAGGAGCCACAGGGATTTTGGGATTCCTATCAGTATTCAAGAGGAGTCAGGCATCGTCACCTTTTGAAGCAATGAACTCCACGTGCCTCGCGAGGTGTCAGCGGGATGTGAGGTATTCCGTCAAAATGAGGCTGGGACCTAGGGCTTTCTCTAAGGTCTCCACAGGGGATTCAGACATCCCTTCATGTTGTGAGATGAAAGACGAGCCTGTATTCAAGCCACTGCAAGGAAATCAAGCCTCCTTTCAAGTTAGGGCCTCTCGCTTTATATTACCCTTGAGGCAGCAAACTCGGGGTCCCTCCCACATACCTATTGCTTAGAGAAGCCTCCTCCTGAGGTGCTTCTGGAAAGTTGGCATACGTCTTGAGCCTAAGCCAGGGAATCAGCTCTCATCTCGAGACGATTTGGGGTACCCGGAGCATTCCTCGAGTTGCTGTGCTGAAGTTGGTGTTCCTCTAGTCTTGGGACAGTGTTCTCGGGGCATCTCTGGAGTTGCCTGAAGGAAGTCGAGCCACCGGTCGTGTTGAATGGGGAACGGGGAATGGCTCTGGAGTCAATGCAGGGGAATCGGGCCTCATCTCGAGTTGATTTGGGGCATATGGAGCTGCCTTGCGTTGCTGGGGTGACCTCAGGGTCCGTCTAGACTGGTGACAGTGTTCTTGGGGACTGTCTCGAGATCCATTAAGCAAGTCGAAGCTCCTGACTTGTTTGAATGGGATCACGGAATAGCTCTGCATGCACTGCAGGGGAATGCGGCCTCATGTCGCCTCTAGGGGGAAGTCTCATAGTTTTTTTCGAGTTGCGGCGGGGACCTGGGGTATGTTCTCGACTTACGGCGGGGATGGCCCTTCAAAACACCAGTTTCTTCAGTGACGTCAGGACTCCTGTCTAGTAACGAGGGACACCTCAGGAATCTCTTCGAGGCTTGGCAGGGCAAAAGGGACGCTTCTCGAGGTGAGGCAGGGCACCCAAGGTCCCTTTCCCGTAGCCACAGGGATTTTGGGATTCCTATCAGTATTCAAGAGGAGTCAGGCATCGTCACCTTTTGGAGCAATGAACTCCGCGTGCCTCTCGAGGTGTCAGCGGGATGTGAGGCATTCCGTCAAAATGAGGCTGGGACCTAGGGCTTTCTCTGAGGTCTCCACAGGGGATTCAGACATCCCTTCATGTTGTGAGATGAAAGACGAGCCTGTATTCGAGCCACTGCAAGGAAATCCGGCCTCCTTTCAAGTTAGGGCCTCTCGCTGTAAATTCCCCTTGAGGCAGCAAACTCGGGGTCCCTCCCACATACCTATTGCTGAGAAAATCCTCCTCCTGAGGTGCTTCTGGAAAGTTGGCATACGTCTTGAGCCTAAGCCAGGGAATCAGCTCTCATCTCGAGACGATTTGGGGTACACGGAGCATTCCTCGAGTTGCTGTGCTGAAGTTGGTGTTCCTCTAGACTTGGGACAGTGTTCTCGGGGCATCTCTTGAGTGGCCTGAATGAAGTAGAGCCACCGGTCGTGTTGAATGGGGAAAGGGGAATGGCCTTGGAGTCAATGCAGGGGAATCGGGCCTCATTTCGAGTTGATTTGGGGCACATGGAGCGGCTTTGCGTTGCTGGGGTGACCTCAGGGTCCGTCTAGACTGGTGACAGTGTTCTTGGGGACTGTCTCGAGATCCATTAAGCAAGTCGAAGCTCCTGACTTGTTTGAATGAGATCACGGAATAGCTCTGCATGCACTGCAGGGGAATGGGGCCTCATCTCGCCTCTAGGGGGAAGTCTCATGGTTTTTCTCGAGTTGCAGCGGGTACATGGGGTATGTTCTCGACTTACGGCGGGGATGGCCCTTCAAAACACGAGTTTCTTCAGTGACGTCAGGACTCCTGTCTAGTAACGAGGGACACCTCAGGAATCTCTTCGAGGCTTGGCAGGGCAAAAGGGACGCTTCTCGATGTGATGCAGGGCACCCAAGGACCCTTTCCAGGAGCCACAGGGATTTTGGGATTCCTATCAGTATTCAAGAGGAGTCAGGCATCGTCACCTTTTGAAGCAATGAACTCCGCGTGCCTCTCGTGGTGTCAACGGGATGTGAGGCATTCCGTCAAAATGAGGCAGGGACCTAGGGCTTTCTTAAGGTCTCCACAGAGGATTCAGACATCCCTTCATGTTGTGAGATGAAAGACGAGTCTGTATTCAAGCCACTGAAAGAAAATCCGGCCTCCTTTCAAGTTAGGGTTTCTCGGTGTAAATTCCCCTTGCGGCAGCAAACTCGGGGTCCATCCCACATACCTATTGCTGAGAGAAGCCTCCTCCTGTGGTGCTTCTGGAAAGTTGTCATACGTGTTGAGCCTAAGCCAGGGAATCAGCTCTCATCTCGAGACGATTTGGGGTACACGGAGCATTCCTCGAGTTGCTGTGCTGAAGTTGGTGTTCCTCTAGACTTGCGACAGTGTTCTCGGGGCATCTCTTGAGTGGCCTGAAGGAAGTAGAGCCACCGGTCGTGTTGAATGGGGAAAGGGGAATGGCCTTGGAGTCAATGCAGGGGAATCGGGCCTCATTTCGAGTTGATTTGGGGCACATGGAGCGGCTTTGCGTTGCTGGGGTGACCTCAGGGTCCGTCTAGACTGGTGACAGTGTTCTTGGGGACTCTCTCGAGATTCATTAAGCAAGTCGAAGCTCCTGACTTGTTTGAATGGGATCACGGAATAGCTCTGCATGCACTGCAGGGGAATGGGCCTCATCTCGCCTCTAGGGGGAAGTCTCATGGTTTTTCTCGAGTTGCGGCGGGGACCTGGGGTATGTTCTCGACGTACGGCGGGGATGGCCCTTCAAAACACGAGTTTCTTCAGTGACGTCAGGACTCCTGTCTAGTAACGAGGGACACCTCAGGAATCTCTTCGAGGCTTGGCAGGGCAAGAGGGACGCTTCTCGAGGTGAGGCAGGGCACCCAAGGACCCTTTCCAGTAGCCACAGGGATTTTGGGATTCCTATCAGTATTCAAGAGGAGTCAGGCATCGTCTCCTTTTGAAGCAATGAACTCCGCGTGCTCTCGAGGTGTCAGCGGGATGTGAGGCATTCGGTCAAAATGAGGCAGCGACCTAGGGCTTTCTCTAAGGTCTCCACAGGGGATTCAGACATCCCTTCATGTTGTGAGATGAAAGACGAGCCTGTATTCAAGCCACTGCAAGGAAATCCGGCCTCCTTTCAAGTTAGGGCCTCTCGCTGTATATTCCCCTTGAGGCAGCAAACTCGGGGTCCCTCCCACATACCTCTTGCTTAGAGAAGCCTCCTCCTGAGGTGCTTCTGGAAAGTTGGCATACGTCTTGAGCCTAAGCCAGGGAATCAGCTCTCATCTCGAGACGATTTGGGGTACACGGAGTATTCCTCGAGTTGCTGTGCTGAAGTTGGTGTTCCTCTAGTCTTGGGACAGTGTTCTCGGGGCATCTCTGGAGTTGCCTGAAGGAAGTCGAGCCACAGGTCGTGTTGAATGGGGAACGGGGAATGGCTCTGGAGTCAATGCAGGGGAATCGGGCCTCATCTCGAGTTCATTTGGGGCACATGGAGCTGCCTTGCGTTGCTGGGGTGACCTCAGGGTCCGTCTAGACTGGTGACAGTGTTCTTGGGGACTGTCTCGAGATCCATTAAGCAAGTCGAAGCTCCTGACTTGTTTGAATGGGATCACGGAATAGCTCTGCATGCACTGCAGGGGAATGGGGCCTCATGTCGCCTCTAGGGGGAAGTCTCATAGTTTTTCTCGAGTTGCGGCGGGGACCTGGGGTATGTTCTCGACTTACGGCGGGGATGGCCCTTCAAAACACGAGTTTCTTCAGTGACGTCAGGACTCCTGTCTAGTAACGAGGGACACCTCAGGAATCTCTTCGAGGCTTGGCAGGGCAAAAGGGACGCTTCTCGAGGTGAGGCAGGGCACCCAAGGTCCCATTCCCGTAGCCACAGGGATTTTGGGATTCCTATCAGTATTCAAGAGGAGTCAGGCATCGTCACCTTTTGGAGCAATGAACTCCGCGTGCCTCTCGAGGTGTCAGCGGGATGTGAGGCATTCCGTCAAAATGAGGCAGGGACCTAGGGCTTTCTCTGAGGTCTCCACAGGGGATTCAGACATCCCTTCATGTTGTGAGATGAAAGACGAGGCTGTATTCAAGCCACTGCAAGGAAATCAGGCCTCCTTTCAAGTTAGGGCTTCTCGCTGTATATTCCCCTTGAGGCAGCAAACTCGGGGTCCCTCCCACTTACCTATTGCTGAGAGAAGCCTCCTCCTGAGGTGCTTCTGGAAAGTTGGCATACGTCTTGAGCCTAAGCGAGGGAATCAGCTCTCATCTCGAGACGATTTGGGGTACACGGAGCATTCCTCGAGTTGTTGTGCTGAAGTTGGTGTTCCTCTAGACTTGGGACAGTGTTCTCGGGGCATCTCTGGAGTTGCCTGAAGGAAGTCGAGCCACCGGTCGTGTTGAAAGGGGAACGGGGAATGGCTCTGGAGTCAATGCAAGGGAATCGGGCCTCATCTCGAGTTGATTTGCGGCACATGGAGCTGCTTTGCGTTGCTGGGGTGAGCTCAGGGTCCGTCTAGACTGGTGACAGTGTTCTTGGGGACTGTCTCGAGATCCATTAAGCAAGTCGAAGCTCCTGACTTGTTTGAATGGGATCACGGAATAGCTCTGCATGCACTGCAGGGGAATGGGGCCTCATCTCGCCTCTAGGGGGAAGTCTCATGGTTTTTCTCGAGTTGCGGCGGGGACCTGGGGTATGTTCTCGACTTACGGCGGGGATGGCCCTTCAAAACACGAGTTTCTTCAGTGACGTCAGGACTCCTTTCTAGTAACGAGGGACACATCAGGAATCTCTTCGAGGCTTGGCAGGGCAAAAGGGACGCTTCTCGAGGTGAGGCAGGGCACCCAAGGACCCTTTCCAGTAGCCACAGGGATTTTGGGATTCCTATCAGTATTCAAGAGGAGTCAGGCATCGTCACCTTTTGAAGCAATGAACTCCGCGTGCCTCTCGAGGTGTCAGCGGGATGTGAGGCATTCCGTCAAAATGAGGCAGGGACCTAGGGCTTTCTATGAGGTCTCCACAGGGGATTCAGACATCCCTTCATGTTGTGAGATGAAAGACGAGCCTGTATTCAAGCAACTGCAAGGAAATCCGGCCTCCTTTCAAGTTAGGGTTTCTCGCTGTAAATTCCCCTTGCGGCAGCAAACTCGGAGTCCATCCCACATACCTATTGCTGAGAGAAGCCTCCTCCTGTGGTGCTTCTGGAAAGTTGTCATACGTGTTGAGCCTAAGCCAGGGAATCAGTTCTCATCTCGAGACGATTTGGGGTACACGGAGCATTCCTCGTGTTGCTGTGCTGAAGTTGGTGTTCCTCTAGACTTGGGACAGTGTTCTCGGGGCATCTCTTGAGTGGCCTGAAGGAAGTAGAGCCACCGGTCGTGTTGAATGGGGAAAGGGGAATGGCCTTGGAGTCAATGCAGGGGAATCGGGCCTCATCTCGAGTTGATTTGGGGCACATGGCGCGGCTTTGCGTTGCTGGGGTGACCTCAGGGTCCGTCTAGACTGGTGACAGTGTTCTTGGGGACTGTCTCGAGATCCATTAAGCAAGTCGAAGCTCCTGACTTGTTTGAATGAGATCACGGAATAGCTCTGCATGCATTGCAGGTGAATGGGTACTCATCTCGCCTCTAGGGGGAAGTCTCATGGTTTTTCTCGCGTTGCAGCGGGGACATGGGGTATGTTCTCGACTTACGGCGGGGATGGCCCTTCAAAACACGAGTTTCTTCATTGACGTCAGGACTCCTGTCTAGTAACGAGGGACACCTCAGGAATCTCTTCGAGGATTGGCAGGGCAAAAGGGACGCTTTTCGAGGTGAGGCAGGGCACCCAAGGACCCTTTCCAGGAGCCACAGGGATTTTGGGATTCCTATCAGTATTCAAGAGGAGTCAGGCATCGTCACCTTTTTGAAGCAATGAACTCCACGTGCCTCGCGAGGTGTCAGCGGGATGTGAGGCATTCCGTCAAAATGAGGCTGGGACCTAGGGCTTTCTCTAAGGTCTCCACAGGGGATTCAGACATCCCTTCATGTTGTGAGATGAAAGACGAGCCTGTATTCAAGCCACTGCAAGGAAATCAAGCCTCCTTTCAAGTTAGGGCCTCTCGCTTTATATTACCCTTGAGGCAGCAAACTCGGGGTCCCTCCCACATACCTATTGCTTAGAGAAGCCTCCTCCTGAGGTGCTTCTGGAAAGTTGGCATACGTCTTGAGCTTAAGCCAGGGAATCAACTCTCATCTCGAGACGATTTGGGGTACACGGAGCATTCCTCGAGTTGCTGTGCTGAAGTTGGTGTTTCTCTAGACTTGGGACAGTGTTCTCGGGGCATCTCTGGAGTTGCCTGAAGGAAGTCGAGCCACCGGTCGTGTTGAATGGGGAACGGGGAATGGCTCTGGTGTCAATGCAGGGGAATCGGGCCTCATCTCGAGTTGATTTGGGGCACATGGAGCTGCTTTGCGTTGCTGGGGTGACCTCAGGGTCCGTCTAGACTGGTGACAGTGTTCTTCGGGACTGTCTCGAGATCCATTAAGCAAGTCGAAGCTCCTGACTTGTTTGAATGGGATCACGGAATAGCTCTGCATGCACTGCAGTGGAATGGGGCCTCATTTCGCCTCTAGGGGGAAGTCTCATGGTTATTCTCGAGTTGCGGCGGGGACCTGGGGTATGTTCTCGACTTACGGCGGGGATGGCCCTTCAAAACACGAGTTTCTTCATTGACGTCAGGACTCCTGTCTAGTAACGAGGGACACCTCAGGAATCTCTTCGAGGCTGGGCAGGGCAAAAGGGACGCTTCTCGAGGTGAGGCAGGGCACCCAAGGACCCTTTCCAGTAGCCACAGGGATTTTGGGATTCCTATCAGTATTCAAGAGGAGTCAGGCATCGTCTCCTTTTGAAGCAATGAACTCCGCGTGCTCTCGAGGTGTCAGCGGGATGAGAGGCATTCGGTCAAAATGAGGCAGCAACCTAGGGCTTTCTCTAAGGTCTCCACAGGGGATTCAGACATCCCTTCATGTTGTGAGATGAAAGACGAGCCTGTATTCAAGCCACTGCAAGGAAATCCGGCCTCCTTTCAAGTTAGGGCCTCTCGCTGTATATTCCCCTTGAGGCAGCAAACTCGGGGTCCCTCCCAAATACCTCTTGCTGAGAGAAGCCTCCTCCTGAGGTGCTTCTGGAAAGTTGGCATACGTCTTGAGCCTAAGCCAGGGAATCAGCTCTCATCTCGAGACGATTTGGGGTACACGGAGTATTCCTCGAGTTGCTGTGCTGAAGTTGGTGTTCCTCTAGTCTTGGGACAGTGTTCTCGGGGCATCTCTGGAGTTGCCTGAAGGAAGTCGAGCCACCGGTCGTGTTGAATGGGGAACGGGGAATGGCTCTGTAGTCAATGCAGGGGAATCGGGCCTCATCTCGAGTTGATTTGGGGCACATGGAGCTGCCTTGCGTTGCTGGGGTGACCTCAGGGTCCGTCTAGACTGGTGACAGTGTTCTTGGGGACTGTCTCGAGATCCATTAAGCAAGTCGAAGCTCCTGACTTGTTTGAATGGGATCACGGAATAGCTCTGCATGCACTGCAGGGGAATGGGGCCTCATGTCGCCTCTAGGGGGAAGTCTCATAGTTTTTCTCGAGTTGCGGCGGGGACCTGGGGTATGTTCTCGACTTACGGCGGGGATGGCCCTTCAAAACACGAGTTTCTTCAGTGACGTCAGGACTCCTGTCTAGTAACGAGGGACACCTCAGGAATCTCTTCGAGGCTTGGCAGGGCAAAAGGGACGCTTCTCGAGGTGAGGCAGGACACCCAAGGTCCCTTTCCCGTAGCCACAGGGATTTTGGGATTCCTATCAGTATTCAAGAGGAGTCAGGCATCGTCACATTTTGGAGCAATGAACTCCGCGTGCCTCTCGAGGTGTCAGCGGGATGTGAGGCATTCCGTCAAAATGAGGCAGGGACCTAGGGCTTTCTCTGAGGTCTCCACAGGGGATTCAGACATCCCTTCATGTTGTGAGATGAAAGACGAGCCTGTATTCAAGCCACTGCAAGGAAATCCGGCCTCCTTTCAAGTTAGGGCCTCTCGCTGTATATTCCCCTTGAGGAAGCAACCTCGGGGTCCCTCCCACATACCTATTGCTGAGAGAAGCCTCCTCCTGAGGTGCTTCTGGAAAGTTGGCATACGTCTTGAGCCTAAGCGAGGGAATCAGCTCTCATCTCGAGACGATTTGGGGTACACGGAGCATTCCTCGAGATGCTGTGCTGAAGTTGGTGTTCCTCTAGACTTGGGACAGTGTTCTCGGGGCATCTCTGGAGTTGCCTGAAGGAAGTCGAGCCACCGGTCGTGTTGAAAGGGGAACGGGGAATGGCTCTGGAGTCAATGCAGGGGAATCGGGCCTCATCTCGCCTCTAGGGGGAAGTCTCATGGTTTTTCTCGAGTTGCGGCGGGGACCTGGGCTATGTTCTCGACGTACGGCGGGGATGGCCCTTCAAAACACGAGTTTCTTCAGTGACGTCAGGACTCCTTTCTAGTAACGAGGGACACCTCAGGAATCTCTTCGAGGCTTGGCAGGGCAAAAGGGACGCTTCTCGAGGTGAGGCAGGACACCCAAGGTCCCTTTCCCGTAGCCACAGGGATTTTGGGATTCCTATCAGTATTCAAGAGGAGTCAGGCATCGTCACATTTTGGAGCAATGAACTCCGCGTGCCTCTCGAGGTGTCAGCGGGATGTGAGGCATTCCGTCAAAATGAGGCAGGGACCTAGGGCTTTCTATGAGGTCTCCACAGGGGATTCAGACATCCCTTCATGTTGTGAGATGAAAGACGAGCCTGTATTCAAGCCACTGCAAGGAAATCCGGCCTCGTTTCAAGTTAGGGTTTCTCGCTGTAAATTCCCCTTGCGGCAGCAAACTCGGGGTCCATCCCACATACCTATTGCTGAGAGAAGCCTCCTCCTGTGGTGATTCTGGAAAGTTGTCATACGTGTTGAGCCTAAGCCAGGGAATCAGCTCTCATCTCGAGACGATTTGGGGTACACGGAGCATTCCTCGAGTTGCTGTGCTGAAGTTGGTGTTCGTCTAGACTTGGGACAGTGTTCTCGGGGCATCTCTTGAGTGGCCTGAAGGAAGTAGAGCCACCGGTCGTGTTGAATGGGGAAAGGGGAATGGCCTTGGAGTCAATGCAGGGGAATCGGGCCTCATCTCGAGTTGATTTGGGGCACATGGAGCTGCTTTGCGTTGCTGGGGTGACGTCAGGGTCCGTCTAGACTGGTGACAGTGTTCTTGGGGACTGTCTCGAGATCCATTAAGCAAGTCGAAGCTCCTGACTTGTTTGAATGAGATCACGGAATAGCTCTGCATGCACTGCAGGGGAATGGGGCCTCATCTCGCCTCTAGGGGGAAGTCTCATGGTTTTTCTCGCGTTGCAGCGGGGACATGGGGTATGTTCTCGACTTACGGGGGGGATGGCCCTTCAAAACACGAGTTTCTTCAGTGACGTCAGGACTCCTGTCTAGTAACGAGGGACACCTCAGGAATCTCTTCGAGGCTTGGCAGGGCAAAAGGGACGCTTTTCGAGGTGAGGCAGGGCACCCAAGGACCCTTTCCAGGAGCCACAGGGATTTTGGGATTCCTATCAGTATTCAAGAGGAGTCAGGCATCGTCACCTTTTGAAGCAACGAACTCCACGTGCCTCGCGAGGTGTCAGCGGGATGTGAGGCATTCCGTCAAAATGAGGCAGGGACCTAGGTCTTTCTATAAGGTCTCCACAGGGGATTCAGACATCCCTTCATGTTGTGAGATGAAAGACGAGCCTGTATTCAAGCCACTGCAAGGAAATCAAGCCTCCTTTCAAGTTAGGGCCTCTTGCTTTATATTACCCTTGAGGCAGCAAACTCGGGGTCCCTCCCACATACCTATTGCTTAGAGAAGTCTCCTCCTGAGGTGCTTCTGGAAAGTTGGCATACGTCTTGAGCCTAAGCCAGGGAATCAGCTCTCATCTCGAGACGATTTGGGGTACACGGAGCATTCCTCGAGTTGCTGTGCTGAAGTTGGTGTTCCTCTAGACTTGGGACAGTGTTCTCGGGGCATCTCTGGAGTTGCCTGAAGGAAGTCGAGCCACCGGTCGTGTTGAATGGGGAACGGGGAATGGCTCTGGAGTCAATGCAGGGGAATCGGGCCTCATCTCGAGTTGATTTGGGGCACATGGAGCTGCCTTGCATTGCTGGGGTGACCTCAGGGTCCGTCAAGACTGGTGACAGTGTTCTTGGGGACTGTCTCGAGATCCATTAAGCAAGTCGAAGCTCCTGACCTGTTTGAATGAGATCACGGAATAGCTCTGCATGCACTGCAGGGGAATGGGGCCTCATGTCGTCTCTAGTGGGAAGTCTCATAGTTTTTCTCGAGTTGCGGCGGGGACCTGGGGTATGTTCTCGATTTACGGCGGGGATGGCCCTTCAAAACACGAGTTTCTTCAGTGACGTCAGGACTCCTGTCTAGTAACGAGGGACACCTCAGGAATCTCTTCGAGGCTTGGCAGGGCAAAAGGGACGCTTCTCGAGGTGAGGCAGGGCACCCAAGGTCCCTTTCCCGTAGCCACAGGGATTTGGGGATTCCTATCAGTATTCAAGAGGAGTCAGGCATCGTCACCTTTTGGAGCAATGAACTCCGCGTGCGTCTCGAGGTGTCAGCGGGATGTGAGGCATTCCGTCAAAATGAGGCAGGGACCTAGGGCTTTCTCTGAGGTCTCCACAGGGGATTCAGACATCCCTTCATGTTGTGAGGTGAAAGACGAGCCTGTATTCAAGCCACTGCAAGGAAATCCGGCCTCCTTTCAAGTTAGGGCTTCTCGCTGTATACTCCCCTTGAGGCAGCAAACTCGGGGTCCCTCCCACATACCTATTGCTGAGAGAAGCCTCCTCCTGAGGTGCTTCTGGAAAGTTGGCATACGTCTTGAGCCTAAGCGAGGGAATCAGCTCTCATCTCGAGACGATTTGGGGTACACGGAGCATTCCTCGAGATGCTGTGCTGAAGTTGGTGTTCCTCTAGACTTGGGACAGTGTTCTCGGTGCATCTCTGGAGTTGCATGAAGGAAGTCGAGCCACCGGTCGTGTTGAAAGGGGAACGGGGAATGGCTCTGGAGTCAATGCAGGGGAATCGGGCCTCATCTCGAGTTGATTTGCGGCACATGGAGCTGCTTTGCGTTGCTGGGGTGAGCTCAGGGTCCGTCTAGACTTGTGACAGTGTTCTTGGGGACTCTCTCGAGATCCATTAAGCAAGTCGAAGCTCCTGACTTGTTTGAATGGGATCACGGAATAGCTCTGCATGCACTGCAGGGGAATGGGGCCTCATGTCGCCTCTAGGGGGAAGTCTCATGGTTTTTCTCGAGTTGCGGCGGGGACCTGGGGTATGTTCTCGACGTACGGCAGGGATGGCCCTTCAAAACACGAGTTTCTTCAGTTACGTCAGGACTCCTGTCTAGTAACGAGGGACACCTCAGGAATCTCTTCGAGGCTTGGCAGGGCAAAAAGGACGCTTCTCGAGGTGAGGCAGGGCACCCAAGGACCCTTTCCATAAGCCACAGGGATTTTGGAATTCCTATCAGTATTCAAGAGGAGTCAGGCATCGTCACCTTTTGAAGCAATGAACTCCGCGTGCCTCTCGAGGTGTCAGCGGGATGTGAGGCATTCCGTCAAAATGAGGCAGGGATCTAGGGCTTTCTCTAAGGTCTCCACAGGGGATTCAGACATCCCTTCATGTTGTGAGATGAAAGACGAGCCTGTATTCAAGCCACTGCAAGGAAATCCGGCCTCCTTTCAAGTTAGGGTTTCTCGCTGTAAATTCCCCTTGAGGCAGCAAACTAGGGGTCCCTCACACATACCTATTGCTGAGAGAAGCCTCCTCCTGAGGTGCTTCTGGAAAGTTGGCATACGTCTTGAGCCTAAGCCAGGGAATCAGCTCTCATCTCGAGACGATTTGGGGTACACGGAGCATTCCTCGAGTTGCTGTGCTGAAGTTGGTGTTCCTCTAGACTTGGGACAGTGTTCTCGGGGCATCTCTTGAGTGGCCTGAAGGAAGTAGAGCCACCGGTCGTGTTGAATGGGGAAAGGGGAATGGCCTTGGAGTCAATGCAGGGGAATCGGGCCTCATCTCGAGTTGATTTGGGGCACATGGAGCGGCTTTGCGTTGCTGGGGTGACCTCAGGGTCCGTCTAGACTGGTGACAGTGTTCTTGGGGACTGTCTCGAGATCCATTAAGCAAGTCGAAGCTCCTGATTTGTTTGAATGAGATCACGGAATAGCTCTGCATGCACTGCAGGGGAATGGGGCCTCATCTCGCATCTAGGGGGAAGTCTCATGGTTTTACTCGAGTTGCAGCGGGGACATGGGGTATGTTCTCGACTTACGGCGGGGATTGCCCTTCAAAACACGAGTTTCTTCAGTGACGTCAGGACTCCTGTCTAGTAACGAGGGACACCTCAGGAATCTCTTCGAGGCTGGGCAGGGCAAAAGGGACGCTTCTCGAGGTGAGGCAGGGCACCCAAGGACCCTTTCCAGTAGCCACAGGGATTTTGGGATTCCTATCAGTATTCAAGAGGAGTCAGGCATCGTCACCTTTTGGAGCAATGAACTCCGCGTGCCTCTCGAGGTGTCAGCGGGATGTGAGGCATTCCGTCAAAATGAGGCAGGGACCTAGGGCTTTCTCTGAGGTCTCCACATTGGTTTCAGACATCCCTTCATGTTGTGAGATGAAAGACGAGCCTGTATTCAAGCCACTGCAAGGAAATCCGGCCTCCTTTCAAGTTAGGGCTTCTCGCTGTATATTCCCCTTGAGGCAGCAAACTCGGGGTCCCTCCCACATACGTATGGCTGAGAGAAGCCTCCTCCTGAGGTGCTTCTGGAAAGTTGGCATACGTCTTGAGCCTAAGCCAGGGAATCAGCTCTCATCTCGAGACGATTTGGGGTACACGGAGATTCCTCGAGTTGCTGTGCTGAAGTTGGTGTTCCTCTAGACTTGGAACAGTGTTCTCGGGGCATCTCTTGAGTGGCCTGAAGGAAGTAGAGCCACCGGTCGTGTTGAATGGGGAAAGGGGAATGGCCTTGGAGTCAATGCAGGGGAATCGGGCCTCATTTAGAGTTGATTTGGGGCACATGGAGCGGCTTTGCGTTGCTGGGGTGACCTCAGGGTCCGTCTAGACTGGTGACAGTGTTCTTGGGGACTGTCTCGAGATCCATTAAGCAAGTCGAAGCTCCTGACTTGTTTGAATGAGATCACGGAATAGCTCTGCATGCACTGCAGGTGAATGGGAACTCATCTCGCCTCTAGGGGGAAGTCTCATGGTTTTTCTCGCGTTGCAGCGGGGACATGGGGTATGTTCTCGACTTACGGCGGGGATGGCCCTTCAAAACACGAGTTTCTTCAGTGACGTCAGGACTCCTGTCTAGTAACGAGGGACACCTCAGGAATCTCTTCGAGGCTTGGCAGGGCAAAAGGGACGCTTTTCGAGGTGAGGCAGGGCACCCAAGGACCCTTTCCAGTAGCCACAGGGATTTTGGGATTCCTATCAGTATTCAAGAGGAGTCAGGCATCGTCACCTTTTGAAGCAACGAACTCCGCGTGCCTCGCGAAGTGTCAGCGGGATGTGAGGCATTCCGTCAAAATGAGGCAGGGACCTAGGGCTTTCTCTAAGGTCTCCACAGGGGATTCAGACATCCCTTCAGGTTGTGAGATGAAAGACGAGCCTGTATTCAAGCCACTGCAAGGAAATCAAGCCTCCTTTCAAGTTAGGGCCTCTCGCTTTATATTACCCTTGAGGCAGCAAACTCGGGGTCCCTCCCACATACCTATTGCTTAGAGAAGCCTCCTCCTGAGGTGCTTCTGGAAAGTTGGCATACGTCTTGAGCCTAAGCCAGGGAATCAGCTCTCATCTCGAGACGATTTGGGGTACACAGAGCATTCCTCGAGTTGCTGTGCTGAAGTTGGTGTTCCTCTAGACTTGGGACAGTGTTCTCGGGGCATCTCTGGAGTTGCCTGAAGGAAGTCGAGCCACCGGTCGTGTTGAATGGGGAACGGGGAATGGCTCTGGAGTCAATGCAGGGGAATCGGGCCTCATCTCGAGTTGATTTGGGGCACATGGAACTGCTATGCGTTGCTGGGGTGACCTCAGGGTCCGTCTAGACTGGTGACAGTGTTCTTGGGGACTGTCTCGAGATCCATTAAGCAAGTCGAAGCTCCTGACTTGTTTGAATGGGATCACGGAATAGCTCTGCATGCACTGCAGTGGAATGGGGCCTCATCTCGCCTCTAGGGGGAAGTCTCATGGTTATTCTCGAGTTGCGGCGGGGACCTGGAGTATGTTCTCGACTTACGGCAGGGATGGCCCTTCAAAACACGAGTTTCTTCATTGACGTCAGGACTCCTGTCTAGTAACGAGGGACACCTCAGGAATCTCTTCGAGGCTGGGCAGGGCCAAAGGGACGCTTCTCGAGGTGAGGCAGGGCACCCAAGGACCCTTTCCAGTAGCCACAGGGATTTTGGGATTCCTATCTGTATTCAAGAGGAGTCAGGCATCGTCACCTTTAGAAGCAATGAACTCCGCGTGCTGTTGAGGTGTCAGCGGGATGTGAGGCATTCGGTCAAAATGAGGCAGCGACCTAGGGCTTTCTCTAAGGTCTCCACAGGGGATTCAGACATCCCTTCATGTTGTGAGATGAAAGACGAGCCTGTATTCAAGCCACTGCAAGGAATTCCGGCCTCCTTTCAAGTTAGGGCCTCTCGCTGTATATTCCCCTTGAGGCAGCAATCTCGGGGTCCCTCCCACATACCTCTTGCTGAGAGAAGCCTCCTCCTGAGGTGCTTCTGGAAAGTTGGCATACGTCTTGAGCCTAAGCCAGGGAATCAGCTCTCTTCTCGAGACGATTTGTTGTACACGGAGTATTCCTCGAGTTGCTGTGCTGAAGTTGGTGTTCCTCTAGTCTTGGGACAGTGTTCTCGGGGCATCTCTGGAGTTGCCTGAAGGAAGTCGAGCCACCGGTCGTGTTGAATGGGGTACGGGGAATGGCTCTGGAGTCAATGCAGGGGAATCGGGCCTCATCTCGAGTTGATTTGGGGCACATGGAGCTGCCTTGCATTGCTGGGGTGACCTCAGGGTCCGTCTAGACTGGTGACAGTGTTCTTGGGGACTGTCTCGAGATCCATTAAGCAAGTCGAAGCTCCTGACTTGTTTGAATGGGATCACGGAATAGCTCTGCATGCACTGCAGGGGAATGGGGCCTCATGTCGCCTCTAGGGGGAAGTCTCATAGTTTTTCTCGAGTTGCGGCGGGGACCTGGGGTATGTTCTCGACTTACGGCGGGGATGGCCCTTCAAACACGAGTTTCTTCATTGACGTCAGGACTCCTGTCTAGTAACGAGGGACACCTCAGGAATCTCTTCGAGGCTTGGCAGGGCAAAAGGGACGCTTCTCGAAGTGAGGCAGGGCACCCAAGGTCCCTTTCCCGTAGCCACAGGGATTTTGGGATTCCTATCAGTATTCAAGAAGAGTCAGGCATCGTCACGTTTTGGAGCAATGAACTCCGCGTGCGTCTCGAGGTGTCAGCGGAATGTGAGGCATTCCGTCAAAATGAGGCAGGGACCTAGGGCTTTCTCTGAGGTCTCCATATGGGATTCAGACATCCCTTCATGTTGTGAGATGAAAGACGAGCCTGTATTCAAGCCACTGCAAGGAAATCCGGCCTCCTTTCAAGTTAGGGCTTCTCGCTGTATATTCCCCTTGAGGCAGCAAACTCGGGGTCCCTCCCACATACCTATTGCTGAGAGAAGCCTCCTCCTGAGGTGCTTCTGGAAAGTTGGCATACGTCTTGAGCCTAAGCCAGGGAATCAGCTCTCATCTCGAGACGATTTGGCGTACACGGAGATTCCTCGAGTTGCTGTGCTGAAGTTGGTGTTCCTCTAGGCTTGGGACAGTGTTCTCGGGGCATCTCTGGAGTTGCCTGAAGGAAGTCGAGCCACCGGTCGTGTTGAATGGGGAACGGGGAATGGCTCTGGAGTCAATGCAGGGGAATCGGGCCTCATCTCGAGTTGATTTGGGGCAAATGGAGCTGCTTTGCGTTGCTGGGGTGACCTCAGGGTCCGTCTAGACTGGTGACAGTGTTCTTGGGGACTGTCTCGAGATCCATTAAGCAAGTCGAAGCTCCTGACTTGTTTGAATGGGATCACGGAATAGCTCTGCATGCACTGCAGGGGAATGGGGCCTCATGTCACCTATAGGGGGAAGTCTCATGGTTTTTCTCGAGTTGCGGCGGGGACCTGGGGTATGTTCTCGACTTACGGCGGGGATGGCCCTTCAAAACACGAGTTTCTTCAGTGACGTCAGGACTCCTGTCTAGTAACGAGGGACACCTCAGAAATCTCTTCGAGGCTTGGCAGGGCAAAAGGGACGCTTCTCGAGGTGAGGCAGTTCACCCAAGGACCCTTTCCCGTAGCCACAGGGATTTTGGGATTCCTATCAGTATTCAAGAGGAGTCAGGCATCGTCACCTTTTGAAGCAATGAACTCCACGTGCCTCTAGAGGTGTCTGCGGGATGTGAGGCATTCCGTCAAAATGAGGCAGGGTCCTCGGGCTTTCTCTAAGGTCTCCACAGGGGATTCAGACATCCCTTCATGTTGTGAGATGAAAGACGAGCCTGTATTCAAGCCACTGGAAGGAAATCCGGCCTCCTTTCAAGTTAGGGCCTCTCACTGTATATTCCCCTTGAGGCAGCAAACTCGGGGTCCCTCCCACATACATATTGCTGAGAGAAGCCTCCTCCTGAAGTGCTTCTGGAAAGTTTGCATACGTCTTGAGCCTAAGCCAGGGAATGAGCTCTCATCTCGAGATGATTTGTGGTACACGGAGCATTCCTCGAGTTGCTGTGCTGAAGTTGGTGTTCCTCTAGACTTGGGAGAGTGTTCTCGGGGCATCTCTGGAGTTGCCTGAAGGAAGTCGAGCCACCGGTCGTGTTGAATGGGGAACGGGGAATGGCTCTGGAGTCAATGCAGGGGAATCGGGCCTCATCTCGAGTTGATTTGGGGCACATGGAGCTGCTTTGCGTTGCTGGGGTGACGTCAGGGTCCGTCTAGACTGGTGACAGTGTTCTTGGGGACTGTCTCGAGATCCATTAAGCAAGTCGAAGCTCCTGACTTGTTTGAATGGGATCACGGAATAGCTCTGCATGTACTGCAGTGGAATGGGGCCTCATGTCGCCTATAGTGGGAAGTCTCATGGTTTTTCTCGAGTTGCGGCGGGGACCTGGGTTATGTTCTCGACTTTCGGCGGGGATGGCCCTTCAAAACACGAGTTTCTTCAGTGACGTCAGGACTCCTGTCTAGTAACGAGGGACACCTCAGGAATCTCTTCGAGGCTTGGCAGGGGAAAAGGGACGCTTCTCGAGGTGAGGCAGGGCACCCAAGGACCCTTTCCAGTAGCCACAGGGATTTTGGGATTCCTATCAGTATTCAAGAGGAGTCAGGCATCGTCACCTTTTGAAGCAATGAACTCCGCGTGCCTCTCGAGGTGTCAGTGCGATGTGAGGCATTCCGTCAAAATGAGGCAGGGACCTAGGGCTTTCTCTAAGGTCTCCACAGGGGATTCAGACATCCCTTCATGTTGTGAGATGAAAGACGAGCCCGTATTCAAGCCACTGCAAGGAAATCCAGCCTCCTTTCAAGTTAGGGCCTCTCGCTTTATATTACCCTTGAGGCAGCAAACTCGGGGTCCCTCCCACATACCTATTGCTTAGAGAAGCCTCCTCCTGAGGTGCTTCTGGAAAGTTGGCATACGTCTTGAGCCTAAGCCAGGGAATCAGCTCTCATTTCGAGACGATTTGGGGTACACGGAGCATTCCTCGAGTTGCTGTGCTGAAGTTGGTGTTCCTCTAGACTTGGGACAGTGTTCTCGGGGCATCTCTGGAGTTGCCTGAAGGAAGTCGAGCCACCGGTCGTGTTGAATGGGGAACGGGGAATGGCTCTGGAGTCATTGCAGGGGAATCGGGCCTCATCTCGAGTTGATTTGGGGCACAAGGAGCTGCTTTGCGTTGCTGGGGTGACCTCAGGGTCCGTCTAGACTGGTGACAGTGTTCTTGGGGACTGTCTCGAGATCCATTAAGCAAGTCAAAGCTCCTGACTTGTTTGAATGGGATTACGGAATAGCTCTGCATGCACTGCAGGGGAATGGGGCCTCATGTCGCCTCTAGGGGGAAGTCTCATGGTTTTTCTCGAGTTGCGGCAGGGACCTGGGGTATGTTCTCGACTTACGGCGGGGAAGGCCCTTCAAAACACGAGTTTCTTCAGTGACGTCAGGACTCCTGTCTAGTAACGAGGGACACCTCAGGAATCTCTTCGAGGCTTGGCAGGGCAAAAGGGACGCTTCTCGAGTTGAGGCAGGGCACCCAAGGACCCTTTCCAGGAGCCACAGGGATTTTGGGATTCCTATCAGTATTCAAGAGGAGTCAGGCATCGTCACCTTTTGAAGCAATGAACTCCACGTGCCTCGCGAGGTGTCAGCGGGATGTGAGGCATTCCGTCAAAATGAGGCAGGGACCTAGGGCTTTCTCTAAGGTCTCCACAGGGGATTCAGACATCCCTTCATGTTGTGAGATGAAAGACGAGCCTGTATTCAAGCCACTGCAAGGAAATCAAGCCTCCTTTCAAGTTAGGGCCTCTCGCTTTATATTACCCTTGAGGCAGCAAACTCGGGGTCCCTCCCACATACCTATTGCTTAGAGAAGCCTCCTCCTGAGGTGCTTCTGGAAAGTTGGCATACGTCTTGAGCCTAAGCCAGGGAATCAGCTCTCATCTCGAGACGATTTGGGGTACACGGAGCTTTCCTCGAGTTGCTGTGCTGAAGTTGGTGTTCCTCTAGACTTGGGACAGTGTTCTCGGGGCATCTCTGGAGTTGCCTGAAGGAAGTCGAGCCACCGGTCGTGTTGAATGGTGAACGGGGAATGGCTCTGGTGTCAATGCAGGGGAATCGGGCCTCATCTCTAGTTGATTTGGGGCACATGGAGCTGCTTTGCGTTGCTGGGGTGACTTCAGGGTCCGTCTAGACTGGTGACAGTGTTCTTGGGACTGTCTCGAGATCCATTAAGCAAGTCGAAGGTCCTGACTTGTTTGAATGGGATCACGGAATAGCTCTGCATGCACTGCAGGGGAATGGGGCCTCATGTCGCCTCTAGGGGGAAGTCTCATAGTTTTTCTCGAGTTGCGGTGGGGACCTGGGGTATGTTCTCGACTTACGGCGGGGATGGCCCTTCAAAACACGAGTTTCTTCAGTGACGTCAGGACTCCTGTCTAGTAACGAGGGACACCTCAGGAATCTCTTCGAGGCTTGGCAGGGCAAAAGGGACGCTTCTCGAGGTGAGGCAGGGCACCCAAGGTCCCATTCCCGTAGCCACAGGGATTTTGGGATTCCTATCAGTATTCAAGAGGAGTCAGGCATCGTCACCTTTTGGAGCAATGAACTCCGCGTGCCTCTCGAGGTGTCAGCGGGATGTGAGGCATTCCGTCAAAATGAGGCAGGGACCTAGGGCTTTCTCTGAGGTCTCCACAGGGGATTCAGACATCCCTTCATGTTGTGAGATGAAAGACGAGGCTGTATTCAAGCCACTGCAAGGAAATCCGGCCTCCTTTCAAGTTAGGGCTTCTCGCTGTATATTCCCCTTGAGGCAGCAAACTCGGGGTCCCTCCCACTTACCTATTGCTGAGAGAAGCCTCCTCCTGAGGTGCTTCTGGAAAGTTGGCATCCGTCTTGAGCCTAAGCCAGGGAATCAGCTCTCATCTCGAGACGATTTGGGGTACACGGAGCATTCCTCGAGTTGTTGTGCTGAAGTTGGTGTTCCTCTAGACTTGGGACAGTGTTCTCGGGGCATCTCTTGAGTGGCCTGAAGGAAGTAGAGCCACCGGTCGTGTTGAATGGGGAAAGGGGAATGGCCTTGGAGTCAATGCAGGGGAATCGGGCCTCATCTCGAGTTGATTTGGGGCACATGGAGCGGCTTTGCGTTGCTGGGGTGACCTCAGGGTCCGTCTAGACTGGTGACAGTGTTCTTGGGGACTGTCTCGAGATCCATTAAGCAAGTCGAAGCTCCTGACTTGTTTGAATGAGATCACGGAATAGCTCTGCATGCACTGCAGGGGAATGGGGCCTCATCTCGCCTCTAGGGGGAAGTCTCATGGTTTTTCTCGAGTTGCAGCGGGGACATGGGGTATGTTCTCGACTTACGGCGGGGATGGCCCTTCAAAACACGAGTTTCTTCAGTGACGTCAGGACTCCTGTCTAGTAACGAGGGACACCTCAGGAATCTCTTCGAGGCTTGGCAGGGCAAAAGGGACGCTTTTCGAGGTGAGGCAGGGCACCCAAGGACCCTTTCCAGGAGCCACAGGGATTTTGGGATTCCTATCAGTATTCAAGAGGAGTCAGGCATCGTCACCTTTTGAAGCAATGAACTCCACGTGCCTCGCGAGGTGTCAGCGGGATGTGAGGTATTCCGTCAAAATGAGGCTGGGACCTAGGGCTTTCTCTAAGGTCTCCACAGGGGATTCAGACATCCCTTCATGTTGTGAGATGAAAGACGAGCCTGTATTCAAGCCACTGCAAGGAAATCAAGCCTCCTTTCAAGTTAGGGCCTCTCGCTTTATATTACCCTTGAGGCAGCAAACTCGGGGTCCCTCCCACATACCTATTGCTTAGAGAAGCCTCCTCCTGAGGTGCTTCTGGAAAGTTGGCATACGTCTTGAGCCTAAGCCAGGGAATCAGCTCTCATCTCGAGACGATTTGGGGTACACGGAGCATTCCTCGAGTTGCTGTGCTGAAGTTGGTATTTCTCTAGACTTGGGACAGTGTTCTCGGGGCATCTCTGGAGTTGCCTGAAGGAAGTCGAGCCACCGGTCGTGTTGAATGGGGAACGGGGAATGGCTCTGGTGTCAATGCAGGGGAATCGGGCCTCATCTCGAGTTGATTTGGGGCACATGGAGCTGCTTTGCGTTGCTGGGGTGACCTCAGGGTCCGTCTAGACTGGTGACAGTGTTCTTCGGGACTGTCTCGAGATCCATTAAGCAAGTCGAAGCTCCTGACTTGTTTGAATGGGATCACGGAATAGCTCTGCATGCACTGCAGTGGAATGGGGCCTCATCTCGCCTCTAGGGGGAAGTCTCATGGTTATTCTCGAGTTGCGGCGGGGACCTGGGGTATGTTCTCGACTTACGGCGGGGATGGCCCTTCAAAACACGAGTTTCTTCATTGACGTCAGGACTCCTGTCTAGTAACGAGGGACACCTCAGGAATCTCTTCGAGGCTGGGCAGGGCAAAAGGGACACTTCTCGAGGTGAGGCAGGGCACCCAAGGACCCTTTCCAGTAGCCACAGGGATTTTGGGATTCCTATCAGTATTCAAGAGGAGTCAGGCATCGTCTCCTTTTGAAGCAATGAACTCCGCGTGCTCTCGAGGTGTCAGCGGGATGAGAGGCATTTCGTCAAAATGAGGCAGCAACCTAGGGCTTTCTCTAAGGTCTCCACAGGGGATTCAGACATCCCTTCATGTTGTGAGATGAAAGACGAGCCTGTATTCAAGCCACTGCAAGGAAATCCGGCCTCCTTTCAAGTTAGGGCCTCTCGCTGTATATTCCCCTTGAGGCAGCAAAGTCGGGGTCCTTCCCAAATACCTCTTGCTGAGAGAAGCCTCCTCCTGAGGTGCTTCTGGAAAGTTGGCATACGTCTTGAGCCTAAGCCAGGGAATCAGCTCTCATCTCGAGACGATTTGGGGTACCCGGAGCATTCCTCGAGTTGCTGTGCTGAAGTTGGTGTTCCTCTAGACTTGGGACAGTGTTCTCGGGGCATCTCTGGAGTTGCCTGAAGGAAGTCGAGCCACCGGTCGTGTTGAATGGGGAACGGGAATGGCTCTGGAGTCAATGCAGGGGAATCGGGCCTCATCTCGAGTTGATTTGGGGCATATGGAGCTGCCTTGCGTTGCTGGGGTGACCTCAGGGTCCGTCTAGACTGGTGACAGTGTTCTTGGGGACTGTCTCGAGATCCATTAAGCAAGTCGAAGCTCCTGACTTGTTTGAATGGGATCACGGAATAGCTCTGCATGCACTGCAGGGGAATGGGGCCTCATGTCGCCTCTAGGGGGAAGTCTCATAGTTTTTCTCGAGTTGCGGCGGGGACCTGGGGTATGTTCTCGACTTACGGCGGGGATGGCCCTTCAAAACACCAGTTTCTTCAGTGACGTCAGGACTCCTGTCTAGTAACGAGGGACACCTCAGGAATCTCTTCGAGGCTTGGCAGGGCAAAAGGGACGCTTCTCGAGGTGAGGCAGGGCACCCAAGGTCCCTTTCCCGTAGCCACAGGGATTTTGGGATTCCTATCAGTATTCAAGAGGAGTCAGGCATCGTCACCTTTTGGAGCAATGAACTCCGCGTGCCTCTCGAGGTGTCAGCGGTATGTGAGGCATTCCGTCAAAATGAGGCAGGGACCTAGGGCTTTCTCTGAGGTCTCCACAGGGGATTCAGACATCCCTTCATGTTGTGAGATGAAAGACGAGCCTGTATTCGAGCCACTGCAAGGAAATCCGGCCTCCTTTCAAGTTAGGGCCTCTCGCTGTAAATTCCCCTTGAGGCAGCAAACTCGGGGTCCCTCCCACATACCTATTGCTGAGAAAATCCTCCTCCTGAGGTGCTTCTGGAAAGTTGGCATACGTCTTGAGCCTAAGCCAGGGAATCAGCTCTCATCTCGAGACGATTTGGGGTACACGGAGCATTCCTCGAGTTGCTGTGCTGAAGTTGGTGTTCCTCTAGACTTGGGACAGTGTTCTCGGGGCATCTCTTGAGTGGCCTGAATGAAGTAGAGCCACCGGTCGTGTTGAATGGGGAAAGGGGAATGGCCTTGGAGTCAATGCAGGGGAATCGGGCCTCATTTCGAGTTGATTTGGGGCACATGGAGCGGCTTTGCGTTGCTGGGGTGACCTCAGGGTCCGTCTAGACTGGTGACAGTGTTCTTGGGGACTGTCTCGAGATCCATTAAGCAAGTCGAAGCTCCTGACTTGTTTGAATGAGATCACGGAATAGCTCTGCATGCACTGCAGGGGAATGGGGCCTCATCTCGCCTCTAGGGGGAAGTCTCATGGTTTTTCTCGAGTTGCAGCGGGGACATGGGGTATGTTCTCGACTTACGGCGGGGATGGCCCTTCAAAACACGAGTTTCTTCAGTGACGTCAGGACTCCTGTCTAGTAACGAGGGACACCTCAGGAATCTCTTCGAGGCTTGGCAGGGCAAAAGGGACGCTTCTCGATGTGATGCAGGGCACCCAAGGACCCTTTCCAGGAGCCACAGGGATTTTGGGATTCCTATCAGTATTCAAGAGGAGTCAGGCATCGTCACCTTTTGAAGCAATGAACTCCGCGTGCCTCTCGTGGTGTCAACGGGATGTGAGGCATTCCGTCAAAATGAGGCAGGGACCTAGGGCTTTCTTAAGGTCTCCACAGAGGATTCAGACATCCCTTCATGTTGTGAGATGAAAGACGAGTCTGTATTCAAGCCACTGAAAGAAAATCCGGCCTCCTTTCAAGTTAGGGTTTCTCGCTGTAAATTCCCCTTGCGGCAGCAAACTCGGGGTCCATCCCACATACCTATTGCTGAGAGAAGCCTCCTCCTGTGGTGCTTCTGGAAAGTTGTCATACGTGTTGAGCCTAAGCCAGGGAATCAGCTCTCATCTCGAGACGATTTGGGGTACACGGAGCATTCCTCGAGTTGCTGTGCTGAAGTTGGTGTTCCTCTAGACTTGGGACAGTGTTCTCGGGGCATCTCTTGAGTGGCCTGAAGGAAGTAGAGCCACCGGTCGTGTTGAATGGGGAAAGGGGAATGGCCTTGGAGTCAATGCAGGGGAATCGGGCCTCATTTCGAGTTGATTTGGGGCACATGGAGCGGCTTTGCGTTGCTGGGGTGACCTCAGGGTCCGTCTAGACTGGTGACAGTGTTCTTGGGAACTGTCTCGAGATTCATTAAGCAAGTCGAAGCTCCTGACTTGTTTGAATGGGATCACGGAATAGCTCTGCATGCACTGCAGGGGAATGGGGCCTCATCTCGCCTCTAGGGGGAAGTCTCATGGTTTTTCTCGAGTTGCGGCGGGGACCTGGGGTATGTTCTCGACGTACGGCGGGGATGGCCCTTCAAAACACGAGTTTCTTCAGTGACGTCAGGACTCCTTTCTAGTAACGAGGGACACCTCAGGAATCTCTTCGAGGCTTGGCAGGGCAAAAGGGACGCTTCTCGAGGTGAGGCAGGGCACCCAAGGACCCTTTCCAGTAGCCACAGGGATTTTGGGATTCCTATCAGTATTCAAGAGGAGTCAGGCATCGTCTCCTTTTGAAGCAATGAACTCCGCGTGCTCTCGAGGTGTCAGCGGGATGTGAGGCATTCGGTCAAAATGAGGCAGCGACCTAGGGCTTTCTCTAAGGTCTCCACAGGGGATTCAGACATCCCTTCATGTTGTGAGATGAAAGACGAGCCTGTATTCAAGCCACTGCAAGGAAATCCGGCCTCCTTTCAAGTTAGGGCCTCTCGCTGTATATTCCCCTTGAGGCAGCAAACTCGGGGTCCCTCCCACATACCTCTTGCTGAGAGAAGCCTCCTCCTGAGGTGCTTCTGGAAAGTTGGCATACGTCTTGAGCCTAAGCCAGGGAATCAGCTCTCATCTCGAGACGATTTGGGGTACACGGAGTATTCCTCGAGTTGCTGTGCTGAAGTTGGTGTTCCTCTAGTCTTGGGACAGTGTTCTCGGGGCATCTCTGGAGTTGCCTGAAGGAAGTCGAGCCACCGGTCGTGTTGAATGGGGAACGGGGAATGGCTCTGGAGTCAATGCAGGGGAATCGGGCCTCATCTCGAGTTGATTTGGGGCACATGGAGCTGCCTTGCGTTGCTGGGGTGACCTCAGGGTCCGTCTAGACTGGTGACAGTGTTCTTGGGGACTGTCTCGAGATCCATTAAGCAAGTCGAAGCTCCTGACTTGTTTGAATGGGATCACGGAATAGCTCTGCATGCACTGCAGGGGAATGGGGCCTCATGTCGCCTCTAGGGGGAAGTCTCATAGTTTTTCTCGAGTTGCGGCAGGGACCTGGGGTATGTTCTCGACTTACGGCGGGGATGGCCCTTCAAAACACGAGTTTCTTCAGTGACGTCAGGACTCCTGTCTAGTAACGAGGGACACCTCAGGAATCTCTTCGAGGCTTGGCAGGGCAAAAGGGACGCTTCTCGAGGTGAGGCAGGGCACCCAAGGTCCCATTCCCGTAGCCACAGGGATTTTGGGATTCCTATCAGTATTCAAGAGGAGTCAGGCATCGTCACCTTTTGGAGCAATGAACTCCGCGTGCCTCTCGAGGTGTCAGCGGGATGTGAGGCATTCCGTCAAAATGAGGCAGGGACCTAGGGCTTTCTCTGAGGTCTCCACAGGGGATTCAGACATCCCTTCATGTTGTGAGATGAAAGACGAGGCTGTATTCAAGCCACTGCAAGGAAATCAGGCCTCCTTTCAAGTTAGGGCTTCTCGCTGTATATTCCCCTTGAGGCAGCAAACTCGGGGTCCCTCCCACTTACCTATTGCTGAGAGAAGCCTCCTCCTGAGGTGCTTCTGGAAAGTTGGCATACGTCTTGAGCCTAAGCGAGGGAATCAGCTCTCATCTCGAGACGATTTGGGGTACACGGAGCATTCCTCGAGTTGTTGTGCTGAAGTTGGTGTTCCTCTAGACTTGGGACAGTGTTCTCGGGGCATCTCTGGAGTTGCCTGAAGGAAGTCGAGCCACCGGTCGTGTTGAAAGGGGAACGGGGAATGGCTCTGGAGTCAATGCAGGGGAATCGGGCCTCATCTCGAGTTGATTTGCGGCACATGGAGCTGCTTTGCGTTGCTGGGGTGAGCTCAGGGTCCGTCTAGACTGGTGACAGTGTTCTTGGGGACTGTCTCGAGATCCATTAAGCAAGTCGAAGCTCCTGACTTGTTTGAATGGGATCACGGAATAGCTCTGCATGCACTGCAGGGGAATGGGGCCTCATCTCGCCTCTAGGGGGAAGTCTCATGGTTTTTCTCGAGTTGCGGCGGGTACCTGGGGTATGTTCTCGACTTACGGCGGGGATGGCCCTTCAAAACACGAGTTTCTTCAGTGACGTCAGGACTCCTTTCTAGTAACGAGGGACACATCAGGAATCTCTTCGAGGCTTGGCAGGGCAAAAGGGACGCTTCTCGAGGTGAGGCAGGGCACCCAAGGACCCTTTCCAGTAGCCACAGGGATTTTGGGATTCCTATCAGTATTCAAGAGGAGTCAGGCATCGTCACCTTTTGAAGCAATGAACTCCGCGTGCCTCTCGAGGTGTCAGCGGGATGTGAGGCATTCCGTCAAAATGAGGCAGGGACCTAGGGCTTTCTATGAGGTCTCCACAGGGGATTCAGACATCCCTTCATGTTGTGAGATGAAAGACGAGCCTGTATTCAAGCAACTGCAAGGAAATCCGGCCTCCTTTCAAGTTAGGGTTTCTCGCTGTAAATTCCCCTTGCGGCAGCAAACTCGGAGTCCATCCCACATACCTATTGCTGAGAGAAGCCTCCTCCTGTGGTGCTTCTGGAAAGTTGTCATACGTGTTGAGCCTAAGCCAGGGAATCAGTTCTCATCTCGAGACGATTTGGGGTACACGGAGCATTCCTCGTGTTGCTGTGCTGAAGTTGGTGTTCCTCTAGACTTGGGACAGTGTTCTCGGGGCATCTCTTGAGTGGCCTGAAGGAAGTAGAGCCACCGGTCGTGTTGAATGGGGAAAGGGGAACGGCCTTGGAGTCAATGCAGGGGAATCGGGCCTCATCTCGAGTTGATTTGGGGCACATGGCGCGGCTTTGCGTTGCTGGGGTGACCTCAGGGTCCGTCTAGACTGGTGACAGTGTTCTTGGGGACTGTCTCGAGATCCATTAAGCAAGTCGAAGCTCCTGACTTGTTTGAATGAGATCACGGAATAGCTCTGCATGCACTGCAGGTGAATGGGAACTCATCTCGCCTCTAGGGGGAAGTCTCATGGTTTTTCTCGCGTTGCAGCGGGGACATGGGGTATGTTCTCGACTTACGGCGGGGATGGCCCTTCAAAACACGAGTTTCTTCATTGACGTCAGGACTCCTGTCTAGTAACGAGGGACACCTCAGGAATCTCTTCGAGGATTGGCAGGGCAAAAGGGACGCTTTTCGAGGTGAGGCAGGGCACCCAAGGACCCTTTCCAGGAGCCACAGGGATTTTGGGATTCCTATCAGTATTCAAGAGGAGTCAGGCATCGTCACCTTTTGAAGCAATGAACTCCACGTGCCTCGCGAGGTGTCAGCGGGATGTGAGGCATTCCGTCAAAATGAGGCTGGGACCTAGGGCTTTCTCTAAGGTCTCCACAGGGGATTCAGACATCCCTTCATGTTGTGAGATGAAAGACGAGCCTGTATTCAAGCCACTGCAAGGAAATCAAGCCTCCTTTCAAGTTAGGGCCTCTCGCTTTATATTACCCTTGAGGCAGCAAACTCGGGGTCCCTCCCACATACCTATTGCTTAGAGAAGCCTCCTCCTGAGGTGCTTCTGGAAAGTTGGCATACGTCTTGAGCTTAAGCCAGGGAATCAACTCTCATCTCGAGACGATTTGGGGTACACGGAGCATTCCTCGAGTTGCTGTGCTGAAGTTGGTGTTTCTCTAGACTTGGGACAGTGTTCTCGGGGCATCTCTGGAGTTGCCTGAAGGAAGTCGAGCCACCGGTCGTGTTGAATGGGGAACGGGGAATGGCTCTGGTGTCAATGCAGGGGAATCGGGCCTCATCTCGAGTTGATTTGGGGCACATGGAGCTGCTTTGCGTTGCTGGGGTGACCTCAGGGTCCGTCTAGACTGGTGACAGTGTTCTTCGGGACTGTCTCGAGATCCATTAAGCAAGTCGAAGCTCCTGACTTGTTTGAATGGGATCACGGAATAGCTCTGCATGCACTGCAGTGGAATGGGGCCTCATTTCGCCTCTAGGGGGAAGTCTCATGGTTATTCTCGAGTTGCGGCGGGGACTTGGGGTATGTTCTCGACTTACGGCGGGGATGGCCCTTCAAAACACGAGTTTCTTCATTGACGTCAGGACTCCTGTCTAGTAACGAGGGACACCTCAGGAATCTCTTCGAGGCTGGGCAGGGCAAAAGGGACGCTTCTCGAGGTGAGGCAGGGCACCCAAGGACCCTTTCCAGTAGCCACAGGGATTTTGGGATTCCTATCAGTATTCAAGAGGAGTCAGGCATCGTCTCCTTTTGAAGCAATGAACTCCGCGTGCTCTCGAGGTGTCAGCGGGATGAGAGGCATTCGGTCAAAATGAGGCAGCAACCTAGGGCTTTCTCTAAGGTCTCCACAGGGGATTCAGACATCCCTTCATGTTGTGAGATGAAAGACGAGCCTGTATTCAAGCCACTGCAAGGAAATCCGGCCTCCTTTCAAGTTAGGGCCTCTCGCTGTATATTCCCCTTGAGGCAGCAAACTCGGGGTCCCTCCCAAATACCTCTTGCTGAGAGAAGCCTCCTCCTGAGGTGCTTCTGGAAAGTTGGCATACGTCTTGAGCCTAAGCCAGGGAATCAGCTCTCATCTCGAGACGATTTGGGGTACACGGAGTATTCCTCGAGTTGCTGTGCTGAAGTTGGTGTTCCTCTAGTCTTGGGACAGTGTTCTCGGGGCATCTCTGGAGTTGCCTGAAGGAAGTCGAGCCACCGGTCGTGTTGAATGGGGAACGGGGAATGGCTCTGTAGTCAATGCAGGGGAATCGGGCCTCATCTCGAGTTGATTTGGGGCACATGGAGCTGCCTTGCGTTGCTGGGGTGACCTCAGGGTCCGTCTAGACTGGTGACAGTGTTCTTGGGGACTGTCTCGAGATCCATTAAGCAAGTCGAAGCTCCTGACTTGTTTGAATGGGATCACGGAATAGCTCTGCATGCACTGCAGGGGAATGGGGCCTCATGTCGCCTCTAGGGGGAAGTCTCATAGTTTTTCTCGAGTTGCGGCGGGGACCTGGGGTATGTTCTCGACTTACGGCGGGGATGGCCCTTCAAAACACGAGTTTCTTCAGTGACGTCAGGACTCCTGTCTAGTAACGAGGGACACCTCAGGAATCTCTTCGAGGCTTGGCAGGGCAAAAGGGACGCTTCTCGAGGTGAGGCAGGACACCCAAGGTCCCTTTCCCGTAGCCACAGGGATTTTGGGATTCCTATCAGTATTCAAGAGGAGTCAGGCATCGTCACATTTTGGAGCAATGAACACCGCGTGCCTCTCGAGGTGTCAGCGGGATGTGAGGCATTCCGTCAAAATGAGGCAGGGACCTAGGGCTTTCTCTGAGGTCTCCACAGGGGATTCAGACATCCCTTCATGTTGTGAGATGAAAGACGAGCCTGTATTCAAGCCACTGCAAGGAAATCCGGCCTCCTTTCAAGTTAGGGCCTCTCGCTGTATATTCCCCTTGAGGAAGCAACCTCGGGGTCCCTCCCACATACCTATTGCTGAGAGAAGCCTCCTCCTGAGGTGCTTCTGGAAAGTTGGCATACGTCTTGAGCCTAAGCGAGGGAATCAGCTCTCATCTCGAGACGATTTGGGGTACACGGAGCATTCCTCGAGATGCTGTGCTGAAGTTGGTGTTCCTCTAGACTTGGGACAGTGTTCTCGGGGCATCTCTGGAGTTGCCTGAAGGAAGTCGAGCCACCGGTCGTGTTGAAAGGGGAACGGGGAATGGCTCTGGAGTCAATGCAGGGGAATCGGGCCTCATCTCGCCTCTAGGGGGAAGTCTCATGGTTTTTCTCGAGTTGCGGCGGGGACCTGGGGTATGTTCTCGACGTACGGCGGGGATGGCCCTTCAAAACACGAGTTTCTTCAGTGACGTCAGGACTCCTTTCTAGTAACGAGGGACACCTCAGGAATCTCTTCGAGGCTTGGCAGGGCAAAAGGGACGCTTTTCGAGGTGAGGCAGGGCACCCAAGGACCCTTTCCAGGAGCCACAGGGATTTTGGGATTCCTATCAGTATTCAAGAGGAGTCAGGCATCGTCACCTTTTGAAGCAACGAACTCCACGTGCCTCGCGAGGTGTCAGCGGGATGTGAGGCATTCCGTCAAAATGAGGCAGGGACCTAGGTCTTTCTATAAGGTCTCCACAGGGGATTCAGACATCCCTTCATGTTGTGAGATGAAAGACGAGCCTGTATTCAAGCCACTGCAAGGAAATCAAGCCTCCTTTCAAGTTAGGGCCTCTCGCTTTATATTACCCTTGAGGCAGCAAACTCGGGGTCCCTCCCACATACCTATTGCTTAGAGAAGTCTCCTCCTGAGGTGCTTCTGGAAAATTGGCATACGTCTTGAGCCTAAGCCAGGGAATCAGCTCTCATCTCGAGACGATTTGGGGTACACGGAGCATTCCTCGAGTTGCTGTGCTGAAGTTGGTGTTCCTCTAGACTTGGGACAGTGTTCTCGGGGCATCTCTGGAGTTGCCTGAAGGAAGTCGAGCCACCGGTCGTGTTGAATGGGGAACGGGGAATGGCTCTGGAGTCAATGCAGGGGAATCGGGCCTCATCTCGAGTTGATTTGGGGCACATGGAGCTGCCTTGCATTGCTGGGGTGACCTCAGGGTCCGTCAAGACTGGTGACAGTGTTCTTGGGGACTGTCTCGAGATCCATTAAGCAAGTCGAAGCTCCTGACCTGTTTGAATGAGATCACGGAATAGCTCTGCATGCACTGCAGGGGAATGGGGCCTCATGTCGTCTCTAGTGGGAAGTCTCATAGTTTTTCTCGAGTTGCGGCGGGGACCTGGGGTATGTTCTCGACTTACGGCGGGGATGGCCCTTCAAAACACGAGTTTCTTCAGTGACGTCAGGACTCCTGTCTAGTAACGAGGGACACCTCAGGAATCTCTTCGAGGCTTGGCAGGGCAAAAGGGACGCTTCTCGAGGTGAGGCAGGGCACCCAAGGTCCCTTTCCCGTAGCCACAGGGATTTGGGGATTCCTATCAGTATTCAAGAGGAGTCAGGCATCGTCACCTTTTGGAGCAATGAACTCCGCGTGCGTCTCGAGGTGTCAGCGGGATGTGAGGCATTCCGTCAAAATGAGGCAGGGACCTAGGGCTTTCTCTGAGGTCTCCACAGGGGATTCAGACATCCCTTCATGTTGTGAGGTGAAAGACGAGCCTGTATTCAAGCCACTGCAAGGAAATCCGGCCTCCTTTCAAGTTAGGGCTTATCGCTGTATACTCCCCTTGAGGCAGCAAACTCGGGGTCCCTCCCACATACCTATTGCTGAGAGAAGCCTCCTCCTGAGGTGCTTCTGGAAAGTTGGCATACGTCTTGAGCCTAAGCGAGGGAATCAGCTCTCATCTCGAGACGATTTGGGGTACACGGAGCATTCCTCGAGATGCTGTGCTGAAGTTGGTGTTCCTCTAGACTTGGGACAGTGTTCTCGGTGCATCTCTGGAGTTGCATGAAGGAAGTCGAGCCACCGGTCGTGTTGAAAGGGGAACGGGGAATGGCTCTGGAGTCAATGCAGGGGAATCGGGCCTCATCTCGAGTTGATTTGCGGCACATGGAGCTGCTTTGCGTTGCTGGGGTGAGCTCAGGGTCCGTCTAGACTGGTGACAGTGTTCTTGGGGACTCTCTCGAGATCCATTAAGCAAGTCGAAGCTCCTGACTTGTTTGAATGGGATCACGGAATAGCTCTGCATGCACTGCAGGGGAATGGGGCCTCATGTCGCCTCTAGGGGGAAGTCTCATGGTTTTTCTCGAGTTGCGGCGGGGACCTGGGGTATGTTCTCGACGTACGGCGGGGATGGCCCTTCAAAACACGAGTTTCTTCAGTTACGTCAGGACTCCTGTCTAGTAACGAGGGACACCTCAGGAATCTCTTCGAGGCTTGGCAGGGCAAAAGGACGCTTCTCGAGGTGAGGCAGGGCACCCAAGGACCCTTTCCATAAGCCACAGGGATTTTGGAATTCCTATCAGTATTCAAGAGGAGTCAGGCATCGTCACCTTTTGAAGCAATGAACTCCGCGTGCCTCTCGAGGTGTCAGCGGGATGTGAGGCATTCCGTCAAAATGAGGCAGGGATCTAGGGCTTTCTCTAAGGTCTCCACAGGGGATTCAGACATCCCTTCATGTTGTGAGATGAAAGACGAGCCTGTATTCAAGCCACTGCAAGGAAATCCGGCCTCCTTTCAAGTTAGGGTTTCTCGCTGTAAATTCCCCTTGAGGCAGCAAACTAGGGGTCCCTCACACATACCTATTGCTGAGAGAAGCCTCCTCCTGAGGTGCTTCTGGAAAGTTGGCATACGTCTTGAGCCTAAGCCAGGGAATCAGCTCTCATCTCGAGACGATTTGGGGTACACGGAGCATTCCTCGAGTTGCTGTGCTGAAGTTGGTGTTCCTCTAGACTTGGGATAGTGTTCTCGGGGCATCTCTTGAGTGGCCTGAAGGAAGTAGAGCCACCGGTCGTGTTGAATGGGGAAAGGGGAATGGCCTTGGAGTCAATGCAGGGGAATCGGGCCTCATCTCGAGTTGATTTGGGGCACATGGAGCGGCTTTGCGTTGCTGGGGTGACCTCAGGGTCCGTCTAGACTGGTGACAGTGTTCTTGGGGACTGTCTCGAGATCCATTAAGCAAGTCGAAGCTCCTGATTTGTTTGAATGAGATCACGGAATAGCTCTGCATGCACTGCAGGGGAATGGGGCCTCATCTCGCATCTAGGGGGAAGTCTCATGGTTTTACTCGAGTTGCAGCGGGGACATGGGGTATGTTCTCGACTTACGGCGGGGATTGCCCTTCAAAACACGAGTTTCTTCAGTGACGTCAGGACTCCTGTCTAGTAACGAGGGACACCTCAGGAATCTCTTCGAGGCTGGGCAGGGCAAAAGGGACGCTTCTCGAGGTGAGGCAGGGCACCCAAGGACCCTTTCCAGTAGCCACAGGGATTTTGGGATTCCTATCAGTATTCAAGAGGAGTCAGGCATCGTCACCTTTTGGAGCAATGAACTCCGCGTGCCTCTCGAGGTGTCAGCGGGATGTGAGGCATTCCGTCAAAATGAGGCAGGGACCTAGGGCTTTCTCTGAGGTCTCCACATTGGTTTCAGACATCCCTTCATGTTGTGAGATGAAAGACGAGCCTGTATTCAAGCCACTGCAAGGAAATCCGGCCTCCTTTCAAGTTAGGGCTTCTCGCTGTATATTCCCCTTGAGGCAGCAAACTCGGGGTCCCTCCCACATACGTATGGCTGAGAGAAGCCTCCTCCTGAGGTGCTTCTGGAAAGTTGGCATACGTCTTGAGCCTAAGCCAGGGAATCAGCTCTCATCTCGAGACGATTTGGGGTACACGGAGATTCCTCGAGTTGCTGTGCTGAAGTTGGTGTTCCTCTAGACTTGGAACAGTGTTCTCGGGGCATCTCTTGAGTGGCCTGAAGGAAGTAGAGCCACCGGTCGTGTTGAATGGGGAAAGGGGAATGGCCTTGGAGTCAATGCAGTGGAATCGGGCCTCATTTAGAGTTGATTTGGGGCACATGGAGCGGCTTTGCGTTGCTGGGGTGACCTCAGGGTCCGTCTAGACTGGTGACAGTGTTCTTGGGGACTGTCTCGAGATCCATTAAGCAAGTCGAAGCTCCTGACTTGTTTGAATGAGATCACGGAATAGCTCTGCATGCACTGCAGGTGAATGGGAACTCATCTCGCCTCTAGGCGGAAGTCTCATGGTTTTTCTCGCGTTGCAGCGGGGACATGGGGTATGTTCTCGACTTACGGCGGGGATGGCCCTTCAAAACACGAGTTTCTTCAGTGACGTCAGGACTCCTGTCTAGTAACGAGGGACACCTCAGGAATCTCTTCGAGGCTTGGCAGGGCAAAAGGGACGCTTTTCGAGGTGAGGCAGGGCACCCAAGGACCCTTTCCAGTAGCCACAGGGATTTTGGGATTCCTATCAGTATTCAAGAGGAGTCAGGCATCGTCACCTTTTGAAGCAACGAACTCCTCGTGCCTCGCGAAGTTTCAGCGGGATGTGAGGCATTCCGTCAAAATGAGGCAGGGACCTAGGGCTTTCTCTAAGGTCTCCACAGGGGATTCAGACATCCCTTCAGGTTGTGAGATGAAAGACGAGCCTGTATTCAAGCCACTGCAAGGAAATCAAGCCTCCTTTCAAGTTAGGGCCTCTCGCTTTATATTACACTTGAGGCAGCAAACTCGGGGTCCCTCCCACATACCTATTGCTTAGAGAAGCCTCCTCCTGAGGTGCTTCTGGAAAGTTGGCATACGTCTTGAGCCTAAGCCAGGGAATCAGCTCTCATCTCGAGACGATTTGGGGTACACAGAGCATTCCTCGAGTTGCTGTGCTGAAGTTGGTGTTCCTCTAGACTTGGGACAGTGTTCTCGGGGCATCTCTGGAGTTGCCTGAAGGAAGTCGAGCCACCGGTCGTGTTGAATGGGGAACGGGGAATGGCTCTGGAGTCAATGCAGGGGAATCGGGCCTCATCTCGAGTTGATTTGGGGCACATGGAACTGCTATGCGTTGCTGGGGTGACCTCAGGGTCCGTCTAGACTGGTGACAGTGTTCTTGGGGACTGTCTCGAGATCCATTAAGCAAGTCGAAGCTCCTGACTTGTTTGAATGGGATCACGGAATAGCTCTGCATGCACTGCAGTGGAATGGGGCCTCATCTCGCCTCTAGGGGGAAGTCTCATGGTTATTCTCGAGTTGCGGCGGGGACCTGGAGTATGTTCTCGACTTACGGCAGGGATGGCCCTTCAAAACACGAGTTTCTTCATTGACGTCAGGACTCCTGTCTAGTAACGAGGGACACCTCAGGAATCTCTTCGAGGCTGGGCAGGGCCAAAGGGACGCTTCTCGAGGTGAGGCAGGGCACCCAAGGACCCTTTCCAGTAGCCACAGGGATTTTGGGATTCCTATCTGTATTCAAGAGGAGTCAGGCATCGTCACCTTTAGAAGCAATGAACTCCGCGTGCTGTTGAGGTGTCAGCGGGATGTGAGGCATTCGGTCAAAATGAGGCAGCGACCTAGGGCTTTCTCTAAGGTCTCCACAGGGGATTCAGACATCCCTTCATGTTGTGAGATGAAAGACGAGCCTGTATTCAAGCCACTGCAAGGAAATCCGGCCTCCTTTCAAGTTAGGGCCTCTCGCTGTATATTCCCCTTGAGGCAGCAATCTCGGGGTCCCTCCCACATACCTCTTGCTGAGAGAAGCCTCCTCCTGAGGTGCTTCTGGAAAGTTGGCATACGTCTTGAGCCTAAGCCAGGGAATCAGCTCTCATCTCGAGACGATTTGGGGTACACGGAGATTCCTCGAGTTGCTGTGCTGAAGTTGGTGTTCCTCTAGGCTTGGGACAGTGTTCTCGGGGCATCTCTGGAGTTGCCTGAAGGAAGTCGAGCCACCGGTCGTGTTGAATGGGGAACGGGGAATGGCTCTGGAGTCAATGCAGGGGAATCGGGCCTCATCTCGAGTTGATTTGGGGCAAATGGAGCTGCTTTGCGTTGCTGGGGTGACCTCAGGGTCCGTCTAGACTGGTGACAGTGTTCTTGGGGACTGTCTCGAGATCCATTAAGCAAGTCGAAGCTCCTGACTTGTTTGAATGGGATCACGGAATAGCTCTGCATGCACTGCAGGGGAATGGGGCCTCATGTCACCTATAGGGGGAAGTCTCATGGTTTTTCTCGAGTTGCGGCGGGGACCTGGGGTATGTTCTCGACTTACGGCGGGGATGGCCCTTCAAAACACGAGTTTCTTCAGTGACGTCAGGACTCCTGTCTAGTAACGAGGGACACCTCAGAAATCTCTTCGAGGCTTGGCAGGGCAAAAGGGACGCTTCTCGAGGTGAGGCAGTTCACCCAAGGACCCTTTCCCGTAGCCACAGGGATTTTGGGATTCCTATCAGTATTCAAGAGGAGTCAGGCATCGTCACCTTTTGAAGCAATGAACTCCACGTGCCTCTAGAGGTGTCTGCGGGATGTGAGGCATTCCGTCAAAATGAGGCAGGGTCCTCGGGCTTTCTCTAAGGTCTCCACAGGGGATTCAGACATCCCTTCATGTTGTGAGATGAAAGACGAGCCTGTATTCAAGCCACTGGAAGGAAATCCGGCCTCCTTTCAAGTTAGGGCCTCTCACTGTATATTCCCCTTGAGGCAGCAAACTCGGGGTCCCTCCCACATACATATTGCTGAGAGAAGCCTCCTCCTGAAGTGCTTCTGGAAAGTTTGCATACGTCTTGAGCCTAAGCCAGGGAATGAGCTCTCATCTCGAGATGATTTGTGGTACACGGAGCATTCCTCGAGTTGCTGTGCTGAAGTTGGTGTTCCTCTAGACTTGGGAGAGTGTTCTCGGGGCATCTCTGGAGTTGCCTGAAGGAAGTCGAGCCACCGGTCGTGTTGAATGGGGAACGGGGAATGGCTCTGGAGTCAATGCAGGGGAATCGGGCCTCATCTCGAGTTGATTTGGGGCACATGGTGCTGCTTTGCGTTGCTGGGGTGACCTCAGGGTCCGTCTAGACTGGTGACAGTGTTCTTGGGGACTGTCTCGAGATCCTTTAAGCAAGTCGAAGCTCCTGACTTGTTTGAATGGGATCACGGAATAGCTCTGCATGTACTGCAGTGGAATGGGGCCTCATGTCGCCTATAGTGGGAAGTCTCATGGTTTTTCTCGAGTTGCGGCGGGGACCTGGGTTATGTTCTCGACTTTCGGCGGGGATGGCCCTTCAAAACACGAGTTTCTTCAGTGACGTCAGGACTCCTGTCTAGTAACGAGGGACACCTCAGGAATCTCTTCGAGGCTTGGCAGGGGAAAAGGGACGCTTCTCGAGGTGAGGCAGGGCACCCAAGGACCCTTTCCAGTAGCCACAGGGATTTTGGGATTCCTATCAGTATTCAAGAGGAGTCAGGCATCGTCTCCTTTTGAAGCAATGAACTCCGCGTGCCTCTCGAGTTGTCAGCGGGATGTGAGGCATTCCGTCAAAATGAGGCAGGGACCTAGGGCTTTCTCTAAGGTCTCCACAGGGGATTCAGACATCCCTTCATGTTGTGAGATGAAAGACGAGCCCGTATTAAAGCCACTGCAAGGAAATCCAGCCTCCTTTCAAGTTAGGGCCTCTCGCTTTATATTACCCTTGAGGCAGCAAACTCGGGGTCCCTCCCACATACCTATTGCTTAGAGAAGCCTCCTCCTGAGGTGCTTCTGGAAAGTTGGCATACGTCTTGAGCCTAAGCCAGGGAATCAGCTCTCATTTCGAGACGATTTGGGGTACACGGAGCATTCCTCGAGTTGCTGTGCTGAAGTTGGTGTTCCTCTAGACTTGGGACAGTGTTCTCGGGGCATCTCTGGAGTTGCCTGAAGGAAGTCGAGCCACCGGTCGTGTTGAATGGGGAACGGGGAATGGCTCTGGAGTCAATGCAGGGGAATCGGGCCTCATCTCGAGTTGATTTGGGGCACAAGGAGCTGCTTTGCGTTGCTGGGGTGACCTCAGGGTCCGTCTAGACTGGTGACAGTGTTCTTGGGGACTGTCTCGAGATCCATTAAGCAAGTCAAAGCTCCTGACTTGTTTGAATGGGATTACGGAATAGCTCTGCATGCACTGCAGGGGAATGGGGCCTCATGTCGCCTCTAGGGGGAAGTCTCATGGTTATTCTCGAGTTGCGGCGGGGACCTGGGGTATGTTCTCGACTTACGGCGGGGATGGCCCTTCAAAACACGAGTTTCTTCATTGACGTCAGGACTCCTGTCTAGTAACGAGGGACACCTCAGGAATCTCTTCGAGGCTTGGCAGGGCAAAAGGGACGCTTCTCGAGGTGAGGCAGGGCACCCAAGGACCCTTTCCAGTAGCCACAGGGATTTTGGGATTCCTATCAGTATTCAAGAGGAGTCAGGCATCGTCACCTTTAGAAGCAATGAACTCCGCGTGCTCTCGAGGTGTCAGCGGGATGTGAGGCATTCGGTCAAAATGAGGCAGGGACCTAGGGCTTTCTCTAAAGTCTCCACAGGGGATTCAGACATCCCTTCATGTTGTGAGATGAAAGACGAGCCTGTATTCAAGCCACTGCAAGGAAATCCGGCCTCCTTTCAAGTTAGGGCCTCTCACTGTATATTCCCCTTGAGGCAGCAAACTCGGGGTCCCTCCCACATACCTATTGCTGAGAGAAGCCTCCTCCTGAGGTGCTTCTGGAAAGTTGGCATACGTCTTGAGCCTAAGCCAGGGAATCAGCTCTCATCTCGAGACGATTTGTTGTACACGGAGTATTCCTCGAGTTGCTGTGCTGAAGTTGGTGTTCCTCTAGTCTTGGGACAGTGTTCTCGGGGCATCTCTGGAGTTGCCTGAAGGAAGTCGAGCCACCGGTCGTGTTGAATGGGGAACGGGGAATGGCTCTGGAGTCAATGCAGGGGAATCGGGCCTCATCTCGAGTTGATTTGGGCACATGGAGCTGCCTTGCATTGCTGGGGTGACCTCAGGGTCCGTCTAGACTGGTGACAGTGTTCTTGGGGACTGTCTCGAGATCCATTAAGCAAGTCGAAGCTCCTGACTTGTTTGAATGGGATCACGGAATAGCTCTGCATGCACTGCAGGGGAATGGGGCCTCATGTCGCCTCTAGGGGGAAGTCTCATAGTTTTTCTCGAGTTGCGGCGGGGACCTGGGGTATGTTCTCGACTTACGGCGGGGATGGCCCTTCAAAACACGAGTTTCTTCAGTGACGTCAGGACTCCTGTCTAGTAACGAGGGACACCTCAGGAATCTCTTCGAGGCTTGGCAGGGCAAAAGGGACGCTTCTCGAGGTGAGGCAGGGCACCCAAGGTCCCTTTCCAGTAGCCACAGGGATTTTGGGATTCCTATCAGTATTCAAGAGGAGTCAGGCATCGTCACCTATTGAAGCAATGAACTCCGCGTGCCTCTAGATGTGTCAGCGGGATGTGAGGCATTCCGTCAAAATGAGGCAGGGTCCTCGGGCTTTCTTTAAGGTCTCCACAGGGGATTCAGACATCCCTTCATGTTGTGAGATGAAAGACGAGCCTGTATTCAAACCACTGCAAGGAAATCCGGCCTCCTTTCAAGTTAGGGCCTCTCACTGTATATTCCCCTTGAGGCAGCAAACTCGGGGTCCCTCCCACATACATATTGCTGAGAGAAGCCTCCTCCTAAAGTGCTTCTGGAAAGTTTGCATACGTCTTGAGCCTGAGCCAGGGAATGAGCTCTCATCTCGAGATGATTTGTGGTACACGGAGCATTCCTCGAGTTGCTGTGCTGAAGTTGGTGTTCCTCTAGACTTGGGACAGTGTTCTCGGGGCATCTCTGGAGTTGCCTGAAGGAAGTCGAGCCACCGGTCGTGTTGAATGGGGAACGGGGAATGGCTCTGGAGTCAATGCAGTGGAATCGGGCCTCATCTCGAGTTGATTTGGGGCACATGGAGCTGCTTTGCATTGCTGGGGTGAGCTCAGGGTCCGTCTAGACTGGTGACAGTGTTCTTGGGGACTGTCTCGAGATCCATTAAGCAAGTCGAAGCTCCTGACTTGTTTGAATGGGATCACGGAATAGCTCTGCATGCACTGCAGGGGAATGGGGCCTCATCTCGCCTCTAGGGGGAAGTCTCATGGTTTTTCTCGAGTTGCGGCGGGGACCTGGGGTATGTTCTCGACGTACGGTGGGGATGGCCCTTCAAAACACGAGTTTCCTCAGTGACGTCAGGACTCCTTTCTAGTAACGAGGGACACCTCAGGAATCTCTTCGAGGCTTGGCAGGGCAAAAGGGACGCTTCTCGAGGTGAGGCAGGGCACCCAAGGACCCTTTCCAGTAGCCACAGGGATTTTGGGATTCCTATCAGTATTCAAGAGGAGTCAGGCATCGTCACCTTTTGAATCAATGAACTCCGCGTGCCTCTCGAGGTGTCAGCGGGATGTGAGGCATTCCGTCAAAATGAGGCAGGGACCTAGGGCTTTCTATGAGGTCTCCACAGGGGATTCAGACATCCCTTCATGTTGTGAGATGAAAGACGAGCCTGTATTCAAGCCACTGCAAGGAAATCCGGCCTCCTTTCAAGTTAGGGTTTCTCGCTGTAAATTCCCCTTGAGGCAGCAAACTCGGGGTCCCTCCCACATACCTATTGCTGAGAGAAGCCTCCTCCTGAGGTGCTTCTGGAAAGTTGGCATACGTCTTGAGCCTAAGCCTGGGAATCAGCTCTCATCTCGAGACGATTTGGGGTACACGGAGCATTCCTCGAGTTGCTGTGCTGAAGTTGGTGTTCCTCTAGACTTGGGACAGTGTTCTCGGGGCATCTCTTGAGTGGCCTGAAGGAAGTAGAGCCACCGGTCGTGTTGAATGGGGAAAGGGGAATGGCCTTGGAGTCAATGCAGGGGAATCGGGCCTCATCTCGAGTTGATTTGGGGCACATGGAGCTGCTTTGCGTTGCTGGGGTGACCTCAGGGTCCGTCTAGACTGGTGACAGTGTTCTTGGGGACTGTCTCGAGATCCATTAAGCAAGTCGAAGCTCCTGACTTGTTTGAATGAGATCATGGAATAGCTCTGCATGCACTGCAGGGGAATGGGGCCTCATCTCGCATCTAGGGGGAAGTCTCATGGTTTTACTCGAGTTGCAGCGGGGACATGGGGTATGTTCTCGACTTACGGCGGGGATGGCCCTTCAAAACACGAGATTCTTCAGTAACGTCAGGACTCCTGTCTAGTAACGAGGGACACCTCAGGAATCTCTTCGAGGCTGGGCAGGGCAAAAGGGATGCTTCTCGAGGTGAGGCAGGGCACCCAAGGACCCTTTCCAGTATCCACAGGGATTTTGGGATTCCTATCAGTATTCAAGAGGAGTCAGGCATCGTCACCTTTTGGAGCAATGAACTCCGTGTGCCTCTCGAGTTGTCAGCGGGATGTGAGGCATTCCGTCAAAATGAGGCAGGGACCTAGGGCTTTCTCTGAGGTCTCCACAGGGGATTCAGACATCCCTTCATGTTGTGAGATGAAAGACGAGCCTGTATTCAAGCCACTGCAAGGAAATCCGGCCTCCTTTCAAGTTAGGGCTTCTCGCTGTATATTCCCCTTGAGGCAGCAAATTCGGGGTCCCTCCCACATACCTATTGCTGAGAGAAGCCTCCTCCTGAGGTGCTTCTGGAAAGTTGGCATACGTCTTGAGCCTAAGCCAGGGAATCAGCTCTCATCTCGAGACGATTTGGGGTACACGGAGATTCCTCGAGTTGCTGTGCTGAAGTTGGTGTTCCTCTAGACTTGGGACAGTGTTCTCGGGGCATCTCTTGAGTTGCCTGAAGGAAGTCGAGCCACCGGTCGTGTTGAATGGTGAACGGGGAATGGATCTGGTGTCAATGCAGGGGAATCGGGCCTCATCTCGAGTTGATTTGGGGAACATTGGGCTTCTTTGCGTTGCTGGGGTGACCTCAGGGTCCGTCTAGACTGGTGACAGTGTTCTTGGGGACTGTCTCGAGATCCATTAAGCAAGTCGAAGCTCCTGACTTGTTTGAATGGGATCACGGAAGAGCTCTGCATGCACTGCAGTGGAATGGGGCCTCATCTCGCATCTAGGGGGAAGTCTCATGGTTATTCTCGAGTTGCGGCGGGGACCTGGGGTATGTTCTCGACTTACGACGGGGATGGCCCTTTAAAACACGAGTTTCTTCATTGTCGTCAGGACTCCTGTCTAGTAACGAGGGACACCTCAGGAATCTCTTCGAGGCTGGGCAGGGCAAAAGGGATGCTTCTCGAGGTGAGGCAGGGCACCCAAGGACCCTTTCCAGTAGCCACAGGGATTTTGGGATTCCTATCAGTATTCAAGAGGAGTCAGGCATCGTCACCTTTTGAAGCAATGAACTCCGCGTGCTCTCGAGGTGTCAGCGGGATGTGAGGCATTCGGTCAAAATGAGGCAGGGACCTAGGGCTTTCTCTAAGGTCTCCACAAGGGATTCAGACATCCCTTCATGTTGTGAGATGAAAGACGAGCCTGTATTCAAGCCACTGCAAGGAAATCCGGCCTCCTTTCAAGTTAGGGCCTCTCGCTGTATATTCCCCTTGAGGCAGCAAACTCGGGGTCCCTCCCACATACCTCTTGCTTAGAGAAGCCTCCTCCTGAGGTGCTTCTGGAAAGTTGGCATACGTCTTGAGCCTAAGCCAGGGAATCAGCTCTCATCTTGAGACGATTTGGGGTACAAGGAGCATTCCTAGAGTTGCTGTGCTGAAGTTGGTGTTCCTCTAGCCTTGGGAGAGTGTTCTCGGGGCATCTCTGGAGTTGCGTGAAGGAAGTCGAGCCACCGGTCTTGTTGAATGGGGAACGGGGAATGGCTCTGGAGTCAATGCAGCGGAATCGGGCCTCATCTCGAGTTGATTTGGGGCACATGGAGCTGCTTTGCGCTGCTGGGGTGACCTCAGGGTCCGTCTAGACTGGTGACAGTGTTCTTGGGGACTGTCTCGAGATCCATTAAGCAAGTCGAATCTCCTGACTTGTTTGAATGGGATCACGGAATAGCTCTGCATGCACTGCAAGGGAATGGGGCCTCATCTCGCATCTAGGGGGAAGTCTCATGGTTTTACTCGAGTTGCAGCGGGGACATGGGGTATGTTCTCGACTTACGGAGGGGATGGCCCTTCAAAACACGAGTTTCTTCAGTGACGTCAGGACTCCTGTCTAGTAACGAGGGACACCTCAGGAATCTCTTCGAGGCTGGGCAGGGCAAAAGGGACGCTTCTCGAGGTGAGGCAGGGCACCCAAGGACCCTTTCCAGTATCCACAGGGATTTTGGGATTCCTATCAGTATTCAAGAGGAGTCAGGCATCGTCACCTTTTGGAGCAATGAACTCCGCGTGCCTCTCGAGGTGTCAGCGGGATGTGAGTCATTCCGTCAAAATGAGGCAGGGACCTAGGGCTTTCTCTGAGGTCTCCACAGGGGATTCAGACATCCCTTCATGTTGTAAGATGAAAGACGAGCCTGTATTCAAGCCACTGCAAGGAAATCCGGCCTCCTTTCAAGTTAGGGCTTCTCGCTGTATATTCCCCTTGAGGCAGCAAACTCGGGGTCCCTCCCACATACCTATTGCTGAGAGAAGCCTCCTCCTGAGGTGCTTCTGGAAAGTTGGCATACGTCTTGAGCCTAAGCCAGGGAATCAGCTCTCATCTCGAGATGATTTGGGGTACACGGAGATTCCTCGAGTTGCTGTGCTGAAGTTGTTGTTCCTCTAGACTTGGGACAGTGTTCTCGGGGCATCTCTTGAGTGGCCTGAAGGAAGTCGAGCCACCGGTCGTGTTGAATGGGGAAAGGGGAATGGCCTTGGAGTCAATGCAGGGGAATCGGGCCTCATTTCGAGTTGATTTGGGGCACATGGAGCGGCTTTGCATTGCTGGGGTGACCTCAGCGTCCGTCTAGACTGGTGACAGTGTTCTTGGGGACTGTCTCGAGATCCATTAAGCAAGTCGAAGCTCCTGACTTGTTTGAATGAGATCACGGAATAGCTCTGCATGCACTGCAGGGGAATGGGGCCTCATCTCGCCTCTAGGGGGAAGTCTCATGGTTTTTCTCGAGTTGCGGCGGGGACCTGGAGTATGTTCTCGACTTACGGCGGGGATGGCCCTTCAAAACACGAGTTTCTTCATTGACGTCAGGACTCCTGTCTAGTAACGATTGACACCTCAGGAATCTCTTCGAGGCTGGGCAGGGCAAAAGGGACGCTTCTCGAGGTGAGGCAGGGCACCCAAGGACCCTTTCCAGTAGCCACAGGGATTTTGGGATTCCTATCAGTATTCAAGAGGAGTCAGGCATCGTCACCTTTAGAAGCAATGAACTCCGCGTGCTCTCGAGGTGTCAGCGGGATGTGAGGCATTCGGTCAAAATGAGGCAGCGACCTAGGGCTTTCTCTGAGGTCTCCACAGGGGATTCAGACATCCCTTCATGTTGTGAGATGAAAGACGAGCCTGTATTCAAGCCACTGCAAGGAAATCCGGCCTCCTTTCAAGTTAGGGCCTCACTCTGTATATTCCCCTTGAGGCAGCAAACTCGGGGTCCCTCCGACATACCTCTTGCTGAGAGAAGCCTCCTCCTGAGGTGCTTCTGGAAAGTTGGCATACGTCTTGAGCCTAAGCCAGGGAATCAGCTCTCATCTCGAGACGATTTGTTGTACACGGAGTATTCCTCGAGTTGCTGTGCTGAAGTTGGTGTTCCTCTAGTCTTGGGACAGTGTTCTCGGGGCATCTCTGGAGTTGCCTGAAGGAAGTCGAGCCACCGGTTGTGTTGAATGGGGAACGGGGAATGGCTCTGGAGTCAATGCAGGGGAATCGGGCCTCATCTCGAGTTGATTTGGGGCACATGGAGCTGCCTTGCATTGCTGGGGTGACCTCAGGGTCCGTCTAGACTGGTGACAGTGTTCTTGGGGACTGTCTCGAGATCCATTAAGCAAGTCGAAGCTCCTGACTTGTTTGAATGGGATCACGGAATAGCTCTGCATGCACTGCAGGGGAATGGGGCCTCATGTCGCCTCTAGGGGGAAGTCTCATAGTTTTTCTCGAGTTGCGGCGGGGACCTGGGGTATGTTCTCGACTTACGGCGGGGATGGCCCTTCAAAACACGAGTTTCTTCAGTGACGTCAGGACTCCTGTCTAGTAACGAGGGACACCTCAGGAATCTCTTCGAGGCTTGGCAGGGCAAAAGGGACGCTTCTCGAGGTGAGGCAGGGCACCCAAGGTCCCTTTCCCGTAGCCACAGGGATTTTGGGATTCCTATCAGTATTCAAGAAGAGTCAGGCATCGTCACGTTTTGGAGCAATGAACTCCGCGTGCGTCTCGAGGTGTCAGCGGAATGTGAGGCATTCCGTCAAAATGAGGCAGGGACCTAGGGCTTTCTCTGAGGTCTCCATATGGGATTCAGACATCCCTTCATGTTGTGAGATGATAGACGAGCCTGTATTCAAGCCACTGCAAGGAAATCCGGCCTCCTTTCAAGTTAGGGCTTCTCGCTGTATATTCCCCTTGAGGCAGCAAACTCGGGGTCCCTCCCACATACCTATTGCTGAGAGAAGCCTCCTCCTGAGGTGCTTCTGGAAAATTGGCATACGTCTTGAGCCTAAGCGAGGGAATCAGCTCTCATCTCGAGACGATTTGTGGTACACGGAGCATTCCTCGAGATGCTGTGCTGAAGTTGGTGTTCCTCTAGACTTGGGACAGTGTTCTCGGGGCATCTCTGGAGTTGCCTGAAGGAAGTCGAGCCACCGGTCGTGTTGAAAGGGGAACGGGGAATGGCTCTGGAGTCAATGCAGGGGAATCGGGCCTCATCTCGAGTTGATTTGCGGCACATGGAGCTGCTTTGCGTTGCTGGGTGAGCTCAGGGTCCGTCTAGACTGGTGACAGTGTTCTTGGGGACTGTCTCGAGATCCATTAAGCAAGTCGAAGCTCCTGACTTGTTTGAATGGGATCACGGAATAGCTCTGCATGCACTGCAGGGGAATGGGGCCTCATCTCGCCTCTAGGGGGAAGTATCATGGTTTTTCTCGAGTTGCGGCGGGGACCTGGGGTATGTTCTCGACGTACGGCAGGGATGGCCCTTCAAAACACGAGTTTCTTCAGTGACGTCAGGACTCCTTTCTAGTAACGAGGGACACCTCAGGAATCTCTTCGAGGCTTGGCAGGGCAAAAGGGACGCTTCTCGAGGTGAGGCAGGGCACCCAAGGACCCTTTCTAGTAGCCCCAGGGATTTTGGGATTCCTATCAGTATTCAAGAGGAGTCAGGCATCGTCACCTTTTGAAGCAATGAACTCCTCGTGCCTCTCGAGGTGTCAACGGGATGTGAGGCATTCCGTCAAAATGAGGCAGGGACCTAGGGCTTTCTTAAGGTCTCCACAGGGGATTCAGACATCCCTTCATGTTGTGAGATGAAAGACGAGCCTGTATTCAAGCCACTGCACGGAAATCCGGCCTCCTTTCAAGTTAGGGCTTCTCGCTGTATATTCCCCTTGAGGCAGCAAACTCGGGGTCCCTCCCACATACCTATTGCTGAGAGAAGCCTCCTCGTGAGGTGCTTCTGGAAAGTTGGCATACGTCTTGAGCCTAAGCGAGGGAATCAGCTCTCATCTCGAGACGATTTGGGGTACACGGAGATTCCTCGAGTTGCTGTGCTGAAGTTGGTGTTCCTCTAGACTTGGGACAGTGTTCTCGGGGCATCTCTGGAGTTGCCTGAAGGAAGTCGAGCCACCGGTCGTGTTGAATGGGGAACGGGGAATGGCTCTGGAGTCAATGCAGGGGAATCGGGCCTCATATCGAGTTGATTTGGGGCACATGGAGCTGCTTTGCGTTGCTGGGGTGACCTCAGGGTCCGTCTAGACTGGTGACAGTGTTCTTGGGGACTGTCTCGAGATCCATTAAGCAAGTCAAAGCTCCTGACTTGTTTGAATGGGATTACGGAATAGCTCTGCATGCACTGCAGGGGAACGGGGCCTCATGTCGCCTCTAGGGGGAAGTCTCATGGTTATTCTCGAGTTGCGGCGGGGACCTGGGGTATGTTCTCGACTTACGGCGGGGATGGCCCTTCAAAACACGAGTTTCTTCAGTGACGTCAGGACTCCTGTCTAGTAACGAGGGACAACTCAGGAATCTCTTCGAGGCTGGGCAGGGCAAAAGGGACGCTTCTCGAGGTGAGGCAAGGCACCCAAGGACCCTTTCCAGTAGCCACAGGGATTTTGGGATTCCTATCAGTATTCAAGAGGAGTCAGGCATCGTCACCTTTTGGAGCAATGAACTCCGCGTGCCTCTCGAGGTGTCAGCGGGATGTGAGGCATTCCGTCAAAATGAGGCAGGGACCTAGGGCTTTCTCTGAGGTCTCCATATGGGATTCAGACATCCCTTCATGTTGTGAGATGATAGACGAGCCTGTATTCAAGCCACTGCAAGGAAATCCGGCCTCCTTTCAAGTTAGGGCTTCTCGCTGTATATTCCCCTTGAGGCAGCAAACTCGGGGTCCCTCCCACATACCTATTGCTGAGAGAAGCCTCCTCCTGAGGTGCTTCTGGAAAATTGGCATACGTCTTGAGCCTAAGCGAGGGAATCAGCTCTCATCTCGAGACGATTTGGGGTACACGGAGCATTCCTCGAGATGCTGTGCTGAAGTTGGTGTTCCTCTAGACTTGGGACAGTGTTCTCGGGGCATCTCTGGAGTTGCCTGAAGGAAGTCGAGCCACCGGTCGTGTTGAAAGGGGAACGGGGAATGGCTCTGGAGTCAATGCAGGGGAATCGGGCCTCATCTCGAGTTGATTTGCGGCACATGGAGCTGCTTTGCGTTGCTGGGTGAGCTCAGGGTCCGTCTAGACTGGTGACAGTGTTCTTGGGGACTGTCTCGAGATCCATTAAGGAAGTCGAAGCTCCTGACTTGTTTGAATGGGATCACGGAATAGCTCTGCATGCACTGCAGGGGAATGGGGCCTCATCTCGCCTCTAGGGGGAAGTATCATGGTTTTTCTCGAGTTGCGGCGGGGACCTGGGGTATGTTCTCGACGTACGGCAGGGATGGCCCTTCAAAACACGAGTTTCTTCAGTGACGTCAGGACTCCTTTCTAGTAACGAGGGACACCTCAGGAATCTCTTCGAGGCTTGGCAGGGCAAAAGGGACGCTTCTCGAGGTGAGGCAGGGCACCCAAGTACCCTTTCTAGTAGCCACAGGGATTTTGGGATTCCTATCAGTATTCAAGAGGAGTCAGGCATCGTCACCTTTTGAAGCAATGAACTCCTCGTGCCTCTCGAGGTGTCAGCGGGATGTGAGGCATTCCGTCAAAATGAGGCAGGGACCTAGGGCTTTCTTAAGGTCTCCACAGGGGATTCAGACATCCCTTCATGTTGTGAGATGAAAGACGAGCCTGTATTCAAGCCACTGCACGGAAATCCGGCCTCCTTTCAAGTTAGGGCTTCTCGCTGTATATTCCCCTTGAGGCAGCAAACTCGGGGTCCCTCCCACATACCTATTGCTGAGAGAAGCCTCCTCGTGAGGTGCTTCTGGAAAGTTGGCATACGTCTTGAGCCTAAGCGAGGGAATCAGCTCTCATCTCGAGACGATTTGGGGTACACGGAGATTCCTCGAGTTGCTGTGCTGAAGTTGGTGTTCCTCTAGACTTGGGACAGTGTTCTCGGGGCATCTCTGGAGTTGCCTGAAGGAAGTCGAGCCACCGGTCGTGTTGAATGGGGAACGGGGAATGGCTCTGGAGTCAATGCAGGGGAATCGGGCCTCATATCTAGTTGATTTGGGGCACATGGAGCTGCTTTGCGTTGCTGGGGTGACCTCAGGGTCCGTCTAGACTGGTGACAGTGTTCTTGGGGACTGTCTCGAGATCCATTAAGCAAGTCAAAGCTCCTGACTTGTTTGAATGGGATTACGGAATAGCTCTGCATGCACTGCAGGGGAACGGGGCCTCATGTCACCTCTAGGGGGAAGTCTCATGGTTATTCTCGAGTTGCGGCGGGGACCTGGGGTATGTTCTCGACTTACGGCGGGGATGGCCCTTCAAAACACGAGTTTCTTCAGTGACGTCAGGACTCCTGTCTAGTAACGAGGGACACCTCAGGAATCTCTTCGAGGCTGGGCAGGGCAAAAGGGACGCTTCTCGAGGTGAGGCAAGGCACCCAAGGACTCTTTCCAGTAGCCACAGGGATTTTGGGATTCCTATCAGTATTCAAGAGGAGTCAGGCATCGTCACCTTTTGGAGCAATGAACTCCGCGTGCCTCTCGAGGTGTCAGCGGGATGTGAGGCATTCCGTCAAAATGAGGCAGGGACCTAGGGCTTTCTCTGAGGTCTCCACAGGGGATTCAGACATCCCTTCATGTTTTGAGATGAAAGACGAGCCTGTATTCAAGCCACTGCAAGGAAATCCGGCCTCCTTTCAAGTTAGGGCTTCTCGCTGTATATTCCCCTTGAGGCAGCAAACTCGGGGTCCCTCCCACATACCTATTGCTGAGAGAAGCCTCCTCCTGAGGTGCTTCTTGAAAGTTGGCATACGTCTTGAGCCTAAGCCAGGGAATCAGCTCTCATCTCGAGACGATTTGGGGTACACGGAGATTCCTCGAGTTGCTGTGCTGAAGTTGGTGTTCCTCTAGACTTGGGACAGTGTTCTCGGGGCATCTCTGGAGTTGCCTGAAGGAAGTCGAGCCACCGGTCGTGTTGAATGGGAACGGGGAATGGCTCTGGAGTCAATGCAGGGGAATCGGGCCTCATCTCGAGTTGATTTGGGGCAAATGGAGCTGCTTTGCATTGCTGGGGTGACCTCAGGGTCCGTCTAGACTGGTGACAGTGTTCTTGGGGACTGTCTCGAGATCCATTAAGCAAGTCGAAACTCCTGACTTGTTTGAATGGGATCACGGAATAGCTCTGCATGCACTACAGGGGAATGGGGCTTCATGTCACCTCTAGGGGGAAGTCTCATGGTTTTTCTCGAGTTGCGGCGGGGACCTGGGGTATGTTCTCGACTTACGGCGGGGATGGCCCTTCAAAACACGAGTTTCTTCAGTGACGTCAGGACTCCTGTCTAGTAACGAGGGACACCTCAGAAATCTATTCGAGGCTTGGCAGGGCAAAAGGGACGCTTCTCGAGGTGAGGCAGGGCACCCAAGGACCCTTTCCCGTAGCCACAGGGATTTTGGGATTCCTATCAGTATTCAAGAGGAGTCAGGCATCGTCACCTTTAGAAGCAATGAACTCCGCGTGCCTCTAGAGGTGTTTGCGGGATGTGAGGCATTCCGTCAAAATGAGGCAGGGTCCTCGGGCTTTCTCTAAGGTCTCCACAGGGGATTCAGACATCCATTCATGTTGTGAGATGAAAGACGAGCCTGTATTCAAGCCACTGCAAGGAAATCCGGCCTCCTTTCAAGTTAGGGCCTCTCACTGTATATTCCCCTTGAGGCAGCAAACTCGGGGTCCCTCTCACATACATATTGCTGAGAGAAGCCTCCTTCTGAAGTGCTTCTGGAAAGTTTGCATACGTCTTGAGCCTAAGCCAGGGAATGAGCTCTCATCTCGAGATGATTTGTGGTACACGGAGCATTCCTCGAGTTGCTGTGCTGAAGTTGGTGTTCCTCTAGACTTGGGACAGTGTTCTCGGGGCATCTCTGGAGTTGCCTGAAGGAAGTCGAGCCACCGGTCGTGTTGAAAGGGGAACGGGGAATGGCTCTGGAGTCAATGCAGTGGAATCGGGCCTCATCTCGAGTTGATTTGCGGCACATGGAGCTGCTTTGCGTTGCTGGGGTGAGCTCAGAGTCCGTCTAGACTGGTGACAGGGTTCTTGGGGACTGTCTCGAGATCCATTAAGCAAGTCGAAACTCCTGACTTGTTTGAATGGGATCACGGAATAGCTCTGCATGCACTGCAGGGGAATGGGGCCTCATCTCGCCTCTAGGGGGAAGTCTCATGGTTTTTCTCGAGTTGCGGCGGGGACCTGGGGTATGTTCTCGACTTACGGCGGGGATGGCCCTTCAAAACACGAGTTTCTTCAGTGACGTCAGGACTCCTGTCTAGTAACGAGGGACACCTCAGGAATCTCTTCGAGGCTTGGCAGGGCAAAAGGGACGCTTCTCGAGGTGAGGCAGGGCACCCAAGGACCCTTTCCAGTAGCCACAGGGATTTTGGGATTCCTATCAGTATTCAAGAGGAGTCAGGCATCGTCACCTTTTGAAGCAATGAACTCCTCGTGCCTCTCGAGGTGTCAGCGGGATGTGAGGCATTCCGTCAAAATGAGGCAGGGACCTAGGGCTTTCTTAAGGTCTCCACAGGGGATTCAGACATCCCTTCATGTTGTGAGATGAAATACGAGCCTGTATTCAAGCCACTGCACGGAAATCCGGCCTCCTTTCAAGTTAGGGCTTCTCGCTGTATATTCCCCTTGAGGCAGCAAACTCGGGGTCCCTCCCACATACATATTGCTGAGAGAAGCCTCCTCCTGAGGTGCTTCTGGAAAGTTGGCATACGTCTTGAGCCTAAGCCAGGGAATCAGCTCTCATCTCGAGACGATTTGGGGTACACGGAGATTCCTCCTGTTGCTGTGCTGAAGTTGGTGTTCCTCTAGACTTGGGACAGTGTTCTCGGGGCATCTCTGGAGTTGCCTGAAGGAAGTCGAGCCACCGGTCGTGTTGAATGGGGAAAGGGGAATGGCCTTGGTGTCAATGCAGGGAAATCGGGCCTCATTTCGAGTTGATTTGGGGCACATGGAGCGGCTTTGCGTTGCTGGGGTGACCTCAGGGTCCGTCTAGACTGGTGACAGTGTTCTTGGGGACTGTCTCGAGATCCATTAAGCAAGTCGAAGCTCGTGACTTGTTTGAATGAGATCACGGAATAGCTCTGCATGCACTGCAGGGGAATGGGGCCTCATCTCGCCTCTAGGGGGAAGTCTCATGGTTTTTCTCGCGTTGCAGCGGGGACATGGGGTATGTTCTCGACTTACGGCGGGGATGGCCCTTCAAAACACGAGTTTCTTCAGTGACGTCAGGACTCCTGTCTAGAAACGGGGGACACCTCAGGAATCTCTTCGAGGCTTGGCAGGGCAAAAGGGACGCTTTTCGAGGTGAGGCAGGGCACCCAAGGACCCTTTCCAGGAGCCACAGGGATTTTGGGATTCCTATCAGTATTCAAGAGGAGTCAGGCATCGTCACCTTTTGAAGCAATGAAATCCACGTGCCTCTCGAGGTGTCAGCGGGATGTGAGGCATTCCGTCAAAATGAGGCAGGGACCTAGGGCTTTCTCTAAGGTCTCCACAGGGGATTCAGACATCCCTTCATGTTGTGAGATGAAAGACGAGCCTGTATTCAAGCCACTGCAAGGAAATCCGGCCTCCTTTCAAGTTAGGGTTTCTCGCTGTAAATTCCCCTTGAGGCAGCAAACTCGGGGTCCCTCCCACATACCTATTGCTGAGAGAAGCCTCCTCCTGAGGTGCTTCTGGAAAGTTGGCATACGTTTTGAGCCTAAGCCAGGGAATCAGCTCTCATCTCGAGACGATTTGGGGTACACGGAGCATTCCTCGAGTTGCTGTGCTGAAGTTGGTGTTCCTCTAGACTTGGGACAGTGTTCTCGGGGCATCTCTTGAGTGGCCTGAAGGAAGTAGAGCCACCGGTCGTGTTGAATGGGGAAAGGGGAATGGCCTTGGAGTCAATGCAGGGGAATCGGGCCTCATCTCGAGTTGATTTGGGGCACATGGAGCGGCTTTGCGTTGCTGGGGTGACCTCAGGGTCCGTCTAGACTGGTGACAGTGTTCTTGGGGACTGTCTCGAGATCCATTAAGCAAGTCGAAGCTCCTGACTTGTTTGAATGAGATCACGGAATAGCTCTGCATGCACTGCAGGGGAATGGGGCCTCATCTCGCATCTAGGGGGAAGTCTCATGGTTTTACTCGAGTTGCAGCGGGGACATGGGGTATGTTCTCGACTCACGGCGGGGATGGCCCTTCAAAACACGAGTTTCTTCAGTGACGTCAGGACTCCTGTCTAGTAACGAGGGACACCTCAGGAATCTCTTCGAGGCTGGGCAGGGCAAAAGGGACGCTTCTCGAGGTGAGGCAGGGCACCCAAGGACGCTTTCCAGTAGCCACAGGGATTTTGGGATTCCTATCAGTATTCAAGAGGAGTCAGGCATCGTCACCTTTTGGAGCAATGATCTCCGCGTGCCTCTCGAGGTGTCAGAGGGATGTGAGGCATTGCGTCAAAATGAGGCAGGGACCTAGGGCTTTCTATGAGGTCTCCACAGGGGATTCAGACATCCCTTCATGTTGTGAGATGAAAGACGAGCCTGTATTCAAGCCACTGCAAGGAAATCCGGCCTCCTTTCAAGTTAGGGCTTCTCGCTGTATATTCCCCTTGAGCCAGCAAACTCGGGGTCCCTCCCACATACCTATTGCTGAGAGAAGCCTCCTCCTGAGGTGCTTCTGGAAAGTTGGCATACGTCTTGAGCCTAAGCCAGGGAATCAGCTCTCATCTCGAGACGATTTGGGGTACACGGAGCATTCCTCGAGTTGCTGTGCTGAAGTTGGTGTTCCTCTAGACTTGGGACAGTGTTCTCGGGGCATCTCTTGAGTGGCCTGAATGAAGTAGAGCCACCGGTCTTGTTGAATGGGGAAAGGGGAATGGCCTTGGAGTCAATGCAGGGGAATCGGGCCTCATTTCGAGTTGATTTGGGGCACATGGAGCGGCTTTGCGTTGCTGGGGTGACCTCAGGGTCCGTCTAGACTGGTGACAGTGTTCTTGGGGACTGTCTCGAGATCCATTAAGCAAGTCGAAGCTCCTGACTTGTTTGAATGAGATCACGGAATAGCTCTGCATGCACTGCAGGGGAATGGGGCCTCATCTCGCATCTAGGGGGAAGTATCATGGTTTTTCTCGCGTTGCAGCGGGGACATGGGGTATGTTCTCGACTTACGGCGGGGATGGCCCTTCAAAACACGAGTTTCTTCAGTGACGTCAGGACTCCTGTCTAGTAACGAGGGACACCTCAGGAATCTCTTCGAGGCTTGGCAGGGCAAAAGGACGCTTCTCGAGGTGATGCAGGGCACCCAAGGACCCTTTCCAGGAGCCACAGGGATTTTGGGATTCCTATCAGTATTCAAGAGGAGTCAGGCATCGTCACCTTTTGAAGCAATGAACTCCGCGTGCCTCTCGTGGTGTCAACGGGATGTGAGGCATTCCGTCAAAATGAGGCAGGGACCTAGGGCTTTCTTAAGGTCTCCACAGGGGATTCAGACATCCCTTCATGTTGTGAGATGAAAAACGAGCCTGTATTCAAGCCACTGCAAGGAAATCCGGCCTCCTTTCAAGTTAGGGTTTCTCGCTGTAAATTCCCCTTGCGGCAGCAAACTCGGGGTCCATCCCACATACCTATTGCTGAGAGAAGCCTCCTCCTGTGGTGCTTCTGGAAAGTTGTCATACGTGTTGAGCCTAAGCCAGGGAATCAGCTCTCATCTCGAGACGATTTGGGGTACACGGAGCATTCCTCGAGTTGCTGTGCTGAAGTTGGTGTTCCTCTAGACTTGGGACAGTGTTCTCGGGGCATCTCTTGAGTGGCCTGAAGGAAGTAGAGCCACCGGTCGTGTTGAATGGGGAAAGGGGAATGGCCTTGGAGTCAATGCAGGGGAATCGGGCCTCATTTCGAGTTGATTTGGGGCACATGGAGCGGCTTTGCGTTGCTGGGGTGACCTCAGGTTCCGTCTAGACTGGTGACAGTGTTCTTGGGGACTGTCTCGAGATCCATTAAGCAAGTCGAAGCTCCTGACTTGTTTGAATGAGATCACGGAATAGCTCTGCATGCACTGCAGGGGAATGGGGCCTCATCTCGCCTCTAGGGGGAAGTCTCATGGTTTTACTCGAGTTGCAGCGGGGACCTGGGTTATGTTCTCGACTTACGGCGGGGATGGCCCTTCAAAACACGAGTTTCTTCAGTGACGTCAGGACTCCTGTCTAGTAACGAGGGACACCTCAGGAATCTCTTCGAGGCTTGGCAGGGCAAAAGGGACGCTTCTCGAGGTGAGGCAGGGCACCCAAGGACCCTTTCCAGGAGCCACAGGGATTTTGTGATTCCTATCAGTATTCAAGAGGAGTCAGGCATCGTCACCTTTTGAAGCAATGAACTCCGCGTGCCTCTCGAGGTGTCAACGGGATGTGAGGCATTCCGTCAAAATGAGGCAGGGACCTAGGGCTTTCTCTAAGGTCTCCACAGGGGATTCAGACATCCCTTCATGTTGTGAGATGAAAGACGAGCCTGTATTCAAGCCACTGCAAGGAAATCCGGCCTCCTTTCAAGTTCGGGCCTCTCACTGTATATTCCCCTTGAGGCAGCAAACTCGGGGTCCCTCCCACATACCTATTGCTGAGAGAAACCTCCCCCTGAAGTGCTTCTGGAAAGTTTGCATACGTCTTGAGCCTAAGCCAGGGAATGAGCTCTCATCTCGAGATGATTTGTGGTACACGGAGCATTCCTCGAGTTGCTGTGCTGAAGTTGGTGTTCCTCTAGACTTGGGACAGTGTTCTCGGGGCATCTCTGGAGTTGCCTGAAGGAAGTCGAGCCACCGGTCGTGTTGAATGGGGAACGGGGAATGGCTCTGGAGTCAATGCAGGGGAATCGGGCCTCATCTCGAGTTGATTTGGGGCACATGGAGCTGCTTTTCGTTGCTGGGTTGACCTCAGGGTCCGTCTAGACTGGTGACAGTGTTCTTGGGGACTGTCTCGAGATCCATTAAGCAAGTCGAAGCTCCTGACTTGTTTGAATGGGATCACGGAATAGCTCTGCATGCACTGCAGGGGAATGGGGCCTCATCTCGCCTCTAGGGGGAAGTCTCATGGTTTTTCTCGAGTTGCGGCGGGGACCTGGGGTATGTTCTCGACGTAATGCGGGGATGCCCCTTCAAAACACGAGTTTCTTCAGTGACGTCAGGACTCCTGTCTAGTAACGAGGGACACCTCAGGAATCTCTTCGAGGCTTGGCAGGGCAAAAGGGACGCTTCTCGAGGTGAGGCAGGGCACCCAAGGACCCTTTTCAGGAGCCACAGGGATTTTGGGATTCCTATCAGTATTCAAGAGGAGTCAGGCATCGTCACCTTTTGAAGCAATGAACTCCGCGTGCCTCTCGAGGTGTCAACGTGATGTGAGGCATTCCGTCAAAATGAGGCAGGGACCTAGGGCTTTCTTAAGGTCTCCACAGGGGATTCAGACATCCCTTCATGTTGTGAGATGAAAGACGAGCCTGTATTCAAGCCACTGCAAGGAAATCCGGCCTCCTTTCAAGTTCGGGCCTCTCACTGTATATTCCCCTTGAGGCAGCAAACTCGGGGTCCCTCCCACATACATATTGCTGAGAGAAGCCTCCCCCTGAAGTGCTTCTGGAAAGTTTGCATACGTCTTGAGCCTAAGCCAGGGAATGAGCTCTCATCTCGAGATGATTTGTGGTACACGGAGCATTCCTCGAGTTGCTGTGCTGAAGTTGGTGTTCCTCTAGACTTGGGACAGTGTTCTCGGGGCATCTCTGGAGTTGCCTGAAGGAAGTCGAGCCACCGGTCGTGTTGAATGGGGAACGGGGAATGGCTCTGGAGTCAATGCAGGGGAATCGGGCCTCATCTCGAGTTGATTTGGGGCACATGGAGCTGCTTTTCGTTGCTGGGTTGACCTCAGGGTCCGTCTAGACTGGTGACAGTGTTCTTGGGGACTGTCTCGAGATCCATTAAGCAAGTCGAAGCTCCTGACTTGTTTGAATGGGATCACGGAATAGCTCTGCATGCACTGCAGGGGAATGGGGCCTCATCTCGCCTCTAGGGGGAAGTCTCATGGTTTTTCTCGAGTTGCGGCGGGGACCTGGGGTATGTTCTCGACTTATGGCGGGGAAGGCCCTTCAAAACACGAGTTTCTTCAGTGACGTCAGGACTCCTGTCTAGTAACGAGGGACACCTCAGGAATCTCTTCGAGGCTTGGCAGGGCAAAAGGGACGCTTCTCGAGTTGAGGCAGGGCACCCAAGGACCCTTTCCAGGAGCCACAGGGATTTTGGGATTCCTATCAGTATTCAAGAGGAGTCAGGCATCGTCACCTTTTGAAGCAATGAACTCCACGTGCCTCGCGAGGTGTCAGCGGGATGTGAGGCATTCCGTCAAAATGAGGCAGGGACCTAGGGCTTTCTCTAAGGTCTCCACAGGGGATTCAGACATCCCTTCATGTTGTGAGATGAAAGACGAGCCTGTATTCAAGCCACTGCAAGGAAATCAAGCCTCCTTTCAAGTTAGGGCCTCTCGCTTTATATTACCCTTGAGGCAGCAAACTCGGGGTCCCTCCCACATACCTATTGCTTAGAGAAGCCTCCTCCTGAGGTGCTTCTGGAAAGTTGGCATACGTCTTGAGCCTAAGCCAGGGAATCAGCTCTCATCTCGAGACGATTTGGGGTACACGGAGCTTTCCTCGAGTTGCTGTGCTGAAGTTGGTGTTCCTCTAGACTTGGGACAGTGTTCTCGGGGCATCTCTGGAGTTGCCTGAAGGAAGTCGAGCCACCGGTCGTGTTGAATGGTGAACGGGGAATGGCTCTGGTGTCAATGCAGGGGAATCGGGCCTCATCTCGAGTTGATTTGGGGCACATGGAGCTGCTTTGCGTTGCTGGGGTGACTTCAGGGTCCGTCTAGACTGGTGACAGTGTTCTTGGGGACTGTCTCGAGATCCATTAAGCAAGTCGAAGGTCCTGACTTGTTTGAATGGGATCACGGAATAGCTCTGCATGCACTGCAGGGGAATGGGGCCTCATGTCGCCTCTAGGGGGAAGTCTCATAGTTTTTCTCGAGTTGCGGTGGGGACCTGGGGTATGTTCTCGACTTACGGCGGGGATGGCCCTTCAAAACACGAGTTTCTTCAGTGACGTCAGGACTCCTGTCTAGTAACGAGGGACACCTCAGGAATCTCTTCGAGGCTTGGCAGGGCAAAAGGGACGCTTCTCGAGGTGAGGCAGGGCACCCAAGGTCCCATTCCCGTAGCCACAGGGATTTTGGGATTCCTATCAGTATTCAAGAGGAGTCAGGCATCGTCACCTTTTGGAGCAATGAACTCCGCGTGCCTCTCGAGGTGTCAGCGGGATGTGAGGCATTCCGTCAAAATGAGGCAGGGACCTAGGGCTTTCTCTGAGGTCTCCACAGGGGATTCAGACATCCCTTCATGTTGTGAGATGAAAGACGAGGCTGTATTCAAGCCACTGCAAGGAAATCCGGCCTCCTTTCAAGTTAGGGCTTCTCGCTGTATATTCCCCTTGAGGCAGCAAACTCGGGGTCCCTCCCACTTACCTATTGCTGAGAGAAGCCTCCTCCTGAGGTGCTTCTGGAAAGTTGGCATACGTCTTGAGCCTAAGCCAGGGAATCAGCTCTCATCTCGAGACGATTTGGGGTACACGGAGCATTCCTCGAGTTGTTGTGCTGAAGTTGGTGTTCCTCTAGACTTGGGACAGTGATCTCGGGGCATCTCTGGAGTTGCCTGAAGGAAGTCGAGCCACCGGTCGTGTTGAAAGGGGAACGGGGAATGGCTCTGGAGTCAATGCAGGGGAATCGGGCCTCATCTCGAGTTGATTTGGGGCACATGGAGCTGCTTTGCGTTGCTGGGGTGAGCTCAGGGTCCGTCTAGACTGGTGACAGTGTTCTTGGGGACTGTCTCGAGATCCATTAAGCAAGTCGAAGCTCCTGACTTGTTTGAATGGGATCACGGAATAGCTCTGCATGCACTGCAGGGGAATGGGGCCTCATCTGGCCTCTAGGGGGAAGTCTTATGGTTTTTCTCGAGTTGCGGCGGGGACCTGGGGTATGTTCTCGACGTACGGCGGGGATGGCCCTTTAAAACACGAGTCTCTTCAGTGACGTCAGGACTCCTTTCTAGTAACGAGGGACACCTCAGGAATCTCTTCGAGGCTTGGCAGGGCAAAAGGGACGCTTCTCGAGGTGAGGCAGGGCACCCAAGGACCCATTCCAGGAGCCACAGGGATTTTGGGATTCCTATCAGTATTCAAGAGGAGTCAGGCATCGTCACCTTTTGAAGCAATGAACTCCGCGTGCCTCTCGAGGTGTCAGCGGGATGTGAGGCATTCCGTCAAAATGAGGCAGGGACCTAGGGCTTTCTCTGAGGTCTCCACAGGGGATTCAGACATCCCTTCATGTTGTGAGATGAAAGACGAGCCTGTATTCAAGCCACTGCAAGGAAATCCGGCCTCCTTTCAAGTTAGGGTTTCTCGCTGTAAATTCCCCTTGCGGCAGCAAACTCGGAGTCCATCCCACATACCTATTGCTGAGAGAAGCCTCCTCCTGTGGTGCTTCTGGAAAGTTGTCATACGTGTTGAGCCTAAGCCAGGGAATCAGCTCTCATCTCGAGACGATTTGGGGTACACGGAGCATTCCTCGAGTTGCTGTGCTGAAGTTGGTGTTCCTCTAGACTTGGGACAGTGTTCTCGGGGCATCTCTTGAGTGGCCTGAAGGAAGTAGAGCCACCGGTCGTGTTGAATGGGGAAAGGGGAATGGCCTTGGAGTCAATGCAGGGGAATCGGGCCTCATCTCGAGTTGATTTGGGGCACATGGAGCGGCTTTGCATTGCTGGGGTGACCTCAGGGTCCGTCTAGACTGGTGACAGTGTTCTTGGGGACTGTCTCGAGATCCATTAAGCAAGTCGAAGCTCCTGACTTGTTTGAATGAGATCACGGAATAGCTCTGCATGCACTGCAGGGGAATGGGGCCTCATGTCGCCTCTAGGGGGAAGTCTCATAGTTTTTCTCGAGTTGCGGCGGGGACCTGGGGTATGTTCTCGACTTACGGCGGGGATGGCCCTTCAAAACACGAGTTTCTTCAGTGACGTCAGGACTCCTGTCTAGTAACGAGGGACACCTCAGGAATCTCTTCGAGGTTTGGCAGGGCAAAAGGGACGCTTTTCGAGGTGAGGCAGGGCACCCAAGGACCCTTTCCAGGAGCCACAGGGATTTTGGGATTCCTATCAGTATTCAAGAGGAGTCAGGCATCGTCACCTTTTGAAGCAATGAACTCCACGTGCCTCGCGAGGTGTCAGCGGGATGTGAGGTATTCCGTCAAAATGAGGCTGGGACCTAGGGCTTTCTCTAAGGTCTCCACAGGGGATTCAGACATCCCTTCATGTTGTGAGATGAAAGACGAGCCTGTATTCAAGCCACTGCAAGGAAATCAAGCCTCCTTTCAAGTTAGGGCCTCTCGCTTTATATTACCCTTGAGGCAGCAAACTCGGGGTCCCTCCCACATACCTATTGCTTAGAGAAGCCTCCTCCTGAGGTGCTTCTGGAAAGTTGGCATACGTCTTGAGCCTAAGCCAGGGAATCAGCTCTCATCTCGAGACGATTTGGGGTACACGGAGCATTCCTCGAGTTGCTGTGCTGAAGTTGGTGTTTCTCTAGACTTGGGACAGTGTTCTCGGGGCATCTCTGGAGTTGCCTGAAGGAAGTCGAGCCACCCGTCGTGTTGAATGGGGAACGGGGAATGGCTCTGGTGTCAATGCAGGGGAATCGGGCCTCATCTCGAGTTGATTTGGGGCACATGGAGCTGCTTTGCGTTGCTGGGGTGACCTCAGGGTCCGTCTAGACTGGTGACAGTGTTCTTCGGGACTGTCTCGAGATCCATTAAGCAAGTCGAAGCTCCTGACTTGTTTGAATGGGATCACGGAATAGCTCTGCATGCACTGCAGTGGAATGGGGCCTCATCTCGCCTCTAGGGGGAAGTCTCATGGTTATTCTCGAGTTGCGGCGGGGACCTGGGGTATGTTCTCGACTTACGGCGGGGATGGCCCTTCAAAACACGAGTTTCTTCATTGACGTCAGGACTCCTGTCTAGTAACGAGGGACACCTCAGGAATCTCTTCGAGGCTGGGCAGGGCAAAAGGGACACTTCTCGAGGTGAGGCAGGGCACCCAAGGACCCTTTCCAGTAGCCACAGGGATTTTGGGATTCCTATCAGTATTCAAGAGGAGTCAGGCATCGTCTCCTTTTGAAGCAATGAACTCCGCGTGCTCTCGAGGTGTCAGCGGGATGAGAGGCATTCCGTCAAAATGAGGCAGCAACCTAGGGCTTTCTCTAAGGTCTCCACAGGGGATTCAGACATCCCTTCATGTTGTGAGATGAAAGACGAGCCTGTATTCAAGCCACTGCAAGGAAATCCGGCCTCCTTTCAAGTTAGGGCCTCTCGCTGTATATTCCCCTTGAGGCAGCAAAGTCGGGGTCCCTCCCAAATACCTCTTGCTGAGAGAAGCCTCCTCCTGAGGTGCTTCTGGAAAGTTGGCATACGTCTTGAGCCTAAGCCAGGGAATCAGCTCTCATCTCGAGACGATTTGGGGTACCCGGAGCATTCCTCGAGTTGCTGTGCTGAAGTTGGTGTTCGTCTAGTCTTGGGACAGTGTTCTCGGGGCATCTCTGGAGTTGCCTGAAGGAAGTCGAGCCACCGGTCGTGTTGAATGGGGAACGGGGAATGGCTCTGGAGTCAATGCAGGGGAATCGGGCCTCATCTCGAGTTGATTTGGGGCATATGGAGCTGCCTTGCGTTGCTGGGGTGACCTCAGGGTCCGTCTAGACTGGTGACAGTGTTCTTGGGGACTGTCTCGAGATCCATTAAGCAAGTCGAAGCTCCTGACTTGTTTGAATGGGATCACGGAATAGCTCTGCATGCACTGCAGGGGAATGGGGCCTCATGTCGCCTCTAGGGGGAAGTCTCATAGTGTTTCTCGAGTTGCGGCGGGGACCTGGGGTATGTTCTCGACTTACGGCGGGGATGGCCCTTCAAAACACCAGTTTCTTCAGTGACGTCAGGACTCCTGTCTAGTAACGAGGGACACCTCAGGAATCTCTTCGAGGCTTGGCAGGGCAAAAGGGACGCTTCTCGAGGTGAGGCAGGGCACCCAAGGTCCCTTTCCCGTAGCCACAGGGATTTTGGGATTCCTATCAGTATTCAAGAGGAGTCAGGCATCGTCACCTTTTGGAGCAATGAACTCCGCGTGCCTCTCGAGGTGTCAGCGGGATGTGAGGCATTCCGTCAAAATGAGGCAGGGACCTAGGGCTTTCTCTGAGGTCTCCACAGGGGATTCAGACATCCCTTCATGTTGTGAGATGAAAGACGAGCCTGTATTCAAGCCACTGCAAGGAAATCCGGCCTCCTTTCAAGTTAGGGCCTCTCGCTGTAAATTCCCCTTGAGGCAGCAAACTCGGGGTCCCTCCCACATACCTATTGCTGAGAAAATCCTCCTCCTGAGGTGCTTCTGGAAAGTTGGCATACGTCTTGAGCCTAAGCCAGGGAATCAGCTCTCATCTCGAGACGATTTGGGGTACACGGAGCATTCCTCGAGTTGCTGTGCTGAAGTTGGTGTTCCTCTAGACTTGGGACAGTGTTCTCGGGGCATCTCTTGAGTGGCCTGAATGAAGTAGAGCCACCGGTCGTGTTGAATGGGGAAAGGGGAATGGCCTTGGAGTCAATGCAGGGGAATCGGGCCTCATTTCGAGTTGATTTGGGGCACATGGAGCGGCTTTGCGTTGCTGGGGTGACCTCAGGGTCCGTCTAGACTGGTGACAGTGTTCTTGGGGACTGTCTCGAGATCCATTAAGCAAGTCGAAGCTCCTGACTTGTTTGAATGAGATCACGGAATAGCTCTGCATGCACTGCAGGGGAATGGGGCCTCATCTCGCCTCTAGGGGGAAGTCTCATGGTTTTTCTCGAGTTGCAGCGGGGACATGGGGTATGTTCTCGACTTACGGCGGGGATGGCCCTTCAAAACACGAGTTTCTTCAGTGACGTCAGGACTCCTGTCTAGTAACGAGGGACACCTCAGGAATCTCTTCGAGGCTTGGCAGGGCAAAAGGGACGCTTCTCGATGTGATGCAGGGCACCCAAGGACCCTTTCCAGGAGCCACAGGGATTTTGGGATTCCTATCAGTATTCAAGAGGAGTCAGGCATCGTCACCTTTTGAAGCAATGAACTCCGCGTGCCTCTCGTGGTGTCAACGGGATGTGAGGCATTCCGTCAAAATGAGGCAGGGACCTAGGGCTTTCTTAAGGTCTCCACAGAGGATTCAGACATCCCTTCATGTTGTGAGATGAAAGACGAGTCTGTATTCAAGCCACTGAAAGAAAATCCGGCCTCCTTTCAAGTTAGGGTTTCTCGCTGTAAATTCCCCTTGCGGCAGCAAACTCGGGGTCCATCCCACATACCTATTGCTGAGAGAAGCCTCCTCCTGTGGTGCTTCTGGAAAGTTGTCATACGTGTTGAGCCTAAGCCAGGGAATCAGCTCTCATCTCGAGACGATTTGGGGTACACGGAGCATTCCTCGAGTTGCTGTGCTGAAGTTGGTGTTCCTCTAGACTTGGGACAGTGTTCTCGGGGCATCTCTTGAGTGGCCTGAAGGAAGTAGAGCCACCGGTCGTTTTGAATGGGGAAAGGGGAATGGCCTTGGAGTCAATGCAGGGGAATCGGGCCTCATTTCGAGTTGATTTGGGGCACATGGAGCGGCTTTGCGTTGCTGGGGTGACCTCAGGGTCCGTCTAGACTGGTGACAGTGTTCTTGGGGACTGTCTCGAGATTCATTAAGCAAGTCGAAGCTCCTGACTTGTTTGAATGGGATCACGGAATAGCTCTGCATGCACTGCAGGGGAATGGGGCCTCATCTCGCCTCTAGGGGGAAGTCTCATGGTTATTCTCGAGTTGCGGCGGGGACCTGGGGTATGTTCTCGACGTACGGCGGGGATGGCCCTTCAAAACACGAGTTTCTTCAGTGACGTCAGGACTCCTTTCTAGTAACGAGGGACACCTCAGGAATCTCTTCGAGGCTTGGCAGGGCAAAAGGGACGCTTCTCGAGGTGAGGCAGGGCACCCAAGGAGCCTTTCCAGTAGCCACAGGGATTTTGGGATTCCTATCAGTATTCAAGAGGAGTCAGGCATCGTCTCCTTTTGAAGCAATGAACTCCGCGTGCTCTCGAGGTGTCAGCGGGATGTGAGGCATTCGGTCAAAATGAGGCAGCGACCTAGGGCTTTCTCTAAGGTCTCCACAGGGGATTCAGACATCCCTTCATGTTGTGAGATGAAAGACGAGCCTGTATTCAAGCCACTGCAAGGAAATCCGGCCTCCTTTCAAGTTAGGGCCTCTCGCTGTATATTCCCCTTGAGGCAGCAAACTCGGGGTCCCTCCCACATACCTCTTGCTGAGAGAAGCCTCCTCCTGAGGTGCTTCTGGAAAGTTGGCATACGTCTTGAGCCTAAGCCAGGGAATCAGCTCTCATCTCGAGACGATTTGGGGTACACGGAGTATTCCTCGAGTTGCTGTGCTGAACTTGGTGTTCCTCTAGTCTTGGGACAGTGTTCTCGGGGCATCTCTGGAGTTGCCTGAAGGAAGTCGAGCCACAGGTCGTGTTGAATGGGGAACGGGGAATGGCTCTGGAGTCAATGCAGGGGAATCGGGCCTCATCTCGAGTTCATTTGGGGCACATGGAGCTGCCTTGCGTTGCTGGGGTGACCTCAGGGTCCGTCTAGACTGGTGACAGTGTTCTTGGGGACTGTCTCGAGATCCATTAAGCAAGTCGAAGCTCCTGACTTGTTTGAATGGGATCACGGAATAGCTCTGCATGCACTGCAGTGGAATGGGGCCTCATGTCGCCTCTAGGGGGAAGTCTCATAGTTTTTCTCGAGTTGCGGCAGGGACCTGGGGTATGTTCTCGACTTACGGCGGGGATGGCCCTTCAAAACACGAGTTTCTTCAGTGACGTCAGGACTCCTGTCTAGTAACGAGGGACACCTCAGGAATCTCTTCGAGGCTTGGCAGGGCAAAAGGGACGCTTCTCGAGGTGAGGCAGGGCACCCAAGGTCCCATTCCCGTAGCCACAGGGATTTTGGGATTCCTATCAGTATTCAAGAGGAGTCAGGCATCGTCACCTTTTGGAGCAATGAACTCCGCGTGCCTCTCGAGGTGTCAGTGGGATGAGAGGCATTCCGTCAAAATGAGGCAGGGACCTAGGGCTTTCTCTGAGGTCTCCACAGGGGATTCAGACATCCCTTCATGTTGTGAGATGAAAGACGAGGCTGTATTCAAGCCACTGCAAGGAAATCAGGCCTCCTTTCAAGTTAGGGCTTCTCGCTGTATATTCCCCTTGAGGCAGCAAACTCGGGGTCCCTCCCACTTACCTATTGCTGAGAGAAGCCTCCTCCTGAGGTGCTTCTGGAAAGTTGGCATACGTCTTGAGCCTAAGCGAGGGAATCAGCTCTCATCTCGAGACGATTTGGGGTACACGGAGCATTCCTCGAGTTGTTGTGCTGAAGTTGGTGTTCCTCTAGACTTGGGACAGTGTTCTCGGGGCATCTCTGGAGTTGCCTGAAGGAAGTCGAGCCACCGGTCGTGTTGAAAGGGGAACGGGGAATGGCTCTGGAGTCAATGCAGGGGAATCGGGCCTCATCTCGAGTTGATTTGCGGCACATGGAGCTGCTTTGCGTTGCTGGGGTGAGCTCAGGGTCCGTCTAGACTGGTGACAGTGTTCTTGGGGACTGTCTCGAGATCCATTAAGCAAGTCGAAGCTCCTGACTTGTTTGAATGGGATCACGGAATAGCTCTGCATGCACTGCAGGGGAATGGGGCCTCATCTCGCCTCTAGGGGGAAGTCTCATGGTTTTTCTCGAGTTGCGGCGGGGACCTGGGGTATGTTCTCGACTTACGGCGGGGATGGCCCTTCAAAACACGAGTTTCTTCAGTGACGTCAGGACTCCTTTCTAGTAACGAGGGACACATCAGGAATCTCTTCGAGGCTTGGCAGGGCAAAAGGGACGCTTCTCGAGGTGAGGCAGGGCACCCAAGGACCCTTTCCAGTAGCCACAGGGATTTTGGGATTCCTATCAGTATTCAAGAGGAGTCAGGCATCGTCACCTTTTGAAGCAATGAACTCCGCGTGCCTCTCGAGGTGTCAGCGGGATGTGAGGCATTCCGTCAAAATGAGGCATTGACCTAGGGCTTTCTATGAGGTCTCCACAGGGGATTCAGACATCCCTTCATGTTGTGAGATGAAAGACGAGCCTGTATTCAAGCAACTGCAAGGAAATCCGGCCTCCTTTCAAGTTAGGGTTTCTCGCTGTAAATTCCCCTTGCGGCAGCAAACTCGGAGTCCATCCCACATACCTATTGCTGAGAGAAGCCTCCTCCTGTGGTGCTTCTGGAAAGTTGTCATACGTGTTGAGCCTAAGCCAGGGAATCAGTTCTCATCTCGAGACGATTTGGGGTACACGGAGCATTCCTCGTGTTGCTGTGCTGAAGTTGGTGTTCCTCTAGACTTGGGACAGTGTTCTCGGGGCATCTCTTGAGTGGCCTGAAGGAAGTAGAGCCACCGGTCGTGTTGAATGGGGAAAGGGGAATGGCCTTGGAGTCAATGCAGGGGAATCGGGCCTCATCTCGAGTTGATTTGGGGCACATGGCGCGGCTTGCGTTGCTGGGGTGACCTCAGGGTCCGTCTAGACTGGTGACAGTGTTCTTGGGGACTGTCTCGAGATCCATTAAGCAAGTCGAAGCTCCTGACTTGTTTGAATGAGATCACGGAATAGCTCTGCATGCACTGCAGGTGAATGGGAACTCATCTCGCCTCTAGGGGGAAGTCTCATGGTTTTTCTCGCGTTGCAGCGGGGACATGGGGTATGTTCTCGACTTACGGCGGGGATGGCCCTTCAAAACACGAGTTTCTTCATTGACGTCAGGACTCCTGTCTAGTAACGAGGGACACCTCAGGAATCTCTTCGAGGATTGGCAGGGCAAAAGGGACGCTTTTCGAGGTGAGGCAGGGCACCCAAGGACCCTTTCCAGGAGCCACAGGGATTTTGGGATTCCTATCAGTATTCAAGAGGAGTCAGGCATCGTCACCTTTTGAAGCAATGAACTCCACGTGCCTCGCGAGGTGTCAGCGGGATGTGAGGCATTCCGTCAAAATGAGGCTGGGACCTAGGGCTTTCTCTAAGGTCTCCACAGGGGATTCAGACATCCATTCATGTTGTGAGATGAAAGACGAGCCTGTATTCAAGCCACTGCAAGGAAATCAAGCCTCCTTTCAAGTTAGGGCCTCTCGCTTTATATTACCCTTGAGGCAGCAAACTCGGGGTCCCTCCCACATACCTATTGCTTAGAGAAGCCTCCTCCTGAGGTGCTTCTGGAAAGTTGGCATACGTCTTGAGCTTAAGCCAGGGAATCAACTCTCATCTCGAGACGATTTGGGGTACACGGAGCATTCCTCGAGTTGCTGTGCTGAAGTTGGTGTTTCTCTAGACTTGGGACAGTGTTCTCGGGGCATCTCTGGAGTTGCCTGAAGGAAGTCGAGCCACCGGTCGTGTTGAATGGGGAACGGGGAATGGCTCTGGTGTCAATGCAGGGGAATCGGGCCTCATCTCGAGTTGATTTGGGGCACATGGAGCTGCTTTGCGTTCCTGGGGTGACCTCAGGGTCCGTCTAGACTGGTGACAGTGTTCTTCGGGACTGTCTCGAGATCCATTAAGCAAGTCGAAGCTCCTGACTTGTTTGAATGGGATCACGGAATAGCTCTGCATGCACTGCAGTGGAATGGGGCCTCATCTCGCCTCTAGGGGGAAGTCTCATGGTTATTCTCGAGTTGCGGCGGGGACCTGGGGTATGTTCTCGACTTACGGCGGGGATGGCCCTTCAAAACACGAGTTTCTTCATTGACGTCAGGACTCCTGTCTAGTAACGAGGGACACCTCAGGAATCTCTTCGAGGCTGGGCAGGGCAAAAGGGACGCTTCTCGAGGTGAGGCAGGGCACCCAAGGACCCTTTCCAGTAGCCACAGGGATTTTGGGATTCCTATCAGTATTCAAGAGGAGTCAGGCATCGTCTCCTTTTGAAGCAATGAACTCCGCGTGCTCTCGAGGTGTCAGCGGGATGAGAGGCATTCGGTCAAAATGAGGCAGCAACCTAGGGCTTTCTCTAAGGTCTCCACAGGGGATTCAGACATCCCTTCATGTTGTGAGATGAAAGACGAACCTGTATTCAAGCCACTGCAAGGAAATCCGGCCTCCTTTCAAGTTAGGGCCTCTCGCTGTATATTCCCCTTGAGGCAGCAAACTCGGGGTCCCTCCCAAATACCTCTTGCTGAGAGAAGCCTCCTCCTGAGGTGCTTCTGGAAAGTTGGCATACGTCTTGAGCCTAAGCCAGGGAATCAGCTCTCATCTCGAGACGATTTGGGGTACACGGAGTATTCCTCGAGTTGCTGTGCTGAAGTTGGTGTTCCTCTAGTCTTGGGACAGTGTTCTCGGGGCATCTCTGGAGTTGCCTGAAGGAAGTCGAGCCACCGGTCGTGTTGAATGGGGAACGGGGAATGGCTCTGTAGTCAATGCAGGGGAATCGGGCCTCATCTCGAGTTGATTTGGGGCACATGGAGCTGCCTTGCGTTGCTGGGGTGACCTCAGGGTCCGTCTAGACTGGTGACAGTGTTCTTGGGGACTGTCTCGAGATCCATTAAGCAAGTCGAAGCTCCTGACTTGTTTGAATGGGATCACGGAATAGCTCTGCATGCACTGCAGGGGAATGGGGCCTCATGTCGCCTCTAGGGGGAAGTCTCATAGTTTTTCTCGAGTTGCGGCGGGGACCTGGGGTATGTTCTCGACTTACGGCGGGGATGGCCCTTCAAAACACGAGTTTCTTCAGTGACGTCAGGACTCCTGTCTAGTAACGAGGGACACCTCAGGAATCTCTTCGAGGCTTGGCAGGGCAAAAGGGACGCTTCTCGAGGTGAGGCAGGACACCCAAGGTCCCTTTCCCGTAGCCACAGGGATTTTGGGATTCCTATCAGTATTCAAGAGGAGTCAGGCATCGTCACATTTTGGAGCAATGAACTCCGCGTGCCTCTCGAGGTGTCAGCGGGATGTGAGGCATTCCGTCAAAATGAGGCAGGGACCTAGGGCTTTCTCTGAGGTCTCCACAGGGGATTCAGACATCCCTTCATGTTGTGAGATGAAAGACGAGCCTGTATTCAAGCCACTGCAAGGAAATCCGGCCTCCTTTCAAGTTAGGGCCTCTCGCTGTATATTCCCCTTGAGGAATTAACCTCGGGGTCCCTCCCACATACCTATTGCTGAGAGAAGCCTCCTCCTGAGGTGCTTCTGGAAAGTTGGCATACGTCTTGAGCCTAAGCGAGGGAATCAGCTCTCATCTCGAGACGATTTGGGGTACACTGAGCATTCCTCGAGATGCTGTGCTGAAGTTGGTGTTCCTCTAGACTTGGGACAGTGTTCTCGGGGCATCTCTGGAGTTGCCTGAAGGAAGTCGAGCCACCGGTCGTGTTGAAAGGGGAACGGGGAATGGCTCTGGAGTCAATGCAGGGGAATCGGGCCTCATCTCGCCTCTAGGGGGAAGTCTCATGGTTTTTCTCGAGTTGCGGCGGGGACCTGGGGTATGTTCTCGACGTACGGCGGGGATGGCCCTTCAAAACACGAGTTTCTTCAGTGACGTCAGGACTCCTTTCTAGTAACGAGGGACACCTCAGGAATCTCTTCGAGGCTTGGCAGGGCAAAAGGGACGCTTCTCGAGGTGAGGCAGGACACCCAAGGTCCCTTTCCCGTAGCCACAGGGATTTTGGGATTCCTATCAGTATTCAAGAGGAGTCAGGCATTGTCACATTTTGGAGCAATGAACTCCGCGTGCCTCTCGAGGTGTCAGCGGGATGTGAGGCATTCCGTCAAAATGAGGCAGGGACCTAGGGCTTTCTATGAGGTCTCCACAGGGGATTCAGACATCCCTTCATGTTGTGAGATGAAAGACGAGCCTGTATTCAAGCCACTGCAAGGAAATCCGGCCTCGTTTCAAGTTAGGGTTTCTCGCTGTAAATTCCCCTTGCGGCAGCAAACTCGGGGTCCATCCCACATACCTATTGCTGAGAGAAGCCTCCTCCTGTGGTGATTCTGGAAAGTTGTCATACGTGTTGAGCCTAAGCCAGGGAATCAGCTCTCATCTCGAGACGATTTGGGGTACACGGAGCATTCCTCGAGTTGCTGTGCTGAAGTTGGTGTTCCTCTAGACTTGGGACAGTGTTCTCGGGGCATCTCTTGAGTGGCCTGAAGGAAGTAGAGCCACCGGTCGTGTTGAATGGGGAAAGGGGAATGGCCTTGGAGTCAATGCAGGGGAATCGGGCCTCATCTCGAGTTGATTTGGGGCACATGGAGCTGCTTTGCGTTGCTGGGGTGACCTCAGGGTCCGTCAAGACTGGTGACAGTGTTCTTGGGGACTGTCTCGAGATCCATTAAGCAAGTCGAAGCTCCTGACCTGTTTGAATGAGATCACGGAATAGCTCTGCATGCACTGCAGGGGAATGGGGCCTCATGTCGTCTCTAGTGGGAAGTCTCATAGTTTTTCTCGAGTTGCGGCGGGGACCTGGGGTATGTTCTCGACTTACGGCGGGGATGGCCCTTCAAAACACGAGTTTCTTCAGTGACGTCAGGACTCCTGTCTAGTAACGAGGGACACCTCAGGAATCTCTTCGAGGCTTGGCAGGGCAAAAGGGACGCTTCTCGAGGTGAGGCAGGGCACCCAAGGTCCCTTTCCCGTAGCCACAGGGATTTGGGGATTCCTATCAGTATTCAAGAGGAGTCAGGCATCGTCACCTTTTGGAGCAATGAACTCCGCGTGCGTCTCGAGGTGTCAGCGGGATGTGAGGCATTCCGTCAAAATGAGGCAGGGACCTAGGGCTTTCTCTGAGGTCTCCACAGGGGATTCAGACATCCCTTCATGTTGTGAGGTGAAAGACGAGCCTGTATTCAAGCCACTGCAAGGAAATCCGGCCTCCTTTCAAGTTAGGGCTTCTCGCTGTATACTCCCCTTGAGGCAGCAAACTCGGGGTCCCTCCCACATACCTATTGCTGAGAGAAGCCTCCTCCTGAGGTGCTTCTGGAAAGTTGGCATACGTCTTGAGCCTAAGCGAGGGAATCAGCTCTCATCTCGAGACGATTTGGGGTACACGGAGCATTCCTCGAGATGCTGTGCTGAAGTTGGTGTTCCTCTAGACTTGGGACAGTGTTCTCGGGGCATCTCTGGAGTTGCATGAAGGAAGTCGAGCCACCGGTCGTGTTGAAAGGGGAACGGGGAATGGCTCTGGAGTCAATGCAGGGGAATCGGGCCTCATCTCGAGTTGATTTGCGGCACATGGAGCTGCTTTGCGTTGCTGGGGTGAGCTCAGGGTCCGTCTAGACTGGTGACAGTGTTCTTGGGGACTCTCTCGAGATCCATTAAGCAAGTCGAAGCTCCTGACTTGTTTGAATGGGATCACGGAATAGCTCTGCATGCACTGCAGGGGAATGGGGCCTCATGTCGCCTCTAGGGGGAAGTCTCATGGTTTTTCTCGAGTTGCGGCGGGGACCTGGGGTATGTTCTCGACGTACGGCGGGGATGGCCCTTCAAAACACGAGTTTCTTCAGTTACGTCAGGACTCCTGTCTAGTAACGAGGGACACCTCAGGAATCTCTTCGAGGCTTGGCAGGGCAAAAAGGACGCTTCTCGAGGTGAGGAAGGGCACCCAAGGACCCTTTCCATAAGCCACAGGGATTTTGGAATTCCTATCAGTATTCAAGAGGAGTCAGGCATCGTCACCTTTTGAAGCAATGAACTCCGCGTGCCTCTCGAGGTGTCAGCGGGATGTGAGGCATTCCGTCAAAATGAGGCAGGGATCTAGGGCTTTCTCTAAGGTCTCCACAGGGGATTCAGACATCCCTTCATGTTGTGAGATGAAAGACGAGCCTGTATTCAAGCCACTGCAAGGAAATCCGGCCTCCTTTCAAGTTAGGGTTTCTCGCTGTAAATTCCCCTTGAGGCAGCAAACTAGGGGTCCATCCCACATACCTATTGCTGAGAGAAGCCTCCTCCTGAGGTGCTTCTGGAAAGTTGGCATACGTCTTGAGCCTAAGCCAGGGAATCAGCTCTCATCTCGAGACGATTTGGGGTACACGGAGCATTCCTCGAGTTGCTGTGCTGAAGTTGGTGTTCCTCTAGACTTGGGACAGTGTTCTCGGGGCATCTCTTGAGTGGCCTGAAGGAAGTAGAGCCACCGGTCGTGTTGAATGGGGAAAGGGGAATGGCCTTGGAGTCAATGCAGGGGAATCGGGCCTCATCTCGATTTGATTTGGGGCACATGGAGCGGCTTTGCGTTGCTGGGGTGACCTCAGGGTCCGTCTAGACTGGTGACAGTGTTCTTGGGGACTGTCTCGAGATCCATTAAGCAAGTCGAAGCTCCTGATTTGTTTGAATGAGATCACGGAATAGCTCTGCATGCACTGCAGGGGAATGGGGCCTCATCTCGCATCTAGGGGGAAATCTCATGGTTTTACTCGAGTTGCAGCGGGGACATGGGGTATGTTCTCGACTTACGGCGGGGATTGCCCTTCAAAACACGAGTTTCTTTAGTGACGTCAGGACTCCTGTCTAGTAACGAGGGACACCTCAGGAATCTCTTCGAGGCTGGGCAGGGCAAAAGGGACGCTTCTCGAGGTGAGGCAGGGCACCCAAGGACCCTTTCCAGTAGCCACAGGGATTTTGGGATTCCTATCAGTATTCAAGAGGAGTCAGGCATCGTCACCTTTTGGAGCAATGAACTCCGCGTACCTCTCGAGGTGTCAGCGGGATGTGAGGCATTCCGTCAAAATGAGGCAGGGACCTAGGGCTTTCTCTGAGGTCTCCACATTGGTTTCAGACATCCCTTCATGTTGTGAGATGAAAGACGAGCCTGTATTCAAGCCACTGCAAGGAAATCCGGCCTCCTTTCAAGTTAGGGCTTCTCGCTGTATATTCCCCTTGAGGCAGCAAACTCGGGGTCCCTCCCACATACGTATGGCTGAGAGAAGCCTCCTCCTGAGGTGCTTCTGGAAAGTTGGCATACGTCTTGAGCCTAAGCCAGGGAATCAGCTCTCATCTCGAGACGATTTGGGGTACACGGAGATTCCTCGAGTTGCTGTGCTGAAGTTGGTGTTCCTCTAGACTTGGAACAGTGTTCTCGGGGCATCTCTTGAGTGGCCTGAAGGAAGTAGAGCCACCGGTCGTGTTGAATGGGGAAAGGGGAATGGCCTTGGAGTCAATGCAGGGGAATCGGGCCTCATTTAGAGTTGATTTGGGGCACATGGAGCGGCTTTGCGTTGCTGGGGTGACCTCAGGGTCCGTCTAGACTGGTGACAGTGTTCTTGGGGACTGTCTCGAGATCCATTAAGCAAGTCGAAGCTCCTGACTTGTTTGAATGAGATCACGGAATAGCTCTGCATGCACTGCAGGTGAATGGGAACTCATCTCGCCTCTAGGGGGAAGTCTCATGGTTTTTCTCGCGTTGCAGCGGGGACATGGGGTATGTTCTCGACTTACGGCGGGGATGGCCCTTCAAAACACGAGTTTCTTCAGTGACGTCAGGACTCCTGTCTAGTAACGAGGGACACCTCAGGAATCTCTTCGAGGCTTGGCAGGGCAAATGGGACGCTTTTCGAGGTGAGGCAGGGCACCCAAGGACCCTTTCCAGTAGCCACAGGGATTTTGGGATTCCTATCAGTATTCAAGAGGAGTCAGGCATCGTCACCTTTTGAAGCAACGAACTCCGCGTGCCTCGCGAAGTGTCAGCGGGATGTGAGGCATTCCGTCAAAATGAGGCAGGGACCTAGGGCTTTCTCTAAGGTCTCCACAGGGGATTCAGACATCCCTTCAGGTTGTGAGATGAAAGACGAGCCTGTATTCAAGCCACTGCAAGGAAATCAAGCCTCCTTTCAAGTTAGGGCCTCTCGCTTTATATTACACTTGAGGCAGCAAACTCGGGGTCCCTCCCACATACCTATTGCTTAGAGAAGCCTCCTCCTGAGGTGCTTCTGGAAAGTTGGCATACGTCTTGAGCCTAAGCCAGGGAATCAGCTCTCATCTCGAGACGATTTGGGGTACACAGAGCATTCCTCGAGTTGCTGTGCTGAAGTTGGTGTTCCTCTAGACTTGGGACAGTGTTCTCGGGGCATCTCTGGAGTTGCCTGAAGGAAGTCGAGCCACCGGTCGTGTTGAATGGGGAACGGGGAATGGCTCTGGAGTCAATGCAGGGGAATCGGGCCTCATCTCGAGTTGATTTGGGGCACATGGAGCTGCTATGCGTTGCTGGGGTGACCTCAGGGTCCGTCTAGACTGGTGACAGTGTTCTTGGGGACTGTCTCGAGATCCATTAAGCAAGTCGAAGCTCCTGACTTGTTTGAATGGGATCACGGAATAGCTCTGCATGCACTGCAGTGGAATGGGGCCTCATCTCGCCTCTAGGGGGAAGTCTCATGGTTATTCTCGAGTTGCGGCGGGGACCTGGAGTATGTTCTCGACTTACGGCAGGGATGGCCCTTCAAAACACGAGTTTCTTCATTGACGTCAGGACTCCTGTCTAGTAACGAGGGACACCTCAGGAATCTCTTCGAGGCTGGGCAGGGCCAAAGGGACGCTTCTCGAGGTGAGGCAGGGCACCCAAGGACCCTTTCCAGTAGCCACAGGGATTTTGGGATTCCTATCTGTATTCAAGAGGAGTCAGGCATCGTCACCTTTAGAAGCAATGAACTCCGCGTGCTGTTGAGGTGTCAGCGGGATGTGAGGCATTCGGTCAAAATGAGGCAGCGACCTAGGGCTTTCTCTAAGGTCTCCACAGGGGATTCAGACATCCCTTCATGTTGTGAGATGAAAGACGAGCCTGTATTCAAGCCACTGCAAGGAAATCCGGCCTCCTTTCAAGTTAGGGCCTCTCGCTGTATATTCCCCTTGAGGCAGCAAACTCGGGGTCCCTCCCACATACCTATTGCTGAGAGAAGCCTCCTCCTGAGGTGCTTCTGGAAAGTTGGCATACGTCTTGAGCCTAAGCCAGGGAATCAGCTCTCATCTCGAGACGATTTGGGGTACACGGAGATTCCTCGAGTTGCTGTGCTGAAGTTGGTGTTCCTCTAGTCTTGGGACAGTGTTCTCGGGGCATCTCTGGAGTTGCCTGAAGGAAGTCGAGCCACCGGTCGTGTTGAATGGGGAACGGGGAATGGCTCTGGAGTCAATGCAGGGGAATCGGGCATCATCTCGAGTTGATTTGGGCACATGGAGCTGCCTTGCATTGCTGGGGTGACCTCAGGGTCCGTCTAGACTGGTGACAGTGTTCTTGGGGACTGTCTCGAGATCCATTAAGCAAGTCGAAGCTCCTGACTTGTTTGAATGGGATCACGGAATAGCTCTGCATGCACTGCAGGGGAATGGGGCCTCATGTCGCCTCTAGGGGGAAGTCTCATAGTTTTTCTCGAGTTGCGGCGGGGACCTGGGTTATGTTCTCGACTTTCGGCGGGGATGGCCCTTCAAAACACGAGTTTCTTCAGTGACGTCAGGACTCCTGTCTAGTAACGAGGGACACCTCAGGAATCTCTTCGAGGCTTGGCAGGGCAAAAGGGACGCTTCTCGAGGTGAGGCAGGGCACCCAAGGTCCCTTTCCAGTAGCCACAGGGATTTTGGGATTCCTATCAGTATTCAAGAGGAGTCAGGCATCGTCACCTATTGAAGCATTGAACTCCGCGTGCCTCTAGAGGTGTCAGCGGGATGTGAGGCATTCCGTCAAAATGAGGCAGGGTCCTCGGGCTTTCTTTAAGGTCTCCACAGGGGATTCAGACATCCCTTCATGTTGTGAGATGAAAGACGAGCCTGTATTCAAACCACTGCAAGGAAATCCGGCCTCCTTTCAAGTTAGGGCCTCTCACTGTATATTCCCCTTGAGGCAGCAAACTCGGGGTCCCTCCCACATACATATTGCTGAGAGAAGCCTCCTCCTAAAGTGCTTCTGGAAAGTTTGCATACGTCTTGAGCCTGAGCCAGGGAATGAGCTCTCATCTCGAGATGATTTGTGGTACACGGAGCATTCCTCGAGTTGCTGTGCTGAAGTTGGTGTTCCTCTAGACTTGGGACAGTGTTCTCGGGGCATCTCTGGAGTTGCCTGAAGGAAGTCGAGCCACCGGTCGTGTTGATTGGGGAACGGGGAATGGCTCTGGAGTCAATGCAGTGGAATCGGGCCTCATCTCGAGTTGATTTGGGGCACATGGAGCTGCTTTGCATTGCTGGGGTGAGCTCAGGGTCCGTCTAGACTGGTGACAGTGTTCTTGGGGACTGTCTCGAGATCCATTAAGCAAGTCGAAGCTCCTGACTTGTTTGAATGGGATCACGGAATAGCTCTGCATGCACTGCAGGGGAATGGGGCCTCATCTCGCCTCTAGGGGGAAGTCTCATGGTTTTTCTCGAGTTGCGGCGGGGACCTGGGGTATGTTCTCGACGTACGGTGGGGATGGCCCTTCAAAACACGAGTTTCCTCAGTGACGTCAGGACTCCTTTCTAGTAACGAGGGACACCTCAGGAATCTCTTCGAGGCTTGGCAGGGCAAAAGGGACGCTTCTCGAGGTGAGGCAGGGCACCCAAGGACCCTTTCCAGTAGCCACAGGGATTTTGGGATTCCTATCAGTATTCAAGAGGAGTCAGGCATCGTCACCTTTTGAATCAATGAACTCCGCATGCCTCTCGAGGTGTCAGCGGGATGTGAGGCATTCCGTCAAAATGAGGCAGGGACCTAGGGCTTTCTATGAGGTCTCCACAGGGGATTCAGACATCCCTTCATGTTGTGAGATGAAAGACGAGCCTGTATTCAAGCCACTGCAAGGAAATCCGGCCTCCTTTCAAGTTAGGGTTTCTCGCTGTAAATTCCCCTTGAGGCAGCAAACTCGGGGTCCCTCCCACATACCTATTGCTGAGAGAAGCCTCCTCCTGAGGTGCTTCTGGAAAGTTGGCATACGTCTTGAGCCTAAGCCTGGGAATCAGCTCTCATCTCGAGACGATTTGGGGTACACGGAGCATTCCTCGAGTTGCTGTGCTGAAGTTGGTGTTCCTCTAGACTTGGGACAGTGTTCTCGGGGCATCTCTTGAGTGGCCTGAAGGAAGTAGAGCCACCGGTCGTGTTGAATGGGGAAAGGGGAATGGCCTTGGAGTCAATGCAGGGGAATCGGGCCTCATCTCGAGTTGATTTGGGGCACATGGAGCTGCTTTGCGTTGCTGGGGTGACCTCAGGGTCCGTCAAGACTGGTGACAGTGTTCTTGGGGACTGTCTCGAGATCCATTAAGCAAGTCGAAGCTCCTGACCTGTTTGAATGAGATCACGGAATAGCTCTGCATGCACTGCAGGGGAATGGGGCCTCATGTCGTCTCTAGTGGGAAGTCTCATAGTTTTTCTCGAGTTGCGGCGGGGACCTGGGGTATGTTCTCGACTTACGGCGGGGATGGCCCTTCAAAACACGAGTTTCTTCAGTGACGTCAGGACTCCTGTCTAGTAACGAGGGACACCTCAGGAATCTCTTCGAGGCTTGGCAGGGCAAAAGGGACGCTTCTCGAGGTGAGGCAGGGCACCCAAGGTCCCTTTCCCGTAGCCACAGGGATTTGGGGATTCCTATCAGTATTCAAGAGGAGTCAGGCATCGTCACCTTTTGGAGCAATGAACTCCGCGTGCGTCTCGAGGTGTCAGCGGGATGTGAGGCATTCCGTCAAAATGAGGCAGGGACCTAGGGCTTTCTCTGAGGTCTCCACAGGGGATTCAGACATCCCTTCATGTTGTGAGGTGAAAGACGAGCCTGTATTCAAGCCACTGCAAGGAAATCCGGCCTCCTTTCAAGTTAGGGCTTCTCGCTGTATACTCCCCTTGAGGCAGCAAACTCGGGGTCCCTCCCACATACCTATTGCTGAGAGAAGCCTCCTCCTGAGGTGCTTCTGGAAAGTTGGCATACGTCTTGAGCCTAAGCGAGGGAATCAGCTCTCATCTCGAGACGATTTGGGGTACACGGAGCATTCCTCGAGATGCTGTGCTGAAGTTGGTGTTCCTCTAGACTTGGGACAGTGTTCTCGGGGCATCTCTGGAGTTGCATGAAGGAAGTCGAGCCACCGGTCGTGTTGAAAGGGGAACGGGGAATGGCTCTGGAGTCAATGCAGGGGAATCGGGCCTCATCTCGAGTTGATTTGCGGCACATGGAGCTGCTTTGCGTTGCTGGGGTGAGCTCAGGGTCCGTCTAGACTGGTGACAGTGTTCTTGGGGACTCTCTCGAGATCCATTAAGCAAGTCGAAGCTCCTGACTTGTTTGAATGGGATCACGGAATAGCTCTGCATGCACTGCAGGGGAATGGGGCCTCATGTCGCCTCTAGGGGGAAGTCTCATGGTTTTTCTCGAATGGCGGCGGGGACCTGGGGTATGTTCTCGACGTACGGCGGGGATGGCCCTTCAAAACACGAGTTTCTTCAGTTACGTCAGGACTCCTGTCTAGTAACGAGGGACACCTCAGGAATCTCTTCGAGGCTTGGCAGGGCAAAAAGGACGCTTCTCGAGGTGAGGAAGGGCACCCAAGGACCCTTTCCATAAGCCACAGGGATTTTGGAATTCCTATCAGTATTCAAGAGGAGTCAGGCATCGTCACCTTTTGAAGCAATGAACTCCGCGTGCCTCTCGAGGTGTCAGCGGGATGTGAGGCATTCCGTCAAAATGAGGCAGGGATCTAGGGCTTTCTCTAAGGTCTCCACAGGGGATTCAGACATCCCTTCATGTTGTGAGATGAAAGACGAGCCTGTATTCAAGCCACTGCAAGGAAATCCGGCCTCCTTTCAAGTTAGGGTTTCTCGCTGTAAATTCCCCTTGAGGCAGCAAACTAGGGGTCCATCCCACATACCTATTGCTGAGAGAAGCCTCCTCCTGAGGTGCTTCTGGAAAGTTGGCATACGTCTTGAGCCTAAGCCAGGGAATCAGCTCTCATCTCGAGACGATTTGGGGTACACGGAGCATTCCTCGAGTTGCTGTGCTGAAGTTGGTGTTCCTCTAGACTTGGGACAGTGTTCTCGGGGCATCTCTTGAGTGGCCTGAAGGAAGTAGAGCCACCGGTCGTGTTGAATGGGGAAAGGGGAATGGCCTTGGAGTCAATGCAGGGGAATCGGGCCTCATCTCGATTTGATTTGGGGCACATGGAGCGGCTTTGCGTTGCTGGGGTGACCTCAGGGTCCGTCTAGACTGGTGACAGTGTTCTTGGGGACTGTCTCGAGATCCATTAAGCAAGTCGAAGCTCCTGATTTGTTTGAATGAGATCACGGAATAGCTCTGCATGCACTGCAGGGGAATGGGGCCTCATCTCGCATCTAGGGGGAAATCTCATGGTTTTACTCGAGTTGCAGCGGGGACATGGGGTATGTTCTCGACTTACGGCGGGGATGGCCCTTCAAAACACGAGTTTCTTCAGTGACGTCAGGACTCCTGTCTAGTAACGAGGGACACCTCAGGAATCTCTTCGAGGCTGGGCAGGGCAAAAGGGACGCTTCTCGAGGTGAGGCAGGGCACTCAAGGACCCTTTCCAGTAGCCACAGGGATTTTGGGATTCCTATCAGTATTCAAGAGGAGTCAGGCATCGTCACCTTTTGGAGCAATGAACTCCGCGTACCTCTCGAGGTGTCAGCGGGATGTGAGGCATTCCGTCAAAATGAGGCAGGGACCTAGGGCTTTCTCTGAGGTCTCCACATTGGTTTCAGACATCCCTTCATGTTGTGAGATGAAAGACGAGCCTGTATTCAAGCCACTGCAAGGAAATCCGGCCTCCTTTCAAGTTAGGGCTTCTCGCTGTATATTCCCCTTGAGGCAGCAAACTCGGGGTCCCTCCCACATACGTATGGCTGAGAGAAGCCTCCTCCTGAGGTGCTTCTGGAAAGTTGGCATACGTCTTGAGCCTAAGCCAGGGAATCAGCTCTCATCTCGAGACGATTTGGGGTACACGGAGATTCCTCGAGTTGCTGTGCTGAAGTTGGTGTTCCTCTAGACTTGGAACAGTGTTCTCGGGGCATCTCTTGAGTGGCCTGAAGGAAGTAGAGCCACCGGTCGTGTTGAATGGGGAAAGGGGAATGGCCTTGGAGTCAATGCAGGGGAATCGGGCCTCATTTAGAGTTGATTTGGGGCACATGGAGCGGCTTTGCGTTGCTGGGGTGACCTCAGGGTCCGTCTAGACTGGTGACAGTGTTCTTGGGGACTGTCTCGAGATCCATTAAGCAAGTCGAAGCTCCTGACTTGTTTGAATGAGATCACGGAATAGCTCTGCATGCACTGCAGGTGAATGGGAACTCATCTCGCCTCTAGGGGGAAGTCTCATGGTTTTTCTCGCGTTGCAGCGGGGACATGGGGTATGTTCTCGACTTACGGCGGGGATGGCCCTTCAAAACACGAGTTTCTTCAGTGACGTCAGGACTCCTGTCTAGTAACGAGGGACACCTCAGGAATCTCTTCGAGGCTTGGCAGGGCAAAAGGGACGCTTTTCGAGGTGAGGCAGGGCACCCAAGGACCCTTTCCAGTAGCCACAGGGATTTTGGGATTCCTATCAGTATTCAAGAGGAGTCAGGCATCGTCACCTTTTGAAGCAACGAACTCCGCGTGCCTCGCGAAGTGTCAGCGGGATGTGAGGCATTCCGTCAAAATGAGGCAGGGACCTAGGGCTTTCTCTAAGGTCTCCACAGGGGATTCAGACATCCCTTCAGGTTGTGAGATGAAAGACGAGCCTGTATTCAAGCCACTGCAAGGAAATCAAGCCTCCTTTCAAGTTAGGGCCTCTCGCTTTATATTACACTTGAGGCAGCAAACTCGGGGTCCCTCCCACATACCTATTGCTTAGAGAAGCCTCCTCCTGAGGTGCTTCTGGAAAGTTGGCATACGTCTTGAGCCTAAGCCAGGGAATCAGCTCTCATCTCGAGACGATTTGGGGTACACAGAGCATTCCTCGAGTTGCTGTGCTGAAGTTGGTGTTCCTCTAGACTTGGGACAGTGTTCTCGGGGCATCTCTGGAGTTGCCTGAAGGAAGTCGAGCCACCGGTCGTGTTGAATGGGGAACGGGGAATGGCTCTGGAGTCAATGCAGGGGAATCGGGCCTCATCTCGAGTTGATTTGGGGCACATGGAGCTGCTATGCGTTGCTGGGGTGACCTCAGGGTCCGTCTAGACTGGTGACAGTGTTCTTGGGGACTGTCTCGAGATCCATTAAGCAAGTCGAAGCTCCTGACTTGTTTGAATGGGATCACGGAATAGCTCTGCATGCACTGCAGTGGAATGGGGCCTCATCTCGCCTCTAGGGGGAAGTCTCATGGTTATTCTCGAGTTGCGGCGGGGACCTGGAGTATGTTCTCGACTTACGGCAGGGATGGCCCTTCAAAACACGAGTTTCTTCATTGACGTCAGGACTCCTGTCTAGTAACGAGGGACACCTCAGGAATCTCTTCGAGGCTGGGCAGGGCCAAAGGGACGCTTCTCGAGGTGAGGCAGGGCACCCAAGGACCCTTTCCAGTAGCCACAGGGATTTTGGGATTCCTATCTGTATTCAAGAGGAGTCAGGCATCGTCACCTTTAGAAGCAATGAACTCCGCGTGCTGTTGAGGTGTCAGCGGGATGTGAGGCATTCGGTCAAAATGAGGCAGCGACCTAGGGCTTTCTCTAAGGTCTCCACAGGGGATTCAGACATCCCTTCATGTTGTGAGATGAAAGACGAGCCTGTATTCAAGCCACTGCAAGGAAATCCGGCCTCCTTTCAAGTTAGGGCCTCTCGCTGTATATTCCCCTTGAGGCAGCAAACTCGGGGTCCCTCCCACATACCTATTGCTGAGAGAAGCCTCCTCCTGAGGTGCTTCTGGAAAGTTGGCATACGTCTTGAGCCTAAGCCAGGGAATCAGCTCTCATCTCGAGACGATTTGGGGTACACGGAGATTCCTCGAGTTGCTGTGCTGAAGTTGGTGTTCCTCTAGGCTTGGGACAGTGTTCTCGGGGCATCTCTGGAGTTGCCTGAAGGAAGTCGAGCCACCGGTCGTGTTGAATGGGGAACGGGGAATGGCTCTGGAGTCAATGCAGGGGAATCGGGCCTCATCTCGAGTTGATTTGGGGCAAATGGAGCTGCTTTGCGTTGCTGGGGTGACCTCAGGGTCCGTCTAGACTGGTGACAGTGTTCTTGGGGACTGTCTCGAGATCCATTAAGCAAGTCGAAGCTCCTGACTTGTTTGAATGGGATCACGGAATAGCTCTGCATGCACTGCAGGGGAATGGGGCCTCATGTCACCTATAGGGGGAAGTCTCATGGTTTTTCTCGAGTTGCGGCGGGGACCTGGGGTATGTTCTCGACTTACGGCGGGGATGGCCCTTCAAAACACGAGTTTCTTCAGTGACGTCAGGACTCCTGTCTAGTAACGAGGGACACCTCAGAAATCTCTTCGAGGCTTGGCAGGGCAAAAGGGACGCTTCTCGAGGTGAGGCAGTTCACCCAAGGACCCTTTCCCGTAGCCACAGGGATTTTGGGATTCCTATCAGTATTCAAGAGGAGTCAGGCATCGTCACCTTTTGAAGCAATGAACTCCACGTGCCTCTAGAGGTGTCTGCGGGATGTGAGGCATTCCGTCAAAATGAGGCAGGGTCCTCGGGCTTTCTCTAAGGTCTCCACAGGGGATTCAGACATCCCTTCATGTTGTGAGATGAAAGACGAGCCTGTATTCAAGCCACTGGAAGGAAATCCGGCCTCCTTTCAAGTTAGGGCCTCTCACTGTATATTCCCCTTGAGGCAGCAAACTCGGGGTCCCTCCCACATACATATTGCTGAGAGAAGCCTCCTCCTGAAGTGCTTCTGAAAAGTTTGCATACGTCTTGAGCCTAAGCCAGGGAATGAGCTCTCATCTCGAGATGATTTGTGGTACACGGAGCATTCCTCGAGTTGCTGTGCTGAAGTTGGTGTTCCTCTAGACTTGGGAGAGTGTTCTCGGGGCATCTCTGGAGTTGCCTGAAGGAAGTCGAGCCACCGGTCGTGTTGAATGGGGAACGGGGAATGGCTCTGGAGTCAATGCAGGGGAATCGGGCCTCATCTCGAGTTGATTTGGGGCACATGGAGCTGCTTTGCGTTGCTGGGGTGACGTCAGGGTCCGTCTAGACTGGTGACAGTGTTCTTGGGGACTGTCTCGAGATCCATTAAGCAAGTCGAAGCTCCTGACTTGTTTGAATGGGATCACGGAATAGCTCTGCATGTACTGCAGTGGAATGGGGCCTCATGTCGCCTATAGTGGGAAGTCTCATGGTTTTTCTCGAGTTGCGGCGGGGACCTGGGGTATGTTCTCGACTTTCGGCGGGGATGGCCCTTCAAAACACGAGTTTCTTCAGTGACGTCAGGACTCCTGTCTAGTAACGAGGGACACCTCAGGAATCTCTTCGAGGCTTGGCAGGGGAAAAGGGACGCTTCTCGAGGTGAGGCAGGGCACCCAAGGACCCTTTCCAGTAGCCACAGGGATTTTGGGATTCCTATCAGTATTCAAGAGGAGTCAGGCATCGTCTCCTTTTGAAGCAATGAACTCCGCGTGCCTCTCGAGTTGTCAGCGGGATGTGAGGCATTCCGTCAAAATGAGGCAGGGACCTAGGGCTTTCTCTAAGGTCTCCACAGGGGATTCAGACATCCCTTCATGTTGTGAGATGAAAGACGAGCCCGTATTCAAGCCACTGCAAGGAAATCCAGCCTCCTTTCAAGTTAGGGCCTCTCGCTTTATATTACCCTTGAGGCAGCAAACTCGGGGTCCCTCCCACATACCTCTTGCTGAGAGAAGCCTCCTCCTGAGGTGCTTCTGGAAAGTTGGCATACGTCTTGAGCCTAAGCCAGGGAATCAGCTCTCATCTCGAGATGATTTGTTGTACACGGAGTATTCCTCGAGTTGCTGTGCTGAAGTTGGTGTTCCTCTAGTCTTGGGACAGTGTTCTCGGGGCATCTCTGGAGTTGCCTGAAGGAAGTCGAGCCACCGGTCGTGTTGAATGGGGAACGGGGAATGGCTCTGGAGTCAATGCAGGGGAATCGGGCCTCATCTCGAGTTGATTTGGGCACATGGAGCTGCCTTGCATTGCTGGGGTGACCTCAGGGTCCGTCTAGACTGGTGACAGTGTTCTTGGGGACTGTCTCGAGATCCATTAAGCAAGTCGAAGCTCCTGACTTGTTTGAATGGGATCACGGAATAGCTCTGCATGCACTGCAGGGGAATGGGGCCTCATGTCGCCTCTAGGGGGAAGTCTCATAGTTTTTCTCGAGTTGCGGCGGGGACCTGGGTTATGTTCTCGACTTTCGGCGGGGATGGCCCTTCAAAACACGAGTTTCTTCAGTGACGTCAGGACTCCTGTCTAGTAACGAGGGACACCTCAGGAATCTCTTCGAGGCTTGGCAGGGCAAAAGGGACGCTTCTCGAGGTGAGGCAGGGCACCCAAGGTCCCTTTCCAGTAGCCACAGGGATTTTGGGATTCCTATCAGTATTCAAGAGGAGTCAGGCATCGTCACCTATTGAAGCAATGAACTCCGCGTGCCTCTAGAGGTGTCAGCGGGATGTGAGGCATTCCGTCAAAATGAGGCAGGGTCCTCGGGCTTTCTTTAAGGTCTCCACAGGGGATTCAGACATCCCTTCATGTTGTGAGATGAAAGACGAGCCTGTATTCAAACCACTGCAAGGAAATCCGGCCTCCTTTCAAGTTAGGGCCTCTCACTGTATATTCCCCTTGAGGCAGCAAACTCGGGGTCCCTCCCACATACATATTGCTGAGAGAAGCCTCCTCCTAAAGTGCTTCTGGAAAGTTTGCATACGTCTTGAGCCTGAGCCAGGGAATCAGCTCTCATCTCGAGATGATTTGTGGTACACGGAGCATTCCTCGAGTTGCTGTGCTGAAGTTGGTGTTCCTCTAGACTTGGGACAGTGTTCTCGGGGCATCTCTGGAGTTGCCTGAAGGAAGTCGAGCCACCGGTCGTGTTGATTGGGGAACGGGGAATGGCTCTGGAGTCAATGCAGTGGAATCGGGCCTCATCTCGAGTTGATTTGGGGCACATGGAGCTGCTTTGCATTGCTGGGGTGAGCTCAGGGTCCGTCTAGACTGGTGACAGTGTTCTTGGGGACTGTCTCGAGATCCATTAAGCAAGTCGAAGCTCCTGACTTGTTTGAATGGGATCACGGAATAGCTCTGCATGCACTGCAGGGGAATGGGGCCTCATCTCGCCTCTAGGGGGAAGTCTCATGGTTTTTCTCGAGTTGCGGCGGGGACCTGGGGTATGTTCTCGACGTACGGTGGGGATGGCCCTTCAAAACACGAGTTTCCTCAGTGACGTCAGGACTCCTTTCTAGTAACGAGGGACACCTCAGGAATCTCTTCGAGGCTTGGCAGGGCAAAAGGGACGCTTCTCGAGGTGAGGCAGGGCACCCAAGGACCCTTTCCAGTAGCCACAGGGATTTTGGGATTCCTATCAGTATTCAAGAGGAGTCAGGCATCGTCACCTTTTGAATCAATGAACTCCGCGTGCCTCTCGAGGTGTCAGCGGGATGTGAGGCATTCCGTCAAAATGAGGCAGGGACCTAGGGCTTTCTATGAGGTCTCCACAGGGGATTCAGACATCCCTTCATGTTGTGAGATGAAAGACGAGCCTGTATTCAAGCCACTGCAAGGAAATCCGGCCTCCTTTCAAGTTAGGGTTTCTCGCTGTAAATTCCCCTTGAGGCAGCAAACTCGGGGTCCCTCCAACATACCTATTGCTGAGAGAAGCCTCCTCCTGAGGTGCTTCTGGAAAGTTGGCATACGTCTTGAGCCTAAGCCTGGGAATCAGCTCTCATCTCGAGACGATTTGGGGTACACGGAGCATTCCTCGAGTTGCTGTGCTGAAGTTGGTGTTCCTCTAGACTTGGGACAGTGTTCTCGGGGCATCTCTTGAGTGGCCTGAAGGAAGTAGAGCCACCGGTCGTGTTGAATGGGGAAAGGGGAATGGCCTTGGAGTCAATGCAGGGGAATCGGGCCTCATCTCGAGTTGATTTGGGGCACATGGAGCGGCTTTGCGTTGCTGGGGTGACCTCAGGGTCCGTCTAGACTGGTGACAGTGTTCTTGGGGACTGTCTCGAGATCCATTAAGCAAGTCGAAGCTCCTGACTTGTTTGAATGAGATCATGGAATAGCTCTGCATGCACTGCAGGGGAATGGGGCCTCATCTCGCATCTAGGGGGAAGTCTCATGGTTTTACTCGAGTTGCAGCGGGGACATGGGGTATGTTCTCGACTTACGGCGGGGATGGCCCTTCAAAACACGAGATTCTTCAGTAACGTCAGGACTCCTGTCTAGTAACGAGGGACACCTCAGGAATCTCTTCGAGGCTGGGCAGGGCAAAAGGGATGCTTCTCGAGGTGAGGCATGGCACCCAAGGACCCTTTCCAGTATCCACAGGGATTTTGGGATTCCTATCAGTATTCAAGAGGAGTCAGGCATCGTCACCTTTTGGAGCAATGAACTCCGCGTGCCTCTCGAGGTGTCAGCGGGATGTGAGGCATTCCGTCAAAATGAGGCAGGGACCTAGGGCTTTCTCTGAGGTCTCCACAGGGGATTCAGACATCCCTTCATGTTGTGAGATGAAAGACGAGCCTGTATTCAAGCCACTGCAAGGAAATCCGGCCTCCTTTCAAGTTAGGGCTTCTCGCTGTATATTCCCCTTGAGGCAGCAAATTCGGGGTCCCTCCCACATACCTATTGCTGAGAGAAGCCTCCTCCTGAGGTGCTTCTGGAAAGTTGGCATACGTCTTGAGCCTAAGCCAGGGAATCAGCTCTCATCTCGAGACGATTTGGGGTACACGGAGATTCCTCGAGTTGCTGTGCTGAAGTTGGTGTTCCTCTAGACTTGGGACAGTGTTCTCGGGGCATCTCTTGAGTTGCCTGAAGGAAGTCGAGCCACCGGTCGTGTTGAATGGTGAACGGGGAATGGATCTGGTGTCAATGCAGGGGAATCGGGCCTCATCTCGAGTTGATTTGGGGAACATGGAGCTTCTTTGCGTTGCTGGGGTGACCTCAGGGTCCGTCTAGACTGGTGACAGTGTTCTTGGGGACTGTCTCGAGATCCATTAAGCAAGTCGAAGCTCCTGACTTGTTTGAATGGGATCACGGAAGAGCTCTGCATGCACTGCAGTGGAATGGGGCCTCATCTCGCATCTAGGGGGAAGTCTCATGGTTATTCTCGAGTTGCGGCGGGGACCTGGGGTATGTTCTCGACTTACGACGGGGATGGCCCTTTAAAACACGAGTTTCTTCATTGTCGTCAGGACTCCTGTCTAGTAACGAGGGACACCTCAGGAATCTCTTCGAGGCTGGGCAGGGCAAAAGGGATGCTTCTCGAGGTGAGGCAGGGCACCCAAGGACCCTTTCCAGTAGCCACAGGGATTTTGGGATTCCTATCAGTATTCAAGAGGAGTCAGGCATCGTCACCTTTTGAAGCAATGAACTCCGCGTGCTCTCGAGATGTCAGAGGGATGTGAGGCATTCGGTCAAAATGAGGCAGCGACCTAGGGCTTTCTCTAAGGTCTCCACAGGGGATTCAGACATCCCTTCATGTTGTGAGATGAAAGACGAGCCTGTATTCAAGCCACTGCAAGGAAATCCGGCCTCCTTTCAAGTTAGGGCCTCTCGCTGTATATTCCCCTTGAGGCAGCAAACTCGGGGTCCCTCCCACATACCTCTTGCTTAGAGAAGCCTCCTCCTGAGGTGCTTCTGGAAAGTTGGCATACGTCTTGAGCCTAAGCCAGGGAATCAGCTCTCATCTTGAGACGATTTGGGGTACAAGGAGCATTCCTAGAGTTGCTGTGCTGAAGTTGGTGTTCCTCTAGCCTTGGGAGACTGTTCTCGGGGCATCTCTGGAGTTGCGTGAAGGAAGTCGAGCCACCGGTCTTGTTGAATGGGGAACGGGGAATGGCTCTGGAGCCAATGCAGCGGAATCGGGCCTCATCTCGAGTTGATTTGGGGCACATGGAGCTGCTTTGCGCTGCTGGGGTGACCTCAGGGTCCGTCTAGACTGGTGACAGTGTTCTTGGGGACTGTCTCGAGATCCATTAAGCAAGTCGAATCTCCTGACTTGTTTGAATGGGATCACGGAATAGCTCTGCATGCACTGCAAGGGAATGGGGCCTCATCTCGCATCTAGGGGGAAGTCTCATGGTTTTACTCGAGTTGCAGCGGGGACATGGGGTATGTTCTCGACTTACGGAGGGGATGGCCCTTCAAAACACGAGTTTATTCAGTGACGTCAGGACTCCTGTCTAGTAACGAGGGACACCTCAGGAATCTCTTCGAGGCTGGGCAGGGCAAAAGGGACGCTTCTCGAGGTGAGGCAGGGCACCCAAGGACCCTTTCCAGTATCCACAGGGATTTTGGGATTCCTATCAGTATTCAAGAGGAGTCAGGCATCGTCACCTTTTGGAGCAATGAACTCAGCGTGCCTCTCGAGGTGTCAGCGGGATGTGAGGCATTCCGTCAAAATGAGGCAGGGACCTAGGGCTTTCTCTGAGGTCTCCACAGGGGATTCAGATATCCCTTCATGTTGTGAGATGAAAGACGAGCCTGTATTCAAGCCACTGCAAGGAAATCCGGCCTCCTTTCAAGTTAGGGCTTCTCGCTGTATATTCCCCTTGAGGCAGCAAACTCGGGGTCCCTCCCACATACCTATTGCTGAGAGAAGCCTCCTCCTGAGGTGCTTCTGGAAAGTTGGCATACGTCTTGAGCCTAAGCCAGGGAATCACCTCTCATCTCGAGATGATTTGGGGTACACGGAGATTCCTCGAGTTGCTGTGCTGAAGTTGTTGTTCCTCTAGACTTGGGACAGTGTTCTCGGGGCATCTCTTGAGTGGCCTGAAGGAAGTCGAGCCACCGGTCGTGTTGAATGGGGAAAGGGGAATGGCCTTGGAGTCAATGCAGGGGAATCGGGCCTCATTTCGAGTTGATTTGGGGCACATGGAGCGGCTTTGCATTGCTGGGGTGACCTCAGGGTCCGTCTAGACTGGTGACAGTGTTCTTGGGGACTGTCTCGAGATCCATTAAGCAAGTCGAAGCTCCTGACTTGTTTGAATGAGATCACGGAATAGCTCTGCATGCACTGCAGGGGAATGGGGCCTCATCTCGCCTCTAGGGGGAAGTCTCATGGTTTTTCTCGAGTTGCGGCGGGGACCTGGAGTATGTTCTCAACTTACGGCGGGGATGGCCCTTCAAAACACGAGTTTCTTCATTGACGTCAGGACTCCTGTCTAGTAACGAGGGACACCTCAGGAATCTCTTCGAGGCTGGGCAGGGCAAAAGGGACGCTTCTCGAGGTGAGGCAGGGCACCCAAGGACCCTTTCCAGTAGCCACAGGGATTTTGGGATTCCTATCAGTATTCAAGAGGAGTCAGGCATAGTCACCTTTAGAAGCAATGAACTCCGCGTGCTCTCGAGGTGTCAGCGGGATGTGAGGCATTCGGTCAAAATGAGGCAGCGACCTAGGGCTTTCTCTGAGGTCTCCACAGGGGATTCAGACATCCCTTCATGTTGTGAGATGAAAGACGAGCCTGTATTCAAGCCACTGCAAGGAAATCCGGCCTCCTTTCAAGTTAGGGCCTCACTCTGTATATTCCCCTTGAGGCAGCAAACTCGGGGTCCCTCCCACATACCTCTTGCTGAGAGAAGCCTCCTCCTGAGGTGCTTCTGGAAAGTTGGCATACGTCTTGAGCCTAAGCCAGGGAATCAGCTCTCATCTCGAGACGATTTGTTGTACACGGAGTATTCCTCGAGTTGCTGTGCTGAAGTTGGTGTTCCTCTAGTCTTGGGACAGTGTTCTCGGGGCATCTCTGGAGTTGCCTGAAGGAAGTCGAGCCACCGGTTGTGTTGAATGGGGAACGGGGAATGGCTCTGGAGTCAATGCAGGGGAATCGGGCCTCATCTCGAGTTGATTTGGGGCACATGGAGCTGCCTTGCATTGCTGGGGTGACCTCAGGGTCCGTCTAGACTGGTGACAGTGTTCTTGGGGACTGTCTCGAGATCCATTAAGCAAGTCGAAGCTCCTGACTTGTTTGAATGGGATCACGGAATAGCTCTGCATGCACTGCAGGGGAATGGGGCCTCATGTCGCCTCTAGGGGGAAGTCTCATAGTTTTTCTCGAGTTGCGGCGGGGACCTGGGGTATGTTCTCGACTTACGGCGGGGATGGCCCTTCAAAACACGAGTTTCTTCAGTGACGTCAGGACTCCTGTCTAGTAACGAGGGACACCTCAGGAATCTCTTCGAGGCTTGGCAGGGCAAAAGGGACGCTTCTCGAGGTAAGGCAGGGCACCCAAGGTCCCTTTCCCGTAGCCACAGGGATTTTGGGATTCCTATCAGTATTCAAGAAGAGTCAGGCATCGTCACGTTTTGGAGCAATGAACTTCGCGTGCGTCTCGAGGTGTCAGCGGAATGTGAGGCATTCCGTCAAAATGAGGCAGGGACCTAGGGCTTTCTCTGAGGTCTCCATATGGGATTCAGACATCCCTTCATGTTGTGAGATGATAGACGAGCCTGTATTCAAGCCACTGCAAGGAAATCCGGCCTCCTTTCAAGTTAGGGCTTCTCGCTGTATATTCCCCTTGAGGCAGCAAACTCGGGGTCCCTCCCACATACCTATTGCTGAGAGAAGCCTCCTCCTGAGGTGCTTCTGGAAAATTGGCATACGTCTTGAGCCTAAGCGAGGGAATCAGCTCTCATCTCGAGACGATTTGGGGTACACGGAGCATTCCTCGAGATGCTGTGCTGAAGTTGGTGTTCCTCTAGACTTGGGACAGTGTTCTCGGGGCATCTCTGGAGTTGCCTGAAGGAAGTCGAGCCACCGGTCGTGTTGAAAGGGGAACGGGGAATGGCTCTGGAGTCAATGCAGGGGAATCGGGCCTCATCTCGAGTTGATTTGCGGCACATGGAGCTGCTTTGCGTTGCTGGGTGAGCTCAGGGTCCGTCTAGACTGGTGACAGTGTTCTTGGGGACTGTCTCGAGATCCATTAAGCAAGTCGAAGCTCCTGACTTGTTTGAATGGGATCACGGAATAGCTCTGCATGCACTGCAGGGGAATGGGGCCTCATCTCGCCTCTAGGGGGAAGTATCATGGTTTTTCTCGAGTTGCGGCGGGGACCTGGGGTATGTTCTCGACGTACGGCAGGGATGGCCCTTCAAAACACGAGTTTCTTCAGTGACGTCAGGACTCCTTTCTAGTAACGAGGGACACCTCAGGAATCTCTTCGAGGCTTGGCAGGGCAAAAGGGACGCTTCTCGAGGTGAGGCAGGGCACCCAAGGACCCTTTCTAGTAGCCACAGGGATTTTGGGATTCCTATCAGTATTCAAGAGGAGTCAGGCATCGTCACCTTTTGAAGCAATGAACTCCTCGTGCCTCTCGAGGTGTCAGCGGGATGTGAGGCATTCCGTCAAAATGAGGCAGGGACCTAGGGCTTTCTTAAGGTCTCCACAGGGGATTCAGACATCCCTTCATGTTGTGAGATGAAAGACGAGCCTGTATTCAAGCCACTGCACGGAAATCCGGCCTCCTTTCAAGTTAGGGCTTCTCGCTGTATATTCCCCTTGAGGCAGCAAACTCGGGGTCCCTCCCACATACCTATTGCTGAGAGAAGCCTCCTCGTGAGGTGCTTCTGGAAAGTTGGCATACGTCTTGAGCCTAAGCGAGGGAATCAGCTCTCATCTCGAGACGATTTGTGGTACACGGAGATTCCTCGAGTTGCTGTGCTGAAGTTGGTGTTCCTCTAGACTTGGGACAGTGTTCTCGGGGCATCTCTGGAGTTGCCTGAAGGAAGTCGAGCCACCGGTCGTGTTGAATGGGGAACGGGGAATGGCTCTGGAGTCAATGCAGGGGAATCGGGCCTCATATCGAGTTGATTTGGGGCACATGGAGCTGCTTTGCGTTGCTGGGGTGACCTCAGGGTCCGTCTAGACTGGTGACAGTGTTCTTGGGGACTGTCTCGAGATCCATTAAGCAAGTCAAAGCTCCTGACTTGTTTGAATGGGATTACGGAATAGCTCTGCATGCACTGCAGGGGAACGGGGCCTCATGTCGCCTCTAGGGGGAAGTCTCATGGTTATTCTCGAGTTGCGGCGGGGACCTGGGGTATGTTCTCGACTTACGGCGGGGATGGCCCTTCAAAACACGAGTTTCTTCAGTGACGTCAGGACTCCTGTCTAGTAAAGAGGGACACCTCAGGAATCTCTTCGAGGCTGGGCAGGGCAAAAGGGACGCTTCTCGAGGTGAGGCAAGGCACCCAAGGACCCTTTCCAGTAGCCACAGGGATTTTGGGATTCCTATCAGTATTCAAGAGGAGTCAGGCATCGTCACCTTTTGGAGCAATGAACTCCGCGTGCCTCTCGAGGTGTCAGCGGGATGTGAGGCATTCCGTCAAAATGAGGCAGGGACCTAGGGCTTTCTCTGAGGTCTCCATATGGGATTCAGACATCCCTTCATGTTGTGAGATGATAGACGAGCCTGTATTCAAGCCACTGCAAGGAAATCCGGCCTCCTTTCAAGTTAGGGCTTCTCGCTGTATATTCCCCTTGAGGCAGCAAACTCGGGGTCCCTCCCACATACCTATTGCTGAGAGAAGCCTCCTCCTGAGGTGCTTCTGGAAAATTGGCATACGTCTTGAGCCTAAGCGAGGGAATCAGCTCTCATCTCGAGACGATTTGGGGTACACGGAGCATTCCTCGAGATGCTGTGCTGAAGTTGGTGTTCCTCTAGACTTGGGACAGTGTTCTCGGGGCATCTCTGGAGTTGCCTGAAGGAAGTCGAGCCACCGGTCGTGTTGAAAGGGGAACGGGGAATGGCTCTGGAGTCAATGCAGGGGAATCGGGCCTCATCTCGAGTTGATTTGCGGCACATGGAGCTGCTTTGCGTTGCTGGGTGAGCTCAGGGTCCGTCTAGACTGGTGACAGTGTTCTTGGGGACTGTCTCGAGATCCATTAAGCAAGTCGAAGCTCCTGAATTGTTTAAATGGGATCACGGAATAGCTCTGCATGCACTGCAGGGGAATGGGGCCTCATCTCGCCTCTAGGGGGAAGTATCATGGTTTTTCTCGAGTTGCGGCGGGGACCTGGGGTATGTTCTCGACGTACGGCAGGGATGGCCCTTCAAAACACGAGTTTCTTCAGTGACGTCAGGACTCCTTTCTAGTAACGAGGGACACCTCAGGAATCTCTTCGAGGCTTGGCAGGGCAAAAGGGACGCTTCTCGAGGTGAGGCAGGGCACCCAAGGACCCTTTCTAGTAGCCACAGGGATTTTGGGATTCCTATCAGTATTCAAGAGGAGTCAGGCATCGTCACCTTTTGAAGCAATGAACTCCTCGTGCCTCTCGAGGTGTCAGCGGGATGTGAGGCATTCCGTCAAAATGAGGCAGGGACCTAGGGCTTTCTTAAGGTCTCCACAGGGGATTCAGACATCCCTTCATGTTGTGAGATGAAAGACGAGCCTGTATTCAAGCCACTGCAAGGAAATCCGGCCTCCTTTCAAGTTAGGGCTTCTCGCTGTATATTCCCCTTGAGGCAGCAAACTCGGGGTCCCTCCCACATACCTATTGCTGAGAGAAGCCTCCTCGTGAGGTGCTTCTGGAAAGTTGGCATACGTCTTGAGCCTAAGCGAGGGAATCAGCTCTCATCTCGAGACGATTTGGGGTACACGGAGATTCCTCGAGTTGCTGTGCTGAAGTTGGTGTTCCTCTAGACTTGGGACAGTGTTCTCGGGGCATCTCTGGAGTTGCCTGAAGGAAGTCGAGCCACCGGTCGTGTTGAATGGGGAACGGGGAATGGCTCTGGAGTCAATGCAGGGGAATCGGGCCTCATCTCGAGTTGATTTGGGGCACATGGAGCTGCTTTGCGTTGCTGGGGTGACCTCAGGGTCCGTCTAGACTGGTGACAGTGTTCTTGGGGACTGTCTCGAGATCCATTAAGCAAGTCAAAGCTCCTGACTTGTTTGAATGGGATTACGGAATAGCTCTGCATGCACTGCAGGGGAACGGGGCCTCATGTCGCCTCTAGGGGGAAGTCTCATGGTTATTCTCGAGTTGCGGCGGGGACCTGGGGTATGTTCTCGACTTACGGCGGGGATGGCCCTTCAAAACACGAGTTTCTTCAGTGACGTCAGGACTCCTGTCTAGTAACGAGGGACACCTCAGGAATCTCTTCGAGGCTGGGCAGGGCAAAAGGGACGCTTCTCGAGGTGAGGCAAGGCACCCAAGGACCCTTTCCAGTAGCCACAGGGATTTTGGGATTCCTATCAGTATTCAAGAGGAGTCAGGCATCGTCACCTTTTGGAGCAATGAACTCCGCGTGCCTCTCGAGGTGTCAGCGGGATGTGAGGCATTCCGTCAAAATGAGGCAGGGACCTAGGGCTTTCTCTGAGGTCTCCACAGGGGATTCAGACATCCCTTCATGTTTTGAGATGAAAGACGAGCCTGTATTCAAGCCACTGCAAGGAAATCCGGCCTACTTTCAAGTTAGGGCTTCTCGCTGTATATTCCCCTTGAGGCAGCAAACTCGGGGTCCCTCCCACATACCTATTGCTGAGAGAAGCCTCCTCCTGAGGTGCTTCTGGAAAGTTGGCATACGTCTTGAGCCTAAGCCAGGGAATCAGCTCTCATCTCGAGACGATTTGGGGTACACGGAGATTCCTCGAGTTGCTGTGCTGAAGTTGGTGTTCCTCTAGACTTGGGACAGTATTCTCGGGGCATCTCTGGAGTTGCCTGAAGGAAGTCGAGCCACCGGTCGTGTTGAATGGGAACGGGGAATGGCTCTGGAGTCAATGCAGGGGAATCGGGCCTCATCTCGAGTTGATTTGGGGCAAATGGAGCTGCTTTGCATTGCTGGGGTGACCTCAGGGTCCGTCTAGACTGGTGACAGTGTTCTTGGGGACTGTCTCGAGATCCATTAAGCAAGTCGAAGCTCCTGACTTGTTTGAATGGGATCACGGAATAGCTCTGCATGCACTGCAGGGGAATGGGGCTTCATGTCACCTCTAGGGGGAAGTCTCATGGTTTTTCTCGAGTTGCGGCGGGGACCTGGGGTATGTTCTCGACTTACGGCGGGGATGGCCCTTCAAAACACGAGTTTCTTCAGTGACGTCAGGACTCCTGTCTAGTAACGAGGGACACCTCAGGAATCTCTTCGAGGCTTGGCAGGGCAAAAAGGACGCTTCTCGAGGTGAGGCAGGGCACCCAAGGACCCTTTCCATAAGCCACAGGGATTTTGGAATTCCTATCAGTATTCAAGAGGAGTCAGGTATCGTCACCTTTTGAAGCAATGAACTCCGCGTGCCTCTCGAGGTGTCAGCGGGATGTGAGGCATTCCGTCAAAATGAGGCAGGGATCTAGGGCTTTCTCTAAGGTCTCCACAGGGGATTCAGACATCCCTTCATGTTGTGAGATGAAAGACGAGCCTGTATTCAAGCCACTGCAAGGAAATCCGGCCTCCTTTCAAGTTAGGGTTTCTCGCTGTAAATTCCCCTTGAGGCAGCAAACTAGGGGTCCCTCACACATACTTATTGCTGAGAGAAGCCTCCTCCTGAGGTGCTTCTGGAAAGTTGGCATACGTCTTGAGCCTAAGCCAGGGAATCAGCTCTCATCTCGAGACGATTTGGGGTACACGGAGCATTCCTCGAGTTGCTGTGCTGAAGTTGGTGTTCCTCTAGACTTGGGACAGTGTTCTCGGGGCATCTCTTGAGTGGCCTGAAGGAAGTAGAGCCACCGGTCGTGTTGAATGGGGAAAGGGGAATGGCCTTGGAGTCAATGCAGGGGAATCGGGCCTCATCTCGAGTTGATTTGGGGCACATGGAGCTGCTTTGCGTTGCTGGGGTGACGTCAGGGTCCGTCTAGACTGGTGACAGTGTTCTTGGGGACTGTCTCGAGATCCATTAAGCAAGTCGAAGCTCCTGACTTGTTTGAATGAGATCACGGAATAGCTCTGCATGCACTGCAAGGGAATGGGGCCTCATCTCGCATCTAGGGGGAAGTCTCATGGTTTTACTCGAGTTGCAGCGGGGACATGGGGTATGTTCTCGACTTACGGCGGGGATGGCCCTTCAAAACACGAGTTTCTTCAGTGACGTCAGGACTCCTGTATAGTAACGAGGGACACATCAGGAATCTCTTCGAGGCTTGGCAGGGCAAAAGGGACGCTTCTCGAGGTGAGGCAGGGCACCCAAGGACCCTTTCCAGTATCCACAGGGATTTTGGGATTCCTATCAGTATTCAAGAGGAGTCAGGCATCGTCACCTTTTGGAGCAATGAACTCCGCGTGCCTCTCGAGGTGTCAGCGGGATGTGAGGCATTCCGTCAAAATGAGGCAGGGACCTAGGGCTTTCTCTGAGGTCTCCACAGGGGATTCAGACATCCCTTCATGTTGTGAGATGAAAGACGATCCTGTATTCAAGCCACTGCAAGGAAATCCGGCCTCCTTTCAAGTTAGGGCTTCTCGCTGTATATTCCCCTTGAGGCAGCAAACTCGGGGTCCCTCCCACATACCTATTGCTGAGAGAAGCCTCCTCCTGAGGTGCTTCTGGAAAGTTGGCATACGTCTTGAGCCTAAGCCAGGGAATCAGCTCTCATCTCGAGACGATTTGGGGTACACGGAGATTCCTCGAGTTGCTGTGCTGAAGTTGGTGTTCCTCTAGACTTGGGACAGTGTTCTCGGGGCATCTGTTGAGTGGCCTGAAGGAAGTCGAGCCACCGGTCGTGTTGAATGGGGAAAGGGGAATGGCCTTGGAGTCAATGCAGGGGAATCGGGCCTCATTTCGAGTTGATTTGGGGCACATGGAGCGGCTTTGCGTTGCTGGGGTGACCTCAGGGTCCGTCTAGACTGGTGACAGTGTTCTTGGGGACTGTCTCGAGATCCATTAAGCAAGTCGAAGCTCCTGACTTGTTTGAATGAGATCACGGAATAGCTCTGCATGCACTGCAGGGGAATGGGGCCTCATCTCGCCTCTAGGGGGAAGTCTCATGGTTTTTCTCGAGTTGCGGCGGGGACCTGGAGTATATTCTCGACTTACGGCGGGGATGGCCCTTCAAAACACGAGTTTCTTCATTGACGTCAGGACTCCTGTCTAGTAACGAGGGACACCTCAGGAATCTCTTCGAGGCTGGGCAGGGCAAAAGGGACGCTTCTCGAGGTGAGGCAGGGCACCCAAGGACCCTTTCCAGTATCCACAGGGATTTTGGGATTCCTATCAGTATTCAAGAGGAGTCAGGCATCGTCACCTTTTGGAGCAATGAACTCCGCGTGCTCTCGAGGTGTCAGCGGGATGTGAGGCATTCGGTCAAAATGAGGCAGCGACCTAGGGCTTTCTCTGAGGTCTCCACAGGGGATTCAGACATCCCTTCATGTTGTGAGATGAAAGACGAGCCTGTATTCAAGCCAGTGCAAGGAAATCCGGCCTCCTTTCAAGTTAGGGCCTCTCTCTATATATTCCCCTTGAGGCAGCAAACTCGGGGTCCCTCCCACATACCTCTTGCTGAGAGAAGCCTCCTCCTGAGGTGCTTCTTTAAAGTTGGCATACGTCTTGAGCCTAAGCCAGGGAATCAGCTCTCATCTCGAGACGATTTGTTGTACACGGAGTATTCCTCGAGTTGCTGTGCTGAAGTTGGTGTTCCTCTAGTCTTGGGACAGTGTTCTCGGGGCATCTCTGGAGTTGCCTGAAGGAAGTCGAGCCACCGGTCGTGTTGAATGGGGAACGGGGAATGGCTCTGGAGTCAATGCAGGGGAATCGGGCCTCATCTCGAGTTGATTTGGGGCACATGGAGCTGCCTTGCATTGCTGGGGTGACCTCAGGGTCCGTCTAGACTGGTGACAGTGTTCTTGGGGACTGTCTCGAGATCCATTAAGCAAGTCGAAGCTCCTGACTTGTTTGAATGGGATCACGGAATAGCTCTGCATGCACTGCAGGGGAATGGGGCCTCATCTCGCCTCTAGGGGGAAGTCTCATAATTTTTCTCGAGTTGCGGCGGGGACCTGGGGTATGTTCTCGACTTACGGCGGGGATGGCCCTTCAAAACACGAGTTTCTTCAGTGACGTCAGGACTCCTGTCTAGTAACGAGGGACACCTCAGGAATCTCTTCGAGGCTTGGCAGGGCAAAAGGGACGCTTCTCGAGGTGAGGCAAGGCACCCAAGGTCTCTTTCCCGTAGCCACAGGGATTTTGGGATTCCTATCAGTGTTCAAGAAGAGTCAGGCATCGTCACGTTTTGGAGCAATGAACTCCGCGTGCGTCTCGAGGTGTCAGCGGAATGTGAGGCATTCCGTCAAAATGAGGCAGGGACCTAGGGCTTTCTCTGAGGTCTCCATATGGGATTCAGACATCCCTTCATGTTGTGAGATGAAAGACGAGCCTGTATTCAAGCCACTGCAAGGAAATCCGGCCTCCTTTCAAGTTAGGGCTTCTCGCTGTATATTCCCCTTGAGGCAGCAAACTCGGGGTCCCTCCCACATACCTATTGCTGAGAGAAGCCTCCTCCTGAGGTGCTTCTGGAAAGTTGGCATACGTCTTGAGCCTAAGCGAGGGAATCAGCTCTCATCTCGAGACGATTTCAGGTACACGGAGCATTCCTCGAGATGCTGTGCTGAAGTTGGTGTTCCTCTAGACTTGGGACAGTGTTCTCGGGGCATCTCTGGAGTTGCCTGAAGGAAGTCGAGCCACCGGTCGTGTTGAAAGGGGAACGGGGAATGGCTCTGGAGTCAATGCAGGGGAATCGGGCCTCATCTCGAGTTGATTTGCGGCACATGGAGCTGCTTTGCGTTGCTGGGTGAGCTCAGGGTCCGTCTAGACTGGTGACAGTGTTCTTGGGGACTGTCTTGAGATCCATTAAGCAAGTCGAAGCTCCTGACTTGTTTGAATGGGATCACGGAATAGCTCTGCATGCACTGCAGGGGAATGGGGCCTCATCTCGCCTCTAGGGGGAAGTCTCATGGTTTTTCTCGAGTTGCGGCGGGGACCTCTGGTATGTTCTCGACGTACGGCAGGGATGGCCCTTCAAAACACGAGTTTCTTCAGTGACGTCAGGACTCCTTTCTAGTAACGAGGGACACCTCAGGAATCTCTTCGAGGTTTGGCAGGGCAAAAGGGACGCTTCTCGAGGTGAGGCAGGGCACCCCAGGACCCTTTCTAGTAGCCACAGGGATTTTGGGATTCCTATCAGTATTCAAGAGGAGTCAGGCATCGTCACCTTTTGAAGCAATGAACTCCTCGTGCCTCTCGAGGTGTCAGCGGGATGTGAGGCATTCCGTCAAAATGAGGCAGGGACCTAGGGCTTTCTTATGGTCTCCACAGGGGATTCAGACATCCCTTCATGTTGTGAGATGAAAGACGAGCCTGTATTCAAGCCACTGCACGGAAATCCGGCCTCCTTTCAAGTTAGGGCTTCTCGCTGTATATTCCCCTTGAGGCAGCAAACTCGGGGTCCCTCCCACATACCTATTGCTGAGAGAAGCCTCCTCGTGAGGTGCTTCTGGAAAGTTGGCATACGTCTTGAGCCTAAGCGAGGGTATCAGCTCTCATCTCGAGACGATTTGGGGTACACGGAGATTCCTCGAGTTGCTGTGCTGAAGTTGGTGTTCCTCTAGACTTGGGACAGTGTTCTCGGGGCATCTCTGGAGTTGCCTGAAGGAAGTCGAGCCACCGGTCGTGTTGAATGGGGAACGGGGAATGGCTCTGGAGTCAATGCAGGGGAATCGGGCCTCATCTCGAGTTGATTTGGGGCAAATGGAGCTGCTTTGCGTTGCTGGGGTGACCTCAGGGTCCGTCTAGACTGGTGACAGTGTTCTTGGGGACTGTCTCGAGATCCATTAAGCAAGTCAAACCTCCTGACTTGTTTGAATGGGATTACGGAATAGCTCTGCATGCACTGCAGGGGAATGGGGCCTCATGTCGCCTCTAGGGGGAAGTCTCATGGTTATTCTCGAGTTGCGGCGGGGACCTGGGGTATGTTCTCGACTTACGGCGGGGATGGCCCTTCAAAACACGAGTTTCTTCAGTGACGTCAGGACTCCTGTCTAGTAACGAGGGACACCTCAGGAATCTCTTCGAGGCTGGGCAGGGCAAAAGGGACGCTTCTCGAGGTGAGGCAGGGCACCCAAGGACCCTTTCCAGTAGCCACAGGGATTTTGGGATTCCTATCAGTATTCAAGAGGAGTCAGGCATCGTCACCTTTTGGAGCAATGAACTCCGCGTGCCTCTCGAGGTGTCAGCGGGATGTGAGGCATTCCGTCAAAATGAGGCAGGGACCTAGGGCTTTCTCTGAGGTCTCCACAGGGGATTCAGACATCCCTTCATGTTGTGAGATGAAAGACGAGCCTGTATTCAAGCCACTGCAAGGAAATCCGGCCTACTTTCAAGTTAGGGCCTCTCGCTGTATATTCCCCTTGAGGCAGCAACCTCGGGGTCCCTCCCACATACCTATTGCTGAGAGAAGCCTCCTCCTGAGGTGCTTCTGGAAAGTTGGCATACGTCTTGAGCCTAAGCCAGGGAATCAGCTCTCATCTCGAGACGATTTGGGGTACACGGAGATTCCTCGAGTTGCTGTGCTGAAGTTGGTGTTCCTCTAGACTTGGGACAGTGTTCTCGGGGCATCTCTGGAGTTGCCTGAAGGAAGTCGAGCCACCGGTCGTGTTGAATGGGGAATGGGGAATGGCTCTGGAGTCAATGCAGGGGAATCGGGCCTCATCTCGAGTTGATTTGGGGCAAATGGAGCTGCTTTGCGTTGCTGGGGTGACCTCAGGGTCCGTCTAGACTGGTGACAGTGTTCTTGGGGACTGTCTCGAGATCCATTAAGCAAGTCGAAGCTCCTGACTTGTTTGAATGGGATCACTGAATAGCTCTGCATGCACTGCAGGGAATGGGGCCTCATGTCACCTCTAGGGGGAAGTCTCATGGTTTTTCTCGAGTTGCGGCGGGGACCTGGGGTATGTTCTCGACTTACGGCGGGGATGGCCCTTCAAAACACGAGTTTCTTCAGTGACGTCAGGACTCCTGTCTAGTAACGAGGGACACCTCAGAAATCTATTCGAGGCTTGGCAGGGCAAAAGGGACGCTTCTCGAGGTGAGGCAGGGCACCCAAGGACCCTTTCCCGTAGCCACAGGGATTTTGGGATTCCTATCAGTATTCAAGAGGAGTCAGGCATCGTCACCTTTAGAAGCAATGAACTCCGCGTGCCTCTAGAGGTGTCTGCGGGATGTGAGGCATTCCGTCAAAATGACGCAGGGTCCTCGGGCTTTCTCTAAGGTCTCCACAGGGGATTCAGACATCCCTTCATGTTGTGAGATGAAAGACGAGCCTGTAT